GACGTGGAAAAAATGATGGGGTCATTAATTACGACACATTAATTTATAAAGACGACGTTGTTGTCTATATACAACGTCGTTACCATGAAAAAGACCGCCGTGTTTAATAGTTTCTACGTCTTCATTAAAAAAATTAACGTCGTCTAATTCATATATCTTAACGTCGACAAATTTAATGGACTTCAAATATCGTCGTGAATTCATCATTTTCCACGTTGTTTATGAAAGAACATGTGACGTGGTAAATTCATGACGACGTCGTCTTTTGTAACGTTCAGGTTAAAGATCTGGTTTTTAAGACGTCGGTATTATGGGATTGGAGTCGTGTTATTTTGAATTACATGGCGGTTCTTTATGCTTGTCCGACGTGTTATCCTGGATAACTGTTTCACAATAGCGTCGTGGTTCTTCATTGTTACATTGCTTTAAGACGTCGGTAAATATATTGCGGTCGTTGAATGCTCCAAAACGTCGTTATTTGTTAGAACAGACGTTTGTTTTTCACATTTTTATCAAAACCGTCGTGTTTGTAATCTGGAACCAGTAATTTTTGTACTGATTGTTTTGTGGCCAAAACCTGTATAATGAAAGTGAAGAAATCACATTACAATATATTACAAAATTAATGTCATACACTGCCAATTACATAAAGCATCATTCAACCCATATATCTTCACACCCATCTCGAATATTTTGACTCCCTAACTCAACCACCACTTCATCAAATGTGTCAACATTTGGCATCCCTCTAGTAAATGGCTCACACTCAATTCTCACATCACCTAAGACATCATCACCAATAACATCATTATATTCTCTATTAGGCATTGATAACACTACCGACCAACCACGATGCATTGGGTCGTCAACAAAAAATACTTGTTTGACTTGAGAAGCCAAAACAAATTGGTCATTCCTATGTCCAATTTTACTCAAATCTACAAGGGTAAATCCAAGTTCGTCCACTACAAGACCAAAAGTATTATCTATCCAATCACACCTAAAGACTGGGATTGTAAACTTTTGGTAGTCAAGGTCCCAAATTTCTTGAATGACACCATAGAAACCCATATTTGAGAGAATTGGGTTTTTATCCTTGGCACCAGCAACTTGCAAAGTATGTGCAAGTAAATAAACTCCACTATTTTGAGTTGTCCGCACATCATCTTGTGCCTTGATGTTAAATTTAATACCTTTAATAAGATAGCTCCTATATAATGGCACTGCCATGTTTGGACCAGCTGCTAGCCACCTTAAATTTTCTGATACGCCATGATTGTCTTCCTCATTAAGTTCACTTTGAACCTGCAAATTAATCATAACATATACCTTGAAGCGTAGCCATTGAATGAAAGTGCTATTGTGCTTATCCTGCAGCCACTTTGTTCTCTTTCTAATTTTGGATAAGCGGTCTTGATGTGGATCATATGTTGCCTACATGACACAAAAAATTCAAGTATTACGGTCCCAAACATATAAGATAAACATAAGAAATAATTTAAAATGGAAACTTAAAGAATAAAACTCATACGTACTCGATATAAGGTAGGACTTCCTCCGTATTCTCCAAGACATATAGATGTGCTTGGTTCAACAGGTCCCGATCAACTACGCTCACTGTGCAACCTGATAATGGCTTTGAAACTCCCATCTTTTGGCTTGAAGGCACTCCAACTGTACTAACATCAGATAAATGCTCGGTACAAAACTCTACAGCTTCTTCAGCTATATACCGCTCAGCAATGCAACCTTCGGGACGAGTACGATTCTGAACATACCCCTTTAGCACTTTCATATATCTTTCAAACGGATACATCCATCTAAAATATACTGGCCCACATAGACGAACTTCTCTGACAAGATGTACTACTAGATGAACCATGATATCAAAGAATGAAGGGGGAAAGTACTTCTCAAGCAAACACAAAGTAACTACTACATCTTCTTCCAACTTATCTAGCTTGGAAACATCAACAGTCTTTGCACATATAGCATTGAAGAAGAAGCACAAACGAGTTATTGCATACCTTGCAGCTTCTCCAAAACAGAACGAATTGCCACGGGGAGCAATTGTTGCATTAAGGTATGACAATCATGTGATTTAAGGCCAAGAAGTCTTGAATCTTGTAAAGATACAAGATTTTTTATATTTGAAGAATAACCTTCAGGGACCTTCATACCATAGAAAGAATTGCAAACCTCTCTCTTCTCTGCTCTTGACAAATTCCAAGGCCCGGGAGGCAAACGAGTACGTCTTTCTCCATACTCGGGTTGCAAATCAGTTTTGACCCCCATGTTCAATAAATCTAATCGAGCAGCAATCCCATCTTTATTTTTTCCAGGGATCTCCAGCAATGTTCCAATGATACTATCGCAAACATTCTTCTCAATGTGCATAACATCTAGGACATGCCTCACAAGAAGGTATTTCCAATACTCGAGATCAAAGAATATTGATTTCTTCTTCCAACAAACTCTGTCACCATCTTCAACCATATGCAACACTTCTTCTCCGGTTAATGGCTCGGGAGGTGTGCCATATTCAGGTTTCCCATTAAAAGCTGCACGTTGCCTCCTATATGGATGATTGATTGGTAACCATTTTCTATGCCCAATGTAACAAATTTTGTGGCCATTTTTCAACCTGTGACTAGGTGTATCATCGCCGCATATTGGACAAGCTTTATATCCTTTAACAACACAACCGGATAAGTTTCCATAGGCGGGGAAATCATTAATTGTCCACATTAATGCAGCTCTGAGTGTAAAGTATTCTCCATTATGTGCATCATACACTCCTCCAATCCCATCCCACAAAGATTTTAAATCATCAATCAAAGGCTCCAAGTAGACGTCTATATCATTTCCGGGCTGTTTAGGACCGGAAATCAATAAGGTCAACATCATGAACTTTCGTTTCATGCACAACCATGGAGGGAGATTATATGTAACTAAGATAATTGGCCAGCAACTATATCTGCTACTTAGAGAACTGTGGGGATTGAATCCATCAGATGAAAAAGCCAATCTCAAGTTTCTCGGCTCATTACCAAACTCGGGCCATTTATCATCAAGAAGTTTCCAAGACGGGGAATTCGCCGGATGAGACATATGACCGTCAATTGATTTTCTAGCAGCATGCCAAGTCAAACTCTTAGCTGTCTCATGTGATCGAAACATCCTTTTAAACCTTGGAATTGGAGGAAAATACCACACCACCTTCGCTGGCACACCCTCTTTCAAGATTGAATCTTTGCCTTCCTTCCACCTTGAGATACCACAAGTAGGACAATTAGTTGAATCCTCATACTCCTTCCTATACAAGATGCAATCATTGGGGCATGCGTGCATTTTCTCATAACTCAGCCCCAATGCACACAAAGTCTTTTTTGCCTCATACATAGAGGCCGGTATTGTATTTCCTTCTGGAAGCAAATCGCCTTGAAGTATCAATAATTCTGTAAAACAGACATCACTCATCCCATGTTTTGCCTTCAAATTATACAACTTCACTAATGCCGATAACTTCGTGTACTTTCTACAAACAGGGTACAATGGTTGATCTCCATCCCCAATCACATTGGCAAACTCATAAGGATCAGATCCAAAATCACCAACATCATTATCATCCATCTCTATTTCTTCAGACACAAAACTGTACCTACTCTGGTCATCATCTTCTTCAACATTTCTACTAGCATTAGTAGTTGCTTCCCAAGGTTCTTCGTGAAATGTCCAATTCTTATAGCTTTGGTCAACTCCATTAAAGTATAAGTGATCCCTTATAATTCCAACCCCAAACAATTTCAAATTAACACATTTAACACATGGACAACGGATATGTGTTGTAGTTAGAAGATTTTCTACAGAAAAGTTCAAAAATGCTTCCACCCCTAACTCATATGCCTTCGATCTTCTATTCGAGTGCATCCATGACTTATCCATCTCCGACACTATACCCTATTATATATAATAAAGTGAAAAGACAAGCAATGACCATCACTATAGCAGATTATATAAAGTTCTAATAGCAAGTAATATACAACAGAGACGACGGTTTTTTAAACAAAAACAGACGTATTTGACATATATAGACGACGGGTTTTCAACAAACGTCGTCTACTTATAACCACGACGGTAGTTAAATAACACCGTCGTGTATAAGTAATACAAACGACGGTTTAAAGTAAAAACCATCGTCGTATGCCTAAAAACGCCAATTTATCCCAAAACCCTATTAAGAACTCAACATATACATGAAACCAAGCATGAAACCAACATATACATGAAAACAAGCATGAAACCAACATATACTAAGCATGAAAACAATAAATCCATTCCCAATTCAACATAACAGAGAGTGATTAAAAGATCCGACAAAATGAAATCCATTCCCTATTCAACATAACAGAGAGTGATCAAGAAAACATTAAACAGAAAATCCATGAACCCATACCTCCAACAACATTATTAACAGATCGCAAAACATATATCTAAAACCCTTTAACAAAACAACGTAATATCATTCAATGAATTTACAAGGGGAAGTGAGGGTTTGTACTTACAGGTTGGCAGAGCTCACAGATTATGGCCAAATTGGATTCGACACAGCCTGGAGAGCCCAACTTTGAATTAGAGATGAAGTGAGAGAGCGAAATGTTATGTTGCGCGAAATCTGAAAATTTTAGGGTTCAGGGTTAGAAGTATAAAACTAAGAGCCAAATCTGTAACACCCCGACTCCAAATTTATTCCTATTTTAATTAAATTAAGAGAATTATTAATTTACTCTTGGGTTAAGGGTAATTTTGGCCATTTTCTTATCCGGAAGGATTTCGGGACCAAGAGTGGTTTGGTTGCGTAGGTGGTACTGAGACGAAACCGTAGACATGCGGTAGGCTTGAATCAGAGATGTAATGAAGTTCTGGCGATCAAAATAGGTTCAGTGGCGGAATCGTAATTAATTTGAAAAGAGTTTGGGGTAAAATCAGATTTTTCACTTTTACCCCTCACTTTCTCTCTCTCTCTCTTTCCCGATTCTCCCCAGCGCGCAGAGCCCTTCCCTTCCCGAGTTACTGTTCACCGAATCGAGAAAACCCTCACAGTCGTCACGTCCGGCCATCTCAGCCCTCGAGACCAGTCCCGTTGGACTCGTCGTGAAGTCCCGATCAAGACCCACCCAATTTCCTTGCCGGAAAGCCGGAGAATCGTCGACGGTATCGACTGGTTCGAACCGGAAGTTTCCGATCGTTGCGCCGCCGCCTCCGCCGTCTGTTTCAGGTAAAGTTGGTGAGTTTTCTTCTCCTTTTTACGTATTCTAGCTGACTGTTGTTTAGGTTTGGATCGATTTTGAGTTTTGGAACCGAATTGGAAACCTAGGTTTTGGCCGGTTTTCAATTTGAAATTCCGGCCAGTTCCCGTGCGAATTGGACCTCGTGGTAGTTGAATAAATGATCCTGACTTTGAGAAGAAGCTAGGGTAGGAAGGGTGAGCGTTGGTGTGGAGATTTTCCGTCGCTGGAAATTTCTCTACACACCCACGCGCTGCCGGCGCGTGTGGCGGCGCGTGGGCAAGGCTGTTGAAGTTGCTTTTCATCCTGACGAGATCCTTAGGTTGCCACGAGTGTGTAGGATTTTACGAATCTCAATTTGGATGTCGTTTGACTATCGAACGGATTTCGCATATTGTGCGTTATTCGGGTTCGATAAGTTCTAACCGTTGGATCGTTTCCAAATTGAAGTATGTTGATCTAGGTACTCTTAGAATCCTATAGGGATTCGTGGATCGTGAATCGGAGCCCCGGATGTTCCGATTCAATAATTCAAAGTTTGTGGGATTAGCGATAACCGTAGAATGGGATCTTGGACGTACACGCACCGGGATCTTGGGGATTTAAGTATTCTCTTTTGTGAATTCCCGTTTCGAAGTGTATTATATTAATCAAGGGTTCGTATCTCGAAATAGGTACTTTGGTCGATCGTTCGCAGCAGGCAGGACCCTCTCGGGGCCGAGCAGCGTGGGATTACCTGTGAGTGGACTTTGTTTTCAAGCATTTGCATGGTTTTATTGATAAAAGATTTGTGCATATGTTTTTAATGGTAAATGTGATTTATTGAGTATTTGGTTGATGGATTTGGATATTCACATACGTATTGGCAATATATTTTGAGTATGACTATGTTTGAGTATTATGGATATGTTTATATGGATTTTGGGATGTCTGTCTATATTGCCTATGTATAGAGTATGAGAAGTTGATGTTGTGAGATTGTGCTATGTATGGAGTATGAGGAGTTGTTGTTATGAGATTGTGGAAAGATGTGAGTTTGAGGGATGGTTGTGAGATGTATGAGTATGTTAGGTGAGTACCATTCCCTGGTTACTAGGCTTCCCACACATGGCGTTGGCAGTGCCGGTGTGGTGGGAAGGTCATGAGATTGCTGTTCTCATACATGGCGTTGGCAGTGCCGGTGTATGGGAAGAGTATGTATATTGCTTAGTATCATCACGCATGGCGTTGGCAGTGCCGGTGTGGTGATGATACTGTCTGCGCGCGTAGGACTTGATATGAGATTTGTGAGCTACACGTGGCGTTGGCAGTGCCGGCGTGTGAGCTATGGAGTTCCGTCCCCCGGTTGGACTACTCATCCCTGGACGCGGGTTCATGTTCGAAAATCCTGCGTACCAGCCAACAATCCCCCGGTTGGATTGTTTTCCCCGGTACATTAGTATGGAGAGAAGTATACGTTATATTATAGATATATATATACTTATATAGGTATACATATGTATGGGTTGGTGAGAGTTGCATACTTTTGGGAATGGAGTTGTGGTTTGAGATTTTTGAGAGTTATTGGACTTTGAGATTTTGTGTTTGAGTATTTGATTTATGGATGTGGAAACTGCATGCTTGAGCATTATTTTTACACGGTGGGGTTACTATGTTGTTTTAAATGCAAACTTTATTTTTGTCCACTCACATATTTCCGTTTTGCGCCCCCCAGGCAGTAGTGGCTTTTGGAAGCGCTCAAGCAAGTTGCGAGCTCCAAACATTTCATCCGTAGATAGGATTCGTGTAAATTCCTTCTACTCTGCTGTTGTTGTAAACAAATTCTGTTAGATGCTCTGTTATCGCCCATGTTAGGTTGTTACTTGAGGCCGGAGGGCACTTTATTTGATTTGTTGTATGTTGAAAGCATGCTGGCAGTTGGGAATTATATTATGTAAATTATGCAGGTTGAATATTGTTGGGCTTGAGCATTTTACAGGGGAGACTCTGCCAAAATTTTGGTAGGATGTCTTGGGTTTTTAGTAAGTGGGCCCGGCATCGGTGTGATGTCGGCAACAAAACGGGGTCCGCCCTGGTTTCGGGGAAAATTCCGGGGCGGGTCCTGTCAAAATCTGAAAATTTTAGGTCCCGCGAATATTTTTAGAAAGCGCGCTCTTTAAAACATCGACCGAAAAAACAACCGTCGTTTAAATTTCACATTAAACATGACGCTTATTACATTAAGGACGTCATGGTAAAACTATGTACGACGCAAAATCAAACAGAAGTCGTCAAAACTATGAAAAACCACGTCGGGGTTAAGTAAATAACAACGTTGTAAATAATAATAAACGACTCACTTGTAAAAAGGACGTCGTTTAAAAGAGAAACCATGGCGGATTTTTCACTATACGACGTAAACTCAGTATTCCACGACTCAATCACCGTCGTTAAAAGTAATACCCTAAAATTTAAAACCCTAAATTATATATTTGTAAAATATAATTTTATAAAATTGTTTATGGTTTTACACCCTGAACCCTATAACAAACATAAACCCTAAACCCCAAAAATTATACTTTAACCCTAAACCTTAATAAATAACAACCCTAAACCACAAACCCTAACCCATAAACCATCAAACTATATAAGTGATGTTATGACTCATCAAAACAATTTTATTTTGGGTGGTCATTTTAAACTTTTATTACTCAAACTGCATTTTTTTGAGGTTTAGGGGGAAGAAAATATATCAATGACTTCATAGGAGTTGACGTTGCATTTTTTGGATTTATTTTGAATATTTTGAATTAAAAATAATAAAATATTCTTTTATCAACAACAAACCACGTCGGGGTTAAGTAAATAACGACGTTGTAAATAATAATAAACGACTCACTTGTAAAAAGGACGTCGTTTAAAAGAGAAACCATGGCGGATTTTTCACTATACGACGTAAACTCAGTATTCCACGACTCAATCACCGTCGTTAAAAGTAATACCCTAAAATTTAAAACCCTAAATTATATATTTGTAAAATATTATTTTATAAAATTGTTTATGGTTTTACACCCTGAACCCTATAACAAACATAAACCCTAAACCCCAAAAATTATACTTTAACCCTAAACCTTAATAAATAACAACCCTAAACCACAAACCCTAACCCATAAACCATCAAACTATATAAGTGATGTTATGACTCATCAAAACAATTTTATTTTGGGTGGTCATTTTAAACTTTTATTACTCAAACTGCATTTTTTTGAGGTTTAGGGGGAAGAAAATATATCAATGACTTCATAGGAGTTGACGTTGCATTTTTTGGATTTATTTTGAATATTTTGAATTAAAAATAATAAAATATTCTTTTATCAACAACAAACCACGTCGGGGTTAAGTAAATAACGACGTTGTAAATAATAATAAACGACTCACTTGTAAAAAGGACGTCGTTTAAAAGAGAAACCATGGCGGATTTTTCACTATACGACGTATACTCAAAGGACGTCGTTTAAAAGCGAAACCATGGCGAAATTTTCACTAAAACGACGTCCCATGTACGTACAAACGGTATATCACGTCTAAATATCCTTTTACGTCGGTTTTTGACATAATTATGTCGTTGGAAAGTTATTATACGTCGGTTACGCAATTTGTTTTTTCTTTTAAATTATGAAAACCTGAACAAATTTTCTGGGAAAAAAAGGATGTATATTATAGACAAAATTTTACATATAAAAATATCAAGTGTTCCAAAAATCCTCTATTCCATATGAAGGCAAACAAGATCTGCCCATTCATTCCGGACTTCATCAATGGCTTCTTGGGGGTATGGCGCTTGCTCTTTTCCCTTGGCAAATTGCAATCCATAAACAATGATTATTAAGCTTTACAAAATAAAAAGAAATTCAGTCACAGACGACGCTTTTTTTCATAACGGACGTAGTATATCGATTCAACGACGGTAATTTTAAAGTACCGTCGTTGATAATACAAAAAACCACATAAAATGTTTCTCAAAATTTTCTTCTTACCTTATTCTCAAACTCCAAGGAAGGATCCATGATGATGTCCCTCATGAAGCGCATCACATAATACCCGCATTCGACACTGCTGGGTTGCTTTGGTGTGCCTGGCAGAGTTTTCCCAAATTGGTGCTTTACGGCCTGGTCTGCCTATGTGGGAATTATAAATTTTTAAAGCACTGTTCACAATGTTTTGGCCCTCCTCATCAACCACACGATTTCCAGGCAGAGGATCCAGAAAATAGACGGTTTCCCTCTTTGCTCTCACAATCAGCAAGACCCAATGACGGCTGCACAAAATTAAAATAAAAAACGACGGTTAATATAAAAAGTCAACACAAGAAAACAAACGACGGTTATTTATAAAAAAAGACGTATTATGGAGTTTCACACGACGTAATAACGTAGCAATCGACGTCATTATAAATTTATCACGACGGTAATTAACTATCGATGTGGTTAGTTGTTTCAAATGACTTAATAAATAAATAGGGAGTTTCACTAAAACACCCAAAATGGAGACTGAAATTATAAAAAAAACCCAACACCCAAAACACTTTATAAACACACCCAAAACCCATCATTACACACACTCAAAACCCATTTATAAACACACCCAAAAAATATACAATTATTGATTTTGGGGTTGATTTTGGGTGTGTTTCTATGTTTAAATAGTGCTTGGGTTTTTTTATAAATACATGTCTAGGATTGGGTTTATTTATAAATTTGTAAAATAAATAACCGACATGGTTAGATGTTTCAAACGACACAAAATTAGTTAAACAGTTTTATAAGGGGTCAGTTAGTGAAAATCATACAAACAAAATCCTTTTAAGGAGACTAACCCTGGATTGTAAGGCATCATGAAAATCTGTTCACCATCTGTTTTCTGAAGTCGACTGGCTACAATTCGTGATCTGTCAGTTAGTGACCCAGCGTTGGCACTAACTTGAGCAGGGTCGATAAAGCCAACCATGGTGCACATATTTGCTTCTCTCAAACAATCATTTAAGCAACTAAATATATAAAACAAAAATATATAAAAAAAGTCAGCCCAAAAAAACACGACGGTTATTTATTAACAAACGACGTATTATACAATTTCACACGACGAACTGAAATAGAAACATACGTTATAACTAATTTATCACGACGGTAAAAAAAGAACGACGTGGTTAGTGGTTTAAAACGACGAAATAAATAAACCACCGACGTCTTATGCTATAATGTTTTTTTTTCTCATAAACAAATTTGAGTGTGAATTAAATATTTGATAAGGACAAACCTCATATATACTGCAACCACAGTAGCCCCAATTTCTTCCATGCCTGCAAATTGTGTAATATCTTCAGGCAAGACGAAGGTACTGCGATCTGCACCAAACACCTCCTTCTCAATTGTGAAGGTCATGATCTTCTCCTGAGGCTTTAGTGTCGTTTCCACATAATGACAAAGGGATTGTAAGGAAGATGGCACCTCCAGATTTGAATAATCAACTTCTTCATTACCCTGTTTAAAGAAATAAAGCAAAATAAAATGACGTGGTAATTCAATAAAAACGACGGTTTAAATAAAAACACGTCGTCTGATAATAATTTAAATGACGGTAACAAAAATCGTCGTGTTAAATAATTTATTACGTTATAGAAAACAAATTCCGACGTCTAATTTGAAAACAAACGACGGTTTAAAGAAAAATATCGACGTCTGAAATTTGAAAACAAATAAAAAAGGCAAAGTTATGAGAATATACCTCTTCTTCATGCTTTTCTTCATCTTGTTTTTCTTCTTTCTTCTCTTCATCATTTTTCTCTTTCTCTTCATCTTTTTTTTTCTCCCTTCTTCTCTTCATCTTTTTTTTCTTCTTTCTTCTCTTCATCTTGATTTTCTAAAGCCCCAGATTTCTGTTTTCAGTAATAAAGAAATATATATATAAGACAGATTGTACAGAAAGTAAAAAAATTATTAAACGATGGTAAATAATAAACGTCGTGGGATTTGTCTATTACGTCGGTAAGGACTAAAACCGTCGTCTAAAAACCACAAAGTACGACGTCTAATGGCGTGTAAAACAAGTAAACTAAATACGACGTGGTATTTAAATAAAAACGACGGTTTATTTATAAAATCGTCGTGGTATGGTTTTAAAACGACGGGTTTATTCATAATAACGACGTATAATATTTATAAAAAAAACAGAGAATTCAAAGTTCAGATATGTTACCGTTTCTTCCTGTTGTTCCCCATTTTTGGCAGTATCATCCTCTAAATGTAGGGATCTCACATCAGCCCCAGAACAGCTTGCTTTGTCAGACATTGGATTTTTGGGACTTTGCTCTACACCTTGGTTTTGACAGGGGCTAGTTTTCGGTTTAAGCATGCTTGGATCAAAATTGGGGATGAGTTGGGAAAGCTGACTTAGTAAATGTTCCCTCTCAGCCTCTACCAATTGCTTGGTTCTAGCCTCCATCCTTAAAGTCTCTTCCCTTGATCTAGCTTCCATCTTCTTAGTCACTTCTTGAACGACAATTCTTACACTTTCCTTCAATTGATTGGCAAACTTTACCCTCTGTTGTCTAGGTAAATTGAAGAATTGCCTAGGGGAAATCCCAGCACCTACCCCTCTTACTCTCCCTGGATGCTCGGACCCAAAGCCAAGGTCAACACATCATTACTGCCAGATACACTAAGACTGCCTTCAGCCACTTGTTTTTGCAATTCATCCTAAAACAAAGACATATAAAAAAGTCAGCACAAGAAAACACACGACGGTTATTTATAAACAAACGACGCATTATATAATTTCACACGACTCAATAACATAGAAATCGACGTTATAATATATTTATAACAACGTTAATTAAATAACGAAGTGGTTAGTTGTTTCAAACGACGCAATAAATAAACCACCGACGTCTTATGCTATAATTACAGAAAACATAGCAGTGATTCCATATTCAAACCTTTAACAACGTTTTTTAAAACATTTGGACGTAGTAATATAATTCACACGACGCAAAAATTAACCACCGACGTCTTATGCTATAATTCAAGAAAACAGAGTTGTGATTCCAGATTTAGATCTTTCACAACGTTTTTTTAAAACATTTCGACGTAGTAATATAATTCACAGTTTAATAAAAATTTAAAACAGAGTGTGTAGGCTTACAATTAATTTTGCTTTCTCTGCCACCTTTGGATCTGGGATGTTACCATGTTTGTCCTGTCTAGCTTTCTTCCATAAGGTAGATCGATCAATTTCTACCCCAGGCATGGTTTCCTCCAATTGATCCTCCAAACCAGCATATCCTTTTCGAGACAATCGATGATTGTACTCAAGTTTCTCCCTAATCTGTGAATGTTGAGAATGCACAGACTCAAATTCTTTGGATAACCTTGAAGTTACAAAGGCATCCCATTCTGCTTTCTCTATGAATTTATATATTTCAGGGGGTTGGCTTAATTTCTCCCTCTCCTTGATGTATGGAAGGATATAATGCCTCGTCAGTGTAGACTTGAAATCCTTTCATTTCTTGGCAACAGAAGATAACACCGAGGTCTTGCCCCCTTGACCTACCACAAAAGCCATGTCAACGGCTTCCCAAATCTGGTCCTTTATATCCTTGGGGATTTCAGCCCATTTCTTGTCCACAAGTGGGACTTTGGAGCGTGCCAACACACCAATGTAGGACTGCATCTCAGTATGTGCAGGGCCACATCCTTTCCCCCTTTTATTGTACTCAACAACTGGCTTGATTTTCTGCAATTTTCTCTTCACAACACGAGGCATTGTGCTCATACCTCGACCTGACTTTGAATCCTCAGAAATTGTTGTCGTGCTGGTTGGTTCTGTCTCAGCAAATGAAACAAACTTCATCTTCTTCAAGGGCTTGTCTTGAGGAGTTTACCATTCCAAGCTCCTTACCTCCATTTTTTTTTGGAGCCAGAGTCCTTACTTTGGTCTTGAGAAACCATGGTTACAGAAAAAACAAACCTGCAAGTGAAAATATTTCAGGAAAAATATAAGAACACAAACGACGGTTATTTATAAAATACGACGTATAATAAGATTTTACACGACGTAATAAATGTTTTAAACGAGAGTACTTAAACAACGACGAAACAATATTAACGAAGACGTAATAAGATCTTATTACGGCGATATTTACACGACGTCGTGATATTCAAATTCACACGACGTAAATATTAATATAACGTTGTTTTATGGATATTCACACGACGTAAATAATAAGATACCGTCGTCTTTATAAGAATCCAAAAACCTTTTTCTTTCTCTGTGAATGTTTGATTGCAGGTTTAATTTCTCTAAAACATGGTTTTTGTTTTTCCTAATTTGATAAAATAAAAGAAAAAGAAAGAAAGGTTTGGCATCTTTTATAGACGACGGTATCTTAGTATAACGTTGTGGTATGAACATTCACACGGCGTCAATAATAAGATACCGTCGTCTATATAAGATACCAAACCCTACTTTCTTTGTCTTTGTATTTTATCAAATTAGGAAAAACGAAAACCATGGTTCAGAGAAATCAAACCTGCAATTAAACAAGCAAATAAAAAATCGACCGTCATTTTAAAAACAACTTAGATCAATTTTAAGACGACGCTAGGACGACTGACGAACCGTCGTGGTCTACATATTTAACCACGTAAATAAGAAGCTACCGTCGTCTTATTTAGTTGAAGTAGTTGTGTTCAAAGTTGGAAACTTTCCCTCTTTGTCTGTGTATTTTATCAAACTTGGAAAGCATAAAAATGATTTTCGCCAAAAAAAAGGTAAAAAGATTTTCAAAACAAAAACCGTATGAGCAACTCCCCGGTCGTCACTGTCGCTACCCGCGGTCGCTGTGAGTATCCGCCTGCCACCTCCCCGGACTCGACGATAGTGACTGAGCTTGCAGTGGTCGAGGCTATAGCTACCGACGCGCCGGGCCCGCCGCCTGTCTCCTCGACGATTCTGACCGAGCTTGTGGTTGCAGAAGCTCCTGGCGTGCCGTCGGCCGCTGAAGTGAGTATTTAGATTTTCCATTTTAACTTCCCTTTTCCATTTTCAGGGGATCACCTCCTCCGATGATCTCGAGGAGTTATATGCCAGTCTTCATGGAGAAGGAGGCAGCTCGGCCTCGGCCGCTTTGGACGAGGACTCCAGGGCCGTCATTGAAAGGCTCTAGGAGTACCTATTCCTTGGGGTTCACCAAATGACCACTGCTGAGGCATTCATGGAGTTCAGGTCCTGTCTGGATACGGCCATGGCGTTGGGTCTGCTTGACTCGGCTCAGCTGGACGAGCTACAGGCTCGCTTGGCCGAGGGCGAGGAGATGATCGGTCGGTATGCTGAGGCAAACATAAGGATGACTGAGGGATGCTCTCTCGAGCAAGAGCTGTCAGTGATAAAAGACCAAGTCCAACCTGCCATGGCCCGCTTGAAGGAAAATGACCTCGTCATCCAAAGAGAGAATGAGGAACTTGCGCAGGTCGAGGTTCAGATTGCCGAGCTCCAGGCCCGTCGAGATCTCATCCTTCAGTGTCGAGATGGTGCGGTCGCGGTCGGAACTGAGCTGAAGTCTTCGGCCAGGCAAATCATTAAGGCGGCGACCGAGAAAAAGAGGGCAATGGCCGAGAGAAAGTTGATCTGGGCGAGGTGGCAGGCGGATATAGATGGTGAGGACATTGCCTGGAGAAGGATAACATGCCTAATCTGGGGGATGTTTAGTGAAGGGGTTTAGGTGGGCAGCCGTTCAAGGATTTTGGGATGTAATAATTAAACCCATTTTTTTTTCTTCTCTTCCCACAGACATACAGATACACGCATATATATATATATATATATATATTTTCTTTGTGTTGTGATCAGCCATGACTGGCCGTTCTTTTTTTCCTTTTGTAAAAAAAAGAAACGATCTCTTCGTCTAAATACAAAGCGTGGGCCTTCTTCTCTGATTGATTGAATGTATGTTGTTTGCTTTATATTGGCCGCGTCGTTTGTTTAGCTTACTCGCCCACTTCCCCCTTTTTTCTTTTTGACTTTTTTGTCGTAGGCCCTCGGTGCCATTTTTTCTTGAACTTGCGCCAAACTATAAGCGGCGAGTCTTGACTGTTCTACCTTTTCAAAACTCCGTCTTTCGCCACAGTCGCGTGAAAACTTGAAGACATCGAACCTCTAGCTCCATTAGTTTATGAATGTCATGGCCGTAGGTCAAGATATAGGGAAATGTGCTCATGGAGTGCTTTGATGTGCGGCGTGCCCAAGAAGCCTTATAGAGCAAGTCGCGCTAACTCCTGGGCTTTCTGGGTGGGTACAGCTTAGTATAACTCGATGCCCCCGACCGTCTCTGGGTTGAGCCGTCCTTGGTCGTCCGCCGAGCGTCTTCGGTCAGAGGATCCTGAGGGGGCGCCTCTTGCTGGGCCGCGACTGGCCGTGGAACCTGTTGGGCCACTTGAACGGGGGGTTCGGTCGTCGCGACCGAGCTGGGTGGTACCAGATATGCGCCGTAGGTTTGACCGGGGTTCGTATGGGTTGTAGTTGGAACCGCCGAACCGTACTGAAGATGGGAGCCTGACGGCAATAACGACATACGTAATGGTGAAACGGTCGGATTGCTCTGACCGTATTGCTGTGACGAAGCAGCGGTCGAGTTGCTTGGGCCGGGATGGGTCTGGACGGCCACATTGTGGACTGGGCCAAGTTGCTGGACCGCGGACTGTGCGGGGCTGCTTTGCCCTAGTGACATGGCTAAAGCATGGAGTGGGCAGTACGTCGTCTCTGCCGGGTAGGTCGGTCCGGGATTTACCCATGTTGGCTGGGATTGCCCCCAGCTGTTTGTCGGCGGCTGAGAATGTTGGCCGTAACTTGACGCTTGGGTGCGGCCAGAGACGCCGAGCCTGCTGCTTTCGCCGTAAGGCTCGAACCTTTCGCGCTCTTGGCCTCTCTGTCCGGCTCTGGGAGGCGTTGCGGACGATGTCACCGGCATCCTCTCCTGAAAAAGCGTCCGTAGCTCTGAGGAGAATTTGTCCATTGCGGCCATAAAGGATGTTTCTATCCTGTAGCCCTGCTTTGCCATCAGATCCTCCATGACTGCTTGCTCTCCCATGGACTCGGCCGTGCGATCCGTCGTCATTGGACCGCTGGCCGAGATTCTGACCGCGTGTTCGGTCTCGGTGACAGTGATCGGTGAGGTGGACTCAGGAGCCTCGGAAGTCATTTCGACTGTTTTGTTTTTGAGTTTTGCCTGTGCCCTAGTTTCCACCATAAGTTTTTGACAAAAGTCCCACTGGGCGTGCCAAAAGTGTTGGTCTGGTGCTCCGGGCCGAGGGGATGTGCGTCAACATGTGACGTCCTTCTTTTGGATGCGGTGCAGTTGTGCGCGGGCATGCCAGCACGGTCTACCGTGCGTCGAGATGATGATGAGGTTCGGGTAAAAGATGGTTTAAATGTTGTGCCTATTTTGCGTTCGACTCCTAATCAAACGATCGTGGCCGAGAAAGGAACTGATCTCGGCTGTCAGGTTCACGGCCTGAGCTACAAGGCCGTTTAGTGGTGGTGTTGGTGGCGGGTTTTAAGCGGTGCTCCGGGGCGTTGCTCAGAGAGCAACGGTCGTATGATATATGGGGTGAGTGAGGCGATAACAGAGATGGTGCTCCGGCGCCTTGAAAATCAAGGGTCGTATGATATATTGATGAATGGGTTTTCCTTACAATCTACCACTACTCCTAAGAAAACAAATAAAGGTATTGAAAGTGCATTACAGAAAAATATAATTTGCTCAGTGGGAGGCTTTTGGTTTGGTGTTTGAACCCTTTGAATGTAGTCCTGAGCTGACAAGACTTGTGTGGTGGAGCCTGACCGGGGCAAGTGGGTAGTCAAATCGGCATTTGGGATCATAAAGCATGGTGGTTTGGGATCGTGAATCTCGGCCACCGCCCTGAGGCCACTTGGTGATTCTACCATAGCTTTTCTAGGTCGTGTCTTTTACGGCCTTCGGCCTTAGCCTTCAATACTGCGGTCGCGAGGCCGAGAGGATTCTGCCTTTGCAGCTTTTCTTTTGTCCCTTCAATCAGTTCATGACCATGATTTATTAGGCACAAACACTCCAAGAGATCATAAGCCGCCACCATTCACAGGAGGGTTTGTTCCAAACAAATCAACACAAAACAAGGTATATTCCTTTGATCTGACCAAGGTGGATGCTTGTTTGACGAATGTTGTTGCAGAAAGCAATAGAGACACCCCACAGGATGCCCAAGCCAGAAGAACTCAAGGGCAGATAGTATTGCAGATGGCACAACTCCTGGAACCATTCTACCAATAGTTGTGTTGTTTTCAGGGATGTTATACAGGAAGGAATAACAGCAGGAAGGCTGAAGCTGGCAGAGAAACCTCCATTTGTCACAACAGACCATTTTCCCCCACCGCAAGTCAACATGGTAAACTTAAATTGGCCAGAACAGAAGAGAAACAGAACAGCGACAGAAGCCAACTCCAGCAAAGGCAGAATAGTTTCAAGAGAGACAATTGAAAGACCAAAGGCAACCATCTCAGCTGGGGTAGTGCTCTGCAACAAGTGCAAATGTGAAGCTGAGCTAGAGGTGGTCCTGGACAAACAGGACCAGCCCACTCCGAGTGTTTTTGACCGAATTGGAACCACATCCCATGATGGAGCTAGGCAGAAAGACTATTCCAGGCCTGTCCGACCTAGTAGAAGAATGACTAAGCAGCTCAAGGAGGAAATATCAATAAAAATGCCCGGAAACGAGAAACCTCTGACAACTATCATAGAAGGCAGTGGTATTCTGTCGGGAAAAAATGGCAGACCAACAATGGAGAGTTCAAAGGCAGTACTGTACATTCCTCAATAACAGGAGTAATGCGCAGATACTTCCGGAGACTAATTCTGCCAGGAATGGAAAAGAGCCAGAAATGCTTCCCCAAAAGAACAAGCAATCCCCCAGCCACAGAAGCTGATGAAAGCAGAATCTTCAGGGAAACCTTCTATCCATCCTGCCTCCACCTCAGGAAATCAACTTAAAACTCCACAACCACAGGGAAAATCCGATCCTATTCCAATGAAGGACAAGAAGACTGGACTAAGGAATATGAAGAGGAGCAGCTAGATTATGAACCATCTGCAGATGACCAGAATGCACTCCTCGGAGGAATACATGAAGCATGACAGAGAATGGATGCAGAAACTGAGGCTTTTGGTGCAGAATTGGAGGACTTATTACAAGGTGACCTAGGCATCAACATGGTGTTCATCCTGTCAGAAAAGTTCTGGGCTGCAGAGGGGCAAGAAACCACTCTGGAGGGAGATGTGTTTTCCCAGGAGAGTTTTGAATGCAAGTTGGCAGAAGCAGAAGAAACACCAGAGCAACAAGAAGGCAATCCTAAGACAGAAGGAATTGCCAACAAGCTAGCTGCAGAGCAGCTTTGCTTTTCCAAACCCACCAAAGAGATGGCCAACCACCTCAGACCCTTGTTCATAACAGCAAACTTTGGGGGTGTTCCTATTCCCAAAATCATGGTAGATGGGGGGAGCATCAATTAATCTTCTGCCTCACAGAATGCTGAGCAAAATGGGCAGAACAGAGAGGGATTTGATCCCAACACGCTTGACTGTCACCAATTTCGCAGGGGGCATCACCAAAACTCATGGGATCTTAGATGTGGATGTTATAGTTGGAAGCAAGAAGCTGAAAGATTGCATTCTTTGTGGTGGACACTACTTCTACCACTTACAATGCACTGCTTGGCAGAGACTGGATTCATCAGAGTCTATGTGTTCCTTCCACTCTTCATCAACAGTTAGCTTTATGGAATGAAGAGGGTTACATGGAGATAGTAGAGGCCGATCCACGGCCATTTCTGCCTTCTGCCATGTGTTTTGAGGCAAGGTACTATCATGATGACCTTGGTCCTTTCACCTTCCTTGGAGTCAACCAGAACGGCCTCCCCCATGGTGTCACGGCCCAGAGGCTCATTGAAGATGGTCTAACCAGTTCCTTAGAGGACTGGAATAGACCTTTTGTTCTAAACTTCCAGAACTCTGATGTTTAGTCCCAATCAACAGGAGAAGGATCGAGCTGCAACAATCCGATCCATTACAAAAAGATTGTTGATATATTGGGAGGAAAGAAGCTCTTCATGCAGAATCCAGCCATCAATATGGCAAAATTCACTCATGAGAGCACGGAAGACCAGGAGGAAGAAGAGTTACAGGAGGAAGTGTTAGATTTTGCGCCAGCAGCACTGGATGACTCTCTGCCAGAAGTGGAAGATCCTTTACAGGAAATAAACTTAGGGACAGAAGAGGATCCAAGGCCTACTTTTATTAGCGCACTATTGAAAGAACCACTCAAGAGTGAGCTCATTGCACTGTTGCAGGAGTTCAGAGATTGTTTTGCTTGGCATTATCATGAAATGCCAGGTCTAGACAGGGAATTAGTGGAGCACAAGCTGCCAATCAAAGAGGGATACCTTCCAGTCAAACAGGCCAGAAGAAGAATGTCCATGGACACAGAACTGAAGGTCAAAGAAGAAATAGAAAGGTTGCTCAAAGCAGGATTCATCAGACCAGCCATCTATGCTGATTGGCTAGCTAATATTGTACCAGTTCTGAAAAGAAAAACTGGGGCAGTCAGAATCTGTGTGGATTACAGAAATCTAAATGAAGCTTCTCCCAAGGATGAGTACCCTATGCCAATGGCAGACATGCTAGTAGATGGAGCTGCTCACAACCAGATGCTATCTTTTATGGATGGCAATGCAGGTTACAATCAGATCATGGTGGCAGAAGGAGACATCCACAAGACAGCCTTCATGTGTCCAGGACATATAGGTGCTTTTGAGTACACTGTAATGCCTTTTGGCTTAAGAAATGCAGGGGCTACTTATCAAAGGGCAATGAATTCTGTCTTCCATGATATGATAGGGCATTCTTTGGAAGTGTATATCGATGATGTGGTGATTAAATCCCCAGAGGAGGAAACCACATATCAAATCTAAGGAGGGCATTCCTAAGAATGAGGCAACATAAACTAAAGATGAACCCAAAGAAATGTGTTTTTGGAGTTCAACAGGAAATTTCCTAGGATTCTTGGTCCACCAGAGAGGCATAGAAATCGACAAGAACAAAGCAAAGTCCATCATAGAAGCTCTGCCGCCTAGGAACAAGAAAGAATTGCAGAGTCTCTTAGGAAAAATTAATTTTTTAAGGAGATTCATATCCAATTCTGCAGGGAAGATCCAGCCTTTCTCCTCTTTGTTAAGATTGAAACAGGAACAGACCTTCAAGTGGGAAGAACAACACCAACAAGCTTTTGAGGAAATCAAGCATTACCTCTCAAATCCCACCAGTTCTGTCCCCACCAAAGAGAGGCAGACCACTCAAGCTCTATGTATCTGCATCAGAAGTATCCATTGGGAGTCTGTTAGTTCAAGATAACAAGGAAGGAAGGAACAGGCAGTCTACTACCTGAGCAGAACTCTGACAGAGGTGGAAAGAAAATATTCTGCGATTGAAAGACTTTGCCTAGCCTTGTACTTCACTGCTGTGAAACTCAGACACTACATGCTGCCATACACCATCTACATCATTGCCAAGACATATCTGATCAAGTACATGCTAACAAGACCAATGCTGAGAGGCAGAATTGGAAAATGGACCTTGGCCTTGACAGAATTTGCCTTCAGATATGTTCCTCAGAAAGCTGTCAAGGGACAAGCTGTGGCAGACTTCCTAGCAGATCATCCTGGGTAGGAGATTGAAAACATGGACTCTTTGGACATAGCAAATGCAGATCTATTGACCAGAGCTCACACTTGCCTCAACAATCCTATCTATTCAGTTCATCTCACACCTTGGAAGCTATATTTTGATGGGTCAAAAACTGATGTAGCTTCTGGGGCAGGAATTGTTTTGGAAGAACCACTTGGAATCAGACACTGTTACTTCTTTCCAATTGGATTTCCAGTGCACCAACAACGGAGCAGAATATGAGGCTCTAATCATAGGCCTAGAGATGCTGGTAGAACTAGGAATCCAATCTGTGGAAATTTTAGGAGATTCCATGCTTGTCTTGAAACAGATTGCTGGGGAATACAAGTGCCTAAGTCCTTCTCTAGCTGTCTACTCGGTGGCAGCTAGGAATCTCCTGACAGAATTCAGAGAAGCTACTTGGGAGCATATCCCAAGGGAAGAAAACTTTGCATCCAATGAATTGGCTCAGGTAGCAACAGGCAAGCCTACCATCTGTTCTGTCCAGGGGGATGGAAATAGATGTCAATTCTGCCGTAATCACTGAAGATGATTGGAGAAATCCTATCATGACTTACTTACGATATCCAACCTGCCCTCTGAGAAGAGAGTCAGAATCATGGCTTTGAACTACCTTATGTGGAATGAAGATTTGGTCCGAAAGAGTAAGGATGAGGTGCTTTTAAGGTGCCTCGGAAAGAAAGAATACATGAAAGTCATGGGGGAAACTCATGAAGGAATCTGTGGAGCTCATCAAGGTGGGGAGGGAAAATGTGCTGGTTAATTAGAAGGTATGGCTACTTCTGGCCAACCATGATGAAAGATTGCATTGACTATTCCAAGGGGTGTGAGTCTTGTCAAAGACACGGCCCAATCCAGCAGGCTCCTTCAGTTCCCATGAATCCAGTGGTAAAGCCATGGCCCTTTAGAGGATGGGCAATGGACCTCATTGGCAAGATCTATCCAGCCAGCAGCCAGCAGCACTGTTTTATCATTGTTGCCACAGACTATTTCACTAAGTGGGTAGAAGCCAAAGCCTGTTAAATCCACTACATCTCAAGAGATCATCACATTCATAGAAGAACAGATTATACAGAGATTTGGCATCCCAGAATCAATCACAACTGACAGGGGATCTTCTTTCATATCAGAGAAATGTTGGATATGGCAGAGCATTCAATTTCAGGCTACTTCAATCCACTCCTTATTATGCTCAGGCTAACGGGCAGGCAGAATCAAGCAACAAGTTAATCATCAACATTATCAGAAAAATGCTTGAGAAGAATCCAAAGCAATGGCATGAGAAGTTGTCAGAAACTCTGTGGGCATATAGAACTTCAAAAGAGAAGCAACTGGCATGACCCCCTATGCATTAACCTACGGTCATGATGCAATTCTGCCTATGGAAATAGCTGTTCAGTCCCTCAGAATTGCTCACCAACATGATCTGGTAGGAGAAAACTACTCTCAAGCCATGCTGCTAGAACTGGAAGGATTGGATGCAAGCAGAATTGACACCCTCAATAAACTCTTGGCAGGAAAGCAAGCTGTGTCAAGGGCCTACAACAAAAGAGTAAAGAACAAGAGTTTTGAGGAAGGAGAGATAGTCTGGAAAGCAGTTTTGCCCCTTGGAACACATGTGGCTGGTTATGGAAAGTGGTCACCTACATGGGAAGGCCCTTTCATAATCAACCAGATCCTTGGAATGGGGACATACAGGTTGCAGGATAGAGATGGAGAAATTCATGCAGCCCCAATCAACAGCAAATGGTTAAAGAAGTTTTATCCAACCATGTGGGATTCACAGGCTGTACAAACAGATCCTGGGATAGGGAAGGGGCAACACTAAAAAGCTTTTATTTCTGTTTAGAGTCATCTTTGTTCTAAGTTGTTTAAAGTTTGTTCCTTTTGTACTTCTGTTTATTTCATCAAAAGAAATTAAACACCCGAAAATTGCAACAAGGAAAATAAACTTTATTTAAAATAAATAGCCATGAGGCCTTCCCCATGGCAAATTGTTCATCATGAAGAAAAAACTAAAAGGGTAAATAAATAACAGAATCAAAACCCTAATTTCTTGAGGGTTTCTTGCAAGTTGGTCTTCTTAATGGAGAGTTCCTTTTGAAGCAGCACCCCCTGATGAATTGAAGCCTCTGCAATCTCCAGGGCTGGCCTGGAAGCTGCAACCATGCTCTGCACAAGGAAAGTAGCCTTGGTCTTGGAGCTCAGTCCAGCCCCGAGCCTGTTCTGCACCTCCCTGCATTCTGCCAATTGCTTCTGCAGCTCCTCAATCTGTTTTTCCAGCTTGTCTGCAGTGGACTTAGCCTCCTTGTATCCTGCCACCATCTGGTCCAGTTCTGCCTTCTGCTTTGCAAAATCAGCCAGATTGGCTTCGTGAGTAGCCTTGCAGAATTCAGAACTCTTGAAGGAGGGCTTGAGATCCTCATAACGATCATGGAGGTTGAGCACATCTCTTGCCAGGCCAAGACTCATCTCAAGTATGGGTTTGGGGGCCACATTCTATCTGTGCAGCAGGTCCAGATCCTTCATCAGCTGGTCAATGGCTTCCTTATCCTCATCCAACTCTAGTTCATTAGACTGCCAGATCTTCAGCCTTTCCATAGCCTCTTCACTGCCTTGGATTTTGCCTTACCTACAGGAGAGCTAAGCATTTCCAATATGTCTAGTTGGGCATCTGAGTCCAGGGCTTCAAATTCTGCCAGTTTTGGATCAGCAAAGGAGGCCGCGGCAGATGAACCTGGAAGGGAATGAATAGGCATCTGCAAAAGGAAGCATAAGTCAAAACCAGGCAGAAACAGAAAAGAAAAACCCCAAAATATAATAAACACTTACAGCAACAATTGGGGGCTTCAAGGGGGTAGTCACCACTGACAGGGCACCAACATATCTGGGCACTTCTACCTGGAAAGACTATAGCGATTAAAGAAGTACAAAACAGAATAGAATTGCAGAAAATGTGAGCAGAATTGGAAGAAAAATTACCATAACTTCAGGAGCAGAGGCATCCACTTCTGCTCCAGCTTCTAGAACCACCACAGCCTGGTCCATAGGTTCTGATACAGATTGTCATGCCTGTTCATCAGCCGCTGGAACAGCAGTAGAGTGTTCTGCCTCTGGATCCTCAAACAGGGCCAGCTCTGAGCTAGTCAGTCCTGCCCTTGTATCTTCTTGTTGTTTCTGAGCCAGCGCAATACTCTCTGCTATCACCTCAGCAGGAATTTCCTCCTACAGATGGACAGAAGTCAGGACAAAAGGAATAAAAGACAGCAGAAACTGATACAACCAGAAAAACAAGACTCACCTCTTCTTCCATTATCTTGGCCTTCTCCTGAGGCCCTTCTCCTACTTCTTCCAACTCTTCCAGCTCTTTCTCTTGCTCCACAGCCTCAAAAGCCTCTCTCAGCTCTTCATCCGTGTCTGAAGTGGCGTTGGGAGCTACTGCAGTTCCTTCTGTGGCCACATATTCCACCACTGTCCTCTTTCTAAGCCTTTTTGACTTAGAAGGAGGAGGAGAAGGACCTTCAGCTGAAATAAGAAGAAAATAGGCCATTAGAACATAAGCTAGAACATAACAAAACTAAGAAAATTGTCAAAATTCACCTGAAGTCGCAGGTTGAGCACTTTCCTCTCTTTTCCTTCTAACAAAAGGAGTGGCCTCAACAGGGAGTCTGTTCTGCTTAATCTTCTTCTTCTTCTTCCTCTCTAGAAGGAAGCTCCAGGTCTCCAGCAGTTATGACAGAAGTAACTGCACAAGAAATGACAATTTCAGAAATCAATCCAGCAGGAAAAGGTAGGAGGAACAGAAGGATAGAAAATTTACCAAACACTTCTCCAGCCTGGGCAGACTGACCACCAACATTCTGTGTCAAAGAAGGACTGTTGCAGACAGAACAAAGTGTTAGATATCACTATTACAAAAAAGAATAAATAGAACAGAACAGATAGAATTGAGACACTACCTTCCAGAACTTGGGCATTAATGTCCTTTATGGTATGCACCATAAACTTTGAGTCTCCTCACCTGTACGAACGGCCCAGCCATCCCAGCCATCAAAAAGCACTGCCAGTGCAGTACTGAACCAAGCAGATTTCGAAATCGAGCCTTCCACTAGGCGTCAAAATCGGCAGAACTGCAGGAATTGGGTTCCCAGGACGGATATAGGGCGTCTGCACTGTTGTTTATCTTGTTCACTGCACACCTGTCATCCTTATGCACCTCCAGGTCATCCAGGTCCCTCCAAGAAGAAGCCCGATTGCAGCTCCTATAGGATTTGAGTGGAATAAGCTGTGGGCAGCCAAGCTGCCTTGCACAAAAGTTGGGGTGATACACTTCTGCCCCCAGATGATAATTGGAAGGCTTCCCACCTCCATGGGACAGGTCTCTTGGAAGGGTCACACTCAGGAACTTCTTCCTAAAATTAATTCTGGCTGCTTCTTCTTCTGGCTCTTTCTCAAACAACGGTATCCAGGCTGGAACTAAGGATAGGTTCTCCTGATCACCACTTGCCACTGAGCTGCTGATCTTTTCGTGCAGTGCCTAAAGAACATCAGGTACTCTTCAATAGAACGCCTGGGCACTTCTGCCGACATCAATGGCTGAGCCAGAACCTGATCCTCAGGCAGAACTATATCTGGGAACCTCAGTTCTGGGAAATAGACCTGCAACTAGATCTGGATCATCCAAAATGCACCAGGAGCAGACAGATTCAGCGGATTTTCCAGGGTGGCAGTATGCAGGTTCTTGAATAAATAAGCCAGAACTGTTGGCCCAAGTCCAACATCAGTATGGTTGTGCAAGGCTTCTGCCAGATGTTTGTAATCAAGCAGAACTGCTGAAGAGCGGTTGGGCAGAATAAACCTGTTCAGCCAATACAGAAGGAACAGCATGTGCTGTTGGTCCTTGTCCTTCTCAACACTGAATTTCCTCAGGTAATTGGAGAAGGAGCAGTTCTGGTTGATGAGGGCTGGAGAGATGGTGAATGGCTTGGCTAGTTTCTGTTGGTTCTTCCTCCTGTGATAATCACCAACAGCATCAACAGGTCTTCCATGGGGCCTAAACCCAAAAATCTGAGCCATGTCCGGCGGAGTTGGAGCCATGGAGCCTATGCGAAAGTCAAAAGTGTTACTGGCAGAATTCCAAAAACACAAGGCAGCAGCAAGCAGGTTTTCATCTCTGTTGACAAACTGCTTGGACATAAGTATGGCATCGTAGATACCAGCCCGCTTCCAATGAGGTCCATATCTTGGAAGAAGCCTGTCAATCCAGTCTACCCATTTCACTGAATTGTTTCTCACTTCGCTGGACGAGAAGGACCAGCTCAGATTCTTGCTAACCCAGGAATGAGAAGCCAGAGCAGAAGTGAGGCCCCAACATCCTTCTTCATCAGTTCTGCCATCTCGGGAGGAACATGACCAAACCAGTGAGGCCCTAGCACCAAGGTATTCTCGAACAGATGAAGGACATTCTCATCTAGGTTCTTCTGGGCAAAAGGATGGAGCTTGCTCCTAACCTCTATCGCATGTTTGTCAATCCCAGTCCCAGTAATGTAATCGGGAGGAACTGAAACAGAGGAAGACTGAGCACGGGATTTTGGGGAAGACATTTCTCAGGCCTGTTTTGTTAAGAAACAAAAGAAGTTGACAGGAAAGGCAGGTTCTAGCAAGGAAGGGATGGAGTTTCGAAGAGAAGCTCAGAGGAGCAAGGTCTGAAATACTAGGTTTTCGGATGAACAGGAACAGTGGTTTTAAGGAAGCTCGAAAACATGGGAAAGAGAAGACAAGGACATGGAAAATACAAGGCGTCATCTGATAAATGACTAGCTAATAAAGAGCTAGTAACTGAACAATTTCCCACGAACTCTAGCTCAGTGGGAAGACGTGGCAGACGTGGGATAACGGAAGAAACTGGCACGCGCCAATTTACTGGCAAATTCACTTAAGTCTAAAACCATTCCAAAAACAATTCAGACTTAGGGGGCATTGTTTGGGCCTAAATTAAACGAGCCCAGCCTAACACGGAGAAAGCCCAGAATAAAAGCTATAGGACTCAAGCAGTTTGGCTCATCAAAATGTGGCAAGCAAACTTGGGCCCCAAAAGAAAAGCAGTTACCTTTGGGCTCCAGACAAATCAGAATGGGCCCAGCATGATTAAAAGAAAAAAAGGAAGAGACCTGTTTTCAGAACCCACGTGACTACCAAAATGGAAAAGTCAACAAACTCAACTGAGTTGATTGAGAATTAATTAAAGCAGGTCAGTGGCAAAAGGACTTCTCTGAATTTCTGCCACCAAAAGATCAAAATCCTTCTTATATATTCAAAAATATTGATTCCACTCCAAGAAGGCACCATCCTTTCAACAGATATGCAGGCCATATTTTCAAAAAAAAGAGATAAGCAGGAGGACAAAGAGTTGTTCATCTGGGAAATCAAACTAACCATCACGGTTGAAATCTCAAAAGGGGCAGTTAAAGTGGGAAAAGGAATTAGGCTGCTTTTAAAAAAAAAACAGATCTTTGAAAGGATTTGCCGCCCATTATTAAAAGAAACACCCTACTCCAGAAAAACATTTCTTATAAATACAAGAAGGAGTGAACAGGGCAGGGAACGATCAATCCAACACTCAAGTCATCAATCAAACAAACAACTCAAAATCAACCTGAAGCTCACTTGAATTCCAAGTGAAAACCAGCTTTAGATCAGAATTCCCAAGGTTCAGACTTAGAAAATAAGTCATTCAAAACGAGATTTCTCTCGTTACAAATTTGATTCAGCAAAAAACCAAGACAGGTAGAGCTTGAGCTTTTCCCAAACATGAAAACCTCAACAAATTTTACAGTACAGTCTCTAGCCCACTGAAGTCCTCGAGAACAGCCACTTCTGCCCTTACAGACTGAAGAAGCCGCAGTTCTGCCCACTCAAAAGCCTCACAAAAGCTTGAAGTGTATTAAAGCTCTGCCAAAAGTAACCTTTGGTATCGATCTACAGTTGAAGCTTAGCATCTAAAGTTGTTAACAGTCCAGTCCCCAGATATTTCCAGTCCAGCCCGGATCAGAACCTCCTATCCAGGCAGAAATGGAGTTCCAGCTGTCCTTTCATCTTTCTAGCTTGGATATTTATGTTTATAGTTTTGTAAAAGGCAGTTCTGCCTAAGACAACTTAAATTCCATCAACCATTCTGGCCAGAACAACCTCTTTATACTAAGATAAATTGTTAAATTCCTCACTAGTCTGAGGCAAGAAAAGAACTTACTTGGGAGATATTCCTCACCCAAATTCACAATCGCTTGTTTATGGAAATCAGTAACTTGGGGCGCAAGTTATCTATTCTAGAATAAGTCTGCTAGAATCTTCATTGCTAGCAGTGGCACGCTCATACACCAAAGAAAGCTGACTTGTTGACCAGTCAATAGTTTTCAAGGCAGTGGGGAACTTTGGCCTTCCACCATAGGAGTGATCACAAAACGGGTGAACAGCTGCATTTCTGATTCTTAGTTTCCCTCTCTTTTACATTCTTCCTCGTCTTCGTCTCCAAAATTTGATTCCAAAGAAAACTTTCTTTTTGCAAGCCAAAGGTATTTTCTCACTCTTTTTTTTCTTCAATTTCCCTATCATTTGAAGTTTTTTTTTTCAAGAACGAGTCACACTGATGTTTGAAACAAGACTCAGGTTTGAAAAGGCCAAATCTTTCACTGTTCCCACTCACAAGTCATGTGAGGACGACTGGTTTTTCTTGAATTTGATGTTTTTGTTGACACACCACGACGGTAATTAAATTCGTGCTATTTCAATAGCACGGCTATTCATAATAACCGATGTGGTGTGTTAATAAATATGACGTTTGAAAGAGAAAAATCGTAATCTATTGAAACGAACGTGGGAGAGAGAAAATTGGGCCTTTTTTTATTTATGAACTTATAATACGACGACGGTTTTATTTAATTACCATCGTTTTAGGTTAATGACCACGTTGTATTAGCACATCCACGTTTCTATAGATTAGCATGACGGTTTTGTTTTTTTGCCGTCGTCTAAACTTTCATTTTACGTCTGTATTTTACCTAACCATCGTTGTTTTTCTTGCAGTTTGTATTTATCTCTAAACATGGTTTCGAAATCTCAAAGTAAGGAGGCTCAAGCGTCAAAAGGTCAAGGCAATGACATTGCAGTTTCAAAGGCACAAATGGGTGAATCCAAATTTGTTCCAAGCAATGTAGAATTTCTGGTTCACATGTAAACCTTGTAATTTTGAAACTAATAAGCCATGTAGAATTTCTTCATTGGGGAAAAAATTGAAAGAAATTTCGCAGTCACCGCATCAGTCACCGGTGAAATTTAAGAACCTTGAGTGAGTCAGAGCAGCTAGTCAACCAAACCTATCCAACTTCTGTTAGACTTCCTTCCGTGTTAGACTTCCTTCCATGTCAAATTTTCTCATTTAACTTAATGCCTTAATCTCCCACTTCACTTGCTCAACTTATTAAACCCATAACATTGACTAGTGCCTGCCCCTGTTTTCTCAATCCCTCCTCCATTTCATTCACTACTCTCTCTCTCTCTCTCTCTCTCTCTCTCTCTCTCTCTCTCTCTCTCTCTCATGGACACAAAACAGGAAGCAAAGTTTGAGAACTGAAACCTAGTTGCAGAAAAAGAAAATGAGAATCTTGTTGAGGTTTTTGGTTCTTCTGGTGTTGATTGCATTAGCAGAATCTACATGCAACGGCACAGACCAAGAACATATCTTTATGGCTTTCAAATCAATAGCAGGTTTCAATCTATCTTGGCTTCATCAACAACAAGATCATCAATCGAACTGGTCACGCCCGCCCATCATAGAAATAATGCTCCCCTCCAAAAATCTTAGTGGGATCGTATTATGGAAGTACGTCGGAAACATGTCACAGCTGAGTACCCTTGATCTCTCAAGCAACAATCTCAAGGAATAGTTTCAACAAGTGGTGATGTGTACAATTTTGGAATTATAGTGATGGAAACATTCACTAGAAGGCAATGGATGAGATGTTTGTTGGGGAAATGAATTTAAAGCAATGGATTGCAGACTCACTAGTATTACCAGTTGGAAAGATAGATGAAGTTGTGGATGCCAATTTGCTTGGGATTAGAGCAGAGCAGGAAGATGATGATCAGGTGAGGAAGAAGGATTTCTTATCATCCATTAAGAGATTAGCTCTTACTTGCTGTGCAGAATCACCAGAAGAGAGGATAAGTATGAAAGAAGCCATGCCTTCCTCTTGAATCGACAATGTAGAGGAAGCCATGCCGTTTTGTTTTGGTATATTTAATTCAAGTGCACTTATTCTATTTAAAATACAATAATATAGATATGGAACAAGAAGTCATGATAAAGAAATTCAAAGCTTCTTACTTACTTGGTTATTAAAAATTATATGTTTATCTATTTATTTTCCTTTTAAGTTATTCAACATTAGTTTCAAATGAACAGGATATTAGCTAGTTTGGACTGGGGCTGAGTGGAAGCCTTTCCTTTTAAGTCAAGTCCTTGCTCCATTCTTCTCCATTGTTCCTTTATCACAAGTCAAGTCCGGGCAGTGCCCTGCACTGACTGCATATAAGTAAATGACGGAGATAGTTGTATTAATTAATATTATGAGTACATGCGGTTAGATTAGATAACATCAATCCATGTATAATGAAATTGTTGTAGTAATAATGCTAAGGCCACAAAGTTAAACATGCAAGGGTTGTTGCAAGCACTATACCAGATGAGATTGGTAATCTTCAAAATTTAGAGGTTTTTACAGTCGGTGGTAATAATCTGAATGACCTCATCCCATCCTGAATCTTCAATATCTCCACAATAAGAGTAATGCAGCTTAGTTTTAATCAGCTATCGGGTAGCCTCCCAGCAAACATAGGTTTTGGGCTTCCATACCTACAAGTCCTCTATATTGCATAAGCTGGCCTCAGTGGAATAATCCCCAACCTCTCCAATGCTTCTATGCTCACCAAGATAGATTTCAGCAAAAACTCATTTACAGGTTTATTTCAAGCACGCTCTGTGCCTTAACAAACCTTCAAGAACTTAGCTTAGCAATGAGTAATTTGCGCTTGACACTTACTTCCACTCTAGAAGCAAGCACTCTCTCTTGTTTGGCTAATCTTACAAATTTGAAATTCCTACAGTTGGCATATAATATGTTAAGTGCCAGACTTGATGATTCCTTTCGGAATTGCTCTACATCGTCGCTTCAATATATTTACTTACACAATTCCAGCATGAAGGGTAACATTCCCATTTGTATTGGCAACATTAGGAGCTTGGTAATCTTAGCCCTGGGGGGCAATCAATTGAGTGGATCAATTCCAACTTCACTGGGATGACGAATCTCCAAGGTTTGTACTTGGATGATAACATGTTGCAAGGATACATCCCATATCAACTTTGTCAACTAGATAACCCTACACACTTAAATTTGGCTAGTAATCAGCTCTCTAGTTCTACACCTTACTGCTTGGGTAATCTGGTCATATTTCTAAGAAGTCTATCACTAGAGTCCAATTCTTTGAGTTCCACTATACCATCTACTCTTTGGAGACTTGCCTATATATTGTATGTAAACTTATCATCCAATTCTCTAATCGGACCTCTTTCAGAAGGTATTGGAAATTTGAAAGTTGCGATAGAGGTAGATTTATCAAGGGCATTTTCTGGTATTTTGAATGTTTTACCATTTTCTGCCTTTTGCTTTATATATATAGATTACATAGGTCGTCAATTAATTTTTTTAGGGATTTTATTTTCATTCTGGAGATTTCAATTAAAATACTGTTGTATTATACTAAAAGTCATGAACGAGTTAGATTAGATTACATCAATCCATACATAGAGAAATTGTTGTAGACTAATAATGCAAGGGTTGTGACATTGTGGCAGGCACTATACCAAATGAGATGGGAGATCTTCAAAATTTAGAGGTTTTTGCAGTTAGAGAAAATAATCTGAATGGCCTCATCCCATCCTCAGTCTTCAATATATCCACCATCAGAGTAATGGCCCTTGATAAGAATCCGCTATCGGGTAGCCTCCCAGCAAACATAGGCCTCGGGGTTCCAAACCTACAACTCTTTTATGTGGGAGCAACTGACCTCAGCTGAGTAATCCCCAACCTCTCCAATGCTTCTATGCTCACCAATATGGATTCTGGCAGAAACTCATTTACAAGGTTTATTCCAAGCATGCTTTGTGCCTTAACAAACCTTGAGTCCATTAGATTAGGAAGTAATAATTTCACGATTGAGACTTCGACTCTCTCTTGTTTGGCTAATCTTGGAAATTTGACAACACTAAGCTTGGAAAATAATCTGTATGCCGGACTTGGTGATTCCTTTGGGAATTTCTCTACATCGAGGTTTCAATTTATTAATTTACAAAATTCCGGCATGAGGGGTAGCATTCCTTTTGGTATTGGCAACTTGAGCAGCTTGATATCCTTAAGCCTGGAATACAATCAATTGAGTGGATCAATTCCAACTTCTGTGGGAAGACTTGGGAATCTCCAAGGTTTGTGCTTGGGTTACAACAAATTGCAAGGGCAAATCTTGTACGAACTTTGCGAGCTATATAATCTAGCTGACTTAGATTTGGGTAGCAATAAATAAGCTATCTGGTTCTATACCTTTTTGCTTGGGTAATCTAACCACATCTCTAAGAAGTCTACCACTATGGTCCAATTGGTTGAGTTTCACATACCATCCACTTTATGGAGACTTGCCTATGTCACGTATGTAGACTTATCATACAATTCTCTAATTGGACCTCTCTCGGAAGATTTTTGAAAGTTGAAAGTTGTGGTAGAGGTAAATTTATCATATAACCATTTATCTGGTATTACACCAAGTACTATTGGGGGTCTTCCGGATTTGGTTAACCTAACCTTGGCAAATAATAATTTTGAAGGCCATATTCCAAGTACATTTTGTTAACAAAGAGTAAGAAGCAAAAGAAAATAGAGAATGTTTTGAGAATATTCTAGATTTCTTTCTGATTTTCCATTGAATGAATTACATCAGCTCTATTGAGCCTTTATATACTGTGATTACAGTTTGCTTGCTAAGACACTAACACTACTAGATTTTACAATTTGCGTGATGAGGGAAAATTCGTCGCGCAAAAGACACTACAGCGACGGAAGAAATTATTCGTCGCGCAAAAAGATGATAACTTGGGCGACGAAACTTTTAGTCGCGCAAAAGACCCTTAGCACGACAAACAAATGAGTCGTCGGACAAAGTGGGGAAGAAAAACGCGGGATCCTTTTTTGGCGCAAAAAATTTGCGCGACGATAGAGTTTGTCTCGCTAAGATACTTTGCGCGACCAAATAAATTATTCGTCGTGCAAAGTAGGGAAGGAAAAACCGGGTGTATTTTTTTGGAGCCAAATATTTGCGCGACGATGATGATCGTCGCGAAAGATATCTTTGCATGACGGTTTCTAATTTCATCGCGCAAAGACGGATAGAAGATGGCGCCAAATACTTGCTCGACGGAAGTATGATTCGTCGTGCAAGGTTTGATGTCGACACTTTCTTGTGCGACGGAAAGTTGCGCATGCGCGACGCCGTTATGAGTTTGCGCGACGATAGTGATCTTTCGTCGCACAAAAGCTCGATGTGACAGTTTCATTGCGCAAAATCCTTCGTCTACATCTTTGCAATTTGCCATTGCAGAGGCAGATTGCTACAATTTTCTGCCATTTTGATTTTTCCTTTGTCTGTGCTGCTGCCTCTGCTGGGAATTCAATACGCTTATTGGGTAAGTATTATTTGTCATTTGTTGTGGTTTCAGGAGGCATAAGGTGACATTATAACTTCGTATGAAGTTGTTGTGATTGTTGTATTGTGATTGTGGTTTCAGGAATTATGAGCAGAAAGTGGATACAGAACCCGAATAGATGCGTGGACGAATACTTGGATGGAATTGAGGATTTTATTGAGTTTGCACGTAGACACAACCTGGGTGCAACTAGAATCCGTTGTCCTAGTAGGAGGTGTAATAACATGTTGTGGGAGACAATTGAAAATGTTGGCTTTCATTTAGTAAGGAATTGAATAATTGAGACATATAGCATTTGGAACCTTCACGGGGAACAATTAGACAATCCTTCATCTTCAAATGCCACAAGGGTAGACAATATTGAACATATTGTGGATCCTAATGAACAAGTCATGGATATTATAAATGATGTTTTTCCATTTGAATTGACCAACATCAATCAGGAAGGGGAAGATGACGTGCCTACCCCAATGGACAGTGTAGAGTTCGAACAATATGAACAACTGTTAAAAAGTGCCAACCAAGACTTATACCCAGGGTGCGAGAGCTTTTCCGTTCTCACGGCCATTGTCGAGCTAATGCACGGAAAAATAAAGTATCGTATGTTGAACCTGTGTTTCGATTACTTTTTGGGGGTTTTCAAGAGAATGCTTCCGAAGGACAATTGTTTGCCCAAAGACCATAGACAAGCGCAAAAGGTGTTGAATGGTCTTGGATTGGGTTATGAAAAAATTCATGCTTGCAAAAACAACTGCATGTTATTCTACAAAGAGTATGAAACATTGGATACATGCCCTATATGCAAAGAGTCGAGGTTCAAGATGACATCTCAGAATAGGACGACTAAGATCCCACAAAAAGTCATGCGTTATCTGCCCCTGAAACCTAGGCTACAGCAATTGTATATGTCGACTCATACTGCCACAGACATGAGATGGTAGAAGGAAAAACGGGTATACGACATCGTGATGCGGCATCCTGCAGATGGGGAGGAATGGAAAGAGTTCGATCGAACATTCCCCGAGTTTGCTGCTGATCCTCGAAATGTTAGATTGGGACTTGCCACTGATGGATTCAATCCGTACGGGGTTCTAAACCAACACCACAGCACTTGGCCAATTTTTTTATTCCCATATAATTTGCCGCCTTGGAAATGCATGAAAAAAGAATACATGATGATGACTGTTTTGATAACTGAGGATCCTGGCAGGTCAATTGATGTTTACTTAAGGCCGTTGGTTGATGAGCTCAAGGATTTATGGACAAACGGTGTGCGCATGTACGATAAAGCCACTGGGAAAATGTTCACTTTGCGGGCAGTAGTGATGTGGACTATGAATGATTTTCCAACATATGCAATGGTTTCTGGGTGGAGCACAAAGGGTTATATGGCATCCCTTGTATGCAAGGAAGATGTAACTTCTGGTTAGCACGTGGGAAAAGTTTGTTATCTTGGTCATCGGAGATGGTTGCCATGGGACCACGAGTGGCGGGAAAATGATAAAGAGTTTGACGGGAACACAGAGCATCACCTCAGACCTAGAGAATGGTCCGGTGATGAGATCTTGGAACAGCTTAACCATTTGGATTTTTCTCTGTTCGGGAAAACTGTTACTCGGACCAGACCTTCTACACATTTGAACTAGACTCACAAGTCTATGTTTTTTGAGCTCCCATATTGGTCGAAACTAAAATTGAGGCACAATCTCGACGTTATGCATGTTGAGAAAAATGTCTTTGACACTTTGATGGGCACGATTCTAGATATCGAGGGTAAGACAAAGGACACAATCAAAGCTCGTCTTGATTTGGAAAGAATGGGCATATGAAGAGGTTTACGGATGAACAGGGACGGTGATAAAGCTAGAAGGTATCTGGCATTTTTTTCCATGAAACCGAATGACAAAAAAGATTTTCTAAAGTTTGTATCGTCGGTAAAGTTTCCCGATGGGTATGCTTCTAATATTGCGCGTTGCGTGAACGTTGACGAGGGTAAATTTACTGGACTAAAGAGCCAATGACTGCCATGTGTTTATGCAACACCTACTTCCTGTAGGTATTCGACACCTTTTGCCAAAAGATGTAGTGAAACCAATTATGTTGTTGTCCATACTTTTTTCCCAACTGACGGCAAAAAGATTGCGAAAGACAGACATTCATCAGTCCATGTGACGATTCACTTGCCAGAAGAGGCATTGCTCGTTGGTCCTGTTAACTATCGCTGGATGTATCCAATAGAAAGGTATATAATCATCATCATTTGTTTATGCATCCTTGTCCCATGCTCTCTAATTTGTATCGTTTCTTTTTATTTTGCCAGGCTTCTCAGAGAGTTGAAAAAAAATTGTACACAACAGGGCGAAGCCCGAAGGATCAATTATAGAGGCTTGGGCTCAATATGAGTCGCTTACTTTCTGTGGAATGTATTTAAAAGATGTGGACACGGCTTTCAATCGTCCTCAACGCAATAATGGCGGAGGTCTAAAAAATGAGAAACTTTCTGTTTTTGCCCAAAGCGCACGACCCTTTGAAGATCCGGTACGAGGAGAGTCGTTTTCCAGAAATGACATGGAGGTAGCGCATTGGTTTGTACTTAACAATTGTGATGAGATAATGGCATACTTAGATGAGCATGAAGAGATGATGAAGCGAGAACATCCATCACATTTGTATGCCATGAAATACTGTGATTTGTTTCCAAAATGATTTTTGGAATATGTAAGTTATAAGTGTTTTGTATTTGTTATATATATATATATATATTGTATTATTTAATGTTAGCAAACTAACATGTGAATTCATTTGTATAATATTAGGTGAATAAGTTGAAATCATCGAATTCACCCTCTTACAGTGAAGAGTTATATAACTTGGCGTTCGGCGCGATTCGCGCTGAATTATTCTCGGGTTGCCATGTTAACGGCGTCAAGTTTTTGGGGACTGCACGAGATGACAAGTTGTGTACGCAAAACACTTCGAGGTACAAATTTTATACAAGAATCGTTTCAGCTTCAAGGAGTGTTTTCAATCGAAATACCGATTCAGTCAATTACAATTGACCTCGGTAATCTTCCACGATACGAAGTTCCAATGGGCCAGAATAACGAAAGTGATGAGGAGGAGGATTGGGAGACCGAAAGTGATGATAGCGAAGATAACGAAACTTATTATAGTTTAGATGATGATTAATGCAATTCATTAGCAACTACCCATGTAAAACATAGTAAATGAAATTTGTTGTAATTTAATTATGGTAGTATAAATATGGCAATCACAAATGAAAATCAAGTTGCACACAAAATTTGCAATCACAAATTAATTTACAACATATAATATATAAATTTAAATTTAGATATATACCTAAATTTGAAAACATATGTGAATCTGTCGATTTCATTTTCAGTGGTCTTTATGAATATAAGAATTACGGTTTTCTCTTGTTTGTGTTTAAAATCTTCAAATCGAATGAATAAAAAAATTGAAAAAAATATTTTTCAAGAATCGGGCCCTTAGGTCTCACAACCCCTTCTTATTTAATGATTTAATCAAGAATTAAACTATTATACAAACTATAATGTGTAAATTGGAGAATAAAATAATAATTCAAATTTAAAAAATAAACATTGAACCTTTCAATGGTACCGAAACCTTTGAATTTTTTTCGTAATTCATATGAAACTTAAGTTCATATTGAACTCTATAACATAATGACTCTTATTTTCATAGAGTATTTTTCCTTGTATAAAATTTAAATAAAAAATTCTTATGGTGTTTATTATTTTTTAATATAGTATATTATTAAATCCTTGGGTTCGAAAATACCACTTTTAGATGATTTTTTCATTTTTGGTTTTGTTTGAAGGATATTATAATATTAAACACTATTGTTATAAATTTATTGTATATTTCTCCATGTATATATATATATATATATACATATAATTTAATCACATATGTCGCAAGTTAAATTGATTTTATCATAATTGATGTTAACATTTTAATATAACTTGCACCTCTCATCATGAAATTGGCATTTAATTTTAACCTTAGTGTGTGACTATGGAATTTAATTTTATCCTTTGAACCCTTTTCAATTTGATTGGATCAACTATTAATCTAGTGTGTGATCATGACATTTACCTTTAGTGTGTGACCATAGAATTGTAAACCTTTGAACCATGTTCAATTTTATTGGATCAACTATTAATCTAGTGTATAATTTAATGTTACCCTTTGAACCATAATCTATTTTATTGGATCAACTATTAATCTAGTGTGTGACCATATATGGCATTTACCCTTATTATGTGACCATGGAATTGTTACCCTTTGAACCATGTCATTTAATTTGTTTTACTCTTATTGCATAAGATAATTTAACTTAACCAAAAACTAAAAGTTAAAAAAGAAATAATAACACATCACTCAAACAACACGTTGAGGGCAGAAAAAATCTGAAACGAGTTCTTCCTTCTGTTGCCACCACAGCAACTCCGACGCAGTCGTTGTCACAGTAACCCCGACTTTTGCGTCCCATACGAAAATCCAAATCCACCCATCCCCTCGCAAATTAACGGGATCGATATGTAGTAAACAAAGGGAAAACTAAAATTAATATACAACCCTAAACCCAAAAATTTATGGCGGAGAAACAACTTTGCGCGACGAAAGAACATACTATTTGTCGCGCAAAATGATCAGACCTTCAATAAACCCTAAACCCCAAAATTTCTGGCGGAATAACACCCTTGCGCGACGAAATGATCAGTTTTTCGTCGCGCAAAGTGCACAGAAAAAGGCTTGCGTGACAAATATATAAACGGTGTGTCGCGCAATCTCATTCATACACTCTTCCCCCCCCCCCCCCCCCCCCCCCCCCCCCACACACTTAGTTGAAATTTTTGCCAGAGGCTTGTGCAACGAATAATATTCCCTTCGTCGCGCAAAATGATCAGACCTTCAATAAACCCTAAATCTGGCGGAATAACACCCTTGCGCGACGAAATGATCAGTTTTTCGTCCCGCAAAGTGCACAGAAAAAGGCTTGCGCGACAAATACATAAATGGTGCGTCGCGCAATCACATTCAGACCTTTCACTCTTCCCCCCCTAAACACTTAGTTGAAATTCTTGCCAGAGGCTTGTGCGACAAATAATCTCCCCTTCGTCGCGCAAAATGATCAGACCCTTCAATTAAAAACCCTAAACCCAAAAATTTGTGGTGGAATAACAACTTTGCGTGACGAAACTGTTATATATTCGTCGCGCAAAATAATCAGATCCTTAATAAACCCTAAACCCAAAAATTTGGCGGAATACGCACATTGAGCGACGGTTTATTTTTTCCGTCGCGCAATGTAATGAAAATTTGGGCAGAAAACTACCTTGCGCGACGTTATTATTTTATTTCCGTCGCACAAGGTGGATTAAAACGGACCTTGCGCGACGGAATGAATTCTTCGTCGTGCAAGATCCGTTAAATTTTTAGAAAAATCGCGACAGCCTCCTTTCTTCCTCACTTCCTCTCTCTGCCCTAGACTGCCCCGCTGCTCCGCTGGAAAAAGGACCGGGCTGCCACAACCTTCATAGCCCAGCCATTCCCCGGCCGTCACCGTCGAAGGTGCCGCCGGAAATTGGTTCGTTTGACAGATTCTTCGCCGGCCTTGTTCTCTCTCCTCCGGCCACCAATTTCGACGCCTGAGGTATGCTTTCTGGACTATTTTTTGTGCTCTAGCTTATGGTTTTTTAGGATTTGGTTAGTTGTTTGCCTAGGTTTATGGAATTTAAACCCTAGGTTTTGGCCGGTTTTTGAAATTAAATTCCGGCCACTTCCGGCCAATTTTCGGGGTAGGTCCAAGAACAAAAGTGCCTCCAATTGATGTTTTGAACCTAGGGTAGGAACCTTGGCCCTTAGTTTTTAGAATTTTCCGGCGATTGTTATCGCTTTGGACACCCACGCGCTGCCGGCACGTGTGGTGGCACGTGGGGACTATGGCAGTGGGGCATTGGGTCCTAGAGCAATCCTCTATTTGTCACAAGCGCGTAGGTGTGCTCGGATTTTAATTTGGTTACCATTTGAGTCTCAAACGGATTTCGCCTATTGTGCGACTTCTAGGTTTGCTATGTTCGTACCGTTGGATCGAACTCAAACTCACATATGTTGTACCTTGTATTTCTAGGATCGTGTAGGATTCGACGGATCGTGGATCAAAGTCTCGGATACTCCGAAATTGCAAACCCTAGGTCATTCTTTTAATTAATTAGTTCAAATTCTTAATGTATGTGCTTAAGTATATATTCGTAAATTGGATTAATTTGTATGTGTATTAATGAAATTGTGCAAATGTCAGATCTGATTAGACGTCGTAGGTCGGTGACGACTACACCGAGTTCGGAGCCCCCGGCTCAGCCGGCATCTACTGCGACTGCTCCAGCACTAATGTACGAACTGCCAGATGGTCCCGGGGTGTCCCAGGCTCCTGCGTCATCAACTTCATCAGTGGGGCAGCCCGTTAGCGCTAGGCGTTGGCACCGGCTCGCCAACACCACCGACACCACGTCGACCGACAGTACTGTTGCCTCGGGGTCTCAGCCAGGTATAGAAATCCCTTTAACTGTAATTCTTTTTTTAATTTTTTATATTATGAATTTTATAGTTAAATTTGTTATTTCTTTAACATTATTGTCATATCTCTTTGCAGCCAAGAAGAACACCTGAGGGCCGTATCGGCAACTGAAGACGATGAAGGTCACCCAGGTGACCATATCAGCATCGAATACGACGAGCGCCATCGCGCTGCACCAACCGCGGAGTTGCGTAGCTCCTTGGCCCACGACATTCGCCACGTCGTTCGGACCCATTGCCTGATGCAATGGAAGTCTTGGAAGGTCATGCCTGACGAGATCAAGATGGAGGTTCGCGGCCAGTTGTCGGTATGTATCCTACCTTTTGATTATTTTTCTTTCCAACTTTATATATTTCTATTACTTAATGTATGTAAGTAATTTATTGTAGACGAGCTATAACTTAGTGGACCTCGACGAGGAGTCGTTGGCGTACGTCAACAAACTCTTCGGTGAGAGGTACAAGCAGTGGAAGAGCGACTTGCACCGCCATTTTTAGGCGTTTGATGATCCGCAAGTCGCTCTTCAAGAGCGTTGCCCGAAGGAGCTTGAGGGGAGGGAGGATAGTTGGGCGTGGCTCTGCGCTCATTTTCAGGCGCCCGATTATGTGGTATTTGTTACTAATATTTGTTTAATTATTTCATATTTTTTATTAATGTTTATTTCATTTTTTATATTTCAACTAATAAGTTTTATTTTTTGTATAACAAAATAAAGCCCAAGTGAATAAGGGCAATAGGAAGAAGAAGACTCTTCTCCACCATTCTGGCTCCAGGCCCTTCTCATATAGGATGGATGCATGGTGGCGGGTAATAATAAAATCATTTATATTTAATTTTTAATATGTCATTATTATTAATTTATTTTGTTCATACTAATATTTTTCTTCTCTTGTTCAATTTAGGGGGGGTCGAAATTCCCAGAGATCGACGTCTTTGGTGACGTTTATGTTCGACGTGGGAATGAGTTGGTCGAGTCCCTTCATGTAAGTATTATTTATTTTTAATTTTTATGTTACGCATTCAATTTATATGCATGTTTTAATTTATATTTTATGTTATGTTAAACAGACGACGATGGTGGAAAGGAGCCAGTTGGTTCTTTAGGAGTCCGCCTCCCAACTGCCTCTCGAGACTCCGATCGAGTTTGTGGATCCTCCACAGGATGCTGGATTTCAGATCTTGACGGAGACGTTGGATCAGACTCTCGAGAGGAGGCCGGGAACATATTGTAGAGGGATGGGGAATGCCCGACAGAGGGAACCTCGACCCCGGTCATCATCGCAGGCAAACAGTTAGGTGACTGTTTTGACATCGCGAGTGGCCGAGCTTGAGGGTCAGATGTCGGTGATTCTGCAGTCCCTCGCGCGGTTCGACATTCGAATCCCGAATTTTGGTGCGTCGACATCCGAGCCCGTCCACCCTGAGCATCCCCACCAGACCAGAGCCCCTGTAGACCCCCAGATCCCCGAGCCGCATATGCCTGACGACCATGTAGATTTTGGAACATTATTTGATTAGTTTTTAATTTTCATAATTATTTTTTAAATATTTCTCTTGTAATATACATTTATTTTATTTTATATAATAAATGTATTCTTTACAATTCATTTTTGTATTGCAATTTCATTTTATTACCAACAAAAAAAAACCAAATTTATTTCTTTACAAAATAAAAAAAACGTAATATTAAATTTAAATAATCTGTATTAATTTTGCGCGACGAAATGTTTCTCGTCGCGCAAACTCACTTTTTAAAAAAAAACAAAAAAAAAGTATTTGTATACTTTAACTTATGCTTGTGCGACGAAAAAATTCGTCATGCGACGAACATTTTTTGTCGCGCAAATTTTGGCGCGACAAAGGAACTTTCGTCGCGCAAAAAACTTCGACATGAATCTCGCGCAAAAGTTTGTGCGTCGAACAGTTGTGTCGTCCCTAAACCTTTTCTGCAACGAAGGTTCTACGTCGCACATTTTTGCGCGACAAACGCAATAAATTGGTCACACAAATTCTTTCTTCATGCTCTTTGTGCGACGAAAGGTGCGCGACGAAACTTCTGTCGCGCAGAATTATGTGCGACTAAATGTAACTTTGCGCAACGAAAGTCCCTTCGTCGCGCAAAGAGTAAAATGTAGTAGTGTAATTACAACTAAAACAGATGCTTTACATGAACTCAACTAATGCTAGCTCATCATGACACCTCAGCTATTAGCCCCCCTCAATAGCAGTTGGGCTTAAGCCAAGGCTGATATTGTGACAGTGTTTGAGAAACAAGGGACTGTGAAGACCTTTGGTAAAAATGTCTGCAATTTGTTCTTCAGTCTGAACGTATTGAACTACAAGATCTCTGCGTTGAACTTGCTCTCTGATGAAGTGAAAATCAAGCTCTAAATGCTTGATTTGGGAATGGAAAACGGGATTACTACTCAAGGCAAGAGCAGATAGGTTGTCACTATAGAGTGTAGGTGCCTTAGGAAAAAAGACATGCAAGTCTTGAAGAATATGTCGAGTCCAAGCAATATCAGCTGCACAATTAGCTAATGCACGGTATTCTACTTCAGTGGAACTACGAGAAAATGATGATTGCTTGAGAGAAGACCAAGAAACAGGATTATTTCCAAGAAACACCACATATCTTAAGGTAGATCGACGAGAATTAGGGTCTCCTACCCAATCTGCGTCACAGTAGCCAATTAAAGAAGTAGATGCTGTGGTAAAAGTCAAACCATACTCAAGAATGCCATGTAAATATCAAAGAATACGTTTTACCAATCCCATATGAACATCAGTCAGAGCTTGCATGAATTGACACACACTATTTATTGCAAATTCAATATCAGGATGCGTTAAAGTCAGATATTGTAGAGCTCCAGCTATGCTGCGAAACTGAGTAGGATCTGTAAGTAAGGAGCCTTTATTCTTTAAAACAGACGAATGAGGTTTACATGGAGTCACTGAAGGTTTACAAGCCTCCATCCCAGCCCTCTTAAGCAGATCCTTGCAATACATTGTTTGATGAACAAATAAATCCGCATTAGAACCATAGACAATCTGTAATCCCAAGAAGTAAGTAAGAGTGCCCATATCTTCATATCAAACACAGTGCTCAAATCATCTATAACCAACTGAATTAAGGAAGGACTCGAACCTGTGATCATGATATCATCAACATATAATAACAGAATCACAACATCAGCACCATCTTTCTTGACAAATAAGCTTGGATCAAAATGAGAGGAACAAAACCCCAAGGCTGGTAAGTAGCCAATGAACTTGGCATTCCATGCATGTGGAGCCTGCTTTAATAAATAAAGAGATTTCTTAAGACGACACACAAAGTCTGAATCTCTTGGATTTATCCAGAAACAATATGTCTGGAGTGATTCCCAGGTCTTTAGAAGCTCTCTTTCTTCTCAAGTATCTGGATTTGTCCTTCAAGAAGCTCCAAGGAGAAATTTCATCTGGTGGACCCCGCCAAAACTTCTCCGCTCAATCGTTCGTCTCAAACATTGCACTCTGTGGTGCACCCCGACTTCATGTTCCACCATGCAAAAATGGTACACTAAAACCAAATTGGAGGAAAGCTAAATATATTATCCCGGGGATCATATTAGTAGTGCTACTAGTGGCCTCCGTATCTACCTTTCTTTTACGCAGAAAAAGAAATGTGGAAGTTCCAACACTCTGAAGTTCAAACTTCTCTCTTTTCAGTGCTCATGGAGAGAAGTTGTTTCCTCTTGTCAATAACGTTGTTGCTACTGCAGTACAGTTCTATAGGCACAAGTGCAGCACAAACCAACATCACCACCAACCAGTCTGCTCTTCTTGCTCTGAGATCCCATAACACTAGTGACCCTCACAACATCTTCGTCAACTGGTCAACCGCCACCTCCGTCTACAACTAGGTTGGCATTACTTGTGATGCTCGCCACCTAAGAGTTTATTGGAAGTTGTCCAGCGGTTTATTAGTTTTTCTATGTATTGTTGTCGTTCCCCAAGTGGATAATAGCCATCTTCACCTTTCTTGTGATTAGGAACTCTTTGTATAGAAGTCTATCCTTAGATGTCAACTCCTTAATTAACGGATGTCAACTCCTTAATTAAAGGGGTTGTTGTTTACCTTCCCTAAGTCTCAGGTTGTGGAGTAAATCAAGGAAGGTCAAGGAGGGTCAGTCTCCTTTATATATATCTCTGTACAATTGTAATAATTTATGATTTGGAAATACAAAAAACAACTCTTTGGAAATTCAATATGGTATCAGAGCAGGGAAAATAACCTGCTTCTGCGTTACTTCTATCTGATCTTCTTCAACCTTCAAAATGGCTGAAGATAATCCTTTTGGGTCTGAGGCAGAAAGTTCACAGGTTCTTTCATCCTTGAATTTGTCTGAGGTGGATGTAAATCCAAATCAAAGATTAAGCTCAGTCTTTTTGAATGAGTTTAATTACTTGCCTTGGTCGAGAGCAGTATCTCTTGCTCTAAAAGGAAGGTCCAAGTTAGGGTTCATAAATGGAAGCATCGAAGTCCCTGATGCTTCCTCACCATCTTATGAATCCTGGCTTAGCAAGGATCAGCTGGTTATGTCGTGGCTCCTAAATTCTATGGAACGTAAACTAGCTGAAATATTCAGTTACTCTGAATCATCATTCAAGCTATGGGAGACTGTCAAGGAAATGTACGGCAGTCAGAACAATGTTGCACGCGTTTTCCAATTGAAGAAGGACATCTCCAACCTGCAACAAGAAGGAAAGCCTTTTGTACAACTTCTAGGTAGCATGAAGAGCATGTGGAATGAGTTGGACAACACATACTCATGAACACCGAACTCCCTTCCTTCAACAGTGTATGTTCAACTATTCAACGTGCAGAAGTACGGAGAAAAGTCATGAACATTGGTACAAAGGCCAATGTAACTGAAGCAAGGGCTTATCTAACCAACGAGAGGAAGTACAAAGGGAAGCATCCAAACTTGAAGTGCCAACACTGTAACTACCCTGGTCATGTTAAGGAGACATGTTGGATCTTGCACCCAGAATTAAAACCTGATTTCATGAAAGAAAACAAGGGCTCACAGAGGCTGAATCGTACTACACATAGAGCCAACCATGCATCTGTCTCCATCTTCAATGGATCTGATACACTCAAGAACTTCACAGCAAATCCAACTGCACTTATAAATGAGTTTGCATCGTATCTTCAAAGCAAAAATGGAGGGGCTGGAAGTAACCATACAACCAGTATTGAAGATGGAAACTCGTCAGCGTTGCTTGGCAAGTTTGCTGGTTTTCTGGCAGACACTGAACACATACCTCAACAAGACATGCAAGGTATCATGAATGCTTTCAAAACTGCTCTTAATGTAAATATGTTGCATGATTTTTGGGTCGTAGATTCGAGTGCCACAGATCACATGACCAACCATGTGTCTAAGTTTCATAAGTTTGAAAAATTATCAAAACCTTCTCAAGTTTCAATTGCAAATGGTGAGGGTGCCGATATTTTGGGAAGGCAAAAATCAATTTGATGTCAGATAAAATTGAGTCAGTGGCCTTATATGTTCCTTCCTTCCCATTTCAACTCCTATCTCTGGTAAAAATCATCAATACCTTGTATTGTTTAGCCATCTTCTCTCCTCACAATGTCATTTTTCAGGATTGTGTCACCAAGAAGACGATTGGTGAAGGGTTTTATCTAGATGGCCTCTATTACATATCAAAGAGCAATCCCAGAGTTTTTCAAACCAAGTCCACCTCGCTTCAAGATAGCCAATTGTGGCATCAACGTTTGGCTCATCCTTCGCAACCTATTTTGTCAACCTTGTTTCCAAACCTAGGGAAGGATTCCATTTCATGTGAAACCTGCCATATGTCTAAGGCCACTAGACTACCTTTTAGCTCGTCTTTATCCAGGGCTAGTAAGATGTTTGAACTTGTTCATTCGGATGTATGGGGGCCAACGAGTGAATCTTTTGATGGTTTTAAGTATTTTGTAATTTTTGTGGATGATTTCTCTAGAGCCACATGGTTGTACCTTTTAAAGTCTAAAAATGAAGTAATGGAAGTGTTTAAGGATTTTCATAATCTTGTTACAAACCTTCTCATTAATAGACTACCTAGCCGAGTCTTGGGTTATAAATCTCCCATAGAGGTCATGAAAGGAAGAAAAGTTGATATTTCACATCGTAGAGTCTTTGGTTGTATTTGTTTTGTTCATGTCCAACCTCATCATCGAGATAAATTGGACCCTAGAGCAATTAAATGCATTTTTCTTGGTTATTCATCAACACAAAAGGGATATAAGTGCTATAATCCCCAACTGAGAAAAATGATTGTGTCTAAAGATGTTCGATTCCAAGAAACTAATCCTTTTTACAGCAAGTTACTTGAAACCACAAGTCAAGGGGAGTGTGTCTTGGATTTGTTTCCTCTACCAAAAATTGAGCTCAACATTCCTTATGCTTCAACAAATAAAAGTCTCAGTCCTGTCAACAATGATGTACCATTCACTGAGAGTAACAATGAAGCCACTCAGTCTGATGAGACACTGCATGAGGATGGTGACAACCAAGGTGAACTTCAAGATGTATCTCAAGATTTGAATGAGTGTGAGACAACACTTGCAGCACCACGACGCAATCCTATGCGTGATAGACAAACCCCCACAAGGTTTCAAGATTTTGTCACCTACAAACCCAAGCATCCAATCTCCCATTGTGTATCGTACCAAAAGGTGACTCCCTCACATGCTGCATTTCTAAACAATATTTCAAGTTACAGTGAGCCTCAAAATTTTCATGAGGCTAACAACAATGATGTGTGGAAAGAGGCAATGCAAGAAGAACTTAAAGCTCTAGACCAGCACCAAACCTGGAGCATCACCAAACTTCCAAAAGGAAAAAGGGCAGTGGGTTGTAAGTGGATCTATAAGATCAAATTTAATTCATATGGTTCCATTGAGAGGCATAAAGCAAGGCTGGTGGCTCGGGGATTCACTCAAACATTCGAGGTGGATTACAAAGAAACGTTTGCACCTGTTGCGAAAATGAACTCAATTAGGGTTCTATTGTCTGTTGCGGTCAACAAGGGATGGTCCATGTATCAGATGGATGTGAATAATTCTTTCTTGCACGGTGATCTCGAAGAAGAAGTCTACATGAAATTGCCACCAGGACATCCTCAAAACAATGAACCTGATTTAGTGTGCAAATTGCACAAATCAATTAATGGACTGAAACAATCTCCTCGAGCTTGGTATGCCAAGCTAAGTTATCAGTTCTTCAGAGTATTGGTTTCAAAAGAAGTAATGTCGATTCATCATTGTTTGTTCGCACTGGAGCTGTGGGAAAATTAGTTGTGTTGATCTATGTTGATGACTTAATAATTACAGGTGATAATGCTGAAGAGATCTCCAAGCTCAAACAATCACTTCAACAAAGGTTTGCAATTAAGGACCTTGGTGTTTTGAAGTATTTTCTTGGAATAGAAATGGCAACTTCACACAAGGGATTATTTCTTAATCAAAGAAAGTATGTTCTAGATATGCTCAAGGAAGCTAACATGAGCAATGCTAAACTAGCAATAACTCCTCTTGATAGCAAGCTTAAACTCAACTTGGAGGGCACGCCACTCACGAATATAAGCTATTATCAGAGACTTGTTGGTAAGTTGATCTACCTAACAATCACCAGACCTGATATAACATATTCAGTGAGTATCGCAAGCCAATTCATGTAATCTCCCACAGTCGAACATTTGAACCTTGTTAAAAGGATCCTACGGTACTTAAAAGGGTCTGTGGGTTGTGGCATCATCATGAAGAAGAATGAGAACACCCAAATCATGGGATATTGCGATGCTGATTGGGCAGGAAACGCAATCGATCGCAAGTCCACAATTGGTTACTGTACTTTCGTAGGTGGGAACTTGGTCACATGGAAGAGTAAAAAGCAAACTGTCATCGCAAGATCAAGTGCCGAAGCGGAATACCGTGCAATGGCCTCAACTGCGTGTGAACTGATATGGCTAAAGGGTCTTCTGTGTGATTTAGGTGTGTTTACAACTCACCCTATGTCCTTATTCTGTGATAACCAGGCAGCAATGCACATAGCATCAAACCCAGTGTTTCATGAGAGAACGAAACACATTGAAATTGACTGTCATTATGTTCGGGAACAAGTACAGTCGCAGGTGATTCAGACCCATTATACAAGAAGCTTCGATCAGTTGGCCGACGTATTCACCAAACCTTTGGCTTCTCATCAATTTCAAAGGCTTCTGTCCAAGCTTGGATCCATCAACCTTTTGGATCCAGCTTGAGGGGGAGTATTGGAAGTTGTCCAGTAGTTTATTAGTTTTTCTGTGTATTGTTGCCGTTCCCCAAGTGGATAATAGCCATCTTCACCTTTCTTGTGATTAGGAACTCTTTGTATAGAAGTCTGTCCTTAGATGTCAACTCCTTAATTAAAGGGGCTGTTGTTTACCTTCCCTAAGTCTCAGGTTGTGGAGTAAATCAAGGAAGGTCAAGGAGGGTTAGTCTCCTATATATATCTCTGTACAATTGTAATAATTTATGATTTGGAAATACAAAAAACAAATCTTTGGAAATTCAATAGAGTTGCATCATTGAATCTCTCGTACATGGGTTTCAGTGGCACCATTCCACCACACTTAGGCAACCTCTCATTTCTTATTGAGTGGTGCTTAAGGAACAATAGCTTCCACGGCATCTTGCCTTGGGATCCATTCCATTGTGGTTTGGGTTCTTCTCCAAACTTCAAACCTTCAATTTGGGCAATCAGTTTGCAGGTTCCATAACGACTATCTTCAACTTATCTACACTGCAAGTAATTGATCTAAGCATTAAACGACTATCCGGTACGCATGTATCAATAATCTATATGGGAATCTACCATTGATCGATCATTATGTTTTAACATCTTGTTATTAATCTATAGGCCCCGTGTCTTTTTTTTTCTTTAGAAAATTAGGCTAATTTTTTCTTACTTGTAGGTCAGCCAACACCAAAAAACTCTCACTTAAATAGATGATGGATTTGGTTTTTAATTTAGTAAATTTAAGTTTTAGCCACACAAAAAAACTTTCACTTCTGGAAAAAGCCAAAGCTTTTTCAAAAAAGACAGAAAAACCTTTAATTTTAAGGTTGGTTGAGTTTATTCATGTTGGCATTTTGCTATACTCCAAAGTTTTTACAAAACTTATAGTCATTTTACAGTAGACACAACCATTTTCTTGTATCGCAAACATTAACCATAGTGATAATTGCAAAGATCCTATCATTCAATTATATATAAAATAAGATTAATCAAAACAAAAAGCGCCACTACAAACCGCTAAGAATTCGAAACAGTAACCACAATAGAAATATTCACACATGCAATGGAATAAACGTTCCCCAACAACAATGCAATCGAGCAGTGACTCCCCTTTTTGAGCAGAGAGATTAGATGAGTTGAAATACCAAGAAAAGTAAAGAAGAGTGCAAAGGCAAATTAAGTCATGATGTTTCTGCACCTATGATTGTAAGATGGTAGAGAGCAAAGAGTGAAAAAGCAAATTGAGGAAGAAAAACACGAAATCTATGCATGCACTTGGGAAAAAATCATCCAACTCTCTTTGTGCGAAGCAATAGAGAGCCAAAACAATTATAGAACAGAGTAATAAACAACTTGGAACGAAATGTCGAGTGAATCGCTTTTGCCTGGAGCAACCACCTCCCACATTCGAAGCTGTCCCAATAGTCTTCTTCACTCTTTAGCAACCACTTCCTAGATTTGAATAAGAAGACCAAAAACAAACAATTTTTTAATAATTAAAAACTGTACAATAATCGAAAATTTGCCTACAAACCATTATTATATTATTTATTTTTATCTTTTACATTTACTAATATATTTTACATAAAGTAGTAAATGAGACAGTGGAGATGATATTTTATTATAGAAAGCAAGGAGGGCCCAATATACCTTTTCACTTTGAAGTAGGTAATATTGTCTTGTTTGGGAGAGTAGGTATATTTTGCCTACCCATTTGCCTCTTCCCTTAGAACATGAAAATGTTGATGTGGCAAGGCAATGAGTTTTGCCTACTCTTTTACCTCTTCCCTTGAAGATGCTCTAAATTATGTAGTTGTCATGGTGTTTTTTTCTTTCTAATTTCCTTTATTTGAATGTATTATGAGTCTTTGTTCAGCATACATAAACAGGTGGGATAGCAAGAGAAATAGAGAACTTAACAATGCTGAAGGAGATACACCTTGACTCCAACAATTTCAACGGTATATTTGTTGCATTGCCTTGCCTTGATGTGACCATATTATATATATATATGACTGCTTTTGTTGCAGCGCATTATATGTGCATAAATCATGAGTTAAATGATTTTTTTTCAGAAATTCCAAATGAGATTGGTTCTTAAGATCAAGTGGAGATGTTGTATGTGGGGTTCAATGCTCTTAAAGGCCATGTTCATGTGGTTGTTTTCAACATGGCTTCTTTGACTACCTTGGATTTATAGGAAAACAGCTTCAGTGGTGGTCTTCCAGATAATATATGTCATCTTCCAAGTCTTTAGAATGGGTATTTTGGTAGCAACCAGTTTGATGGTCCACTTCCATCCAAATTATGGCAATGCAAAGAGCTTCTTAAATTATGTTTACATGGAAACAAATTCAGTAGAAGCATACCCAAAAGTATTGGGAAACTTGACCCAGTTAACTCATATTGATCTTGACATCAACAATTTGACAAGACATTGATATTTGGGAGAATTTAACATAGACCCCCTCAAGTTTGGTATAACTAACATTAAACCCCACATGTTTGATTTATTCTACTTAGAACATCCATAATGCTCCCTAAATCACCTCATTAGACAAATTTTAGGGAAGAATTGGAAAAATACAACTGCAACCGTATTCCCTATCCACCTCCTAAAATAAGAACTCTAGGAACTCCTATATTTGAAGAGAGAGAAATTACTCCTAATAACTCTCTATAATTTAATGTTTGCTTTATTTTATGCATATTTTAAACTTTTAATTAATGCTAACTAATTATATTGAATTAAAACAAAAATTACAATATGTATGACTCCCTACACTAAGAAGTATGATTGAAGAGCTCTTAAAATAGCTCTTTATAAATTTGAACTCCAAATAGGGAGCATAATTATAAATGCTCCCCTCTATTATGCCAAACCATAGGGGTCTAAGTGAAATTCTCCCTTATATTTCATTATCGTAGACTAATAATGCTAAGGTCACAAAGTTAAACATAAATCAACATATTGTGAAATTGTTGTGACATTATGGCAGGCATACCAAATGAGATGAGAGATCTTTAAAATACAAAGCATTTTGCAGTCCGTGATAATAATCTGAATGGGCTCATCCCATCCTCAATCTTCAATATGTCCACAATAAGGCAACTGTCGCTTGGTCAAAATCAGCTATCAGGTAGCCTCCTAGGAAACATAGGCCTTGGGGTTCCAAACCTACAACTCCTTTTTATAGGAAGAAATGACCTCAATGGAGTCATCCCCAGCCTCTCCAATGCTTCTATGCTCACGAAGCTAGAGTTTGCCCGAAACTCATTTACAGGGTTTGTTCCAAGCACGCTCTGTTCCTTAACTAACCTTTAGTCTTTTAACTTAGTAGTGAATGATTTGACAATTGATACTTCCACTCTCTCTTGTTTGGTTAATCTTGAAAATTACTATCCTTGGCAGCTAATCTGTTAAATGCTAGACTTGATGATTCCTTTCGGAATTGCTCTTCTACATCCAAGCTTCAATATTTTGATTTAACCAATTCCATCATGAGCGGTAAAATTCCTATTGGTATTGGCAACTTGAGTAGCTTGGTATCCATATACCTGGGATTCAATGAATTGAACTTTGCGGTCAACCCGACTTCATGTTCCATCATTCAAAAATACTAAACTTGAACCAAACAGGAAGAAAGCTAAATATATAATCCCTGGGATCATATCAGTAGTTCTTCTAGTGGCCTCCGAATCTATCTTTCTTCTACACTTAAAAAGGAATGTGGAACTTCCAATAGAGGCTACCTCATTGTCTCAACGTCTTCTTTGGAGTAGAGTTTCACAACTAGAACTTGTGAGGGTGACAAACGGATTTAACGAAAACAACTTACTTGGAAGTGGGGGTATTGGCTCAGTATATAAAGGGGCACTTTTAGATGGAACAGATGTTGCAGTAAAGGTTTTCAGTTTGAAGCTAGAGGGGGCTTTCAAGAGTTTTGATAGAGAATGTAAAATTATCAGTTGTTGCAGTGAAATTGATTTCAAAGCCTTGGTATTAAATTACATGCCAAATGGGAGCCTCGAGAAGTGGTTGTATTCTGAGAACTCTTCTTTGGATTTCCTAGAGAGGATGAACATAATGATGGATGCTGCATCTGCACTGGAATACCTACACCATGGTTATTCACTACCTATTGTGCATTGTGATATAAAGCCAAACAATATATTACTAGATGATGACATGGTTGCACATGTTGCTGATTTTGGAATTGCAAAACTCTTAGGTGGGGGAGATTCCACCACCGAAAGCATGACCTTAGCCACAGTTGGGTATATGGCTCCAGGTGATGCACTTGCAAGCTAGTTTAATATTTCCAATAGTCCTTAACTAACAAAAGCTTTAATTTATATTTTTCTTTTGTCATACACATGTATAAGTATTACTCAAATGTAATTCACATTGCAGAGTATGGGATGGAGGGAATAGTTTCAACAAGAGGGATGGTGTAGAGTTTTGGAATTGTAGTGATGGAAACTGTGAGAATGTGAAGGTAAAGAGTCTCACATTGGAAAGTTAAGAAACCTAGCAAGGGCTTATAAGGAGTTGAGCTACTCCCCCAAATTGCCAATTAGTTTTGAGGTTGAACCTCAACTTCCTTCATGGTATTAGAGCGGGTTAGCCCACGTGTGAAAGCCCAACGGCTACACGTGCTCCACGTCACCCAAAAATGTATTCTCCATGTGTTAGGCTTGAAAATTCTCCACATGTGTGGGGGCGTGTGAGAATGTGAAGGTAAAAAGTACCACATTGGAAAGTTGAGAATTTAGCAAGGGCTTATAATGAGTTGGGCTACTCTTCCCATTCCCAATTGGTTTTTTGAGGTGGAACCTCATCTTCCTTCAGAAAAATTCACAAGAAGGAAACCAACAGATGAGATGTTTGATGGGGAAATGAATTTAAGCAATGGATTGCAAACTCACTATTACCAGATTAATAGCTGAAGTTATGGATGCCAATTTGCTCGGGGCAAAGTAGAAAGATAATGATTTTGTAAGGAAGAGGGATTGTTTATTGTCCATTATGAGATTAGCTCTTGCTTGCTGTATAGAATCACCAAAAGAGAGGATAAGTATGAAGGAAGCTGTAGCTACACTCAACAAAATCAAGACATTTTTTGAAGGACACTGCATAACGTGTGCTGGTAAATTAATGGATCCTATGGCATATATTTCATGCACTTCGATTCAATTCAATTTGAGTCTTTAATTCATGTGGATGGAACAAGTACGATAAATAAATTCATAGCTTCTTACATACTTTGAATCGAGTTGATATCAGAGGAAGCCAAGCAATATATTACTTGATCATGATATGGTTGCTGCTGTCATATCAAAACGATAAAAACGATATAAATTGCATTGTGATATGAAGCCAAGCAATATATTACTTGATCATGATATGGTTGCTGCTGTCATTGAGCTTTTTATATAATTGAGCCTGAATAATTGAATCTTTTGATTACCAAAAACAAAGAATAATTAAATATTTCTGAAAAAGACATGAAGAGGAATAAAAACTCAAAAGCTAAAAGATAGTGGGAAATTTTTTCCTTGACTTAAATACGAAAGGAGCTTTAGCTTTGGCTTCATATCAATCATCTTTGAATTAAATAAAAATTTAAGTTAAAGGATTAGCTTTAGCTTGACCAATAAAAATTGAAGTTAAAGGTTTAGCTTTAGCTTGACCATTGTGCCAAGATAATTACAAATTTCTGAAAAAATGATGAAGAAAAAAAATCAAAGTGAAGGGCCCTCATTATGCGAAGGAGACTGGATTGATTGACGGAATATCATGAATCATGATTGACGTGAAGACGCGTGGAAACAGGCTCCCAATTGTCCATGCTTCCTCTCTTAAAAGTCTTAAGTTGTTGCATTTGGCTACTAGCAAATTTCCTCCCCCAGGGTGCAATCCCAGTCTTTGTCAACTTGTTCTGCCTTCATAAATTGGCACTGCAACGAATTATTCAATCATTTCAAGTTTTCAATCTCGGGGGAAAAAAAAGGAAAACGAAAAACAATTTCTGTTTTCAGTGCTTATGGAGAGAAGTCGTTTCCTCTTGTCAATAACGTTGTTGCTGCTGCAGTACAGTTCTATAGGTACAGGTGCAGCAAAAACCACCACCACCACCGACCAGTCTGCTCTTCTTGCTATGAGATCCCATATCACTAGTGACCCTCACAACATCTTGGTCAACTGGTCAACCTCCACCTCCGTTTGCAACTGGGTTGGTGTTACTTGTGGTGCTCGTCACCTCAGAGTAGTATCGTTGAATCTCTCCTACATGGTTTTCACTGGCACCATTCCACCACACTTAGGCAATCTCTCCTTCCTTGTTGCACTAAGCTTCAAAAATAATAGCTTTTACGGTACTTTGCCCCATGAATTGTCTTATTTACGTCGCCTGAAGTTTATTACCTTAGGATTCAATAATTTTGTGGGATCCATTCCATTGTGGTTTGGGTCCTTCCCCAAACTTCAAAGATTGTATTTGTATGGAAATCAGTTTTCAGGTACCGTACCTTCAACTATCTTCAACTTGTCTACATTGCAAGACATAGATCTAGGCACTAACAAACTATCAGGTACGTATGTCTCAACAAGGTGTCTAGACTCTATTGTTGATCTATCATTATGTTTCAACATCTTGTTATTAATCTATAAGCCTAATGTGTTTTTTTTTCTTTAGAAAATTAATCACTTAAAAAAGTCTCACTTGAATAGATTATGTCTTTGGTTTTTAATTTTAAGAACGGTCAAGTCTATAATTTTATTTTATTTTATTTTTTAAATATACTCAGAAAGTTTTTACAAAACTTACATTTATGAAACTAGAGAGTACATGTTGTAGGCTGCAAATGATAAAATTGATTGGGTGCCGGGGGATAAAGACATAGATGATAGATTGTAAATAATAGAGAATATTCATGACCTTTTTCATATGGAGGCCCATTATAACATGATATTTTATAAATATAAAAAACACCCTTCAAATCTAATACTATAGAAAAATTCCTTATTGTTCCTTCAAGTGAAAAAATTGTAACATATTAATAAACCAATTAGAAAGTGACCAAGTGACTAGTTGAGAGTTTTTTTTCCCCTCCAAAATAGCCACTCTAGCCGCTTTTCTATAAATTATGTAGTGTGGTGTTTTTTTTTATATTTCATTTATTTACAAGTATTCTGAGTATTTGTTTGGCATACTTAACAGGTGCGATACCCAGAGAAATAGGAAACTTAACAATGTTGAAGGGGATATACCTTGACTCCAACAATTTCAATGGTATATATATTTGTTGCATTGACTTGATGTGATACAATTATACATGACTTGGCTTTTGTTGCAGTGCATTATATGTGCATAAAACATGATTTTAATATATAAATGTGCATATATCATTATGATTTTTCAGAAATTCCAAAAGAGATCGGCCTTTTAGATCAAGTGGAGATATTGTATGTGAGCTTAAACGCCCTAAAAGGCCCTGCTCCTGTGGCTGTTTTCAACATGTGTTCTTTGACTATGTTGAATCTATATGGAAACAGCTTGAGTGGTGGTCTTCCAGACAATATAGGCCAACATCTTCCTAGTCTTCAATACTTGTATTTGGGTGGCAACCAGCTTGATGGTCCACTTCCATCCAAATTATGGCAATGCAAAGAGCTTCTTATACTTAATTTGGAGGAAAACAATTTCAATGGAAGCATACCAAAAAATATCGGGAACTTAACAATGATGAAGGAGATATACCTCGACAACAACAATTTGAGGGGTAATTGATATTTCATTATGTTGATCCAATTATGATTTATCTTTTTTATTTTGGTTGCATAATTATATTTAACTACATATTTTAGTAAATGAGGGAAATAGTTCATCATGAATATAACAATTTTTTTGTCAAAATCGCTGGAAAATTCAATAGAATCGAATAGCAAGGTTTACATACAATCATGAATATAACATATTGACTTGCCTAATAAACGTTCTATCTAAGTCAATATATTCAAATCTAAGGTTAACCAAAGTAAGAAGAAGAAAAAAACAAGAAGAAGAAGAGGAAGACATGCAAACAAAAACGTGTTTTGCTTAATTTGTTTCAAACACAAAACTTTTTAGAGATTTCTGTGTAAATATTGTTGCATTAATTAATATTATAAGTGTGACATTTTATACTATAAAGGTCATGAACGAGTAGATAGTGTTAGATTAGATTACATAAATCCAAATGAGATGGGTGATCTTTAAAATTTAGAGTCTTTTTGTAGTCGGTGGTAATAATTTGAATGGCCTTATCCCATCCTCAATCTTCAATATCTCCATGATATAATAAAATAGATTGAATTGCAGTTTCTATCCAAATCAATATTCTTTTCAACTAATGCTAATGCTACAATGTTTGTGATGAAATTGTGGCAGGCACTATACCAGACGAGATCGGTGATCTTCCAAATTTAGAGATTTTGTCATTCGGAGATAACAATCTCAATGGTCTCATCCCATCCTCAGTCTTTAATATCTCCACAATGAGAGCACTGTCGCTTTCTTTTAATCAGCTATCGGGTAGCCTCCCAGCAAACATAGGCCTTGGACTTCCAAACCTACAACACCTCTATCTTACAAAAGCTGGCCTCAGCGGAGCAATCCCCAACCTCTCCAATGCTTCTATGCTCACCAAGCTTCAATTGGGCACAAACAAATTTACAGGGTTTATTCCTACCACGCTATGTGCCTTAACAAACCTTCAGTCGCTTCAGTTAGACGATAATAATTTGATGATTGATACTTCGACTCCAGAAGCAAACACTCTCTCTTGTTTGGCTAATCTTGGAAATTTGACAGAGCTATACTTGGAAAATAATCCGTTAAATGCCAGACTTGATGATTCCTTTCGGAATGGCTCTTCTGCATCCAAGCTTCAATATTTTGATTTAACCAATTCCATCATGAGCGGTAACATTCCCATTGGTATTGGCAACTTAAGCAGCTTGGTATCCTTATACCTGGGATACAATGAATTGAGTGGATCAATTCCAACTTCACTGGAAAGACTAGAGAATCTCCAAAGTTTGTATTTGGATGGTAACAACTTGCAAGGATACATCCCATATCAACTTTGTCAACTAGATAACTTGTTTGAGTTATATTTGGGTAGGAATCAGCTCTCGGGTTCTATACCTTCTTGCTTGGGAAATCTATCTGCGTCTCTAAGAACTCTATCACTGGAGTTTAATTCGTTGAGCTCCACAATACCATCTACTTTTTGGAGACTTGTCGATATCTTGTATCTGTACTTATCATCCAATTCTCTAATTGGACCTCTCTCACAAGATATTGGAAACTTGAAAGTTGTGATAGAGGTAGATTTATCAAATAACCATTTATCTGGTATTATGCCAAGCACTATTAGGGGTCTTCAGGATTTGGTTAATCTCTCCTTGGCAAATAATAATTTGGAAGGCCCTATTCCAAGTGCATTTGACGGCTTGCTAAGCCTGGAACAATTGGATTTATCTAGAAACAATCTGTCTGGAGTGATTCCCAAGTCTTTAGAAGCTCTGTCACTTCTCAAATATATGGATTTGTCTTTCAACAAGCTCAAAGGAGAAATTCCAACTGGTGGACCGTTCCAAAACTTCTCCGCTCAATCATTTGTCTCAAACAAAGCACTCTGTGGTGCAGCCCGACTTCAGGTTCCACCATGCAAAAATGGTACACTTGAACCAAATTGGAAGAAAGCTAAATATATCATTCTTGGGATCATATCAATAATTCTCTTTGTGGCCTCTGTATCTATCTTTGTACTATGTAGGAAAAGGAAAGTGGAGGTTGCAGGAGAGGCTACCTCTTTGCCTGAATTTCTTTGGAGAAGAGTTTCACATCTTGAACTTCTAAGGGGCACAAATGGATTTAATGAAAACAACCTACTTGGAAGTGGGGGTTTTGGTTCAGTATATAAAGGGACACTTTCAGATGGGATAAATGTTGCAGTAAAGGTTTTCAATTTACAGCTAGAGGAGGCTTTCAAGGGTTTTGACAGAGAATGTGAAATACTAAGCAATATTTGTCATCGAAATCTTATAAAAATCATCAGCTGTTGCAGTGAAATTGATTTCAAAGCCCTAGTATTGAATTACATGCCAAATGGGAGCCTACAGAAGTGGTTGTATTTTGAAAACTATTCTTTGAATATATTAGAGAGGTTGAACATAATGATAGATGCTGCATCTGCACTGGAATACCTACACCATGGTTATTCAATACCTATTGTGCACTGTGATATGAAGCCAAGCAATATACTACTGGATGATGATATGGTTGCACATGTTGCTGACTTTGGAATTGCAAAACTCTTGGGTAGAGGAGATTCTATTACCCAAACCATGACTCTAGCCACTGTTGGGTATATGGCTCCAGGTGATGTACTTGCTAATTTAATATCTTGCAATTCTATACTTGATGTCCTTAATTATGCATAATTTTCATTTAATATATATATTCATACACATGAATATAAGTATAATTCATAATGCAGAGTATGGATTGGAAGGAATGGTTTCAACAAGAGGGGATGTGTACAGTTTCGGAATTGTAGTGATGGAAACATTCACAAGAAGGAAGCCAACAGATGAGATGTTTGATGGGGAAATGAATATAAAGCAATGGATTGCAAAGTCACTAGTATTACCAGATGCAAAGATAGATGAAGTTGTAGATTCCAATTTGCTTGGGATTGGGATAGAGCTGGAAGATGATGATCATGTGAGGAAGAGGGATTGCATATCAGCCATTATGAGATTAGCTCTTACTTGCTGTGCAGAATCACCAGAAGAGAGGATAAGTATGAAAGAAGCTGTAGCCACACTTAACAAAATCAAGACAAAATTTTTGAAGGATGGTGTTGCAGGAAGAGGTGTGCTATTAAACCGTCCTCTTGTTCAACAGCGCTTCAATTAATGGGTCCTATCCTATGACATGTATTTCAGGCACTTTGATTTGATTCAGTTTCAGAATTTTATTTAGACAATGTAGAGGAAGGCATGCCGTTTTACTTTAGACTAATTTTATGGTGGAGTGTGTAGACTTATTATATAATATACTAGTCTTGGTTATTGTTATGGTATTAGTATGATAGGAGGGTTTGTTCTGTTGTGTTGTGGTTGCAACCACAACCTCTTGGGAGCTCCACTGCTGCTTTCACCATGTCAAGAGGCAAACAACGGCTGATTACGGTAGCCAAGCCTCCCACCCTATTTTTGTTGTGTGTAAACAAACGAGTTGGGTTTGGGCCCTTTTGGCAGCTATTAGCCTAAAAGCTAAAATCATACACGTGATATATATATATATATATATATATATATATACACACACACATATAAATGACAGGCCTAAACCCAACGAAGAAAAATACTCAACATAACATTTTGGTCGTGGAAAGGCAAATATCCAGCCATGAGCACAAACAACCAAGGTCTAAAATATCGATAGTATCAGAAATATTGGTAGTCCAAAAATATGGAAATTTCGATGAAAATATCGGGATATTATCGATATCGATAAAAATTGAATGAAAACCATGGAAATTATAAGAAAAACTTGGGAAATTTTTATTGAAACTTTGAAGGATGTTTATTTAGTCAATTATCTATTAGTTTATCACAAAATTTTTGAAGGGAATGCATTGCATGATGGGTTTAATTGATTTAAGTTGCTTATATAACAAGCTGACAAACTAAGTGTAGAATATATGTTGTAATTAATGAAAGAACATTAAACACATAATAATCATATATATATATAATTATTTACTACAATATTTTACACTTTATAGATTACATGGCAAGATACATGAGTGAATAGTACCACATAGAGTTCCCCTTTGCGTATTATCGGAAAAACATAAGCAATATGGTGGTTAAAGCATTGGAGGAGTGAAATGGCAGGGGTTCGAATCCCTTTCGCGTGTGTGCTTTATGTTTTTTTATGTTTTTTTTTCCATTACATCGATATTTTTGATATTTTCGATATTATAACGATATTTTGACAAAATATTGCTGAAGTGTGAGCAAAATTATCGACATCGATATTTTCAGATATTATCATTGATATTATTGATATTTATATGATATGTGTCTGGATATGTCTCGAAATATCCATGACCCGAAAAACCGATAATATCCTCAATATTATCGATATTTTAGACTATGTGTGCGATTGACAGAGATCAATTATTGAAAATATGCTCAAATAAATCATTAATTAATTAAGAACCATGCCTAGTAAACCAACTACATTTTCAAGCTTGGATTAATGTCTAGACACATATCCATTCTGAAAATTTGCATGGATATATATGCATGGTCCATAATTGACGTTAACACATTTGAAAAAATTTCGTCTCTTTTAAAGCACCTAAATTAGGGTTTGCGTTATTGATAGATATTTCTAGCTGATTGATTAAGGCAGCATTCAATTTAGTTGTCAATGGTTTTATCACCAACTACCTAGTAAACTTGCATGGACCTAAATTAGGGTTTGTGTTAGCTTAGATATATAACTAACGCAAACTTGCATGGACCATACCTAGTAAACCACACTACTACAAAAATCGATATAGACGACGGGAAACCACTGTCGTGTAGAAGGTTTTCCAACCGCTGTGAAATCGACCCATCTTTTGCACTATCAACAATGACGGTTAATAACCGACGTTGTTAAGGAATTCAACGTCCATATTTATTACTAACCGACGTGTAATTATTATATAATTAACCTAAAATGAAATCTCCGACAACATTACACGTCGGTTTTATGAAAACTGAGACGTCTAAACACTGTTACATGTCAATATCAAAAGAAGAAGCGACGCACAGATAATTATCCATGTCTCTAAATGTAGGAAAAAAGACTGGGATAAGCTAGAAACCGTCGTGGTTATATATTTACTAAAAAAAAAAAAAAAAAAAAAAAAAAAAAAAAAACTAAACAACGACGTACACACAAACCAACAGACGTTTAAAGAGTATTACATGTCATTTGTCTTTCCATAACTGCCATAAAATAAAATAACCACGTCCTACACTAGGCATCACCGACGCTTATGTATTTATCCACGTTGTGAACTATAATACAAACCGACGTGTTAACTTGTTGACACGTCTGTTCTTTTCGAGAATCGTTGTTTAAATAGTACAAAGAAGGCCCTTTAACAGAGGTAGACGTCACTTTTTCTAAATAACCGACGTCTAAAATATTTAAAATGACAGAATATTACTCAATATCGACGTACAAAACTCTCCCCCACGTCGGTTTATGTCAAAGGCTGACATTATAAATAGTATTTAAGGCGTGGATAGGAACATAACCGACCTGGATTATAGATTCAACGTCCGTTTTTGTAAAATAAAGGACGTGGTTAATTACTTCACTACGTCTAGAGATCCATCTGCTTGACGTTGTAATTACTTACCATGTCGGTTCTTATTACATAATGACGTGGTTGTCCTTTTAAAAGTCGCTTGTTTGACCTGCCGTGACATATGTATACACAGAGATGTCAGTTGTTTTAGACTAGCAAACGTGCAAAACATCTATCACAACAGTTAATGGAACTGAACGGCCTTTATTTGGGGTTTAGACGACGGTTTATTTTAAGCAAACCGTCTTGATTTCTTTTTCAGATGTCTGTTTTTTTGTTTTACGGTATGTTCCCTTGTTGAAACCCGATGTTGTTTTTATCTTAGACGTCTGTGTTTCCAATTTTTATCCCTGACCGTTGTACTTTACAGCTTTAACCCAGCTTTTTTAATTTTTGATTTGTCTTGCCCAAAGCCTGCATAATGAAAATGTGATAAGAATTAAAATGTTGTACATAATTATTAATTAAGTCATACAATTAACTGAATAACTAAGGTCATACATTACAACAATCAATCAATCCATATATCTTCACACCCATCTCTAATATTTTCATTCCCAAACTCACCCACTAGGTCATCAAATGTGTCAACATTTGGTATCCCTCTAGTAAATGGCTCACACTCAATTCTAGTATCACCTAGCACATCATCACCAATAACATCATTATATTCTCTATTAGGCATTGATAACACTACCGACCAACCACGATGCATTTGGTCGTCAACATAAAATACTTGTTTGACTTGAGAAGCCATAACAAATTGGTCATTCCTATGTCTAATTTTACTCAGATCTACAGGGGTAAATCCAAGTTCGTCGACTACAAGGCCCGAAGTGTTATCTATCCAATCACACCTCAAGACTAGGATTCTAAACTTTTGGTAGTCAAGGTCCCAAATTTCTTGAATAACACCATAAAAACCCATATTGGAGACAATAGGGTTTTTATCCTTGGCACTAGCAACTTGCATAGTATGTGCAAGTAAATAAACTCCACTATTTTGGACAGTTCGCACATCATCTTGTGCCTTGGTGTTAAATTTAACACCATTAATAAGATAGCTCCTATATGATGGCACTGCCATGCTTGGACCAGCTGCTAGCCACCTCAAATTTTCTGATACGCCATTATGCTTTTCCCCATTAAGTTCACTTTGAACCTGCAAATTAATCATATATACCTTAATTCAATCTAACATATAGAATGGAAGAAAATTAAAAGTTGATGCATGTCATTCAATAACATATATATACCTTAAAGTGGAGCCATTGAATGAAAGTGCTATTGTGCTTATCTTGCAGCCACTTTGTTCTCTTTCTAAATTTTGGATAAGTGGTCTTGATGTGGATCATATGTTCCCTACATTGACACCAAAAAATCAAGCATTATGATTCCTTGTATATAAGATAAACATAAGGAATAATAATATTTAAAATGGCTCCATATGAAAAATAAAAGTCATACGTACTCGATATAAGGTAGGACTTCCTTCGTATTCTCCAAGACATATAAATGTGCCTGGTTTAACAAGTCCCGATCAACTAAGCTTACTGTGCAACCTGATAATGGCTTCGAAACTCCCATCTTCTGGCTTGAAGGCACTCCAACTGTATTAACTTCAGATAAATGCTCGGTGCAAAACTCTACAGCTTCTTCAGCTATATATCGCTCAACAATGCAACCTTCCGGACGAGTACGGTTCTGAACATACCCTTTTAGCACTTTCATATACTTTCAAACGAATACATCCATCTAAAATATATTGGGCCACATAGACGAACTTCTCTAACAAGATGTACTACTAGATGAACCATGATATCAAAGAATGAAGAAGGAAAGTACTTCTCAAGCAAACACAAAGTAACTACTACATCTTCTTCCAACTTATCTAGCTTGGAAACATCCACCATCTTTGCACATATAACATTGAAGAAGAAGCACAATCGAGTTATTGCATACCTTGCAGGCTTCTCCAAAACAGAACGAATTGCCACAGGGAGCAATTGTTGCATCAAGGTATGACAATCATGAGATTTAAGTCCAAGAAGTCTTGAATCTTTTAAAGATACAAGATTTTTTATATTTGAACAATAACCTTCAGGGACCTTCATACCATAGAAAGAATTGCAAACCGCTCTCTTCTCTGCTCTTGACAAATTCCAAGGCCCTGGAGGCAAGCGAGTACGTCTTTTCCATACTTGGGTTGCAAATCAGTTTTGACCCCCATGTTCAATAAATCTAACCGAGCAGCAATCTCATCTTTATTTTTTCTAGGGATCTCTAGTAATGTACCAATGATACTATCACAAACATTCTTCTCAATATGCATAACATCTAGGACATGTCTCACAAGAAGGTATTTCCAATACTCGAGATTAAAGAATTTTGATTTCTTCTTCCAACAAACTCTGTCACCATCATTCTCACCAACACTTCCCCCATTTTTCGAGCCGCATATGTAATTTATATCTTCAACAATGTGAAACACTTCTTCTCCATTTAATGGCTCGGGAGGCGTGCTATATTCAGGTTTCCCATTAAAAGCTACAAGCTACCTCCGATATGGATGATTGATTGGTAACCATTTTCTATGCCCAATGTAACAAAGTTTGTAGCCATTTTTCAACCTATGACTAGGTGTATCATCGCCGCATATTGGACAAGCTTTATATCCTTTAACAACATAACTAGATAAGTTCCCATAGGCAGAAAAATCATTAACTGTCAACAATAATACACCTCTGAGTGTAAAGTATTCTCATATATGTGCATCACACACTCCTCTAATCCCATCCCAAGGAGATTTTAAATCATCAATCAAAGGCTCTAAGTAGACGTCTATATCATTTCCAGGCTGTTTAGGACCGGAAATCAATAAGGTCAACATCATGAACTTCCGTTTCATACATAGACATGGTGGGAGATTATATGTAACTAAAATAATTGGCCAACAACTATATCTGCTACTTAAAGAACTGTGGGGATTGAATCCATTAGATGAGAGAGCCAATCTCAAGTTTCTCGGCTCTTTACCAAACTCGGGCCATTTATCATCAACAAGTTTCCAAGACGGGGAATCTGCTGGATGAGACATTTGACTGTCAACTGATTTTCTAGCAACATGCCAAGTCAAACTCTTAGCTGTCTTATGTGATTGAAACATCCTTTTAAACCTTGGAATTGGAGGAAAATACCACACCACCTTCGCTGGCACACCCTCTTTCAAGATTGAATCTTTGCCTTCCTTCCACCTTGAGACACCACAAGTAGGACAATTAGTTGAATCTTCATAATCCTTCCTATACAAGATGCAGTCATTGGGACATGCGTGGATTTTCTCATAACTCATCCCTAAAGCAGACAATGTCTTTTTGGCCTCGTACATAGAGGAAGGTAGTGTATTTCCTTCTGGAAGCAAATCTCCTTGAAGTATCAATAATTCTATAAAACAAACATCACTCATCCCATGTTTTGCTTTCAAATTATATAACTTCACCAAAGCCGACAACATCGTGTACTTACTGCTACCAGGGTACAAGGGTTGATCTCTATCCCCAATCACATTGGCAAACTCATAAGGATCAAATCCAATATCGCCTAAATCATTATCATCCATCCCTACTTCTTCATAAACAAAACTTATACTTTGGTCATTCTCTTCCACATTTCTACTAGCATTAGTAGTCCATTCCCAAGGTTCTCCGTGCCATGTCCAAATCTTATAGCTTTGGTCAATTCCATTAAAGTATAAGTGGTCCCTTATAATTCCAACTCCAAACAATCGAATATTCCCACATTTAACACATGGACAACAAATATGAGTGGTATTTACAAGATTTTCTACAGCAAAATTCAAAAATCCTTCCACACCTAACTCATATGCCTTCAATCTTCTATCTGCATGCATCCATGACTTATCCATCTCACACACTATAAAATCATACATATAATAAAGTGAAAAGACCAGTAATGAACACTATTATATTGACAAAGAAGAGAACAAAGTGGGAAAAATGGAAAAAAAATTGCACAATAATCATACGACGGTTTTTACAAAATAATCGTCGCGTAACATAGATTAAGACGACGGTATTTCTATTTACCGTCGTCTTTAAGCAAACAACAAGATATTTGTATTCTTTTTGAAGAACATGGTTGGGTTATGGTCGACTGACAACAACGGCGATAGTAAATAAAAAGCCGACGTATACTAAAAATTTAGATGACGGTTGGTGGAAAACAATCGTCGTCGTGGTTTACAAAAAACCAATGCCTAATTCTTCCATCCCCATTCCATTTCAAAGAACCCTTAACAGAATGCAAACATCAAAACATAAAAGAACCCATATTAAGAAACCAAAGCTGAGAGAGTATACAAACTAACAGAATATTTAGAGAGATCTAAGAGAATATTGAGAGAGTGCTGAGAGAATATATACAAACTAATAATAAGAGAATATTGAGAGAGAGCTGAGAGAATATACTTACATGGATATTGAGAGAGAGCTGAGAGAAAATATCAACTGCTTGAGAGAGCTCAGAGAATATAGCCAATGCTTTGAGAGAGAGCTCAGAGAAAATACCCAATGCTTTGAGAGAGAGCGAAAACTTTAAGACAAATTTACGTTGAAGAGAGAGAAGGAAATACTTTAGGGTTAAATGGAAATTCGGAAAATTTTAGATCCCGGTCAAAAATTTCAAAGGACCGTGTTTTTTAAAGACGACGGTAAATACAACCCAGTAGTCATTTAATTTCACATTTACAATGACGGTTCTGTTACATTTATGACATTGTATTATGTTTTGACGTCGCCCATACATAAACCGACATCTAAAATATTAAAAAATTAGCTTTGGTGTGCATTTCCTGGGATTCGAACGCGCGTATTGACCAAAAAGAGCGAGAGCAAACCGGCATTGTTTCAATAAAACCTAAACCCTAAACCCTAAATTTTACAATAATTATATATAAAAAATACACAAGTATGAGAAAAATGAACCGAAAATTGCTATTGACTCCTTACAACAATGCCTTCTATATTATTAGGCTAAAATCTATATTAAAGAATTTTCAATTTTATGACCACGAATGGATCACATAAACCTTAGGGTTATGTAATGGAAAGTACAATGACTATTGTGCTTTGTCTCTAAATCATTTTACTTTTGTTATCACTTCTAATTTTGAAATCTAAAATTAAAATTTTCAAGCATGTAGGGGATAGATATTGTCTCAATGAGTGCATAGAATTTGTCGGTTTATTTTTTGGATTTTTTATGAATATTTTTTAATATTAGTAATTAAATACAAATAAAATATTTTTAACATTAATTTAAAGATTTAGGGGAGATAAAATCTTCCAATGAGTGCATAGTAGTTGTCAGTTTATTTTATGGAATTTGTTTTGAAATTATTATGAATATTAGGAATAAAATATAAAAGTCATACAAAAATTGAATACAAAAGTACGTAACCGACGTTGCATCAATTTACAACGACATTAAGTAACTCATAACGTCGTCCTTAGGTCAGTTGAGGAGCTCACCTTTGAGTTTCAATCGTTTTCATCTTCAATTGGGTTTGCAATTTTTGGAATTTTGCTTTCAACCTTCTGCTATAAAACAGAGAATTTTATTTCAGGATTAGGAATGCAAACCTTCGAAACTCACAAGATGTAGAAAAAAGAAGATAGAAGATGGAGAAATGGGGTTTCATCTCACCTTCACTCATTTTATATTGTTTTGCCCCTTCAGTCCATCGCTAATGTACAGAGGAGATGCACAAGAGGTTTTTCCACCAATTGCACAAATGTTCAGAGGAGATGCACTAGAGGTTTTTCCACCAACAGCATAGACATACCTCAAGAAAGAAAGAGAGAGACCACAACTTAATTTGGGAATTCAGCGGAGAAAAACAAAGTGGCCAAAAGGTGATAAGGGGCTGATAAGGTATCTATAGGGATTAGTTTTATAGGCTTTTAAACAAAGGAGTCATTTGAATAATGTTTAGTTACACCGAGGCCAAGGTCACCTATTTCCTTTTTTAATTTTTTTTATTTAAGGGAAGCAAATATAAAGGCACAATGTATCAAACTGATCCCATGTCCCTTTTCAAACCAACTAACCATCTTCATTTCTAGTTCGCTACAATCCTTCTTTTTGACCTAGCCACTTTCTCTGCATGAGAAAGAAAACACAAGGCTTGGAGACTTAGCCTTTCGGGGTGGGTGACCTCCTTTGGTTGTCACCCCTCCCTCCCCCTCTCCCCTGCCTCTGTCTTGCCCCTCTCTCCTTTCCTTCCTTTGTTTCCCATCCTCTCTTTCCCTCCCACCTTGAGTTTTCTTCCTCACCCTTTTCTTTTGCTGTGACTTTGGGATTTTCTCTTATTTTGTAGGGAGTGTGTGGTTGGGTGGGTGGTTTCACTGTTCTGCTCCTATTCTAGATCTACTTTGTCCAGGGATTGCCTTTGTGTTTCAGTGGCTTGGGTGGTTTCCCCTGTAGTCGCCGCAGTTGCTTTATTGTTTCCATTGTTGTGCTGCCAGCCCTTTTTTTTTTGTTTTGCTTCGTTTGTTTCTTTTGCTGATTTGAGATTTGATTCGTGCTAGAAAACTACTTCAAATATGCGATTCACCTCTATCTGTGATTTGGTGGCAAACGGGGTGACCAAGCGTGTTGTGCGGTTCTCTTTAGCCTTTTGTGCTGCTTTTGTTTTCAACCTGTTTGTGGTGTTGATCAATATTCTCTTCTAGTTTACTTGTAAGAGCCTTTAGTGCTTGATAGCATTTTCTCCTCCTACCTCTGGCGGCTATTTCTAGGCACCTTCCCTTCACCACCATCTTCAGCGCCTCAAGCACACAAGGGTCTCCTTTCCTTGGTAACTCTTATGCAATTGGGGTTGCTTTTAATGTGCTCATGTCACTTATTGCTTGGATCATGGTAGTGCTCTTTGTAGCTTTGGTGGCTTGTCTGCCACCATTTTCTGTCTCGAGCATTGGTTACTGGTTCCTCTCCGATGGGTGTGGGCTTGCGTTGATTGTGCTACTATTTGGTTATGGGTGGTGTGGCATTTCCCTTCCCTATTCAGTGCCTTTTGTGTGCACTTTGCTTTTCTAGGCTTTATGTCCTCCTTAAGTTTCTTGGGAAATGACCTCCACTACCACCCATTTGCTAATATTAACTAAAAATACCACCCCTTCCCAATTTTTGTAAAACTATAACCTATAAGTATAAAATTATTGTCCTCCTATTGCTGATTTATCACAAGTTCTTAAATTTTGGTCTCTCTTAGCTCACTCAGCTCTCTCTCTCTCTCTCTCTGGCACAGCTCTCTTTCTCTTTGGTATATGTCTATCGCAGCTCTCTGTCTCTCTTGGCTCTCTCTCTTTGTAGCACAACTCTCTATCTCTGTCTTTGCTCTCTCTTGTCTGCTCCACTGAGATCTTCGTCGCCGCCTACCACACATCCACCGGAAAGAATCGGCTTCCGCTTCTTCTCACTTGGACTCACCGACCCAGCACGCCAACTCGCCCAATAGCTCGCCGGCGTTGCAGAGGTCGCTCACTTTTGTAGCTGCCAGCAGGATGAAGAAGGCATTGGGTCTCAAATCACCGGGTTCGGGCTCCAAGAAGAGTCTTGGGTCCGGTGGGTCTGGGTTGGGACCTAGAAAGCCCAAGCGGGTTATGACGGTGGGTGAGCTGATGAGGATCCAAATGGGGATTTCTGATGCTATGGACTCTAGAGTCAGGAGAGCTCTGCTTGGGATTTCTGCTGCTCAGGTGAGCTCAATTTCTGTGCCTTCTTATTTGTGATCCTGGTTGATCTGGTTTGATGGGTTTGATTTTGTTTGGTGGGTAATGCTTGATTTTTATCATAGTGATAATTGTGATGATGGGATGGATATGGAGCTTAATTTTGCTACTGGTTTGGCCAATTTTGGATTTTGGTTTTTCTTACTTTAAAACAAAAATTATTTCTTCACTAAGTGTAGTTCAATCTGATAAAACTGACAATGCAAAATATTTCACGAATGTTTAATTTCATAATGGGTAATTTCAAACTTTTGTGAATGGTCGTCTGCATTGGAATTGTAATTAATCAAGCCTTGTGTTTGATGTACTCATTACAGGTAGGAAGCTTTTTGTTTATTTTAAATTTCGGGTATCCATCCCATTTATGAACTTCTGCCAGAAGTAATTAGGTTAATGAATCTAAACTTCATGCCTTTGAATATTCATCCCGTAAAATCTATGTACTTTTGTTGCAGAAGGCTTGATAGTAAATAGAAAATCTATATGCCAGGGGTTTTCTGGCTAGCTAAAAATGTGTGAGAAATGATGAATCTATCTTATTGCACCTTATTTGTTATTTAACATCATATTGATTCTAGTTTGTAACTTTTGTTTTTTTGCTTTTGTTTTCAGTTTTATGATGGTGAAACAGTTTACATTTTAGGATTACTTGAAAAATCCAGAATGCGTTATGTCAAAGCAAGCTTTAAACTATACTTCGTAGAGAAATGTTCTCTTGCCAGACAATCTGGCAGCGTAAAATGCTTATGTTGCAAGACTCTGAATTTAGGCCATTTATTATGTTGGTTCTTGTCTTAGTGTGTTATCTAAATTCACAATCTAGCAACATAAGCATCATTAGAGTAGTTTAGAATATTACTTTTGTCAGAGAAAAAAACATGGCCTTTCATTGGCCAACTGGTCCCATAATGAGAGTTTGTGTCATAGAAGAGCTGGTTTAAATACCAAATAATACATGTTTTGTTTTTTTGTTCTGTTTTTGGTATTGGATTTGTTTCATTTTCTTTTATTTGAAAAAATGAAAATTAAGCAACCTTTAAACCAGTATTCTGTTTTGGGTCAACCAAGGAATTAGAATTGTCAACTTCTCTTCTTTCCTGTATCCTGAAGTTTCAAAAGAAATACTCTGTTACTACATTGGTGTTATTAAGCACCAACATCTCATGTAGCTTAAACTCTATGTGCTTGCTTTGTTTAGGAGCGTTATTATCTTGCTTTGAGGCTTTAATTCTTGTCACTTACAGGATTTATATGTACCTACTTTGCAGGAAAATCACTTGTTGGAATGGCAGAGGTTGAAGCAGCCATACAAGAAATGTTCCAGGCACCTCATATTCAAGTGAGTCAGATTATATCTTACAGTCATGATGAAAAATGATTTCTGTTGGTGAAACTTCTTTTATTTAAATGGTATGTTACATCTTAGAAGAGGTAATCAATACCCTTGAGTGAGGCATATGACGCAGTCATTACTACGTTAATATGCATTCCTAATATGAAATACATGAGATCCAGATAGCTACATAGTTTTTTGGTCGAGTAACAAAGATGAAAATGGTGTCAGTTGGAGTTTGCTAAATCTTTTAAGTGCCATTCTTTAAAGGAGTAGCATGGTGAAAAATGGCTTTCAGGACCCAAATTATCTGATGCTGGTTTAAAGTAGTGAATTTCTGCACTAGTAGCATTCAACTCCATACAACTTTAGCTGCATAAATTGTTATTGGGTTGAAAGGAAGTTTTATTTATCTATGTTGTATCTGGAAGAACAAAAAAATAATAATAATAAAAATTCTCTCTACCTTCTTCAGAGATATATTAATGCTAATTCTTTTCTTTGTTTTTTCTTGGCAGGTGATGAAAACTTCTTCCAGGCTGAGTAAATATTTTTGACTGCCATGGTGTATGAACTCTACAAAACAGGAATGGGGGAAACTACTTTTGAAAAGGTGAACTTCTCAAGCTTTTTCCTGAACAATGTGTGCATTTACTTTTTTTTGTATCGTACATTCAGAGTAACTTCGGTTTAAATAATAGTATTTCACACTGGAGGTGATGATTATTTTTGGGCCGCAGGCTTGCATTGAAATACTGACTGAAAGAATACTTATTGTTCTTGACTGCTATACTGCATCTCAACTACAAACCAGATTATTTTTAATTTGGTTCACCAGTTTTTTGATGCCTTCACTGTATCTAGCTCTGGAATTATAGTGTTTTCATTTAAGTTATGTTTTTCCTTGCAGTTGGCAATGACAGTCTCATGCCTCTGTACAAGCAACGGAGAAGCATTTCCTGGACATGACATGCTATTAAAAATTGGGTAAGACGTGCGTTGATACTAATAACTTGCTATATGCATGTGTAGAAACATAGTCTATTGATCTCCTCTGGTCCTTGTTGTCTTGTCAAATGGGAGTGTTATGAACCTCAAGAGTGTCACTAGTTTTGGATTTTGACTAAGAAAATATTGAGTGTTATATAAATGACTACTTTGGATTTTACGTGGTTAGTTTTAGGTACTAGAGGAGTGGGATAGGCTGTTTGGATTTTACGTTCTGGTCTTGCTCTGAGAGGAGAGAGGGGGAAGGGGAGAAGGAGAGTGAGATTGGAAGTCTTATGTGACTAGTAAATTGGAAGTCTCGGACTCTTGTTAAGTTTGTGCATTTTCAGAATGAAGAATAATATTGAATTCTAGGACACCTATGCTACTGTAGATCATAATAAAGCTTTCTGCTCATGTTCCAGTCAGGCAAACAGAAGTGCAGTATCCAAGACTGTGCTTGATTCGTGAAATTGTTATTAATATTGATTTATGACATTGGTGATTGAGTTGGAGATTTCCAAATTGGACAATTCTTATTGCTTTGCTGATATGGTTCCAATATGCTTTGTTTTGGCAAAAATCGTCCTACTTATTGTACATTATTTGTTCTTTTAGACTTGATACGTATAAGTTTAGTTTCATCATATGCTCCTGGCTTGCTTGTTCTAACTGTGGGCACACATAAGGCGGAAAACTTTACACGTAAGGCTTCACTGATGTCTTGAATGATGTCATTCAATAGTGACCTATTTTATATAATTTGTTTCTCTGCTTTATAACTACATTTGATATTTGGGGTTATATTGCATGCAGGCAAGCAACCCTAACAAGGTCCGAAGTGAATATAAATCATTCTCAGGGTAAAGTGCTGCCTAGTGTAAGAGTTTCATATCCAGGTCTTCTACTTAAACCTGACGAACCTAATTTGGTATGAACTACATCTTTGAATCCCTGATTGCATCTTTGAGGCCAAAGCAGAAAAAATGCTAAACTACATACAGTTTAAAATAATAATAATAATAATAAAAAGTCGAGGCTTTATGAATTAGTTTACTATTCTTTTTATTTATTTATTTAATTTTATACTTTTATACTTTTTGTGAAGTCTTTTTCTCTTATTTTTTTCAACGTTCCCCTAACTTGGCACAGATGCATGTATGCCCGTGTGTACTCAGAACACAAACTCCTTTATAACTCAAAAGAACGGTCACAAAAGTTAGTTTTTAACTTGGAAAAATAAAATAAAATTGAAAGTTACTTTTGGGAAATGTTGAACTTTTATAATGAATATGGCTTCAGTGCAGAAGGCTTGATAGTAAATAGAAAATCTATATGCTGGGGGTTTTCTGGCTAGCTGAAAATGTGTGAGAAATGATCAATCTATCTTATTGCAGCCTATTTAATATTTAATACCTTCATTAAAAAAAGGTTGTTGACAATGCTTTGACTATCTTGCAGATTATAATGGCAAAACCAGCAGGTGACCCTAGTAAGATAGATCAGCCTGCAGGGATGGATGAGGACTAATTTTGTGTGTATGACAATTGACTATCTTTGCTTGTATTGTTCTATGTTAGGGACCTTTTGTTCCATTTTAGTAACAATTTTGTTTAGGAGAAAAAGAAACATATTGCAGTTCATGCTTTGTAAATGCCACTCTTCTGTTACGATGGACACATGGTATGCCCTTGTTGGGTAGGTTTGGATTGAAACCATGGTCGAGTGCTTGAGCCATGTTTAGTGAGAAGCTTGAATGGATTTTCTTTTCTATTGTATTTGGCCCTTGTCTTTTCAAGCATGCCAAAAATCATCCCGGTTTTGTAATATGTGGTTTGTGGCCAATTAATTTACTGTGGATCTTGCATTTTATACCCAATATTTGACAGCTGCCTTCTTTTGAACGAAGATTCATTGAGGGAGAGAATTATTTTCCTTTTGAATATGAATCGATGTGCAACTCCAACTATCATTTCAAAAGTCAACATCAATTCATGCTAATATAATGGATAACAATTGTCGTGCCCATGAGATTTGAATTCAGGATTACTTTCAACGAAGTGGAGACTGTTATTAGACCAAATGGCCATTGACATACAATATAATAGCAATATTAGGCCAATATATGTACACTATAGAGGCAATATTAGAGCAATATAACCACAATACGATAGCAATAGTATTACAATTATCACCTATAAAAATATAATTATTGTCCACTTATTGCTGATTTTTCAAATGTTCAGAAATTTTGTTCTCTCTTAGCTTACTCAGCTTAATCTCTCTGGCACATCTCTCTTTCTCTTTGGTATCTGTCTATTGCAGCTCTCTGTCTCTCTATCTCTCTCTCTCTCTCTCTAGTGCAACTCTCTGTCTCTCTCTCTTTGCTCTCTTTCTGTAGCGTAGCTCTTTCTCTCTCTGTCTCTCTCTCTAGCTTCGTTCTGTCTCTTTCTCCCCCTATTCGCTCTCTTGCTCTCTGTCTCTTTATTCATACTTCCTTTTTTTTTGTAAATTATTTTTTAGTTGTTATTATTTTTTAAAATAATTTCTCACAATGTCTTATAGTGCAATTATGATGCACCTGACTCCCTGTTTTTTAAAGGCATGTTGTTTCTTTCTCCTCTTCTTCTTTTTGAATGAAGTATGGCCTAAACCGTAAACCCATTGATGAGCCGTAGTCAATATACATACAATATAATAACAATATTAGGCCAATATACATACATTAGAGAGGCAATATTATGGCAATATAATAGCAATACGACAACAATAGCATCAAAATATACATGCAATATGGTGGCAATATGCATACAATATGTATACAATACATAGGCAATATTAGTATAATACACAAGCAATAGGACAGCAATATTAAGTCAATCTACATACAATACACACACATCCATTACAGACTACAATTTAGACATGGAAAATAAATCGCCATTGAACCCTAACAATATTATCCTGCGAAGTAAAAATTATTTCTTTCATAAAACTTGAAAATTCAATTGTTATTACATAGTCAACCAATCTTTGCTCTATTACATACATACTTCCTACCTATAATTATAAATAATGGAGAGCTCACAAATTCTACTAATTTGATCTTAACTTCAACAATTTGTTCTTCGTTGTATGAGTTAGCTCTCCCTTCTTGCACATTTTCCAAGCTGTTCTATTCTCCTCCCGTGTAGCAATATCAGCAACAACAGGTTATCTACAGATCTGAAATCATAACTGCAGATGATTCTCAATTAACAAAGAGGAAAACCATTTTCTTTTATAACTTTGGTTATGAAATATATAACAAAATGCAAAGACCTTTGCTTCTGAAAAGGAGCAAAAGTTTGTCAACCAATTCATAGTAAAAATGAAGAAACTAGTGAACCTAACCAGAGAAATGCTAACCTGCAAAACCAACTCCAATACTTTAACCACAACATTAATACTTGAGATTTTCTTCTCATGGATTATGATTAGAGGATTTTCCAATTCCTATCAGCACATACACAAGTTTGAAGATAATCAGCATCAAGCAAAAAGGGACTTGAGATGCTGCCCTCTAACAGTTTCAAGACATAGTTATCGCTGAGTCAAACTAAAACTTACACATTTCTGATTGTTCTGGTTGGTGATGAAATAAGGGGATATGTAACCCCTGTCTAGCTTCATTCCCTCAACAACCTCCAACTCATTGTCCAATGTTTCCCCATCCTGCAGAAATTAACATAGTGTGAAGCTTACATGTTTTGGGTATCATTTGGGAATAAAAAACTAAAATAAAATTATTTGCCCTCCAATATATTTCTGTAAAAATTTCATAAGACCCTTACATACCTCACTTTAAAACAACAATAAAAAGAAGTTGATATCATCCAGATTTCAGCCCTTGCAATACAGTAACTACACTAATATGCCTATGACAAAGCTGCTGACTAGAAACAAACATAGACAAACATATACAATCGTTATATTCATGAAACACAAACTGATATAGAAATAATGACTGAAACAACCCATGTGCAGATGCAGAGCGCAAATGAAATTGTGATTAAAGAATTGTACAATAATTGAAAATTTCATGAAACTCAAAACTCAAATCAGAGCTATACATCAAATCAAAGATAATTAAGACTTCAGTTAAGCATAAAAATAAACTGATGAACAAAGAGCAAACAATACTTGTTCTTCCATCATGGAACCAGATATGGACCCTATTGCCCAGCATAAGGTGTTTAAGTTGTTCCAATGCTCAAGGTGTGACAAATATTATCTCCCTCATGATCTACAAGATCAAAATGACACCAATAACAAAAAAATAAGTATGAAAACATTCAAGAAAGAAAATAACAAATAATCCAATACGTTTTCTACTATTAAGAAAAAAGCATATCGTAGAAACTGAGTTTCTTGTAAGATTAAAATAAATTTAAAAAGCTTATGTAGATAGTATTTTCAAAAGGCTTCTGAACTTAATTTCTAACAAGAAAGTTGCCCAATACCATATCTAAACTCATACACAGAAAATCCATTTTTTAAAACAAAACTAAAGAAGCATTACATGGCTAATGTGATTGTCCACGTGAATGAGCAAGAGTGACATGGACACAATGCTTAGAAAACCTACTGTCTCAAAATTTGTTGGGAAAAGATTTGAATGTTATTGATAGGAAATGGTAAAGGTTCCAATGGTTAACTGAAAATCTCCCCAAAATTTCAAAACAAATTTAAGACACCTAACTAATTCAGACTTGTTGAGTCTCTTTCAATATGGAAGGTTTGCAAGTTCTGAGATAATAAATTGGTCTTTTCCCAGACAACCTTCTCGTTGATGGAAACTTAGAAAAAACTTACCTATCTACTACCAATTTCAAACCATACATCTTTATTCAACTACAAAGAGATTACAAAATAAATTACAGTCGAATAGACTAATGAAAAACAGGGGGATTCAAGTAAAACTAAAGGAAGCATTCATACAAAGTAGAAAACAGAAAACTCAAAACAACAAAAATTTCAAAGATAAAAGTATCTAAATTACCGGCAGCCCCATCATATTTGCAGCTGCTGCAGGGTTATCCAAATTATGATGCAACTCAAACAGTTCCAAAACCAAGGAATTCTAATATTCTAAGCAATCTTGCTCGAAGAAACAACCAATTCCAAGTCAAATTATCACTTCATTGTTCAAATGGGAAGAGAGAGAGAAAGAGCTAAATAGGGCCTTCGGGTGGGTGCTAGAGAGCACATCATAATTAATTATACCTTAAAAACTTCAGTGTCATCCATATATGAGATGTTTATTAGATATTCAAGACCCATTAGCAATGCGGCTATATTCTGTTGTGTGGTTTCAAGCACACGAATATGTGACTGCAAAAAGAAAAGGAGACAGCTAATAACATCCTCATTGGAGGCTTAAAGATTAATCATAATTGCAAACTCTTTTATGGATAAGTAAACAATAATTATAGACAACACAATACGTAAAGCTTAAAGATTCTGTTACAACATAAACCAAACAGCAAAACTATCATATCCAAATACGGCTGGCGAAGGTAAGGCAATATATAGACATATTTATCTGAAAGCTAACAAACTTGCCTTGTAAAATGAAGTGAGAAACAATGCCAAGTTCTGAATGAAGGCCTGAAGAAACAGCATCATATGAACCAGTTAAATACACACAATAGGAGAGCCTAAAATCATTAAATAGTGGCATAATCACTCAAATTAATATGTTGATATTAAACATTCGTGAAACATTTTGCATTATGAAATTAAACATTATGAAATTACAAATGTTTGAAATTACCCATTATGAAATTAAACATTCGTGAAACATTTTGCATTGTCAGTTTTATCATATTGAACTACACTTAGTGAAGAAACAATTTTTGTTTTAAAGTAAGAAAAACCAAAATCCAAAATTGGCCAAACCAGTAGCAAAATTAAGCTCCATATCCATCCCATCATCACAATTATCACAGTGATAAAAATCAAGCATTACCCACCAAACAAAATCAAACCCATCAAACCAGATCAACCAAGATCACAAATAAGAAGGCACAGAAATTGAGCTCACCTGAGCAGCAGAAATCCCAAGCAGAGCTCTCCTGACTCTAGAGTCCATAGCGTCAGAAATCCCCATTTGGATCCTCATCAGCTCACCCACCGTCATAACCCGCTTGGGCTTTCCAGGTCCCGACCCAGACCCACTGGACCCAAGACTCTTCTTGGAGCCCGAACCCGGCGATTTGAGACCCAATGCCTTCTTCATCCTGCTGGCAGCTACAGAAGTGAGCGACCTCTGCAACCCCGGCGAGCTATTGGGCGAGTTGGCGTGCTGGGTCGGTGAGTCCAAGTGAGAAGAAGCGAAAGCCAATGTGAAAGCCAGGGCCTTTCCGGTGGATGTGTGGTAGGCGGCGACGAAGATCTCAGTGGAGCAGACAAGAGAGAGCAAAGACAGAGACAGAGAGTTGTGCTACAGAGAGAGAGAGCCAAGAGAGACAGAGAGCTGCGATAGACATATACCAAAGAGAAAGAGAGCTGTGCCAGAGAGAGAGAGAGAGAGAGCTGAGTGAGCTAAGAGAGACCAAAATTTATGAACTTGTGATAAATCAGCAATAGGAGGACAATAATTTTATATTTATAGGTTATAGTTTTACAAAAATTGGGAAGGGGTGGTATTTTTAGTTAATATTAGCAAATGGGTGGTAGTGGAGGTCATTTCCCAAGTTTCTTTACCAGCCAGCCAACACTCACCAACAGGAGAAAAACTTTCCTGGCACAGGTATGCCAGGTCAGTTTTCCAACTCATTATCCCAAGCCAATAGAATACTGCCACTTGCCAATCTTTTTAAAAACTTTTTAAAACATATTTTAATCAATAAAAAAAAACCAAAAAGTGGAGTTTCTCTTTCATTCAATATCTACATCCGTGCCAGCCCTTTAACTTCCCAATTAATTTTTTTTTCTTTCCCAAACTCAATTAATGTTTTACATTCTTTTCTGTTTTTGCCATTCCACTTGCGTCTTATGCAAAAACCTTCCATCTGTTCAAAATTGTTCTTGTCTCTGTTCAATCCCTCTCCTTCCTCTCTTTCTATCCATAGAATTTTTTTACATTTTTTTTAACGAAGTGATTTATTTTATTTCTACAACTAATGACATTTTTTAAAATGAAGTAATGCTAATAAAATTTAGTTTGCTGTACAATTTTGTTTCTGATATAAATAACTCAAAGCAGAAGTATGTTTTTTTTTTCGCCTGATATCAATAACTCAAAGAAGAAATATGTTTTTTTTTCTTTGATCAAGTGTAACGTTGGTGAATTGCATGAATGGATTTATAATTGACTAATCCTTCTTCAAATAACATATCAAGGAAGAACACAAACTTAATCTCATGTACCAAAGTACTCTTTTGGCAAAATAGTGGAACAAAAAGGAAAATGAATTATTCCCTTGTACAAAAGCATAATCTTGGCCAAATAACATAACAAAAAGAAAAGGAGAACACTACGTCACATCTACATAAATGTAATTTTGCCAAACTAAAGATGTTATCGTTCTCCTTTGCAAAATATGTTGGTCTTTATACATCGAAATGAGCACATTACACTTGTTCAAATAAGATGTCCAAACAAAAATTAGAAAACTGATACAAAGCACAGCACATCCTTCAGACGTTCATATTATGAATAAAAGTACGATCTCTCCATACCTATTGTCTTACCATCGACGCAATTGGTTCAAACTATTGAAATACACATTCTGCATCACAACTGAATTCATGAATCAATATGGAAATTAACACAATTAAAACTAAATTTTATATCATGAGTCAAACCTGATTTAAATTAGTTGATTGTCCAAATGTGAAATTTGCATTCAAAGTTGTAGATGAATCCTAATGCATCATAAAATAATCTCAAGTTAGAAATATCTGATTTCTTTATCCCATGAGTATATATTAAATTCATATACCTGACTCAAGTAAGGCATTTGATCACTTCCTTGAAGCATGGTTGTAAATTGAAAATTCGGATGTCCAAAAGTATGGCTTGGAATATCCTAAAAATACATATAACATTAGGAGATAAATATTAAAATTAACCATCAAAATAATGAAGTGTAAGAATAAGTACACCAAAGTGATGAAATGATGGATTATAATGAGTTGAATGAGGCATAACATTGTTGGTTTCTTGCTCAGATTGGCCTACAAAAAAAAAAATATTAGCACATGAAATCAAATACTAGAAAAAATAGTTGAAACCTAATTAATATCAATCTAGTTAAAAACAACTTAAAGAAAATAATTCTTACTAGCAGCCATGGTGGTAGGCCTTGAAGTTCGACAGGAATTTCCAACTCTTGCGTCTTTCTTTTTTTCTTTTCTTCTTTTCTTCTCCAATTGACTTTTTATCCTAGCATTTGTTATGCCTTTTGCCCTTATAGTGGGGGGATTCAAAACCGGTGGCTTAGCAATGAGCACATCATGAAGAGTTTGGTCACCAACGCTATTCAAATTTTCCTTTGGTCTAATAATTTCCATATCACTTTCAAGTAACATCATAACCTCTGCTAACTTTTGTTTGACAAGCCTTGTTCTTGAATCAAATAATGATGCTACACTAACAACATTATTTGCTTCATGCATCAACTCACTCAAGCGCAATGATTGGGCAGATCTCACCTTCTTATTATAAGATTCGCATAAGTCACTATTCACCACAATTCCTTTCTTGGCCCCTTTAGTCCATCTCTTCAATATGTATTGACTTGGTATACTTGTGATATTTTTGGAATCTAACACTTTCAAGGCATGACGACATAGCAATCCCTTGGTTTCAAATAACTTACACGAGCAAGAAATATTGAAAGTTATGGAGTCAAAATGGATTTTGTAAACCCTTTCATGACCTTCTTCAATTTCTTCAAAAACCTATTTGGCACCAACATTGTAAACTTCATCCAGCCTAACCTCAAAACAACCCAACAACTCCTTTTCAGAGAATGAAAAGATCTTAATTGATTAAAATATGTTTTAAAAAGTTTTTAAAAAGATTGGCAAGTGGCAGTATTCTATTGGCTTGGGATAATGAGTTGGAAAACTAACCTGGCATACCTGTGCCAGGAAAGTTTTTCTCCACGAACAGCCCATACCCAATCCAGCAAGCTACCACACCCTGTGTAACTGAACCACCACCAGAGTCACCCCAAGGTGGCCCCAACCCCAATATCTTTGACAGCAAACAAAGCAAAACTCAAGATCTTCAAAAGAGTAAAATCCAAGTGCACTTGACTAATAGGAAGAACCCAACTCTCCAGCTCTTCTCTCCTTTGTTGCACGCATCTGACCAGCACCTCAATTCAGGAGACCACGCCTCCAAAACCCTACCCAAAGGAGAAACATAAGGAATAGAAAAGGAAGCAACAACCCGTCACTCCCGTTGCCACCAGGTGCCTCTCTTGTCTCTTCTCATTCCTTGTCGTTTTGTTTTTATAATTTTGAGTTCTAAGCTATTTCTCTAGCATAGAAATAGGTTAGTTTAGTTTTTGTTTCAATTTTTATTTTAAGGGGGTTTGGCTTCTAATCCTGTTGTTTTATATTTGATTAAGTTGTAGAGATTGATGGTTTCTAGCTCTCTTCATAACCCAAATGTAACACCTCTTGTGGGGATTGCTAATTGAAATTACCGGTAGGATAAAAAAGCCAGCCCTGGGGGGGGGGGGGGGGGGGGGGGGGGGGGGGGGGGGGAGGGACCCTGAAACGTGCTGAACATAAAATAAAGAAACACAAATAAAATTATTTTACGCGATAAAACCCCACCTTTGGAGAAAATCCACGGGACTCCTCAGTCTAACTCAAATCCACTATAGAACGATGATTACAAGAAGTACTCATACACTTATCCTAGACACATTTTAGATAATGTTTATTGACTTCTTCGTAACTCAACTTCTGTCAAGGGATGATCTTCAACACTCCTTATGTTAAATGCAATATTGGTCACGATTGCTTCAAACTCATTGGAGGAAAATCGCCACCACGGTCTTGGTGCTCTCAATCGTATGAGTCACTGACATGCATATGAATGCAATATGAATGAAGAAGGATTTAATAAATCACCAAGTAAACAAGGAACACTTGATGACTTATCTAAGAAAATAAGCATATCAGCTTTCTCAAAACAGATTCAATATATTAAAAAATTTAATACGTTGAAAGCATACACTTTGAAAAGAAGACACCTTGGTTATATTCAAAACAAAGGACTCTTAGTGAAGACATCAAACAATCACTTTTATAAAGAAACAATTATCTCCTAAGAACATCCACAATGTGCTCCCTAAACCACCTCCTTAACTAAAATTTAGGGAGGAATTTAAAAAACTCACCTCCAACCACGCTCCATATTCAGCTCCTAAAATAGGGAGAGCTCTAGGAGCTCCTAAATATGAGGAGAGAGAAAGGACTCTTAGTGACTCCCTATAATTAAATGCTTCTTTATTTAATATCATTTTAAGCATTTATTTAAAGCCAACTATTTTTTATTGTTGTTTTTGTGTCTACACTTTATTCAAAAATTGAATTAAAAAACATTAAAAACATTTATGACTCTTTAAACTAGAGAGGATGGTTGGAGTTGAAATTTTATAGAGAGCTCCTAAAATAGCTTTCTAGTGTTTTTAGCTAAATTTTAACTAAAAAATAGAGAGCATGATTGTAGATGCTCTAAAACAAGTTAATTATGAAATAAGCATGGTGCACGTCACTATAGGAACCGGTAATATTTTAACTTAAATCACAATGATATAAATAACTTCAACTATAAATCCTATTGTGAATTCATGATTATGTCATGATTTACCTGTTGTCAAGTTTCTTATATCGGTCAAGTCATGCCTCGGAAGTATGAGATTGAATGAGTTGTGCCAAAACATCCAGTAACAAGTCCTCACATACTAATTTTCAACCTATGCTAGAGTTTAGGAAATGATAATACAATTTTCATACTAATAATGATCATAGTCGTCTAAGAGAAATCATACTCTCTTCAGAGTGTTACACGTGTTTTTTTAAAATAAATGAAGTGCATCTTTTAATCCATTTTATAATAATATAACCACTTGCAATAAAATATCACATGGTTGCTGGAGTATGTATCGTATTCGTATTCGTACACAATTTTCTGTTTTGTTTTTATATATTTTATTTTGGCTAGAAATATTAGATGCTGCTGTAGATGGACACAGTTCTGGTTCAAGTCAACATTTCAACTACATTTCCACCACAACTTAAAGAAACCGATGGCCACTTCTCACCACGGGACTGCGGGAGTACAAACCCCACTACTAGATGACGTCGTAGAGGGTGCCGTCGACTACAAAGGCCGCCCAGTACACAGATCCAGATCTGGCGGCTGGCGTTCCGCGTGGTTTATAATAGGTACGCCCGCACTGGATCATCGATGCAGTCATTAAATATTTCTTTTTTCAAGCATAATTAAATTAATTTTTATAGTGAAATTTGATTTCAATTTTGCAGGGGTGGAGGTTGCGGAGAGGTTCGCATACTATGGAATCAGCTGCAACCTCATCACCTTTCTGACGGGGCCTTTGGGGCAGTCCACGGCCACGGCCGCTGAGAATGTCAACATTTGGTCCGGAACGGCGTCGTTGCTTCCTTTGTTGGGAGCCTTTGTGGCTGATTCTTTTCTTGGACGCTACCGCACTATTGTTTTTGCTTCTCTGCTCTATATTTTGGTACGCGTCCGTTCCTCTCTCTCTCTATCTCTCTCTCGCTCTCTCTACATTACACGCACGTGATAAAATCTATTTAATAGAACATGAGACAATGTCAATCTTGCCCTTATAATAAAACAATTCTGATAATTACTCTTAAAAATCATTTTGCTCGAGAAATGAGAGGAAAAGGAAATAGTGGAGAAAAACACGGTTGAATTATATATATATATATATTTTTTTTTGGGAATTCATTGTTAATTACTGCTGTATCCTTTATATATTAGGTTTTTAAAAAAATACAAGTGTGAATAGGGACATATGTGGAACTTTGTATAATGATTGACAAGGAGCCTTTTCTTAATAATATTTAGATTAGATAATAGTAATAATTAGTTTTAAAACTAAAGTGCCTCATGGTAATCAACATATTTTCCATTATTTAAATCAATCACATTCTCTCTCCTTCATTTTTTTATAACTTCTCATGATGCATGCTTTGATATTTTTTTTAGTGGAATGGTTGTTAGTATGTTAATGTTAGTCCATTCCTATTATTTTTTCACCAACCATATTCCAGAAAATATTAATATTATATTTTCACCACATATATACTTATTTCCTTTCCACTTCCTCTCATCTTACCCTAATTAAACCATTTTGCCTAAAATAAAAGTTAAATACCCTTATCTGAACTCCATCTCAACTCAAGTCCATCTCTCTCCATGCAAAACAGAGTACAATGTTATTCCTCCATGCAAAAAGTGAAAAAATAGTCATTTTTGCTTAACAATTTTCATTGGCATGTAGTTTATTTCAACATAATTCCATCTATTGTGATCTGTTCTCAACTGTTTTTGTTTTTAATAGGCCGCCCATATCTTAAAAATCTACTTTGTATTTTCTCTCAGACTCTCCCCAAAACTACCAAAACGTGTATTCGCCAAATAATGTCATCTATCTTCGACCAAAAAAAACAAATTGTCATCTATCTTGTATTTTGTTCCCCTTTTTTTTTACTCTAAAAGAATCCTTCTTCAAAAAATTGTAATTCCTTTCTTTCTTTCAATAAAAGAGTTTGATTTCCAACTCCATAGTTCTTTCCATACATAAACTGGAAAGGACCAAATAAATGAGGACAAAGTATGATGGCATAATATAATTGAACTCTAATAAGCTGACATTGAATCCACCAACAAAAACTAGTGAGCAGATGAGTATGAAATCGAAATATAGCAGAGCCCCCAGTCCTTGGATTGCAGCACCCTGGTTGGCCCCTGGCCTCATGGTTATGGCAGCTACAAGATTTTCTGTTCATTTTTGTTTAATCTTAGTTTTTTTAAAGACTTTTATAGTAATTTTCTGTAGGGGTAAGTAGGATACATGGCAATAGCCCACCATTTTTTACTTTTTTATTATTTTATTATTTAAATAATAATAGGACTGCATGCCTGTGTGTCCTCTTATAAATTCTTGGAGTAACTTTGTATATTCTATAAAATACAGGAAGTAGGGAACAAACTTCCTAGGTTCTTGTTATGCCTTGGATAATAAAGGACTTAAGCTTGCCAACCATAAAGCATTGAATGAAAACAATAAAATGAAATATTATTGAATTGGGATAGAACTTTCTTCAGGCAATCCCAAGCCTGATTGCCTTTGGATAACAATGGGATTTGTTCAGAGGTTTTGGAGGATAAATCGATTATCATAACTGAGGATCGCTTTAATTCGCAGCGCGACGTGAAGTAATGATCCTATTTTGTCATGGTGGATCCTTTTTCAAAACCGGCCCACTTTATCCCCTGTTTGAAAGTCTTCAGATTATGTTCTTATGATGGATGAGGTTACTGAAAAATGATTATTTATTCTTCAGGAGTAACTATGAATTCAAGTTTGAGTATTACTTTGTACTTCTTGCTTTGTCTGAATGCTATCATTCTTGAAACAGGGACTTGGCTTGTTGACCCTGTCAGCCGTGCTTCCTTCTCTCACTGGTTCTGACTGCCAAAATATCAATCAATCCACATCATGTTCTTCTCAGTTTCAAGTATTGTTCTTCTTCTTCTCTCTGTATCTGGTAGCTGTTGCGCAAGGTGGACACAAGCCTTGCGTTCAGGCTTTCGGAGCTGATCAATTTGATGCGTCAGATCCAGAGGAGTGCAAAGCCAAAAGCTCATTCTTTAATTGGTGGTATTTTAGCTTATGTTTTGGTACCACATTTACACTTATACTATTGACCTACATACAGGACAACCTGAGTTGGGGTCTGGGTTTTGGAATTCCTTGTATTGCGATGGTCCTTGCACTGTTTATTTTCTTGCTCGGAACTAGAACTTACCGGTATAGTATCAAAGGCGACGAGGAAAGCCCATTTGTAAGAATTGGAAGGGTGTTTGTCACTGCATTAAGGAACTGGCGAACTACTCCTTCAGCAATAACTTCTGAAGAGGAATCCCGCGGAACCTTGCCTCACGAAAGTTCTGAACAATTCAAGTAAGAGAGTTAATTGTCTGCATATTTTTAGATTAAAGAGTAGGGAGAAAGTAGCAACAAGATTGAATACGGAAGTTTGATATATATCAAAACCCAGTATTTCTTTCATGACACTCTCAGTAATCTGTACTGAAAAGCAATTGATGAAAGACAAATATTAGTGTTGGAAACATGTCCATTATATTTTTATGGCTTATGACAAAATTCCATTATATTTCATGTTATCATCTTTCCTGTTTTCATTTTAACTCAATAACCTTAATTAGTTGAAATTTAGGTCAATTTAGTTAAGTTGAGTGGCATTTTCATGCAGCACTTTTCTTTCTTATGTACTAAGAACATCTTAGAATTTAATAAAATGATAGTTGTCTCACTGATGGAATTTTCATACCTGTGATGCATTTATTATATTCTTAGGTGGTTGAGGAGGATGAATTATTACCTTTTGATTGCATTGGTTATACTATGTTTACTGCGAGACTGTTAGAACTTCACCGTAGAATGGAACTATTAAGTATGTCTCCAACTTTCACTTGCACGGTGATTTCAACTAAAGAAACTCCTATGATATTATTTACTGGCAGGTTCCTGAACAAAGCATTGCTTGCACCGGATGATTTGAAGGAAAACAGAAAGGTGTGTACTGTCGCTGAGGTTGAAGAAGCAAAATCTGTTCTTAGGCTTTTTCCAATATGGGTTACATGCTTGGCATATGCGGTTGTGTTTGCACAGTATTCAACTTTCTTCACTAAGCAAGGTGCCACCATGGACAGAACAATTGCACCGGGCCTTGATATACCAGCCGCTTCACTTCAGACTTTCATCAGCATTACCATTGTCATCTTCGTTCCCATTTATGATCGCATTTTTGTTCCAATAGCTAGAGTTTTCACCAGGAAACCTTCGGGAATTACAATGCTGCAAAGAATTGGGATTGGTATGTTTATATCTATTATTTCCATGGTAGTTGCAGCTCTAGTTGAGATGAAAAGGCTCAAAACTGCCAAAGATTATGGTCTGCTTGATATGCCAAGTGCCACGGTTCCAATGAGTATTTGGTGGTTGGTTCCTCAGTACTTGTTGGCCGGATTGGCCGATGTTTTCACAATGGTTGGTCTGCAAGAGTTTTTTTATGATCAGGTGCCAAATGAATTAAAGAGTATCGGACTTGCCCTCTACCTCAGTATTTTTGGTGTGGGAAGCTTTCTGAGCAGCTTTCTTATCTCCGCCATTGATGACGCAACCACTTGGGCAGGGGAAACTAGCTGGTTTTCCACTAATCTCAACCGTGCACATCTGGATTACTTCTATTGGCTACTTGGTGGAATCAGTGTAGTAGAATTGGCTATCTACTTGTATTTTGCAAAATCTTACATTTATAATAGGGCAGGTACAGTATAAATACGTGCCTTGCTCAGTTGCATTTCATAGAGAAATGCAAAGGAGCATTATGATTTAAATAGGACTCTATCCATCACTTCCTTTGTTGTAAATCTGAAAAGTGAATTTGTAGGATTGCAAGTTGCAACTCCCTGGCAGTTACGTTCTCTGGTAATTTTTTTGTTTTTTTGGTCAAACGCTGGGAAGGGGAGCGGGTGTGATATGCATGGGGTCGGTTTTCTGAAAGAACATCTCATTTGGATCGAACCCGGTTGACAATTTGGGGGCAGGGGGGAAATGGTTGCCGCTCAAGCACTGCGGCAAAACCCCATTTTCTAGAATTGTATATGAAGAGTTTGGTATAATAAGGTTTAATTACATATTTGGTCGCTGGGGTTAGGCTAGAATTTAAATTTGGTCACTGAAATGTCAATTTTTCCAATTTCATTATCACACTTCGCGTCGTCAGCAAATCAAGTCCAATTGGTTAATTCCGTCAATCTTATTGTGCTTTCACCCTCAACCCAATTCTCTCTCTCCTTTTTTCTCCTCTCGCACAATCACAATCCTCGATTGAGAAGGATAGGATGGTTGTTAGGGCTTTGGATGAAATCAATTAAATAAAATAAAAACTCATGATGATGATGAAATAGCAGAAAGCCCCAATCTTTCTTCGCATTGGAGATCACGTTAGTTTGGGGCTTTCATTAAGATTTTAGATTTGATTTTGTTTGAGTTTGTGCGTCTTATATATATATACAAAGAGCTTCCATTGAGGGATCCCTCAAATAAGCTTATTTGAGGGACACCCCTTGTAGGGCCCACTCCAGATTGTATTTCACTAATCCAAACTGTCTATTTTGTAGATACTCATTCAAAGATCATCTCTACAAAAAATTTAGGGAGGAATTGAAAAAACTCACCTCCAACCACGCTCCATATTCAGCTCCTAAAATAGGGAGAGCTTTAGGAGCTCTTAAATCTGAGGAGAGAGAGAGGACTCCATGTTGAGATCTGCTTGACTTTATGGATCGGGAGGAGAGAAGCGTGTGGAGCCCAATTGCACACGGGCTAGGGTTTCATTGGAGGTGTACTCGAGAGCGTGCGTCGAGCTTGGAGGCAATGGAGGGAATGCTTGAAGTTGCTCCAAGACCGGGCCTAAGTCGGTGGTGGTAATGAGCCCACCTTGATGGGAGGTTCCACCATGTTCGGTGACGGTGCCACGGAGGTTGCTAGATTCGGTCACGGGTCCGGTAGGTGGCACGGTGGTGAGAGGTGGTGGTGCCACCATGTCGATCGTGGGATCGTGGGTGAAGTGGCTTTGGGCCGTCGTGGATTTAGTCATCGCGGCGGTTTTACTCCTCGTGTGCTTGCTTCCAACCATGGTTGTTTGGAAGGCTTCGATGGATTGGAAAATAGGAGGAACGGATTCCTTGAGCACGTGTTGACTATAACTCGTGCTCTCAATGAAAGCACCAAATGTTTGTGCAAATAATCTCACGGGAGAATATTTGCTTCTAGATCCTTCAACCTTCGATCTTCCTTATCTCTCTTCCTCGATTCCTGTAAAACAGATTGGAGTAAATAGACCACACCCAGGGGGTGTTGGCCAAAGGCCCTCCGATGCCTAAGTTAGTTCGAGTGTTTGTAGAAAAACAATAGCTAAGCAAAGGGTACGGAGTAGTGTTTATGTAGGGTGTGAACTGGGCAGCTGGAGCCGTGTGTGGTGGCCGGAGCCGTGTGGAGAAAATATGGAGAGTGGAGAGGGAGAAAGAGCTTCGTATTTTTCTCGGGTATAAGGAGTAGGTTTAGATGTACCTTGAATGATGAATGAGGTCATCTATTTATAGGAGCCTCGGGGCTAGGGTTTCGTAGAGAATATGCTGAGTTTATTCTCTACCCAAATTCATAGGGATCGAGTCGGACTGAGATAATATATGATTTAATGATATTATCTTTTTTTTATGGAGATAATATCTTAATTAAATGATATTATCTCTTTTTATGGAGATAATATCTGAGATAATGACATTATCTTCTCTTTATTAGGATAATATCTTATTAAATTAAGATAATATCATGTTAATAGGGGGGTGTATCCAATTCTAACTTTTAATGACTTTTAATGAGTTTAAAAGTCTGAAGGTATTCAATTGTGACTTTTAAATAGTCTTTAAAAGTTTAGTTGTATTCAATTGTGAGTTTTAAAGAGTATTTAAAAGTTTTGAGGTATCCAAAATGTTAATGACTTTTAAAAACTTTGTTAAATAAATGACTTTTCAATACTTTTAAAGGTAATTCTTACTACCAAAAGTCTTGCTAATTTACACCAGACTTTATGAAAATATTGGGAAGTTGAGAAGATAGAAACAAAACGTCTCCAAATGTCTCCAATTCTTTCTTCCTTTGTTATATCAAGCATCAAGCAGATGGATCTTTTTTCTTCATGGTTAGGGCTCCACTTTGGTATCCCATTGTCATCCACTTCCTTTAGGTTAGTAAAAAAATATTGAATGTTTTTCTTCTCTTCTCATCCACACGTTTCTGTTGATGAATATCTCTTCTCATCCACTTCCTTCAGCTATGTTTGCATATAAATATTTTATTATATTGATTGTCTCATATGCTATGTTTGCATACAATATTTTATTATATAATTTTTTGCCCCTAAACCCATTAATTTATTCTTTAGGTACTGTTTTTTTACCCATAATTCGTTAGGTGGATAATTTTTTCATATAATATTCTCAATTTGATTACATCCCACATATTAGGTTAGGAGAATTGCTGGAATATAGACTCTTGTAATCTGACAATTTATGTTGATTTGGGAGTGTTTATGAAATATTATTGATGACTGAGTAATATTTATTTCTTTTGATAAGAATATGTTACTTGTCTATGTGATTAGATTTGATAAATAAAAATTTAAAAGGTGCATTGGATGCAGTTTACCAATAAGCTATTATGAAAATATACACAATTAATAAGGATTTGTACGTGTGATATAGTAATTATCAATGAAAGAATCACAACGAGGAAGCGAGGAAGTGACCCCAAAACCGCAACTGAGTTGTTCAATCTTCGCCATGCTTCTTTGAGGAATGTAATTGAGAGGATATTTGGGATATTTAAATCAAGATTCACAATTTTCAAGTCAGCACCTCCATTCCCATATAGGACTCAAGCAGAGCTTGTGTTAGCTTGTGCAGGACTACATAATTTTCTTCGTAGGGAATGTCGTTCTGATGAATTTCCTATTGAACCAGAGAACGAGTCTTCATCATCTTCACCATTACTAGGGAATGAAGGAGATAATGTGGAACAAGTTTTTGAAACTCAAGAACAACAACGAGAGAATGCTAATGAATGGAGAGTTGGTATAGCTTCTGACATGTGGAGAAATGCCATGCAAGATAATAACGGAACTCAACGATAATGAGCATTGGAATTTTCAAAAGGAATTTGTATTATGGTTTATTCACCGTCATTGAAATGAATCATGGCTAAGCTTTTTTTAAAACTGAATCATGGCTAGTTGAATGCCAATTATTTCCTTATGGTACATTTTCAAATGTACTTTGTCATTTTTATCATTTTCTAATGTTAAGGAGAACTATTCTTTGCTTTTATGTAATTGTATCCAATTGTTTTTTTCCCTAATTTTTTGTTCAATATATGCCGACTAGTTCATTCAACATAAAAGATAAATGCTATTTGTAAAATAAATATAAAAATAAGTATTTAAAAGTCTATAAAACTCTATGACAAAAGTATATGAAAGTTTGTCACTTAACTTTATAAAGTATGTAAAAGTCATTAAGAATTTGTCTACTTTAGAAAAGTCTTTCACTTAAAAAAAGTATTTAAAAGTTAGAATTGGATACACCCCTAAGATATTTATCCCAATTAATTAATTAGCCAGATAAATTAGTTCAATTAATTAATTAAAAGAAATAATATTTTTTTCCACGTGACGCGCTGTGATTGGAAACGAAAATATCTGCCGCAATAAAATATCAAAAAGTTGCTGGAGTATGTATCTTCGTACACAATTTTCTGTTTTGTTTTTATATATTTTGTTTTGGCTAGAAATGTTAGATGCTGCTGTAGATGGACACAGTTCTGGTTCAAGTCCACATTTCAACTACATTTCCACCACAACTTAAAGAAACCGATGGCCACTTCTCACCACGGGACTGCGGGAGTACAAACCCCACTACTAGATGACGTCGTAGAGGGTGCCGTCGACTACAAAGGCCGCCCAGTACACAGATCCAGATCTGGCGGCTGGCGTTCCGCGTGGTTTATAATAGGTACGCCCGCACTGGATCATCGATGCAGTCATTAAATATTTCTTTTTTCAAGCATAATTACATTAATTTTTAGAGTGAAATTTGATTTCAATTTTGCAGGGGTGGAGGTTGCGGAGAGGTTCGCATACTATGGAATCAGCTGCAACCTCATCACCTTTCTGACGGGGCCTTTGGGGCAGTCCACGGTCACGGCCGCTGAGAATGTCAACATTTGGTCCGGAACGGCGTTGTTGCTTCCTTTGTTGGGAGCCTTTGTGGCTGATTCTTTTCTTGGACGCTACCGCACTATTGTTTTTGCTTCTCTGCTCTATATTTTGGTACGCGTCCGTTCCTTTTTTTCTCTCTCTCTCTCTCCCTCTCTCTCTACATTACACGCACGTGACAAAATTGGTTTCATCCATGAGCTGACCGGTAGTCTTTATTTTCTTATTTCAAGGTGATAAAATCTATTTAATAGAACATGAGAAAATGTCAATCTTGCCCTTAATATAAAACAATTCTGACAATTTTCATTGGCATGTAGTTTATTTCAACATAATTCCATCTATTGTGATCTGTTCTCAACTGTTTATGTTTTTAATAGGCCGCTCATGTCTTAAAAACCTACTTTGTATTTTCTCTCAGACTCTCCCCAAACTACCAAAACATGTATTTGTCAAATAATGTCATCTATCTTCGACCAAAAAAACAAATTGTCGTCTATCATGTATTTTGTTCCCCCTTTTTTTCTCTCTAAAATAATCCTTCTTCAAAAAATTGTAATTCCTTTCTTTCTTTCAATAAAAGAGTTCGATTTCCAACTCTGTGGTTCTTTCCATACATAAACCGGAAAGGTCCAAATAAATGAGGACAAAGTATGATGGCATAATGTAATTGAACTCTAATAAGCTGACATTGAATCCACCAACAAAAACTAGTGAGTAGATGAGTATGAAATCGAAATATAGCAGAGCCCCCAATCCTTGGATTGCAGCACCCTGGCCTCATGGTTATGGCAGCTACAAGATTTTCTGTTCATTTTTGTTTAATCTTAGTTTTTTTTAAAAGATTTTAAAGTAATTTTCTGTAGGGGTAAGTAGGATACATGGCAATAGCCCACCATTTTTTAATTTTTTATTATTTTATTATTTAAATAAATAATAGGACTGCATGCCTGTGCGTCCTCCTCTTATAAATTCTTGGAGTAACTTTGTATATTCTATAAAATACAGGAAGTAGGGAACAAACTTCCTAGGTTCTTGTTATGCCTTGGAGAATAAAGGACTTTGTTGATGCTCTTTTTCGGAGAGGGTCAACTTAGAGAAAAAGGGGTTTGCCTTCAGCAGGGAAAGGGTCTGGGCCTTCAATAAAGGCTAACTTGCAGAAGACAAAGATAAGGGAAGCAGTCGTCAAGCTCCGGGTACCGGTGTGGTGCCGGCCGAAGGCTCTCCGATGCTTAAGTCAGCTAAGAAAGGTAACTTTTGCAGAGTAATAGTAAAAGGCAGAAAAGTAGTTACCCCTCTTACTAGGGTACTGTTCCCTTTTTATAGGGAAGTGAAAGTGGGAGGTTGGTGTAGATTTCCGATGTGGGACTTTGTGCAAGTCGCCGCGGTGGTGACACGTGTCATGAGAATTAGGTTTAACAATTTGTGAGCTTTGGCAGTCGGGAGTTTCGGCAGGTGCTTGGCATCTCGGAAGAGTGTCTTCCTTCGGCAGGAGAGAAGGCGTGTTTGCTTTGGTGCTAGTTGTTTTGAGACTGGATATGCTCGGTTGATTATGGTGTAAACAGACTTAAGCTTGCCAACCATAAAGCATTGAATGAAAACAATAAAACGAAATATTATTGAACTGGAATAGAACTTTCTTCAGGCAATCCCAAGCCTAATTGCCTTTGGATAACAATGGGATTTGTTCAGAGGTTTTGGAGGATAAATCGATTATCATAACCAAGGATCGCTTTAATTCGCAGCGCGATGTGAAGCAATGATCCTATTTTGTCACGGTGGATCCTTTTTCAAAACCGGCCCACTCTATCCCCTGTTTGAAAGTCTTCAGATTATGTTCTTATGATGGATGAGGTTACTGAAAAATGATTATTTATTCTTCAGGAGTAACTATGAATTCAAGTTTGAGTATTATTTTGTACTTCTTGCTATGTCTAAATGCTATCATTCTTGAAACAGGGACTAGGCTTGTTGACCCTGTCAGCCGTGCTTCCTTCTCTCACTGGTTCTGACTGCCAAAAGATCAATCAATCCACATCATGTTCTTCTCAGTTTCAAGTATTGTTCTTCTTCTTCTCTCTGTATCTGGTAGCTGTTGCGCAAGGTGGACACAAGCCTTGTGTTCAGGCTTTCGGAGCTGATCAATTTGATGCGTCAGATCCAGAGGAGTGCAAAGCCAAAAGCTCATTCTTTAATTGGTGGTATTTTAGCTTATGTTTCGGTACCACATTTACACGTATACTATTGACCTACATACAGGACAACCTGAGTTGGGGTCTGGGTTTTGCAATTCCTTGTATTGCGATGGTCCTTGCACTGTTTATTTTCTTGCTCGGAACTAGAACTTACCGGTATAGTATCAAAGGGGATGAGGAAAGCCCATTTGTAAGAATTGGAAGGGTGTTTGTCGCTGCATTAAGGAACTGGCGAACTACTCCTTCAGCAATAACTTCTGAAGAGGAATCCCGCGGAACCTTGCCTCACGAAAGTTCTGAACAATTCAAGTAAGAGAGTTAATTGTCCGCATATTTTTAGATTAAAGAGTAGGGAGAAAGCAGCAACAAGATTGAATACGGAAGTTTGATATATATCAAAACCCAGTATTTCTTTCATGACCCTCTCAGTAATCTGTACTTAAAAGCAATTGATGAAAGACAAATATTAGTGTTGGAAACATGTCCATTATATTTTTATGGCATATGACAAAATTCCATTATATTTCATGTTATCATCTTTCCTGTTTTCATTTTAACTCAATAACCTTAATTAGTTGAAATTTAGGTCAATTTAGTTAAGTTGAGTGGCATTTTCATGCAGCACTTTTCTTTCTTAGGTACTAAGAACATCTTAGAATTTAATAAAATGATAGTTGTCTCACTGATGGAATTTTCATACCTGTGATGCATTTATTATATTCTTAGGTGGTTGAGGAGGATGAATTATTACCTTTTGATTGCATTGGTTATACTATGTTTACTGCAAGACTGTTAGAACTTCACCGTAGAATGGAACTATTAAGTATGTCTTCAACTTTCACTTGCACAGTGATTTCAACTAAAGAAACTCCTATGATATTATTTACTGGCAGGTTCCTGAATAAAGCATTGCTTGCACCGGATGATTTGAAGGAAAACAGAAAGGTGTGTACTGTCGCTGAGGTTGAAGAAGCAAAATCTGTTCTTAGGCTTTTTCCAATATGGGTTACATGCTTGGCATATGCGGTTGTGTCTGCACAGGATTCAACTTTCTTCACTAAGCAAGGTGCCACCATGGACAGAACAATTGCACCGGGCCTTGATATACCAGCCGCTTCACTTCAGACTTTCATCAGCATTACCATTGTCATCTTCGTTCCCATTTATGTTCGCATTTTTGTTCCAATAGCTAGAGTTTTCACCAGGAAACCTTCTGGAATTACAATGCTGCAAAGAATTGGGATTGGTATGTTTATTTCTATTATTTCCATGGTAGTTGCAGCTCTAGTTGAGATGAAAAGGCTCAAAACTGCCAAAGATTATGGTCTGCTTGATATGCCAAGTGCCACGGTTCCAATGAGCATTTGGTGGTTGGTTCCTCAGTACTTGTTGGCCGGATTGGCCGATGTTTTCACGATGGTTGGTCTGCAAGAGTTTTTTTATGATCAGGTGCCAAATGAATTAAAGAGTATCGGACTTGCCCTCTACCTCAGTATTTTTGGTGTGGGAAGCTTTCTGAGCAGCTTTCTTATCTCCGCCATTGATGACGCAACCACTTGGGCAGGGGAAACTAGCTGGTTTTCCACTAATCTCAACCGTGCGCATCTGGATTACTTCTATTGGCTACTTGGTGGAATCAGTGTAGTAGAATTGGCTAGCTACTTGTATTTTGCGAAATCTTACATTTATAATAGGGCAGGTACAGTATAAATACGTGCCTTGCTCAGTTGCATTTCATAGAGAAATGCAAAGGAGCATTATGATTTAAATAGGACTCTATCCATCACTTCCTTTGTTGTAAATCTGAAAAGTGAATTGTGTAGGAAGTTGCAAGTCCTGGCAGTTACTTCCCTGGTCTACGTTTCTTTTGGGAAGGGGAGCGGGTGTAACATGCATGGGGTGGGTTTTTTGAAAGATCATCTCATATGGATCGAACCCGGCTGACAATTTGGGGGGAGTGGGGAAATGGTTGCCGCTCAAGCACTGCGGCAAAACCCAATTTTTTAGAATTGTATATGAAGAGTTTGGTATAATAAGGTTTAATTACATTTTTGGTCGCTGGGGTTAGGCTAGGATTTAAATTTGGTCATTGAAATGTCAAATCAAGTCCAATTGGTTAATTCCGTCAATCTTATTGCGCTTTCACCCTCAGCCCAATTCTCTCTCCTTTTTTCTCCTCTCGCGCAATCACAGTCCTCGATTGAGAAGGATAGGATGGTTGTTAGGGCTTTGGATGAAATCAATTAAATAAAATAAAAACTCATGATGATGAAATAGCAAAAAGCCCCAATCTTTCTTCACGTTGGAGATCAGGTTAGTTTGGGGCTTTCATTAGGATTTTTGATTTGATTTTGTTTGAGTTTGTGTGTCTTTGTGCGTCTTATATATATATATATATATATATAAAGATTTTATTCATAACCATAAAAGGCATACAAATATCAGTATGAATATAGTGGCCTCATTAAAACCTTCATAGGAAAACTATATGGGACAAACCTCAGGATAGGAAAGAGTATCACACATGCCATAGACTAACAGGAGAGTCCGACCGAGGCCATTTTGAACTGCTACAAAAATCAGAAAAGGAAAAAAAAGCCCTACTTAGCACCAACACAGTAGACTCACTGAAAAGAAGCACAACGCGTCCTAACTGTCAAAAGAAGCCTTCTATGGGAACCCATAGTCCTTTGTACAACACAAGGACTACATAGCACACCAAGGGTCAGAGACACAAAAGAACATGCCAAGAAAATCACGAAGACGACAGTAAAGAGGAACCCCATAGAAACACACCAACTCAACCCAGAGGCTGACAAAGAAAAACAACTATGGCCAACCATATTTCTTCGGACGATGCAGAGAGGAGAAAATCTACAAAGGGTAAACACAAAAGAAGAGAAACAAAACGACAAACAAAACATGAGATCGAACGAAGAAAAACCCCTTAGAGAGCATGTCACAGCATCCTAACACTGTTAAAGGAAAACTCCTACGAAAGAACCATAGTCCGTGGGGCAGCACAAAAATTGAGTAGCATGCAAAGAGGCAAAAGACAGAGAGAGGCACCACACAAAACAGAACCCAGCTTCATCCACTTAACCCGTAGAAGAAAGGCTTCAGGTAACAGAGCATTCGTCGGATGCCAAGCCCAAGAATACTCCATATGTGCACTAAGGTGGGCCCCCAGGAGACACCACAATGCCGGTCTCCTTGGCTTTATCAAAACAGGTGCCACTACAAAATCTTTTACTACCATTTGAATCCATACCACGAACCATTACATCACCACCTGTAGCCACATCCTCAGGAGGCTTACGTTTCACACTATTTTTGACGGGCACACTCCTTGCCTTCTCCCTTTTTTTGGGTGTACGACGAGCCTTCTTTTTCTGTAGACCCTCAACAAGCTGGATAATGGGCATGAGATCAAAAAGGTCAAATAGAGCTGGGCCCATAATATCCCTGGAAGTAGCCAAGGGTTTAGGAGTTATGCCTTCCACTTGTAAGACAGAATGAGCACCCAAAGTTGCAAGGGTTTCCTGTAAATTGATCTCTCTTTGGGGAATATCCATGGGGAGGATCCCTAACTCTGACGCATACAGGATCAGTGGAGGTGGTGGTGGGGAACGAACTCCATCTTCAGATAGTCCAGTCTGTCTACGTAGAGACTCTATAGCCTCTAATACTTGGTGATAGCGTGTTAGAGTGGGAGAGGAGACATAATCATCATTCTTATCCAGGGAACTAGATCGCCAAGATCAAATACCAGGACTACCCGGATCACCCGACCCATCCTTGTTCCAAAAACCCTCATGGCGTGGAGAGTTACCATTACCTGTGTAAGAAGGGGAAAGTGCTGAGGAGCAGCATGCCATAGTGCCAATAGGTTTTTGCCCCATAAGTTTGTATCACCTTCCAAGACAGCAAAAACATAGGTAATCTGAGCACGTAAACTCGAATTGAGAGGCCCATGGGTGGTTTCATATTTCTTGATACACACTTGATAAAATGGCCAATTCTCCCCCACGCAAAGCAATATTCAAAAAGGTACTCGTATTTGAACTCCACCAATTTCCCCACCTCTGTAAAAGTCACTTGGATCTGACGAATGAGGGGAAGGGCGACATCAAATTGGACATGGATGCGAATAAAGTGACCCACACAATTAGAACCATCTCGGTTATCTACCCAAAGAACATCCCCTAATATGACACCAATGTCCTAAGCAAAGGCTGCTGTCATACAAAAGCCACGTACACTATGTAACTGTACCCAAATGGTTCCATGTGCCAAAGGTATAGAATGCATACTACCATCATCTAGGATTTCCGCCAGCAAAATCAAGGAACGCCAATACACCCAGGGTTCCATGTCAAGGACCCTTTTATGATCTCGAGCACTAATGAAGAACACACAAAACCTGTTAGAATCTATAAGACATCCTTATTACCTTTCCATATAACCACCCCTGCATGTTCTCTTGATGTAAGAACCAAGCGACTCCCAGACAAGTGCTCAATATTGTCAATGGCCACATCCCAATCGCGATTCAATGTAGACATGACAGCTGGAATAATAAGACCATGATAACACCACAATCGCAAAGAAGAGACCCGTGTGCAGACGCCACTGATGGAAACCAAAGCTTCGAGCTAAACAACACGATCACAAACCAAAACCAGCCAGATGAGATGTAGAAAGAGAGGAAGAGTTGGTGACCGCCACTAAAAGCGGAGGAGATCAAAGCGAACACATACAACAAACCTTAGCCGTAAAAGTTTTCGTCATACAAAACCAACGAAAACCAGTTCAACTAGCAAGAGAAAGAGGACCTGACGCACGACGCATGCAGGAGCTAAAATTGACAGTGGAGTAGATCGAGGACGACTGAAGCGCGACGGTACCAAGCAAGCCTAGGCTCAACCCTAGGTTTTGTGTATTTTTCCCACTGCTCTCCTTACATCTTATATGGTTTGGTTGGTGAGTTTGAGGCTATATGCTGAAGAAACAATAATATAAGGGTTATTTACTTAAATGGTCCTCAAACTTATACAAGACTTGTATTTTGGTCCCTCAACTAAATTATTCGCTCAAATGGTCCATCAACTCTTTATTATTTGGCAAATTGGTCTCACTATCTAATTTTCTGTTAGATTTAACCAAATTTTAGGGTAAATATGACTTTACATAATTTAAAACAAAAAATAGGGTTAAAATTAATATAAAATTAGAAAAAAATTGAAGAAAGAGAGAAAAAATCCTCATACCTAAACCCAGCGCCCACCTTCCCCCCATTTCTTCTCCCCTATTCCCCAACAGACCCCTCTCTTTCTCTCTTTCCCATTTGCCAATTGACCCCTCCTCCTCCCACCACTTATGGCTTAATCCAAACATCTGATTATTTTTGTATTTTCTTTTTCTTGTTTCTAAGCTACGCAAACACCCAAACAAGATCTCACCCCAACCTAACTTCAACGGCATACGGTTTTGGTGAAAGAAATATGACTTCATTCAACTTTGCCTGAGAGAGAGAGAGAGGAGAGAGAGAGAGAGAGTACGAAAAGACCAATTTGCCCTCATATTTAACGATAATTTTAGTAGAATGTAATGGTGGACCAATTTGCCGAATAACAGAGAGTTGATGGACTATTTGAGCGAATAATTTAGTTGAGGGACAAAAATACAACTTGGGTATAAGTTTGAAAACCATTTGAGTAAATAACCCATAATATAAAGGTGAGTCAAATTTATGAGAGCTTGGGAAAATTGAAATCGGATAACAAGGATGGTTGCAAGGAGATTAAGCCGTTACCCATTTCCTGATACATTTTGGCCGAAGAATATCCCTATTTGATAGAAAATTGGAATTGTCCTTGAATTGCTTCAAATGAAAAACCACAGGGGCAAAAGTAACCCAATTAAAATCACAAGGACCGTAATGGTAAACCACATGGACCAAAAATGACTTTTTGCCTATATATATGATCTTTGCATTCTGGAGATAGAAATAGTCTACAATGCGGTCTATTGGGCTTCCGGTACACACTGTTGGTCCCATGGGTTAGTAACAACGTGAAGTATTTGCCAATAACTGAAACGTATATCTCCTGTACACTATTGGGAATGCAGCCAATGTTTCTCAAGAGCAAGTTATGATGAATACAATGAGGGAAAAATAACATCTTATCGTGAAAAAAGAAAATTAATTATTTCATCTTCCAAAACAACAAAGTCGAATATTTCTTGTGATTCCTCAGTCACTATCATTTTTCTTCGCTGGATCAGAGCTCACAATTGGAAGATTTTTTCTGTACTGTGGAGATGTCAGCCTCCTCTCTAAAGGCGTTTTCCTCTTGCTAACAACAAACCTATTCACCCCTTTACGCATTGGCATTATTGACGGGAAATCTTCATCGGGAATCTGACTCAGCTCTGAGATGTCTTTAATCTGGGCAACACGCTTGAACCATCTCTCCGCTTTTGCCTCCTCTGACATATCTAAAGGATCTGGTTCCTTCACTGCTGATCCCTCCAAGCTTTTCCCAGTCCAGCTCTGTCTAACGTTCTGTTTATTGGACTCTTGGGGCGAATTCCCTGTCAAACTTGCTGTCTGGTTAGAATTCGCTTTCCCAGAAGATCCACTGTTCAATCTGTCCGTGTTGTTAGTGCTAGAACTAGCAAAATGCAGGGCAGAATTTCCACCGATTGGGGGCCCATAAACAGAATCAGTCATTAAACCAGTCTTATTGTCTACGAGATTTTCTCCCGAAGATCCTGGATTCCAGCTTGCCATGCTGCTTTTCTCATTTTCCATCTGCTGAACATGACTAGAATTCAGCTTCCCAGGTCCAGGATCAACCAACTTGTCTGGAGGGTTATCTTGGATCATAGTTGGAGTTGTTTCATGAACAGTCTTGTTAGTCAAATCTGTCCCATCTGCCTGCATGTTGTTTTTCGCAAAGTAGTCAGGTGGGAAAGGGACGAAGGGAACGTAATTGGCATCGCTAGCTTGCTCAGTAGATGTACGCCTCTTGTATGATGGAGAAGTTAAAGAACGATCTTTCTTCTTACTCACAACAAATCGATTCTCTCCTTTACGCATCGGCATAATTTCAGGAAAGTCCTCATCTGATATTGCACTTGCCAGATCAGTAACATCATGCAACTCTGCAACCCGCTTAAACCATCTCTCAGATTTATCAGCTTGGTCACTTTCTTCATCCCTACTACCAGCCTGTTTCGGTGGCTTCTCAGACCTCTGCATACCATCCTCTGATTTACCATATTCATTTTTGTTTCTCAGGAAATTCCCACTCTCCTCCATACTCGAGTTCTCAGGCTTAGAAAATGTATCTGCAGGTAATGGCACAAATTGTCCAGGATTGGTACTCGTACTATTTGATTCAGAAATAGATGCACGGCCAAGAATTTCATTTAAAGTCCGGTTGGCTGTAGTACCAAGTGACTTATTTCCACTCCCAGTTTGGAAATCCTTGCCTTCATGATTACTATCATTATCCAAGTTTTTTCGGTATTGAGCATTGGCCAGCCTCCTCTCTAATGGTGTCTTCCTGGTGCTCACAACAAATCTATTTACACCTTTTCTCAATGGCATTATTTCAGGAAAATCTTCATCAGATACAACGCTGTTCATGTCTGAACTACTGTCTAGCTGAGAAATCTTACTAAACCACCGCTGTGCCTTCTCTTCATTGGCAGCCAGCCTGCTATCGATATCAGCTTTATTTTTATCACCCACATTGTCATATCCTATACTTAAACTAGTTTTGCTGGAACGAAGGGAGACCTCTCCAGGGCGCTTGCAATCACACCTCAAACATACAGTGTTTCTCCCATAATTAAAAAAATCACATCTGAGAAAGAAGTTATTTTATCATTAATTAATCAGGAAAATAAAATTATCCAAACACCAGAGGAGAAATGTAATAAACAAGCAATGCTCACTGAGGACACTCCCACTCCCCGCCAGTCAGCTGTCTCTTTGGCCGTGCTTCCTCGCACTCAAGGCATTTCATGTTCCTTGCAAAGTTCATGAAATTACACCTGCTCATTATAGACATTAGTTCATCAAAAGAATGCCTAATACACATTACAGTAAAAAAGAGAAGAAAAAATAGGAACAATGTCGAATATACAATAACAAAGCCCTAATCATTTCATACAAAAATACAATGAAATTTTAGATAGAAAATAATCCAACATAATAATTGATGATATCCAAAAGAAGGGCTCTACCTCTGGCAAATCCAGTCACCCCGTTTCATTTCAATAGTCTTTCCAAAAGGCCTAATAGGTTCTCCATAGTTATCAAGGGAATGACCCTGCACTGGCCCAATAGAGTTCGACTCTGGAGCACTATAACAGAGCTTGGACATTTCACCCAGCAGAGTACGGACAGATGATTCCAAAATTTCGCTATTGTAGATATTGTTTTTCTCTGAAGAAAAAAGGGGATTGCTAGCATAACTCAATAGAAATCTCATCAAATCAACCGTTTGTGCTTTATCAATGTCCAAGGCCTATAATTCGGAAGGCAATTAGAGCACGAAAATAGACTGGGTTAGTAACACGTAACTCAAATGTACTTATGAAAATATATTTAATATAAAACCCAGGAATTAGAAACACCTAAATCATGCAGAATGTCTTATTGATAAAAACTGAGATAAACCACCAGCCACAGAATTCTTAGTATATTTATAGCAAATCAAAAATAAAATTTAAATTGATTTAGGGATTTAATGGGAAAAGTGCAAGAGGGACAAGATACCGTTTGAATTTTTTTTTAAGTCCACAATAATTTTCAACTGAATTTTTTGAAACTGATCATAATTTCCAGATTCATTAAGCTTCCTTTACTCCACTTACATTATTCGACCCTTTGGAAAAGCAACCTCCCAAAAACATGGATTTTAGGTTTAACTTATATATAGATTAGAAATAGAGATTTTAGATAAGGTCTAATGAGTTTTAAAATTTTAAGTGCAGTCCAAATCAAAACATTAAACACTGACACATATCACATACGAAAACAAACATAAATGAGATGCTCAAGGAAAAGCAAAATTAAAAACGAATTAATCATATCTTTATGGTTTTATTTCAAATTCAGGTTTCATTGCAACTTTTGTGGATTATTGCAAGTCCTTTATTCTTGTTTTTTTTATGAAAAGTCCTTTATTGTAAATCCTTTATTTTTGTTGGTGCTAGTAAGCACGTGATATGGGTTCAACCTTTCTTCTGAAGTTTCCAAATCCAACTGCATTATGTACATTTGCTGGAGCTGGCTTGTGGTTGCAGTCCATGAGTACTAAGAAAAATAATTTGGGGCTCTCAAATGGCTGTTCTAGCTTAGATAAGTTATTCATCTCCAGTATGTCACCATTGATAGTCTTATTTCGTGGTCAATACAAACAGAACAAAAGGTCAAACTATGTTCTCTTCATAGTTCTCAGACCAATATATTATACTGGCAGACCGATATCCAAATAGCTTTGTCTACATCCTCAAATCCACCTAGGGCAGGAGTCACCATAAGGTTGCCATCTGATCAGGGAGAATCACTCATTTTAAATTCTACTCCCCACGTATTGACTCTTTGTACAGGAAATCTCCAAATTTACATTCCCAATATTGACTGTCCCTAATCGAGATTCTCTTGATGAAAGATTGTGACAAGATTCATTTGGCCAGTTTAGTAATAGTAAAAAAAATCATAAAATGTAAAAGCACCATTGGCATTGCTCTACAAATCAAAGAGATCTACCAATACCGACTTTGTTCCTAAAAACAATCCTAAATTTATTGAAAAGCAAAGTTGAATGGAAAAATTCTAAGGCATCCCAGCCAAGATACACGAGGTAGACAATAGAAAACTACACTGGTCAGAGACAACCAAAATGTAATAGAAGAGAACTTTAAAAATGCCAAATTCAGCGGGAGTCTGTTAAATATTTCGTATACCACCTTGACACTTTTGTTTTGTTTTCTAAATTCTCCTCTCTACATTATACCTAGCACAGATACTCATCAAACAAACAAAACACAAAGATAAACCTACCCAGAGAACATTAGCTACCTCTGGTAGTTTTGCATACTGCCCAACTCAGTGAAAATTATATGCTGAGGAATCCAATTCACACAGTACTGAATTTTTGCTAACGTCAAAAATCATAAAAAAGGGTAATTTAATTTTGATTTCCGTAGCATTACAGTTTGTTTAACTATGTGAGTCTACTGAAGTTCCTTCGCTCTGAGTTTGCTCTATCTGATTAAATCAGTATCTTAACAAACCATTGCATTATATCAGAACTTAAAAGTCAGGAGCATTTCCAAGTAAAAGCAATTGGTTTCGCCTAACGGTACAAATCACAACAACAGTAGAAACTCACATGGGTATCGCCTTGGCTGAGAAACAATCTCATTCTTCTTGCAGAATCATCGCCATTCCGGAACAGAAACGGAGTCCCATTCTCCACAACAACCTCCAAATCTTGCCTCGAAAGCAACCTGCAGCAAAGAAAAAAGAAAAAAACCATATGAGCCCATCAGTAGAAATCCCAAATATTGCTCAATGAGAAAGGAAACATAACACACAAAGCATACCTCAAAAGGCCAGCTCGTGCCCTCGCAAACGCCAAGAAAACACTTGCAGCCCGCATAAAGTCCTCGGGCAAATCCCGGGCTGCCTCGGTGAACTCATCCTGGCCGTTGGTTCCACCATAACCGGAGGCTGAGACTGAGTTGAAGAGATGGGACCACTCGGGCCAGGGGTGCAGGGCCGGGAAAGGGGAGGACTCGGCAGAAGAAGGGTAGGCAGCGGAAACGGAGGAGTGGGAGTGGGAATGGAAATGGCGAGAGGGATTGAGAGGGAGAGGGAAAGAGGAAGAGGAGGAGTGAGAAGAGAGGGAATGAGAGTGAGAAAGGAAAGAGAGGGAGGAAGAAGGGAAGAGTGGGGGTTTGGAGCGGCGAGAGAGGCGGAGGAGGAGAGATGGGAAGCGGTGGAGGGGGAAAGGATGAGTGGTGGAGGTGGTGGTGGAGAGGAGGGTGAAGAACCTGTTGCTGGCGCCACCCATCTAGAAGTGGAAGAGCGTGAGACTTGGCAGTTGAGCGGAGTCGATAAACCCTACTTAAGAGCTTGGGGATGGAAATGTGGTTGCAGGAATTTCTACTTTTTTTTAAAATAAATAAATTATTTAGGATTATTAACTATATAAAACCCCCGAATTTTAAGGGTAAATTTAAATCTTATTTATAATTTAACTTTGTCTAGTTTGTCCAATGTCTGCTTTGTTGGGATAGTCAAGGGCCATATGTAATGAGCTGCAGATGCTGGAACTAGCTTGGTCCTCTAGAGACTTTGCAAGACTTTTCACCGAATCATGGGATACGTAACTAGTTGTGGTTGTTAGATGCCTATGATGCACCTTGGCATTTTATTGACATATTATCAAGGTTGGTATTTTTCCCTTATCGAAACATTAAGGAACTTCTATGTGATGCAAACTTCTCCAAAACAATCTTTAACAAATGCAAAACATATTCCATAAGTAAAATATAAAAACATATATATCTCTTTTTATAGTAGTCTCGTAATAAATGCATAGGATATAATGTAATTTCCTTTACAAGTATTATGAAAATTAGTCTCGTTCACCTAAGGACCTATAAATGAAGTAATGTAAGGACCTCTTTAATAAAGACCATTGGATTAATCTAACGACATGTGGGAACACATATTTTAGCAACTAATAGATGGGTGACATGTGGAAAATGAATATTCTTTAGGTCAATTGATTATCCTAATTAAATTCTATTTAATTAGGAAAATTATCTTTAATTTAAGATAGAAATATCTCCCCAAATTAAGGATGAGATTTCCATAAAATCTCCTTGATTAATTCGAATCTCCAATTTATGGGTATAAATAATCCTAACAAAAAAAAGATTATTCTTCAAACCCTAGCACAGAAGGAGCCTATAAATATATGGCTATACAAGACATTCAAGGTAACTCTTTCTCACCCAAAAAACCCTTTTCTTGCTGCCACTCTCTCTCTCCTCTCTCCCACATAGCTAAGTGCCACCACACACGACTAAGGCCACCCGACTCTCCCTGTGAGAGAAAACTTCATCTATTTTAGCTATTGTCTTATCTTTTTTAAGATCCAATTGAACTAACTTAGGCATTGGATGACCTTTGGCCAACACCCCCCATGTGTGATCTATTTACTCCTATTTATTTCACAGGGATTGAAGAAGAGAGAGAAGAAAGATCGATGGTCGAGGAATCAACTAGCGAATATTCCTCGTGAGGAATTTTGCTCAAACATTTTGGTGCTTTCATTGAGAGCACGAGTTATACTCAATGCATGTTCTTGAATAAAAGGAATTCATTTCCTCATTTTCATCGCTCAACCAAAGCCTTCCAAACAACCATGGTTGGAAGCATGTGAACTAGAAGCTGGGCCGCTGCAACAACCCAATCCGCGACGGCCTCAGGTCACCATGACGTCGCGGCTTTGAGGGCACGGCCACTTTCTGCAGCTAAGGCCGTGGCCTAATACCACAGCACAGTGGATACCACCACGGTTCCAGCTGTTGCTGCCACTGTCGTCCCTCGCGGCACCGTGGTTAAGAGCAGTATTCCAGCGCCAACAACAAAGCCACCTTAAGGCCAGCACTACCTTGCAACCCAAGGGACAGTAGCTGGCTCCAGCAACCACTTCCCTCACGGTTTCACGACTCGGTCTAACGCACTCCACCATAACGGTGCCTCGATACATGGTAGTGCGACCTCCAATCACGGCTTCCTTAGTGCCGCTGTGACGCATGGCAGATCCTCCCATCTCGGTGCTGCCACCAACTTAGGCCTCATCTTGGAGCAACATCATTCATTCCCTCATTTGCCTCCACGCTTGACGTATGCTCTTGCACACACCTCCAACAAAATCCTAGCTCGCATGCAATTGGGCTCCACACAATTCTCTCATCCTCATCCATGAAGTCAAGCAGACCTCAGTGTTATAGTTGACGAGCTAACTCAAAGAGTAGACGACCAAAACAACTTGGTTGGATAGCTCCTCAACCAGATTGACTTGGTCCAAGACCTTGGCCTTGGACCACAAGGCGAAGAGAGAATGATGGACGAACACACCGACAAGTGGTTCGAGAGGTCCGATGCAGGTCGAGCAGGAGCAAGCAAACAATGAGAAGGACAAGAGTGTGCTCAGCCAATTGGCATGTTGCAAGCATCCACAAGTCCCACCCAAAGTAAGTCGAGTCTTCGATCAAGATTAAGTCCAAGGATCAGTGTGCACGAGAGGTTGGGCCCACGATTTGATATTTATGCTTGCATGGGCCCATAAAGAAGCATTCTTGCAAGACTAGGCTCCCGAGAAGATCAGCCTCACGGTCATCCCCACGAAGTACGAGAAGAAAGACGCCCACTTGCTCGGTCCCAAGAAGCCAACTCACGATGACAAACTACATAGGTTCCCTCGCAAGCTTAGTCCACCAACCCTCCATGCAAGCAGGATAGTCGAGGAGATTTGCTTCGTAGAGACAATGAAGAGGTAAACAAACGACGCCTACATCATGGAGGACACTGACATGAAGAGCAGGTCATATAGGAGTAAGATTCGAGAAGTTCGTGAATGACTAACTTCGAGACTTGAAGATTGGAGGAGATTTCGAAGATGCTCTGCGTAAGGAGGTGGACTAAGTGAACTCCTCCCCGTTCACCACTGAGATTGAGCATGTGACTCCACTAAGGTGATTCTCAATGACTTCTTTTACACACTTCAAAGGGGATTCCGATCTCGAGAGCCATCTGAAGCACTTCAAAAGTGTTATGATTCTCTATAAGGCTGAAGATGTGCTGATATGCAAGGTGTTTGCAATGAATTTACAAGGAGCAGTCTAGGATTAGTACCATACCCTGCCACCTGGATCGACAGTAGCTTCAAGGAGCTAGCTTTCGTCTTCACCATGGAGTATACTTCTTATCGGACGATAAAAAAGAACTCTACTACCTATTCAACCTATGCAAGAAGCATGACAAGTCCCTCCGAGACTACATCAAAAGGTTCAAGACGGAGAAAGCCAACATTGTGGGATGTGATGACCTGTATCGCGAGCTAACTATTGCTCCCAGCCAAACACTGATAGAGGTCTTTGCGACCGCATAACGCTACGCACTCTAGGACGACGATCGAATCTTCGCAAAGAAGTATGCTAAACAAGTAGATTAATCATCCAAAGAGACAGGTCAGAGAGGTGATAAGCCTAGCAATCAGAATTGTGGAGGAAAGCGCAAGGCACCATCCCAAGGTGGTGCACCGGGAGATGAAGGCTATACAAAGTTCACTATCCCAATACATCAAATCTTAGCTCAAGTGAAAGACAAGCCCTGGCTGAGGAGACCACCAACTTTGAATAGAGATCATGACAAAAGAAGTATCAACAAGTATTGCGCTTTCCATGGAACACATGGGCATGACACAGCTAACTATCGATCTTGGAAGATGCACCTCGAAGAGCTCGTAAAAGAAGGCCACTACACAGAGTTTATGGCAAAGAAGGCCATCCAGTAGATCTAGTATCCCTATGCCGTTAAGGAGCCCCTACAGAAGGTCATAAGGATTAACATAATCCTGGCTGACTTCAAGGAAAACAGGTCGATGTTATCTCCCAAGTCTTAACCAGCTACCCAGCAATTGAAGACGATTCCGTGATCATCTTCTAGAAGAAAGATTTGATCGGGGTTGATCTATTGCATAATGATGCTTTCGTCATAAGCATCCAAATTGCGCAAGGCATGATCGAACAAATTCATGTAGACGAGGGTAGCGTAGCCAATATCCTACAACTTTCGATGGTCTAGCAGATAGGAATTAAGGCCAAGATCAACAGGTCAGCTAAGTCATTGACTGGTTTCGACAGAGTAACCACGATCACTATGGGAACGGTAAAGCTCGATGTTTACTCCCTACTAGTGATCAACGCTCAAACATTCATGATCATCGACAAAGTCTCCCCTTATAATGGCATCCTGGGCAGACCATAGATTGACAAGATGAACGCCATCACTTCCACCACGCACCAAAAAATACGCTACCCAATCCCTAGGGGCGGTGTTGGCCAAATCAACAACTATTAGACAATGGTGAGAAAATGTTTAGCTCAAGGGCTAAAGAAAAGCAAGCAAGCGTAGTTCGTCCCTGTAAATCAAGCAAATCTGAAGGGAGCAAAACAAGCAAGGAATGAAGCAGATCCCGTTCCTGAGAGTCGAGCAAACCAGAAGGAAAGTGAATAGCCATTCCTCAATAGCATCCAGTAGGTCTAGTATCCCTATGCCGTTCGGAGGTCTTCCCTGAAGAAGGATGGAAGCCTGAGGAGGACGTCAAGCTAGTACCTCTTGATCATGATAAGCCAAATTGAAAAGCTCGGATCAGCTCGCGCCTAAGCCCAGAAGAGAAGGTGGAGTTTACAGCCTTCCTCAAGAACAATGACATGTTAGGCATCGATCCATAGATCATCCATCACCGCATTCATGTCAACCCAGCCAGCTGACTAGTAGCGCAGAAGAGACGTAACTTTGCTCCTGAGCCAGTTGACATCATTGAAGTTGAGATTGACAAGCTCCTAGCTGCCGACTTCATTGAAGAAGTCTCCTAATTAGAGTGGCTGACCAATGTTGTTCTAGTGGCAAAGAAAGACCAAGGCAACTGGAGAGTATGTATGGACTACACCAACCTTAACAAGGTGTGGCCAAAAGACAACTTTCCCTTACCAAAAATTGATCAGCTCGTAGATTCAACGTCTAACAATCAACTCCTAAGATTCATGGAGGCTTACTTCGACTACAATCAAATCATGATGCATCAGGACGATAAAAGTGAAGACTTCTTTCATAATTGAAAAATGCACATATTGCTACTATTGAAATGATAATTTTTATTAAATAAATCAATAAGGTACAAGAAAAAAAAAGGGGATGGCTGCCTGCTTGGAAATTTATTAAAAGTGAATGACGACAATAATAATTCATCCAGCATGTGTTTAAAAGGAATAAAAGTTCTTTTGATGCAAGGGTTGTACTGAGAGTGTTTGTTTCAAACACTAAGGCCAATGAGTGATAGTTCACTCAATCTCGAACTCCTCAAGTCTCATGGCCTATAAAAGAGCCATGCCTGTGGAAAAAAAAATGAAGAGAGGATAGAATGGCCGCAAGAAAAAGAAAGACAGCAAGCACACTTTAGAAAGCAAGAGCCATCTCAAGGTAAAATCTCAGTTTCATGGCACAGTTTTCTAGTTTGCTCAAGACTACAGGTTTCGATCAACCCAAGGGTTCCTGGCTATGATGATTTCTATCATCATAAAAACAGTCAGGGATCTCTCTAAGACTTGTCTCCGCTCATATATTTCCAGCGATGTTTTCAAACATCCAGTCCACAATCAACAGGAAAGATTGTCTTCTAAATCATCATATATCAGGGGATAATCTATTCCAATAGGCAGCTCCAATCAAATGCTTTCAAAGATGTGTCCAACCTCCAAATCACAACAATTCGTGAGGATTGTTTGTCATGGTGGGCAAACCATAAAAAAAATAAAATAAAAACTGGTGCACCTCTCTTTTCAAAAGACATAGAGGAAATCCTAGAATTCTCTGGATTCCTCTTACTGTTGCACCATAATGGCCAAAATCATTCAATGATGTCATCGAGATGGGCATGAAAAAAAAAAAAAAAAAGAAGAAAAAGAAAAAAAGAAAAAAAAAGAACCAAAGGCTAATTCATGTAATTTCCCAAGAAGAACTTCCAAGCTTTCCCACGACAATGAGACAATTTGGTTTGTCTTTGATTAAAGCTCACTACATGGAGATCAGCGATATGCAGATTAAAAAAGGAAGAAAGGTTTGCTATGAGAAAAGTGTTGGTGTGAGTCAACGTTCCTATTAGGAATTGAATTTGTTCCTATTAGGAATATAATTTCTATTTTATTGTAATTATCTAATTTGAGTAAAATTAGGAGATTTTGTACATATTTCCTATTTGTAACCACTCTGTATGTAGTATATATATTCCTCATTGAGAGAAGAATAATATATTAGTTTTAAACCCTAATTATTTTGAGTTGGTATCAGAGCGGGTTCCGATCCGTCTCTACAACATCAAAACCCTAATCCTAAAAATACCTATTTCCGCTGCACCTAGCCTATACACCTAAGCCTGTGCTGTCTTATATCTCTTACTATTGTCGTCATCGCCTAATCTTTTGCTGCTACCGCTATCTATCACCATGTCAGATGTCACTGAGTCTTCTTCTTCTACTCTTATTGTGACGGTTCATACCGAATCGTCCACCAACCTACCTATGGGATTTAAATTGAATGGATCTAACTATGAGATATGGGCTTCGATGTTCGAACTCCATGCTACTACACAAGGAAAATTGGGTTACCTGACTGGGAAGTGGAAAATTGCTGATGCTATTGTGAAAAGTTGGATTCTGCAAATTATGGAACCCAGTTTGTTGAATATATTTCATACTCTAACTATTGCTAAGGAAATTTGGGATGCTATTAATCAGATGTTTTATGATGGCTCTGACATATCTCAGCTCTATGAACTACGGTGCTAGGCTACCCGTCTCAAGCAAGAGGGTCGTCTTATCTCTACCTGTTTTGCCGAACTTAAGGCAATCTGGCTTGAATTGGACAAGAGACATCCTTTTCATATGAAGTGTGTTGATGATATGAAGACTTTTCAGGCTGCTGTTATGGCAGATCGTGTGTATGATTTTTTGGCTGGCCTTGACGATACTTATGACAAGGTCTGAAGTGATATTCTACGAAGTCATAAAGTTTCAAGTATCAAAAATGTATTTTTTATGGTTCGTCGAGAGGCTCACGCCAGATTATTATGCTCGGATCCGGCACCAAGATTGGGGAACCTGTTGTTGTGTTTGCTTTCAAAAACACTTCTTTGGTTTCTTAGCGTACAGGGTCTGGCTCTTCTGTTGTTCCGCCTCGTCGCCTGACTTCTGCAGAAAAAAACAAACTGAAGTGTGATCACTGTGGTGAAAAGAGACATACCATCGACACCTACTGGTCATTACATGGGGTACTAGATTGGGAGAAGGAGCAGAGGCGTTTAATAAAGGAACAATTGGATAGCAAAGCTCATGTGGCTGTTGCCCCCACTTATGTGGCTGACCACCTTACTGCTACTCCTCCTCCGACTTTGACCGCCGTCTCAAGCACTCCAACACCTTCGCCTCCAAGTAACTTTGGCAAGGCTTTCCATGCCCATGATACCCGAGATACAGGTTGGATTATTGATTCAGGAGCTACTGACCATATGACATATAATTCTGCTTACTCTCTACTACTCTTCCGCCTCATCGTGATCATGTTTTGACTGTTAATAATGCTGCTGCTCCTGTCACGGGGGTTGGTTCTATACTCTTGACACCTGCTATACCATTGGACAAAGTGTTACCGGTTCCATCTTTGTCTAGTAATTTATTATCTGTACCGCAATTTACTGAGTAGTTAAATTGTGTTGTACTGATGTATCCGTCTTTTGTCTTACTACAGGATATCCAGACTTGGGAGATCTTTGGTCGTGGTACTAAAAAAGGGGGGCTTTATTATGTGGATGATGTGGCAACTAGTCGGGTTCTTTGTGCTGGTAGCACCGAAACTTCTCAGCATCGCCGGATTTGGTTGCTACATTACCGATTTGGTCATGCCTCATTTGGATATTTACAGCATTTGTTTCCTGCATTATTTAGTGGTGTTAACGAGTCTGATTTCCAATGTGAGACTTGTATTTTAGCTAAGAGTCATCGGGTATCCTACCCTCCAAGTTGTAATAAACGGCTTATGCCATTTGATTTAGTTCATTCTGATGTTTGGGGACCTTCCCCAGTTTCTACAGCCTTGGGAGTTCGTTGGTTTGTGTTATTTGTGGATGATTGCACTCGTATGATGTGGTTATATGGGATGAAAAATAAAAGTGATGTGGTCGAAATTTTTCAGCGTTTTTATCAGATGATTCAGACTCAATTTATGCTCCCTATCAAGGTTTTTCGATATGATAATGGTGAAGAATTTGTTAATTTGGCTTTATCCCATTTTTTTCACACTAAGGGTGTACTCCATGAGACTACTTGCCCTCAAACACCACAATAGAATGGGGTTGCTGAACATAAAAATGGGCTAATCCTTACTGCTGCCCATGCTCTGCTGCTTGGTGCGTCAGTTCCAAAGCGGTTCTGGATGGATGTTGTTACCTATGCAGTCTATCTCTTAAATCGTCTACCTTCACAAGTTTTGGATTTCCAAACTCCTATGCAGGTACTGACCCATCATATCTCTACCTCTTCTATGTTGACTCTATCTCCAAAGGTGTTTGGTTGTGTCGTCTATGTTCACCTCCATCAGAATCAGAGCAGTAAGCTGGACCCATGTGCTCTCCGTTGTGTCTTTCTGGGTTTCTCTCCTCATCAAAAAGGTTACCGATGCTATCATCCTACAACCCAACGTCTATATGTCTCTATGGACGTTACCTTTGTTGAGGATCAAATGTTCTTCTCTAATACACCCGAGCATGTCCTTCAGGGGGAGACTAGTAGTGAAGGACATAACTGGCTAGATTTACAAGGGGGAGTAGTATTGGATAGTTTGATACAAAGGGAAGAACTGACCGAACCTGCTGAACCTGCTACACCGGCCGAATCTGCTACACTAGTTGAACCTGCTATTTTAACTGATGTCACTACTGTCATTGAATCGATTGCCCCCCATGAAGCTTCTCTAATAGTACCCGATCAAGCTCCCCTGGATATTCTTGAGGTAAGTGCTTCTATTCATACTTCTGATAATTCTTATGTTTTACCGCCTAGACGGAATCGTGGGGTTCCACCTGATTGTTACTCACCAAAAGGCAAAGCGAGATATGCTATTGCCCATTATGTGTCTGATCACAGGTTATCTCCTGAGTGCAAAGCGTTTGTGACCAGAATGGATAATTTTAAAATTCCGACCCGTGTTGAGGAGGCATTTAATGATCCAAATTGGGCTGAAGCCATGAATATTGAAATGGAGGCGTTGCAAAAAAATAATACATGGGACATTGTTGATCTACCAAAGGGAACGAAGCCTGTAGGATGCAGATGGGTGTTTACATTTAAATATAATGCAGATGGTACTGTGGAGAGGTACAAGGCAAGATTAGTAGCTAAAGGGTTCACTCAGACATATGGAGTTGATTATCATGATACTTTTGCACCTGTGGCTAAGATGAATACTGTCAGAGTTTTGTTGTCCTCTTGGATTGGAACCTGAGGCAATTTGATGTAAAAAATGCATTCTTACGGCAATTTGATGTAAAAAATGCATGCTTACATGGTGAACTAGAGGAAGAAGTGTACATGAGTCTTCCACCAGGGTATAGGGTTACCGGTGAAACGGGGAACGTGTGCAAATTGAAAAAGGCGATGTATGGGTTAAAGCAGTCTCCTAGGGCATGGTTTGGCAGATTTACCGCAGGTATGAAGAAGTTTGGTTACCGACAGGCCAATACTGATCATACTCTATTCATTAAACATAGGGCTGGTAAGGTGACTTTGTTGATTATTTATGTTGACGATATGATTGTGACTGGTGATGATACTGTAGAAATCGAGGAACTGTAGAAACGTTTAGCATCTGAATTTGAGATGAAAGATTTGGGCAGTCTGAAATATTTTCTAGGAGTGGAAGTCACTCGATCTAAACATGGCTTATTTCTTTCACAAAGGAAGTATGTCATGGACCTGCTAGCAAATACCGGAATGCTTGATTGTAAACCAGCTGATACACTTATTGTTGAGAATCATAAACTTGGTGTTTATGTGGATCAGGTCCCAACTAACATAGAAAGATACCAAAGGTTAGTTGAGAAATTGATTTATTTATCATTGACACGCCCTGATATTGCCTATGTTGTAAGCGTTGCTAGCCAATTTATGCATTCACCTAGTGAGGATCATATGGCTGCTGTGATGCGTATTCTGAGTTATTTAAAGTCTGATCCTGGGGGAGGTTTATTATTTAAGAAAAATGGTCACTTGGATCTAGAAGGTTACACTAATGCAGATTATGTAGGGAATATTACAAATAGACGTTCTACTCAGGTTACTTCACCTTTGTTGGTGGTAACCTTGTTACGTGTCTCGGTCCTCCGCAGAGTCTGAGTACAGAGGGATTGCCCAAGGGGTTTGTGAAATACTATGGTTGAGGTGGTTACTTGCTGAAATTGGTTTTAGACTGAATGTTGCTACAAAGCTCCACTGTGATAATCAGTCTGCATTTGAAATTGCTAACAATCCGGTGCAACATGATCGAACTAAGCATGTGGAAGTTGATCAACATTTCATTAAGGAGAAGCTGGAGCATAAGTTAATTTCTATACCTTTTGTGCCTTCTTCAGAGCAGCTTGCAGATATGTTGACCCATGCCGTGTCCAAGCGCCGATTTGAAGACTCACTTGACAAGTTGGGCATTACCGATATCTATGCACCAACTTGAGGGGGAGTGTTGGCGTGAGTCAACATTCCTATTAGGAATAAAATTTGTTCCTATTAGGAATAGAATTTCTATTTTATTGTAATTATCTAATTTGAGTAGAATTATGAGATTTTGTACATATTTCCCATTTGTAACCACTTTGTATGTAGTATATATATTCCTCATTGAGAAAAGAATTAAAGCAAAGGAGAAAACTCTAATTATTTCGAGTAAAAGCACCAACCCAAGTTTATGGGGATGTTTTGCTTTGTTGAAGATAAAATAACAATTAAAGCACAGGAGAAAACTCCTTGGGTGTCTTGATCAAATTAAAAACATTTGTAATAGAAAAATCATCAACTTCATGACAGAAAATTACATCGCTGCAACAACAACCCACCAACCAATTGGTTTGACGAAAAAAGAAGAAAACAATTGTCTATTGTTTCTCTTGTGTGCAACAAGCAGTGATCAGGACCAAGGTTGTTTGGTCCTTGCGAGAACTTTCCTTTTGTCTTTACAAACAAGGGAATCTCAAAGTTTTCAACATGGCCCACGGCAAGGCACTAGGGGATCATGCATGGAAGTGCTACCTCGTGAAAACCAGAATAAGAGAAGGAATTCTTCCTTGACTCCTCAGGGGGTTCCAATCCAAAAAGAACTTCACTTGGAGAGGAACTGGAGCCAAAAATTATATTTTCATGATATTGTTTGGGCCTAAAATTGACACGCCTAGACCAACAAAGGAGGCCAATAATAAAACCACAAAACTCAAACAGTTTTGTCTTTGAGAAAAAAAAAGGGGGAAACAGAAGCCCAAAATCCAGAAAGGGCTAACCCAAGACCTATCAAAACAGACAAGCAAAACTTGGGCCTCAAAAGAAAAGTCACCTTCGGGCTCCAGACAAAAATAAACCCAGCACGATTTTGATAAAAGAAAAGACCCATTTCTTTTCAGAAAACCACACGACACCCTTTTATCAGATTCGGAAAAGTCAACAAAACCAACCATTACAGAGATGATTAGAGAGGGTCAGTAGCTGGCAAAACTGGGAAGGGACATCTCTGAAATTCTGAAAGATCAAATACCCTTACATATGAATATATTTAGAGATATTTCTTCTATTCAGAAGGTGATTTTCCCAAAGAGATAAGCAAACACAATCTCAGAGAAAGATAAACAGGAAAACAGGGACCTATTCAAAACTGAGAATTAGACTAACCATCACGGTTCTCACAGGGGGCAGTTGGAATTAAAGAGGGGTTAGGTTCTTTTTCAAAAAAAATAGGGAAGTGATCTTAAGAACTGACTATTGAGAGCTTATTTACCAGAAATTGATCAAAACCCCCTTTCTTTACAATTAAAAATGAAAGATCTTTTTAAAGAAAATTGCCGCCCATTATTTAAAAAGAATTACCCTACTCCAGATAACATCTCTTATAAATACAAGAAGGAGTGAACAGGGCAAAAACACAATTAATCCAACACTCAAGTCATCAATCAAACAAACAACTCAAAATCAACCAGAAGCTCACTTGAATTCCAAGTGAAAACCAGCTTTAGATCAGAATTCCCAAGGTTCAGACTTAGAAAATAAGTCATTCAAAACGAGATTTCTCTTACAAATTTGGTTCAGCAAAAAACCAAGACAGGTAGAGCTTGAGCTTTTTCCAAACATGAAAACCTCAACAAATTTTACAGTACTGTCTCTAGCCCACTGAAGTCCTCGAGAACAGCCACTTCTGCCCTTACAGACTGAAGAAGCCGCAGTTCTGCCCACTTAGAAGCCTCACAAAAGCTTGAAGTGTATTAAAGCTCTGCCAAAATTAACCTTTGGTATCGATCTACAGCTGAAGCTTAGCAGCTGAAGTTGTTAACAGTCCAGTCCAGCCCGAATCAGAACGTCCTATCCAGGCAAAAATGGAGTTCCAGCTGTCCTTTCGTCTTTCTAGCTTGGATATTTATGTTTATAGTTTTGTAAAAGGCAATTCTGCCTAGGACAGCTTAAATTCCATCAACCATTCTGGCCAGAACAACTTCTTTATACTGAGATAAATTGTTAAAGTCCTCACCAGTATGAGGCAAGAAAAGAACTTACTTGGGAGATATTCCTCACCCAAATTCACAATCGCTTGTTTATGGAAATCAGTAACTTGGGGCGTAAGTTATCTATTCTCGAATAAGTTTGCTAGAATCTTCATTGCTAGTAGTGGCATGCTCATACACCAAAGAAAGCTGACTTGCTAACCAATCAATGGTTTTCAAGGCAGTGAGGAACTTTGTCCTTCCACCATAGGAGTGATCACAAAACGGGTGAACAGATATGCCTATCAAGATATTGGGCTATCAAGTGCAAGTTTAAAATCTGACAGTCTCATATCAAAATGGATATCAAAACACAATGGACTCATCTCATAACTCAAGACTAGACGGCCCCAAATACAACGGGCTCATTCCATTGCAGGACTCAAGTTCAATGGAATTGCCCTTTAAAAAAATCCAATTGATGAACAATTGGTGGAAAGTCTCAAATTCACAAGTTATGGATTAATGGGCTCAAATAAAAAGTCCCATTAATTCCCAATGAAGAGTCAAGTGGTACAAAACCACATCAAATCTCAAGTGGCACAAAACCACACCAAATCCCAAGTGGTACAAAACCACACCAAAACCCCAAGTGGTACAAAATCACCAAGTGGTACAAAACCACGCAAATGAAACAATCTTTTTGGAACTACGTCGATTTGATCCTGTCAAGGGTACGTAAGCAGTCTGACACCCCAATAGACGTAGCCGCAATCAAATCTAAATCCCAAGCAAATTCGCCAAAACACTTTCCCAAGTGCAAATGTCAATTTTAGAAAAATTAATGGGTTAATCAAAATTGCTCATTATTTTTCTTGGACATTGACAAAAAGAAAAATGGTACAAAATCATCCAATTTTTCATGGGTCATCTACCCATGCAAATTTCAGTGAGATTAATTTCAAATCTCCAAAACAAAAATTCTTAATTAGTGGGCCACCCTTACCTATTAATTTCCAAATCTTGAATTCGAATAGAATTCCTGGTTTATTCTTAACCAAATTTGCTCCCCAAACACAATTCCATGTCGAATCCCTGATTTATTGAGCTAAATTCACTCAAACATTTCTCAATACAAATTCAAATTAAATTTCCCTCGCAATGAGTCATTTATTCATTGCAATTCTTTGAACTACAAGTGGCTTGATTTTTGCAGGGGAGACGTAGGCACCCTGAGGTTCAACTTAGGGGCATCCACAAAACCAAAGACACGTGTTCTGTTTTTCATGATGGAATCAAAGGGTGTTCCCTTGAAGCAAGAGATTGTAATTAAGAGACACTACGTCTCGAATGAGTTGAACCTAAAATAATAAAACCCCATTAATTAATTAGTGGTGGTGAAATTATGTTGGGAGGTTCACATTTTTCTTCAACAGCTACAAAGTCATACCCTTAGGGCTAAAGAACGCCAGAGCAAAGTACCAAAGGCTTGTGAACAAGAATTTCAAGGAGCAAATCGATAAGACTATGGAGGTCGACATAGATGACATGCTAGTCAAAGTTCCACGGCCAGCAGATCACATCAAGAATCTTGCCAAAGCCTTCAGCCTCTTTTGAAAGTACCGCATGAAGTTGAACCCGAGCAAGTGCATGTTTAGAGTCTTATCTGGCTGATTTTTGGGATACTTAGTCACCCAAATAGGCATTGAAGCACATCCCAATCAAATCAAGGTCATCCTCAACATGAAGTCGCCTACCACAAAGAAGGAGATACAAAGTCTAATGGGTAGAGTAGCAATTCTCAACCGATTCCTTTTGAGATCCACTAACAAGTGCAGGCCGTTCTTCAAAGTCTTGAAGAAAGGACAAAGAGACAAGTGGGATAAAAAAGGCAATGTAGCTTTTCAAAACTTGAAGACCTACCTCACTTCACCTCTCATGCTCTCAAAACCCATACCATGTGAAGATTTGTTCATCTACTTGGCGGTGTCCAACATAGTAGTCAACTTAACTCTCATCCAAGAAGAGCTAAGGGCACAACATCTGGTATTCTACACGTCAAAAGCCCTCATCGATGCAGAGACTCACTATCCGAAAATGGAGAGGATCATTTTGTCCCTTGTAGTTTCTGCAAGAAAGTTAACCCTACTACCAAGCTCATTGAATCATCATCATGACATAATCTCCTTTGAAATGGATTCTTCATAGTCCTAACAGCAGAAAAATCAAGTTGAAAACTGCAAGATACTATATGAAGGACAACAAGCTTGTTCGAAAGTCATATTTCGGTCATCATCTCACCTGCATCAAGTACTCGTAAACTCTTGAAGTGCTTCATGAAAATCCACGATGGCTAGTGCGACAACCATTTTGGGGGCAGGTCATTCACTTAGAAAGCTCTAAGCATAGGCTACTTTTGGCCTACAATGAGACTCGTCTCCATTGAGTATGTCAAAAGATGTAATCGATGCCAACGATATAAGATGGTTCCTCCGTTGAAGTGTACCATCCATAGAACAGCTCGTGGCCATTCATGCAATGAGCCATTGACTTAGTGGATCCCATGCCACCGACGCCTGCCAAGACTACTTTACTAAATGTATCGAGGCTGAAGCTTTGTCTTCTACTAAAGAAGCCGACGTGGAGCGATTTGTTCGGAAGAAAATCATCTACCATTTTGGCTGGCTAGAGTCATTGGTCAATAACAATGGGTCGCAGTTCATTAGTAGACAGATCATCGCATTCTTTGCAAAGTATGACATCAAGCAACACCTGTCAACTCCTAAATATTCGCAAGGCAATGGCTAAGCATAAGCATCTAAACAAGATAATGTTGGATTGCTTGAAGAAGAAACTGGAAGGTGCTAAAGGAAAATGGGTTGATGAACTGCCTTATAAGCTTATCGCACCACCAAAAAAAGATCGACTACCGAAACCCCATTTTCCTTCACCTATGAAACTAAAGCAATCATTCCCTCCCATATCACTGCTCCATCCATGAGCATGGAGGTAGGCAGCCTGGATCAGAATTGTGAGTAGATGAAGGTCAACCTAGACCTGATCGAGGAAGAAAGAGAAAAGGCTATTGTTCGAGTTGCAGCTTATCAACAACAATTGACATCCTACTACAACAAAAAAGCCAAAGTTAGACAATTCTAACCTCGAGACCTTGTGCTTAGGAAAGACTTCATTTCCGCACACGACTCAAAAGGTATGACCCATGAAGCTCCTACTTACCTGCTTGGATCCAAGTAGATGACTAAGCCCACTCCACTTCAGTTCGAAGAAAGTTCGAGTTTTTCAAAAGAAGTGTTTGAGAGAAGATCCAAAATGTCATAAGTGAGACACATGAAGGAATCCAAAACGTCCTAAGGGAGACATAGGATATTGCCAAAACGTCCTAAAGGAAACATAGGCAACCGCCAAAATGTCATAAGGGAGACGTAGGCCAACTGCCAAAATGTCCTAAGGAAGACGTAAGAAATCGCCAAAACATCCTAAGGGAGACATAGGCCACCTGCCAAAACGTCCTAAGAAAGGCGTAGGTCAACTGCCGAAACATCGTAAGGGAGACGTAGGCAACTGCTAAAGCGTCTTAAGGGACACGCAAGCCACATCCGAAGCTTCCTAAGGGAAAAGCAAAAAGCACCCTTTAAGTAAGTGATGGGTAAACATTCAAGAATCATAAGGGAGATGCATAACCAAGGCACTAGCATGTCACTCAAGCAGTTCACTAGACCTAATAAATTTTGTTTTAATAACTAAAATTTCCATAGCAAAGTGACCGCTCGACAGAGTTCAACAAAAAGAATAGGTGATCAATAGATCTAGAAGTTCAAATATATGAGTAAGTAGTCGACATGCCCAAGTTGAGCAGATCGGATGAAGTGGTCAACCGAGACCTGTTTTCCTCCACTTTTTAGCTTGTGAGAGAGATCTTGGAGGATTGTACTGCTTGTTGAGGATAGGAGTTGTTGTGCACACCAAGGTGGGTCACACTTATGTTTTTATTTTTATTTAATTTTTTCTTCGCGACAAGGACCAGTTGGCAAGTTGCTATCGACTGTGGCCATCACCTGCCGACTGCCATCGGCTACTGAGGCCATAAGCTGCTCCTGAGGTCATGGGCCTACTACGGTTGCAACCTACTACCCAGTGCAACTTGGGCCATGGTTTGCCTTGCGGTTTGGGCCATGCCTTGAGCTGTGTTGGCCGGCTAGTGCGATGTATTGCTATCATATGTCTTAAACTGCTGATCTATTTTACTCACATATCCAAAGTTTGTTAGGTCATGAAAGGAGGAAGATGGTCTAACCCCAGCTGGTGATGTTGAGAGATGGAAACATCATAGTCTCAACTCGAATGATTAGCTCAATCTTCTGCTTGAGGTGAGTAGGATACCGTCACGTACACAAATATAGCCAATGAGCGGGTAGCTAGTGAGACAATGGCTGATGAGTCTATAGAAGAGGAGGATCAAGCCAAGGAAAGCATAGTTGATGAGGCCGAGGCTGATGTTGTGGAGTAGATAGCCAAAGATAACAAGCAGGTGGCTGCAACCAATGAGCAGGTATCTGAGGTTGATGAGACTGGAGTTGAGGAGCATGCCAATAAGGAGGAATCTGAAGATAATGTTTCAAAGTAGATGAAGACTTTTCGTGTTTGTAACTTTGTGGTTTTAAGTAATTAATTTTAATTAGTTTTTTTAAATAATTTTAAATAATAATTTATTTAATTTTTCATTATGGAAAACGGTTACCCTTTTCTTATTTTATTTTTTTACAAGGCGATAAAAAAGCTGTAAAAAAATTTCGATTAATTGAAAGAAATATGGAAGCAAATACATTTAATAAGGGGAAAAAAATTACATTTACGAAGGGTAAACTTGCAAACAAAATTGGGTTAATCATTTTGTTAGTCCATGAATTTAGACCCGATTGGCATTTGAGTACCTCAATTTCCAAAATGGAACCCGTGGTCCTTTAACTTTAGTTTCGTTAGGACAAATGGTCCTGTAGTCAATTTTTTTAACTTTTCTGTTAAATGCAGGGACAAAATAGTATTTTTGTATCAAAATTGATTAAAATATGAATTAAAAAAATAAAAAAACTGAAAATTAAAATTAAACTCTCTCTCTCCCTTTATCCTGATTTCTACTCTCCCCAAACATGAAATTTTTTTTTGGGGTTTTTTATTTGATTTGATTTGATTACTATTTTAAAGATATGATTATTTATTTATTTTTTTGTTTTAATATAAAAATACCATTTTGCCTCTACATTTAACAGAAAAAGTTAACAAAATTGACAGCACGATCATTTGTCCAAAAGAAACTAAAGTTAAAGAACCACGGGAACCATTTTGGAAATTGAGGTACTCAAATGCAAACCGGGTCAAAGTTCAAGGACTAATAAAACGATTAACCCAACAAAATTTATGCATTTATGACATTGTTTGAAGTGTAAGTAAGGTGACACATGCCATGTGTATAAGAAAGAAAGTCCAAAAGAGAAGGTTAGAGAGAACTTGCTAGCATTCACCATTTTCTCTCCTGCTATGCTAAGCGATGACGAGCCTCACTGACTCAGTTTCCATCACTTTTTCTCGAGAAACAAATGGAAACCAAGAACGAAACTTTTCCAACATCTCAGAAAACAACCCATCCTTACTCACAGGAAAAGCCAAATTTCTTCAATTGGTGTTGGGCTTCTGAGAAATGTAGGGTCCAGAAGAGGCTTTTGCGCAAACTTGGATGACTCGGAGCTTAAGGACTTGATGGAATACATGAATTCTCTGAAGAACTACAAGAAATCGGGCGTTCCCAAAGATGCAGGTACGGATTTGGAAGACAGGTTTGACCTGGGTCGGATGAGACGATTGTTGTAGCTACTGGGTAATCCTCACTCTAAGTTCAAGGTTCGAAATATCACTGGTGTAACTCTCTTTTAATGCTTGTGCTCTGTTTGGTTAGTGAGAAAAAATAACACTGAAAGTGGAAGGATTTTCTATTTTAGTTGTTGAAGGTGCTTAGCTTGACTCTGGGTTCACTTGGGTTCATGATCTGTCATTAAATAAACTTCTATGTTGTTTTTTTATGTGGTTACTTTTTCTTCCCTTTATTTTGCTAATCGTGAGGACAAGTAAAATTAACTAGCATGACAACAATTATAGGCCGTTCACATTGTCGGGACCAAGGGAAAAGGATTAACCGCAGCATTTCTCTCCAGCATTTTGAGGGCAGAAGGGTATTCTGTTGGTTGTTATACTAGGTGTGGCTCATTTGTTTTTATCTCAATATCTACGGTTTTGTTTATGTTTTTAACTTACTCTGATTTGAAGTAACCTTTTGTTGAGGGGAGGCTTCATTTATGTCTATGCAGCCCGCATATTCAAACTATCAGGGAACATATATCATTGGGAAGGTTTGGCGAACCAGTATCAGCAAAGGCATTGAGTTCTCTTTTCCGTAGGATTAAAAAGATTCTTGATCTTGCAGTGGAAGTCGAAAATGGGTTTATGAGTCATTTTGGGTTGGAGCGCGTATTTGAATTCACAAAATGATTTCTTTTTCCTTTCAACATTTTTCCATTGTCGGATTTGGGCATCTTGTATTATATTGTAAACTTGTAATGAATTGGAATTTGTTGGGTTCTCCATGCTATCACATTCACACTATTCGCTCAAGAGAATGTTGGCATTGCGGTTATTGCGGTTATTCACTTTTCCTTTTGATATCTTTTTGCAAATAATTGCCCTTTGTTTATGCCCTTTCAAATATATTTGTTTTTATTTCATGCAAATGAATAGGCTGGGTTAGGCGGTGCATGTGATGCAATTGCAACTAATGTCATTTGTAGCTATGGACTTGCCACATCGGTCATAACTACATAGGTGAGGAACATTTGGCTGTGCTTGGAGGTTCTTTGGAAAGCATTGCAACACCGAAGTCTGGAATCATTAAACTGTTAGATTCTTTATATGCATGTTCTAGATCTTACACACAATCTATAATACGTATAAAGATATAAAGACATACCTGGAGCCATCTTCCTTGAGTACACAGCTTTTGAACTCATCCAATCCGTAGCAGCAGCAATCCTAGCAAGAACAGGAACGGCTCAAGACTTCTGCTCTCTCTCAGAATCTGTTTCAGCTCTCATCATAAGCAGGGCCTTTAGCTTATATAGGGCTAGGTCAAGTGGTCTCTACTCATCACCGAGGGCCGACTTGACTTATCTTCCAAGCCCACTTAATCGGTTCACGCAAAAATGAAACAAATATAGGACTCCTTAATTAGGCTCCAAAACCCTTCCTTATTTCACAAGGTTTTGGGCCTCAAGGCATAACTTAATTAAACTCTTATTAAACCTGATAGGACTTAGTATCTAGTGCACCGATCTAAATAGGAAAACATAACATTCTCCCACTAGATCAAGCACTAGAACACTAAGTTTTTGTATTCCGAAAGGTTTAATAATCTTTATTGGCCATGAGTTTAAAATAGTTAAGTCCTTCCCCTTCAAGCTACCGTGAAGAGTGATTAAACAAAACAAACTATAGACAAACACTGCTCTCTTTATTAAAACATGCCGTCTATAATCACATGATGCAATCTCTAAACACATGAAGCACCTACAACGTGAACCTGAATATGTACTGATCCTTAGTGTGAATCTTTATGCATTTTAGTACAAGCACCCCTTTATGACTTAGCAAGAGTCAATCCGCAATGTTATTAAAACAATAGTACCTCAAAAGAGACTATAAACTCACATGCATAAACAAAATTGCATAATAAGTTTAAACAACTAAATAGTCAAAATGGCAGAATTTATTCAATAATAAATAAATAAAACTGTCAACCAAATTAACATCCTTAAATGCAAATCCCTCAATCCAGAAAAACAACAAAATGAACAAAAACAAACAAACTAGAAAAATATCATAATGGGAACAAGACTCCCACTAGATTGCAGCATCAATGCTAGGAAAAATTCCCATGCTCTCAACATGTCTCAGAAAAGCTTCTAAAGGCAAAAACTTTGTGAACAGATCTGCAATCATGTCTTGAGTTCTGATGTGATCACTATTAAATATTTTCTGTCAATATGCTGAAGTCCAGACGACATCTTGTTGTTCATGCAGTGGAAAACAGCTGCAGTGTTGTGATTATATATCCGTATTGGTCTAGAAATCGAGTCCACCACCTTAATGTCTTTAATAAAATTCCTTAGCCATACTGCATGCGAAGTGGCTTCATAGCAAGCTATGTATTCAGAAAACATGGTTGAACTCGAAACACCAGTTTGTTTAGCACTCCTCCAAACAACAGCTGCTCCTGCCATCTTGAAAAGAAAACCTTAAGTAGAGATGTAATCATCCTCTGCTTTTCCAAGATTCGCATCAGCATAACCAACAAGCTCTAAATTTTCTGTGCGTCTGTAAATCAACATATAAGCCTTTGTTCTCTGTAGGTACCTCAAAACCTTCTTTCCAGCTATCCAATGTTGCATTCCTGGATTTGACTGAAATCTTCCCATCTCGCTAATGCACAAGGCTAGGTCTGGCTTTGTACACACTTGTGCATACATAATGCTTCCAACTAGAGAAGCGTCTGGCTTGTTCCTCATCTCATCTTCTTCTTCTTTATTCTTGGGCCAATGCTCCTTCTTTAAATCTCCTTTAGCTAACGGAACTTTCTGTCTAGAACACATACTCATGTCAAAACGCTTGAGTACCCTCTCAATGTATGTTTTATGTGATAGGCCTAGAAGACCTCGAGCTCAGTCTCTCTGAATCTCAATGCCCAACACAAAAGCAGCTTTTCCCAAATCCTTCATCTCAAAATTATTTGAAAGTAGGTCCTTGGTGTCGTTTAGTAAATTGTGGTCATTCGTAGCCAAAAGTATGTTGTCGACATATAGCACTAGAAAAATAAATAGGCTCCCACACGTCTTCAAATAAATGCACTGGTCAGCTATGTTCTCTTCAAAACCATAAGATGAAACAGTTTGGTGAAATTTGAAATACCACCTCCTACTTGCTTGCTTTAGTCCATAAATTGCCTTACCAAGTTTACAAACCATATGCTCTTTTCTCTCCTTTGCAAACCCTTCAGGTTGCCTCATGTAATTTTCTTCTTCGAGCTCTCCATTCAAGAAGGCAGTTTTGACATCCATTTGATGCAAAAGTAAGTCACAATGCGCCACCAAAGCCATAATGATGCGGAAAGAATCTTTGGCGGAAACTGGAGAAACGTCTCAGTGTAATCAATTCCCTCCCTTTGGTTAATCCTTTGGCTACCAATCTGGCCTTAAATCTTTCAATTCTTCCATCCTTATCCTTCTTTGTTTTAAATACCCATTTCGAGCCTACCAAATTCTGGCTCTTGTGAGGTTCAACTAATTCCCATACTTGATTATTCTTCATGCTTTCAAGTTCATTTAACATCGCTTCCCTCCATTTGTCTGCATTATGACTCTCCATTGCTTCTCTGAAACTTGTTGGATCAGCCTCATCTCCAATGTCAAAATTTGGTTCTTGTAAGTACACATAATCTGAAGTTGCTGTGGATCTTCTTGGTATGTCAGATCTTCTCGGTTGTACAGGTTCTTGTGGATCATCTAGCTCAAGATTCTCAATAGTTCTTCAAATTGAGGATTTTCCAAGACAGTTTCACTTAAAGGAATCAAGGGTGTAACTTCTTGTTCAGCATTCTCAATCACAGCTCCATCACCTTCTTCTTCAAAAATAAAATCTTCATTCCCAATGGCATTCTCCTCATGCTCTATAAACTTTGCACAACCAGTCTCAACAATTTGGGTACCATAATTTGGACAATAAAATCTAAAACCCTTTGACCTTGCGGGATAACCTATAAAATGACAGCTTATCGTTTTAGGATCAAGCTTATTTTCTTGAGGGTTTTAAATTCTAGCTTCAGCCTTGCAACCCCATACATGAAGATGTCTCAGGCTAGGCTTTCTGGTAGTCCAAATTTCAAAAGGTGTCTTAGGCACAGACTTGCTAGGCACTCGATTAAGTATGTAGTTCGCTGTCTTGATTGCTTCTCCCCATAGACTTTTAGGCAAATCAGTTTTCGAAATCATGTTGCGAACCATATCCTTCAAGGTTCGATTTCTTCTCTTAGCCATACCATTCTATTGCGGAGTCCCTAGTGTTGTGTACTGAGCAATTATTCCATTATCCTGCAGATACCTAGCAAGAGGTCCAGCCCCTCGTCCTCCTTCATCAAAACATTCATAAGATTCACCCCCTTGTCTGACCTCACAATCTTTATCTTTTTCTGAAGTTGCCTTTCTACTTCAGTTTGAAAAATCTTAAACATTTCAAAAGCTTGAGACTTTTCTGGTATGAGATATAGATAACCAAAACGATAATGATCATCTATAAAGGTGATGAAGTAGTGATTTCCATCAATTGTTTGATGAGGGAATGGTCCACAAATATCTGTGTGAATGATCTCTAAAAGATCACTACTATGTGTTGCGCATTTCTTCTTAGTCTTAGTGAGTTTTCCTTTGACACATTCAATAAAAATTTTGTCATTAGTGAAAGTCAATGAAGGCAAGATTTGTTCCTTAACTAGAATTTTCATTCTTTCTGTTGAAATGTGACCTAAATGTCTATGCCATAACCTAGTGGATATTCCTTCACTTCTAATTCGTTTCTCACTCGATTCAGCCATTAAAAACTCACCTTCCTTATTGTAATTGAGACAATATAATCCATTTGAGAGAAAACCAGTAGTAAGAACATTTGAATTATGAGATAATGCAAAGCCATCTTTATTGAATTGAAAAACATAACCAAGTCTTGATAATCTTGAAACAGAAATCAAATTCCTCTTCATTGAGGGTACTAAAACTATATCATCCAACTCTAAAATAAAACCAGAATCCAATTTCAGCTGCACTACTCCAACGGCTTCTACATCTACTTGCTCTTCATTCCCCAAGAACACTTTAACTTCATGCTTTCTTGGTTCCCTCCTTCTTGTGAATTTCAGCTGCACTAATCCAATTTCAGCTGCACTCCAACGGCTTCTACATCTCCTACGCCCGAATTGCGAAGGTCGCCAACGTGATTGACCAGCAATGTGTATGGAAGACATTGAGAAGCTTATGAATGACTGACTTCGAGATCTGAAGATTGGTGGGAACCTCGACGATGCACTACGCAAGGAGATCGACCAGGCAAACTCCACACCTTTCACTGCCGAAATCGAGCAGGCTGCTCCCCCGAAACGATTGTCCACCCCTTAGTTTACACACCTCAAAGGGGACTCCGATCCCGAGAGCCACCTAAAACACTTCAAAAGTGTCATGATCCTCCACAAGGCTGACGACGCGTTGATGTGCAAGGTATTCTTAGTGACCTTGCGAGGAGCAGCCCAAGATTGGTTCCACACCCTGCCATTCGGGTCGATCAACAGCTTCAAAGAGTTGGCTTACGTCTTCACCAAATAGTACACCTCTTACCGGACAATTGAGAAGAACCCTGACCACCTGTACAACCTGCGCAAGAAGTCCGACGAATCCCTTCGAGATTACATCAAGAGATTCAAAGCAGAAAAGGCCAACATTGTAGGATGTGACGACCGGATCGCGTCATTTGCTTTCAAGAAAGGCCTTCCAGCTGAACACGACTTGTACCGCGAGCTGACTATCACCCCCAGCCAGACTCTTGCAGAGGTCTACGAGACCGCGGAACGCTATGCGCTCTGGGATGAGGATCGAATCGCCGTAAAAAAGTCTACTAAGCAGGAAGATCAACCGACTAAGCGGGCAGGTCAAAGAAGCGATGGATTTAGCAACAAGAACAAGGATAAGCTGCAGCAGGAGAGAACTACACCAAGTTCACCATCCCCATACATCAAATCTTAGCCCAAGTGAAAAACAAACCTTGGGTAAGAAGACCGCCACCCTTGAAAGGAGATCCAGACAAGAGGGATACTAGCAAATATTGTGCCTTCCATGGGACACACGGGCACACTACCAACAACTGCCTCGCTTGGAAAGCACACCTTGAAGAACTCGTGAGAGAAGGTCACTGCACGGAGTTCATCACGAAGCAGGCCATCCAGCAGATTGAAGATTGAGACATCACCCAGGAACCGCCCCAGAAGGTCATAAAGATTAACACAATCCTAGCCGAGGCCAAGGAGTCAGGACTGACCAGCAAGGTTAAGAAGAGGAAGATCAAACAGGCCACTATGATCTCCCAAGTCTCGATTGACCTTCCACCAGCAAAAGACGATCCTGTAATCGGCTTCCAAAAGAAAGATCTGATCGGCCTCGACATGCCACATAACGATGCCCTTGTCATCAGCATACAAATCGCTTAAGCCATGGTCTATCGAATCCATGCAGACAAGGGCAGCGCAGCCAATATCCTGCAGCTGGCTGTCATCCAGCAGATGGGCTTGGAGGCAAAGATCAACAAATCAACCAGATCGCTGACCAGCTTCAATGGTGCAACAACGGTTACCGTGGGCACAATAGACCTCGACGTCTACTCCCCACCTGTAGTCTGCTTGCAAACGTTCATGGTCATTGATGAGGTCTCACCCTACAACGGCATTCTGGGCAAGCCATGGGGGTGGTGTTGGACAATCAACGCCATCACCTCTGCCACACATCAGAAAATCCGCTACCCAATCCCTGGGGGTGGTGTTGGACAAATCAACAGTGATCAGGAGGAAATGCTCTGCCCAAGGGCTGAAGAAAAGCAAGCAAGCACAGTTCCTCCCAGTAAACCAGGCAGATCTGAAGGAGGTGGAACAACCGAACCTTACTCTCTTATAGCAATCAAAGCGTCAGGACCAAGCCGAAGAAGTCTATCCAGAGGTCTTTCCTGAAGAAGGGTGGAAGCCGAGGAGGACGTCGAGTTAATACCCTTGGATCTTGACCAGCCAGACAAAAAAGCGCGGATCAGCTCGCGCCTAAGCCCAAACGAGAAGGTGGAACTTACCACCTTCCTCCAGAGCAACAAAGATATGTTCGCATGGTGGCCGTCAGACATGCCTGGTATCGACCCGAACATCACATGTCACCGACTCCATGTCAACCCTACCTGCAAGCTAGTGGCGCAGAAGAGACGCAACTTCGCACCCGAACGAGTCGATATCATCGAAGCCGAGATTGACAAACTCCTAGCTGCCGGCTTCATTGAAGAGGTCTCCTACTCAGAGTGGCTTGCCAACGTTGTTCTAGTGGCAAAACGAGAGAAGGGCAAGTGGAGAGTCTGCGTCGATTACACTGACCTCAACAAAGCGTGCCCAAAAGGCAACTTTCCATTGCCGAGAATCGACCCAACTAGTGGATTCCACTTCTGGCAATCAGCTACTCAGCTTCATGGACCCCTACTTCGGCTACAACCAAATCTTGATGCACGAGGATGATAAGGCGAAAGCTTCTTTCATCATCGAGAGAGGGACCTATTGCTACAAGGTCATGCCTTTTGGGCTGAAGAACGCCGGAGCAACCTACCAAAGGCTGGTGAACAAAATCTTCAAGGAGCAGATCGGCAAAACTATGGAGGTGTACGTGGACGACATGCTGGTCAAGGCCCCAAAATGTGCAGATCACCTCAAAAACCTCGCTGAGGCATTTGGCCTGCTCCGCCAGTATCGCATGAAGTTGAACCCAAGTAAATGTACATTTGGTGTATCCTCTAGCCGATTCTTAGGATACTTAGTCACACAACGAGGTATCGAGGCACACCCAAGTCAGATCAAAGCTATTCTCGAGATGAAGTCGCCTTCCACAGTGAAGGAAATACAAAGTCTGACGGGCAGAGCAGCGGCCATCAACCGATTCCTCTCAAGATCAACCGATAAGTGCAAACCATTCTTCAAAGCTTTGAAGAAAGGACAAAGAGACAGGTGCGAAGTAGCTTTCCAGAGTCTGAAGGCTTATCTCACTTCACCTCCCCTGCTTTCAAAGCCAGTCCATGGTGAGGACTTGTTCGTGTACCTGGCAGTGTCCAACTCAGCTGTCAACTCAGCTCTCATCAGAGAAGAGCTGGGGGCCCAACATCTGGTATTCTACACGTCAAAAGCTCTCCTCGTTACCCAAAATTGGAGAAACTCATTTTGGCTCTTGTAGTTTCCGCGAGAAAGCTACGACCCTACTACCAAGCTCATCGAGTCATCGTCATGACTGACTTTTCTTTGAGATTAATCCTTCACAGCCTTGACGCTTCTCAGCGACTCATGAAGTGGGCTATAGAGCTAAGCCAATATGACCTCATCTACCGGCCAAAAGTTGCAATAAAAGCCCAAACTTTAGTTGACTTCACCCCATCGGCCGAAGAAGAGAAAATGGCCAACGAAAAGAAGGAAAGTTCAAAAGCAGACAGGACCTCCTCTGAACCTAGCCAACCTAGAGACACGTGGCAATTGCGGGTAGATGGAGCGTCAAACCAAAAAGGAGCTGGAGCGGGTGTCGTCATCATCACCCCGGATGGAACCTTGTTGGAGCAAGCTATCACGCTTGGCTTCCCGGCCTAGAACAATGAGGCACAATACGAGGCACTACTCGCCGGCCTGCGCTTGGCGAAGGAACTCGCAATCAATAGGCTAGCCATCTACTCATATTCTCAGCTAATCACGAATCAAGCGTCAGGTGAATACATGACAAAACACCTATACCTTGACAAAGTTCAGGAGCTGTTGAAGGCGTTTCCTACCTTCACTATCCAACAAGTACCCCTGGCAAAGAACGCGCATGCAGATGCACTAGCCAGCCTAGGGTCAGCGTTGGATACCCAGTTCAGACGCTCCATCCCGGTCGAACACCTTGATCGACTTGAAGAAATAAAGCCAATCGACACCATGCAAATTGACGAGGACCCCAACTGGCAAGACCCCATCATTGACTACTTAGTGAATGGAAACCTGCCACCGGACAAGTCCGAAGCTAGGAAGGTCCAGCAGAAGGCCGCGAGATACTACATGCACGACAACAAGCTCATCCCCATATCATACTCCGGCCCTCGCCTTACCTGCATAAAATACCCTCAAACACTTGAGGTCCTCTGCAAAATTCACGACGGCGAGTGTGGCAACCACTGTGGGGGCAGATTACTCGCCTATAAGGCTCTAAACACAAGCTACTTCTGGCCTACCATGCGCCACGACTTCACTGAATATGTCAAGAAATGTGGTCGCTGCTAGCGATACAAGCCGATCCCTAACCTACCTGCCGAAGTCTACCATTCATGCAATGGGTCATTGACTTAGTAGGACTCTTGCCACCCGTGCCCGCCAAGAATGACATGATGATCTTCGCCACCGACTACTATACTAAATGGATCGAGGCCGAAACTCTATCCTCTATTAAAGAAGCCGATGTGGAGCGATTCATCTGGGGAAACATCATCTGCAGGTTTGGTTGCCTACAATCGCTGGTTACCGACAACTGCTCACAATTCATTGGCAGGTAGATCCCCGCAAAACTGTCGCCCATAAGCAGCGTCCTAAGGGAGACGCAGGGCAACAACCAAAGCGTCCTTCGGGAGACGCAGCCCGTAAAAAGCGTCCTAAGGGAGACGCAGGGTGCGCCAGGAATTTCTTAAAATGAGGTCTCCATGCCTTCTGCGGGGAATATCCAGGTTCCTATCCGTTTCCTAAGGGAGGCAGGATAGACACACAGTTGCCCATAAGCAGCGTCCTTCGGGAGACGCAGGGCGACGACCAAGGCATCCTAAGGGATGTGCAGAATACGCCCGAAGCCTCTGAAGGGGGGCCCTGGCACTCGCCAACTTCCTAAGGGAAACCATCCTAAGGGATGTGCAGAACACGCCCGGAGCCTCTTAAGTGTTGGCCTGACACTCGCCAACTTCCTAAGGGAAACCATCCTAAGGGATGTGCAGGACACGCTTGGAGCCTCTTAAGGGGGGCCCTAGCACTCGCCAACTTCCTAAGGGAAACCATCCTAAAGGATGTGCAGAATACGCCCGGAGCCTCTTAAGGGGGGCCCTGGCACTCACCAACTTCCTAAGGGAAACCATCCTAAGGGATGTGCAGAACACGCCCGGAGCCTCTTAAGAAGGGCCCTGGTACTCGCCAACTTCCTAAGGGAAACCATCCTAAGGGATGTGCAGGACACGCCCGGAGCCTCTTAAGGGGGGCCCTGGCACTCGCCAACTTCCTAAGGGATGTGCAGGACACACCCGGAGTCCCTCAAGGGGGACCCTGGCACTCGCCAACTTCCTAAGGGAAAAACATCATACGGGATGTGCAGAATACGCTCGGAATCCCCCAAGGGGAACCTTGTCACTCATAAATCTCCAAAGAAGAAGTGCAATTAAGACAGAAGCTGATTACTTAACAGTTCACAAGTCGATACGCAAATTGAAAGTTGAGAGTAACAACTAAAATCTCCATAACAAGATGACCAACCGGCCAAGTTCAACAAAAAGAATATGGTCAAAAAGACCAATTATTCTAAACAAGAAAGCAAACTACAAAAGCTGAAAAGAAACAAAGAAGTCTTCATCTACTCCGAGGCGCCAGCAGGAGACCTATGAGTTGCAGCCTCTTCGGTGTCCACCTGATCAGCTATGCCTTCAACAGCCTTATCTGCCTGCTTCGTAACATCTGCCATCATCTCATCTACTGTGTCCTCCCGTCCATCCTCTCCAACTTCCTGCTCTTTAATTCCTCCTTTCGCACGGGGTGAATCAGGGCAGAGTGTCTCGATGTCTACATCGTCAATCGCATACAAGGGAGTAGTCTCGTCCGCACAGTGCAGGTAGCCCAACTTGTACGCGTCTATGATGGCTTCAGACTTGGATTTTTCTGCGGACTTGTGGTATGCGTGAAATCTAGCCAGGAGCTTGTCATAGCTAAGGGAGATGTCAGCATTCTTACGCTCAAGACTAAAGAAGGCATCTTTGCGACTAACCAAATCAGTGGCAAGAGAGTTGAGCTCAGAATCCTTCTCGGTAAGGGAGCTTTTCAGCTCAGAAATCATTGCCCTCAAATCATGCGTCTTCTTCTCATAACGGGCATGCTCGACGACAAGATGGCTGGCCAATTCAACATTCTTCTTCTCCAGCTCGCTAAGCTGAGCAGAAGTGGGGGCAACAGCAGATGAGTTCCGAATGGCTTCTGCAGCAAAAACCAATCCTTTTTGAATCAGATGGAATGTGGCTTCCCTTTGTTTTTCCAAGGAAAGGCTCGAGAAAGTGCCAAGATCGCCGGCCTGTCGAATGTGATCAACCAGCTCAGCACATGAGGACGGGTTCGATAGGAAGTTCGTCTTGAGCAGATCAGACACGCATGCATCCCCTGCAGGGCTAGACTTGTCCACCTTGGGACCAACCGCCGTCGCTGAAGAAGAACCCTTAGCCCGAGCAGATGACTCTCTCATCTTCTTAGCCTCTGCCAACTTCATCTCCAAAGGAGTCAATGATACTGAATCAACTCCACGCTTGACTGCCCACGGTTCAATAGCTGGATCATAAGCAGACCTCCCACTTCGATCTCCATCTTTCGATCGATGCAGACGACTCGAACTTTGAGGAGGAATGTCTACATCTCTTTGACGCTCAACAGAACTAGGTCGGGCACGAGCTGTCTCACGAAGCATGTCATGGTTTTCGAGCGTGTCGGCAGGAGGCTCGGGCAGAACACCCCGAGCACAACGCATACCACCAACCTTCGTGCTATCTGCACCCACAAGATGCTTGACCCTGGCAGATGATGACGGAGCAGACCCCACTTGAGTCTTCTTAGCAGAGGGGAGCCTTGGCTTCTTCCTCGATGGAGACCCATTTTTGGCATGTGAAGAAGTAGCTTCACCTCTGGAAGATTTGGTAGCAGCCTTTCTCTTTGGTGGAGATTCAACAGAACACTCTTCCTGTCCTATAGGCAGATCGTCAGGGTCAGGGCCATTCTGTTTCCACCTTTCGACATCCTCGGCAGGGGGCAGACCACCGTCTACCTCTCGGTACTCGCTCAACAGCCAGCGCCACTTGCTAAACTTTTGAGGGATGTTCAAAGCACGACAGACCTTAGCCATGTCTGGTCCAAGCTCCAATTGCTTGCTGATGTCATTCACTATAAGCAGAAGACAGAAGTTAGTCAACCACACTTTAAGAAATTCAAATAAAAAGGAACATATCAAAAGTCACAAAAGACATACCATGGCAGTAGGTGATGGGAACAAATGGGCCGTCACCAACGTCGCCCTCCCACCGTCCGCTAACTTCCAACACGTCGTCATGCCAAGCGTGATCTCCCTGACTGAGACCGTCGAACAGCTTGGTCTTGTAGGTGCGAACTTGGGCATACTGCTCAAAGTGCCTCACCTCGAAAAAATAAAAGAACTCACGCACTGTCAGCTCCAACGTGAAGAAACGGCTCAGATTCTCTAGGCACTAGGGAGCCTACCCACAAGTATAAAGGTGCCTGAGAGCTTGGAGCCTTGCTACCGTCCCCGGAAGACATGGTTGGTCAACGAGTAGTTGCAAAAAAGAAAGAATTCTACAAGTTAAAATACCGGAAAAAATTCGCAAGTCGAAAGAAAAAAAAACAGCAGCAGCAACAACAGGAAAAAAAAAGAGAAAATAAAATCCTAAAGCAGCTTGGACTAGCCCAAGCTTGAGCAAAATGGGGGCAGTCCAATCTGCCACTTCCTCAAAGCCTGGTCAGCACGCAGCCCAACACCAAGTCCAGCACGGAGGCCCGCCCAGCGCCTGGCCCGTTCGCTCCAAACAGCAGCAGGCGCTGCCCAAGTCTCGCGCAAGGCCCAACTCCAGCGCGCGCAGCCCACACCTCGCACAAGACAGCTCCAGCACCTGGCCCACATTCCATACGAAGGCCCAGCGAACGCCAGCTCCAGCACCAACCAGCCACAGCTCGAGCCCACCTCGCATGCCAGGCCTCCACTGCGAGCCTAGCACATGCAAGGCCCGATCCTGCTAGCCCTCCAGAGCTCCAGCAATGCACGCAGGCCATAGCTTGCTTCCCCACGGAGTTGTGCAGCCCTTCAAAGCCTCCAGTCATACCCCAGGCCAGTCACACAAAGCGCGGACCAAGCTGCCAAAAGTCAAAGACACAAGAAAAAATTTCTTCCAAGCTAATTACCTTGGATACGCAGCAAGGACAAAGACTCAAGCGGGTTGGGAAAATTCTCCAAGGTTTTCTCTCTTGCACTAATAAAGTCGAAGGGATGGATTTTGATGTGAAGGATAAATTGGAGGAGCCTTACATTTATAAGGATCAAAATTCCTTGACCTACAAGGAATTGCAAACTCTTTCCAACTTGGGAGTTCATAAAATTGGCAAGTCGAGCACCTCCTCTACTCAGGAGCCCAGGTCCACGAAGGAAGCCCAGTTACAGCTGCACAACCCAACGGATCATTTACATCTCCTACATGCCACCACGCGCCATGCAGAAGCTGGGGGCCATTTGTGGTAACCAAATTAAATCAAAACCCTAGGTCAAATAATTCATTCCATTTGGGGATTATTTGACCTAATTGGGAATTAATCAACCTAATTGGGAGTTACTCAATTTAATTGGGGATTACCAAATTAAATTGAAGATTACCTAATTGGGTTGAGAATTGATTCCCAATTCCTACCCCGATTCTCAATTAAATGAGGAGTTACCTAATTAAAATGGGATTTGATTTGATACCTACCACAATTAGGGATTTGATTTACCCTAATAAATCAAATCCCTAATTAATCAAATCAATTCCATAAAGGGGAGGAATAATTCCCTTCCATCTACGGAATTATTCCTCTGAAACCCTAGCCTCCAAGACAACTATAAAAGGATGGCCACACACAAGGGTAAAGGTACGTCTGAAATCCCTACTGAAACTCTGCAGAAAATTCCTCTCAAACCCTAGCCACCTCCTTTCTCTCTCTCTTTTACATAAGGCTACGGCCGCCTGGTTTACACCATAAACACATCTCCGTACCCTATTAGCTATTGTTTTCTATACGATTCAATTGAACTAATTTAGGCATCGGAGGGCCTTTGGCCAACACCCCCCGGGTGTGGTCCTCTTATTGGTTCTATTTTGCAGGGAGAAGGAGGCGGCAAAGAAGAAAGGGGAATCTTTCCAATCGAATATTCTCGTGGGGGAATTTGTACACTCAAATACCAAACTCCTGAATTCGTGCATGTCCGCAAATTTGAAGCAGTTGATACATTGTATCCGTAACAGCAACTTGCAGTTTCCTGTGGAACCTCTGGCAAATCTTTGTAATGAAATACAGTTTTGAACAACTGCTACTACTCTTTGTGGAATCTCTGGCAATTCTTGAAGCCTCTCGCAATACTCCAAGTTAAGAAATTGAAGTCTAGAAAGCATAGGGATGACGTTGGGTAGACTAACAAACTGGTTTCTACTGAGATCTAGGTAGATTAATGAGGACAAGCAGCTAAGGTCATTAGGGACTTCCAAGAGATTGCAATCACTTACAGTTAGTTTTTTTAAGGAAACCAAACCGGATAGAGAAGGCAGCAACAAAGGCGTGGGAACGCGATTTCTTATTAGAAATCGCTGAAAAAGGGAGAGAACTAGCTGAACAAGGGAGAGCGAAACCCAAAATTTAGGTGATGGTCCTTTACATCCACAAAAGTTTAATACTGTGAGGCTTTTCAACCGAACAATGGAGGAAGGCAGGTCTCTTATGACAGTTCCACTCACATCAAGCTCCTCCAAACACTCTGCATTGCCCAACTCATTACGCAACTTGTCGAGCTTTGAGCAGCCAGAAAGATTAAGAACTTTGACAGATTTTAAGCCATACACACATCTTGGAAGATGCACAAGACTTTTACAATCCTTCAAGTTTATCTGAGTAATTCTTTCAAGCATTCCAAGGGATGGGTCAACCTTATCCAATCGTATACAACCTTGTAGAATTAGATACTCGAGATTTGGAATGACTCTAAAGTCGGGGTGTTGACAAGATTCAAAGAGTGGCTGAGCTTAATGATTTTCAAATTGTATAAAAGCTGTCAAAAGAACACAGCAAAAAAATTAGCTTCAAATTCTATGAAAGGCCGTCAAGTAAGAACACATAAAAAATAAACAATAAAGCTTCGATGTGTAAAGGTAATAGAAGATAAAGCAGCAATAACATTCCTTAACACCTGTCCAAAAAGATTCAATGTGACTATGGCACATGTTAAGTTCTAGTAGGTTCTCTGGATTGAAATGTGAGGGGAAATATTTTGAAGGATACCCAACCCATTCAAGACTTCGTAAATTATCGGAGAGATATTCAATATCATTAGAGAGGTTCGCATTAGCAAGATTGAGAAGTCTCAGTTTCTTCATCCTTGAAAAGCATTTAGCATCCGCGTGCACCGTTGGCCCAGTTTTGTCCATGGTAATACTTTCTATTGCGTCTGTTCCCTATCAAACATGCACGAATAAAGAATAGTGAAGCTCATATAACTAACATATGAAAAGAACTGAACTCATTCGTAAACTAAGAGTCCCCTTACTGTATTTTTGCTCAAGATATGCTTGGCCTCTTCATGGCGCCACAACTTGCTGCGATTTCCTGGCTTATCAAGACATTCTCGATTGACTATTTCACGACCCATCTCTTGGAGCAACTGATGCATCCATAAAGTGCCATATGAAGTAATTAACAGAGATTTCTCAATGAGGAGGACATCTATTCCAATACCTGCACAAAAGCCACAACTGTCTAGGATTTCTATAACTCGATCTTCTTTCTCCCCGTTAAAGAAACACGCAATGTCTAGGAAAATTTTCTTCTCCCTGTCATCTAGATCATCGTAACTTATTTGAAGTGTCCCCAAAACTATGTTACAAAGATCACTTAGTTTACCCAACGCACTGTTCCAAGCACTTACATGTCTTCCATGCAAAAAACTCCCTAAAACTTTAAGAGCTAGTGGAAGACCATCGGCATAACTCACAACATAGCTAGACAAATGAATGTAGTTTTTTTCAAGGTGGTCTTTTCCAAAGGCTTTCCAACTAAAAAGCTTAAGAGCGTCATCATGATTTTGATGTTTGACCTGAAATCTTCTCTTCACTCCATGTTCAATTAACAAATGCTCATTTCTAGTTGCAATAAGAACTCGACTCCCAGAACCAAACCACTCTTGCTTTCCAGCCAAATAATCTAAATGGTCTGAGTCGTTCACATCATCGAGAATGAGAAGAACCTTTTTGTGACGAAGTAATCTTCTAATCATTGTGGATCCTTCATGAACATCAAATATGTCAATCGTTTTCATCGATATCCTTGAAAGAATTTCTCTTTGTTGGGATATTAGACCACCTTTTTGAACATTATCCCTAACATTCTCAAGAAATATGCTGAATTCAAATTCAAGAGAGATTCTCTCGCGAACAACTCTGGCAATAGTTGTTTTACCAATCCCACCCATACCCCATATCCCTATAAAGCGAACATCATCGACCCCTGCACCTAACAATAAATCAATTGCATTCATACTTGAGTCTAATCCAACTGAGTTCTCCACAGCTGTAAATGATGTAGGACGTAATCTTTTCCATATCACATCGATTATATCTTTGATGAGCAAGGCTTAACATATTAACATCAATATTAGTCATGTTAATTGTGTGGACATAAAGAATCAGCATGCAGATGTGTTTTCTCTAGATTTTATACAAATACTCTTGATCACTAAAAAGAAAGGTTGTCAGACCATATACAAAAGGGTTTTTTTATCACAAATGGTTCCTGAGGTTTACCAAATTATCACTTTTAATCCTTTATGTTTTTTTGTTGTTGACATTATTGGTTCTTTATGTTTCAGATCACACATCAATTTGGTGCTGCCATTAAGTTCCGTGAAAATTTCTGTTAAATTGATGACGTGACATGTATATGGTGCTCACATATTCAATGAGATAATGGCGTATGAATCTAAATAAAAAAATATTTAAAATAAAGTTGCAGAGCCCCTCGTCTCTCTCTCTCTCTCTCTCTCTCCACCCTTTGTCCCTTCTCTCTCCCCCGCTGTGTCTCTCTCTCGACCAAAATCCATCTCAATAAATAAAAAGCCCACATACCCCCCTCATCCTCTCCTGAAGTAGTTTGTAATCCAACAAAACACTCCCATTCCCCATCCTCCTCTGTGTCTCTTTGTCTGCCTGAAACCATTGAAACAATCGCAACCCAAATAAGATTTAAATACAAAAAATTAAAACCCATCGAAAAACTTTATCTTTTCTTGAAATTTTTGACACTGCTAGAAGAACTCCACAGAGGAAAAAAGGAGAGGGAAGGTGGGGTTGGGCGTAGGTTGCGGGTGGAGATGGGGGCGATCAAGTTGTGCGCAAGATAAAAACAGAGTTACATGGAAGCACAGCCGGGGGGGGGGGGGGGGGGGGGGGGGGGGGGGGAGGAGGGGAAGAGAGCTGCAACTTAAAAAACCAATTTTAAATATGAAACTATTTAAAAATAATAATTTTATATATTTAGATTCATTTGGCATTATCTCATTGGATATGTGGGCACCATATACATACCACATCATCAATTTAATAGTGATTTTGACGGAATCTAACGGTTATGACCAAATTGATATGTGAGGTATAACATAAAGAACCAATAATATCAGAAAAACACATAAAAATTAAAAGTTATATTTTGCAAACTTCAATGACCATTGCACTAAAAACTCTATGCAAAAATAATATTGGCTTAAGGTCGATAAAGCAACAGGTATATAATTTTTTTTTGGTAACATGGGGGGCTCAAAGCCCAGCACAGCAACACCTAGGCAGCAACAAGACGATGCTTGGACACACCCATGGCATCAGCATACAAAATATCCTTCAGGAAGTCAGGAACCGTCTCAAAGAGATGAATCCCAGGACCAAAATCGATGCTCCTAGAAGACAAAGCATCAACAGCAACATTCTGCTCACGGTAGATATGATTAATAGAGCAACGCCAATCCTTGTTGATATTTGACTTGCAACAAACTATGATGCTAAAGAGTGGATGAGTGGGAATGGTAGGGCTATTTAGCAAGGAAACAGCATCACAAGAGTCACTTTCCACCTCAACATTACGATAGCCAGAGTCCCAGGCCAGAGTAAGCCCCCATAGAATACTCCATAATTCAGCCTCAAGGACAAGGACAGAGCCATTACCTAAGTTCACAGAGAAGCCCTTGATCCACTCCCCAGTAGTATCTCTTAGGAGCCCACCAGCACCAATAGAACCAGAAGTAGGGCTTCTACTCCCATCAGTATTAATCTTGCAGGTTCCAGTGCTGGGGGGGTTCCAATGTAAGGATATCAAAGATTGGGTGGAGATGGTAGAGTTAGGCTGTACAATAGTATACCACTCCAAAGCATATTGGAGGATAATTTGATGTGATTCAACAGGCATCACAAACTCATGATCAAAAACACTTTTGCACCTCCATTTCCAGATAAACCATAGAAAATTAGTGAAAACCAGATGCCAAGGCAAACCATGGTACACTTTCTTTTTGGACTGTAAATTTTTTAAAAGCCATTCTTCAAAGTCTGATAGAGGAGCGGTTAATCCCATCACCAGCAGGTAAGTTATTCCAAATACTAAGGGAGTAAGGATAATCCGTGAAAAGGTGAGCAATTGTTTCCATGGGGTATTTAGTGTAAGAACTCTATTTGAGTTCGCATCTATTTAGGAGTCCAATCTGATCAGGGATACAAGGGAGAGATAAGCTGGGTATACACGGATAAGTTTGATAGAGTTGAAGGTCTATCTCACTTGTGGAATATCTATTATATTAGGCTATGGATTCATGTGGTGATAAGGATAAGCTTGAAGGATTCCTTTATGGGCTAGGAACCTTAAGGCTCTCACCTATAAAACTAAGGCTTCAGTCCCCACTCTCATGCACAAAAAAACATACTCATATTCCTACCCATACAAGAGAGATTTAGAGTACATAGAGAGAGGAAGACCAAGGCCAGTCCGTGTGTTTTTGCTACTGTTGCTATGCTTGCTCTAATGGCTTCTCAAGGTTAGTACTTATAGATTACATGTGAAATAGAACTTACATTTACATCTCGGACAAGCAGGGACATGAGTTAATCCGCTCCTTTGTCTTTGGACATTAGTCAGTAGATTTTTATGACAAACAGTCCATAGGAAGGTCTTTATCTTTGGCGGGACAGGAAGGTTCCAAATAAACTACCATTTCCACTTCATTTCAGCGTCCTCAAGAAGAAAGGAGCAATACGCCGTTTTAACAGTGAATGAACCATTTCTTGCGTGCCTCCAAATACATCTATAAGAAAGTGGTATGTAATTGATTTGTTATTTTATTCAAGAGGCAAAGCCACAAACTTTTAGTTACAGAAGCATCCTAATATGGTTCCTACAATCAAGCTAAATCATTACACAAATAAGGAAAGAAGATATTTACAATATTAACAGAATCAATATTCCATTCTAAGCTCGATCTCCTTCAACACTCCCCCTCAAGTTGGAGTGTATATTTATGACACCCAACTTGCTAAGTAGCACCTCAAACTGTGTCGAGCTTAATGGCTTAGTGAACAAATCGGCTGGCTGATTTGCAGTTCGAATATGCACTGTCTGAATCATCCCTTTTTGAATTTTCTCTCGAACCAAATGACAATCTATCTCTATGTGCTTGGTTCTCTCATGAAACACCGGATTCGATGCTATGTGTATAGCCGCCTGATTATCACAAAACAGGGTTACTGGCTGCGTGTGATCAACTCCCAAATCCTTCAAAATGTTCTTCAACCATGTGACTTCGCAGCAAGTGGTAGCCATGGAACGATACTCGGCCTCCGCACTTGAACGCGATACCGTTGTTTTATTCTTAGTCTTCCAAGAGACGAGTGCTTGCCCAAGTAAAATGCAATATCCCGTGATTGATCTCCTTGTGTCTTTACAACGCCCCCAATCGGCATCACAGAATGCCCGCAATTGGAGTGACCCTGTAGATGGTAGTAGGATACCTTGACCCGGTGTATGCTTAATGTACTTAAGCACTTTATGGGCTGCTTCCAAATGCGGTTGCCGTGGCTTGTCCATGAACTGGCTCAATACATGTATGACATAAGTCAAGTCTGGTCTAGTTATGGTCAAATATATCAACCTCCCAACCATTCTTCTGTATGCCGAAGCATCATCCAATAATTTTCCATTGAACTGTGAGAGTGATAAATTATGTTCCACAAGGAACCGAGAAGGTTTGACACCTAAAAATCCAGCATCATCCAAAATCTCCAAGGCATACTTACGTTGCGACAAACTAATTCCATGCCGTGATCTGGCAACTTCAATGCCGAGGAAATACTTAAACTGCCCCAAATCCTTAAGCTTGAATTGGTTGGCCAAGAATAATTTCGTGTTCTCTATATCCTCCAAATTGTTCCCTGCCAGTATGACATCATCAACATATACAAGCAATACTAGGAAGTTGCCTTGACGACGTCGGACGAATAGAGAATAATCGGATCGTGACTGTTGGAATCCTGCTGCTTTGAGGGCAGTAGACAGCTTGATAAACCACTGTCTAGACGCCTGTTTTAAACCGTACAACGACTTTTGCAATTGACAGACCCGATTCTCCCCCTTTCGTCCGAAACCAGGAGGCAAGGACATGAACACCTCCTCATCAAGGTCGCCATTCAAAAACGCGTTGTTCACATCCAATTGGTGGACATGCCAGCCACGCAGGGATGCCACATTAAGGAGAACACGGACGGTCACCAATTTGGCAACCGGGGTAAAAGTTTCCCCGTAATTGATGCCTTCCACTTGACTATAACCCTTGGCCACTAAGCGGGCTTTGTAGCCTTCGACCGTGCCATTGGCCTTCAATTTCACCTTATATACCCACTTACAGCCGATCGGTCGTTTATGAGGGGGCAATGGCACCAAGTTCCAAGTCCCATTAGCCTGTAATGCATCAATCTCAGATTTCATGGCGGCATGCCATTGGGGAATTTGGACTGCTTGAGAGAAACTCGTAGGTTCTTTAAGAAGAGTAAGTTGGGTAAGATATGTTTTGTGAGAGTGAGAAAGTTGAGCATAAGACAAGAACTGAGAGAGGGGGTGAGCCGTACTTGAAGGGATGACCAAGTTCGTGGATGACGTTGGTGTGGTCCTTGAAAGGAGGCTAGTCTCGAGGTGGAAGTCGTGCAAATAAGCAGGCGGCCGGGTGGAACTACCGCTGCGGCGGGGAGCGATGGTGGGAGGTGAGAGCGATGGAGATGAGGAAGGAGAAGGCAGATCTGTGAGGTCTGCAGTAGGTGATGGAGAAGGCAAATCCGTGAGGTCTGCAGTAGGTGTGGTGGGTAAAGTGGGGTCAGGTGGGCTGGTGGGTGGAGAGGGCCCAGCAATAGGGGAAGCCAGATGGGCTTGGGAGAGGGAGTCCATTTCAAAGTGTAAGAACGGGTCAAGATGAGGGGAAGAAAGGTTGGGCGAATTCTGATGATGTGGTGACGCAGCGAATTGGTGAGGAATGAGGAAAGGAAAAACATTTTCAAAAAAACACACATCACGAGAAACAAGCACCTTTTGTTGACTGAGATCAAAAACGCGATATCCTTTCTGACCATAAGGATATCCCAAAAAAATACACCGAGATGCTCGTGGATCAAATTTCGAACGACTCTGTGCATGGGTAGAGGTAAAACACAAGCAACCAAAAACACGCAAATGGGAATAAGTGGGAGTTTGGTGAAACAACTTTTCATACGGGGTTTTGCCATCGAGAAGAGGAGTGGGTGTTCGATTTATGAGGTATGCGGATGTGAGAATGGCATCCCCCCAAAAACGATTTGGAAGCCCAACCTGAATAAGCAAGGCACGAGCCATATTTAACAAGTGTCTATGTTTTCTTTCAGCAACCCCATTTTGTTGGGGTGTGTTGATACAACTAGTTTGATGCATGACACCTTTATTAGCATAGAAGCTGCCAAGATTGAATTCAGGGCCATTATCACTACGGATGATCTTGATTTTGGAATCAAATTGAGTGGCAATCATATTGATGAAATTAACTAGAAGAGTTCTAGCATCAGACTTGTGTTTCATAAGATGAATCCATGTGCATCTAGTGTAATCATCAACAATGGTAAGAAAATATTTGGCACCTGAAATCGAAGCAACTTTATAACCACCCCATCTCCTTCCTCTCTGTCTCACACGTTGCTGCTTGGTTCCCTTTGGAAATCATCGCACCAAACTCGGCCTCAACTGCTGCCTTCTTCTTGCGGCAATACTCGGCTATGTGACCCTTCCATCCGCAAAATGTGCATTTTAGGTGTGCACGGCAATTCTTGGCAGTGTGATTTGTTTTGTTGCACTTGGTGCACTTCAACTCACCCTTTTCTCCTTCGGATTCACGGCTAGAATTCTTCACGGCAAACACGGCCGCATCCGGTTGTGCCTGAGCTTTACCCGCTGTCACTTCCGATTGCTTCTCATGCCGCAGAATTAGGGAATACGCCTTGTTCACTGTGGGTAAGGGATCTTGCAGCAAAGTGTTGCTGCGAACACTTGCATATGAGTCATAGAGACCCATGAGGAACTTCATGGTCTTTTGCGTGTCCAAATATGCAGCCACTTCTTTGACCGATCCACAAGAGCAGATTGGGAAGGTGCACAAAGCATCACGTTCATCCCATAGTCCCTTCAATTTCGTGAAGTAAGATCCCACTGACATACTTCCCTGCACACAGTCATGAATCTCGTTCTTGATATTGAACAGTTGAACCACGTTCACATGTGAGAATCTCTCCTGCAGTTCCAGCCACATCTGTCTAGCATTCTTGCATTTAATCACGCTGCCGGCGATGTCTTTTGACATCGACCCTAGCAGCCAAGTTTGGACTAGATTATTGCAACGATTCCACTGCTTCCATTCACTTGGATCCTTTCCATTTGGCTCCTTGATCGAACCGCCTAAGAGTCCGATTTTGTTCTTGACCGTTAAGGCCATAGTCATGGATTGTTTCCATGTGCTGTAATTATCTTCGACCAAGGGCTGCGGCACAAGAATAGCACCTGGTTGGTCTGAATAATGAAGGTATAGTTGGTGATTGGGATTATCCCACTTGGTTTCCGAAGCCGTGCCCGATGGTTTGCTTTCTGCCATAGAGGTCGGCTAGGGTTTTGTTGTGTTTTTGGTTATTGCCCATATCAATGCTCTGATACCATGTAAGAAAGTGGTATGTAATTGATTTGTTATTTTATTCAAGAGGCAGAGCCACTAACTTATAGTTACAGAAGCATCCTAATATGGTTCCTACGATCAAGCTAAATCATTACACAAATAAGGAAAGAAGATATTTACAATATTAACAGAATCAATATTCCATTCTAAGCTCGATCTCCTTCAACATGTCACTGCCACTGCTAGGTGATAACCAGTCAAGTATGAACAGAGGAAACGAAAAAGAAAACTAAAAAAGGTTATGGAATTCTTTTCATTGATTCTCTCTATTATTCCATACAATATTAGCTGACTCAACATTTATAGAGTTTTGGGTTTTGCAGAATACATGAGCTGTCAAAGACTTAAGCACTAGGCTAATAACAAGCTCACTTAACTAATTGACAGCTGGCACACCAGCTTTAGACTACTTGGCTAAACTTAATATAACTCTAACATCCCCCCTCAAGCTAAGCTGGCGGGCCCAGCTTTAGATTGGAGCAGTGTTGCAAAAAGACTGGATTGTGAAGCCCCTTGGTGAGCACATCAGCCACCTGTTCTTGTGTAGGCACATATTGAACATGAATGTCCCCGCGCTGAACCCTTTCACGAACAAAATGAAAATCGGTGTCTAAATGTTTGATCCTGGAATGAAAAATAGGATTTGAACTTAAGGCAAGAGCAGACAAATTATCACAATGCAAGAGAGGAGGGGATGCAAGAAAGAAATGCATATCCTTAAGAATCTGTCGTATCCACGAAACCACAGAGGCAGAATGAGCTAAAGCCTTATACTCGGCTTCTGTAGAACTTCTTGAAACAGAAGTTTGCTTTTTAGATTGCCATTAGATGGGATTGTTCCCAAGATAAACCACATAACCAGTGGTTGAGCGCCTGGTATTAGGATCTCCTGCCCAATCTGAATCACTATAGACCAGTAGTTGCATATCACTTGAAGTGTAAGTGTTACCATAATGAGAGGTACCCTTGAGATATCGGAGAATACGTTTGACTGCACCAAAATGAATATCTGTAGGAGCTATCATAAACTGGCATACAGAATTGACAGCATAGGCGATATCAGGCCTAGTGAAAGTGAGATACTGAAGAGCCCCCACGAGACTTCGATAAGTGGTAGGATCTTGGAGAGAAACACCTTCATCCTTAAGAAACTGCTGATGAGGTTTGGCTGGTGTTGAACATGGTTTACACTCAACCATGGCTGCCTTCTTGAGAAGATCTTGAAGATATTTAGCCTGGTTGACAAAAATATCACCATTCGAAAGATATGAAATCTCCAATCCAAGAAAATAAGTAAGTTTGCCAATGTCTTTCATATCAAAAGCTTCACCCAGATCTGTAATAATAGATTGAACTAATGTAGAGGAGGAACCAGTGACGATAATGTCATCCACATAAATGAGGAGAAGAACTATGTCAGTGCCTGTATGCTTAACAAATAGACTTGGATCAAAATGAGATAGAGTGAAACCCAAAGTACGAAGATAACTGGTGAACTTAGCATTCCAAGCTCGAGGAGCTTGTTTAAGACCATACAAGGACTTGAGTAACTTGCAGACATGAGAAGGATGTATAGCATCTTCAAAGCCTTGAGGCTGCTTCATATATACTTCTTCTTGAAGATCACCGTGTAAAAAATTTTAACGTCAAATTGACGCAACTCCCAATGATTTACTGCAGTAAGAGCTAACACCAATCTGACTGTGGTATGGCGAACCACAGGGCTGAAAGTCTCATCGTAATCCAACCCTTGTTCCTAACTAAAACCCTGAGCAACCAACCGTGCTTTATATCTTGACACAGACCCATCTGGATTTTTCTTGACTTTGTAAATCCACTTACTACCAAGAATATTTCTGTTTGGTGGAGGAGGCACTAAAACCCAAGTGCCTTGAACTGTAAGAGCATCAAATTCCTCTTGCATAGCTTGCTGCCAATGAGGTTGAGAAGCAGCCAATCTAAAATGAGAAGGTTCACTAGTATCTGTAATATGAGCAATACAAGTAACACCAGAGAAGGAGTGATCAACGGACTGTGTGTAATGTGCAACATTAGAGTAATGTTTTCTAGATATTGTACCATCCTTGAGTCTAGTTGTCATAGGATGAACACTCTGAACCAAACTTGACTGAGAGGTTACAGAAGTAGAGGGAGAAGCGTGTGACCGTTATCAGTATGAGAGGAAGAGCGCATAGGGAGTATCACTTGTAATTGTGCATCTGTAAGGACAGGCAACATAGTGGAAGGGCAAGGAGGAGTAGCAGATGAAGTAGAATCCTGCAAAGAAAAATGTAAGGATGGTGGTATGGATGATTGAGGTGGGATATTATCAGAATCTGTGGTTGGGGCAGGAGCTACAGGTAAAACTACTGGAAGAAGCATGGGAGAACGAGGCACTCGAGAAGAACTTGAGGTATGAGTTGAGTTCATCAGCTTAAAAGGAAACACAGTCTCATCATGAACAACATGCCTAGACAAACATAATCTCCCGGAATCTCTGTTATAGCAGATAACTCCCTTATAACCATTAGCATATCCAAGCAAGATGCACTGACAAGTTCTAGGCTGCAACTTGTTATCATTATAAGGCCTAAGATATGGAAACACAGCAGACCCAAAAACCCGTAGGGATTGTAACTCAGGTGGTGTCTGAAACAATTTTTGATAAGGTGAACAAAATCCAAAAGTCTTAGAAGGCATTCGATTGATCAAAAAACTAGCATGCAGACAGGCATGTGACCAAAACTTAAGATGTAAAGCTGCTGCAGTCATCAAAGTAACAACAGTCTCAATTATATGCCTATTTTTCCTTTCCACTAACCCATTTTGTTGGGGAGTGTAAGGACAAGACACCTGATGCAATATTCCTTTAGATGTCAAAAACTGTTTAAACAAATGACTCTGATATTCTCCTCCCCCATCAGTTTGTAATATCTTAATAGAAGCAAAAAATTGGGTAGAAATGAAGGCATGAAACTTGACAAAAGTCGAGTAAACGTCTGATTTATTGATAAGAGGAAACATCCAGATAAATCTGGTACAGTCATCAACAAACAATACAAAATATCTATAACCCTCAATGGATACAACTGGAGATCGACCCCAGATATCACTATGAAATTTATGAAAAGGATGGACTACTCTGTCAGAACTTACAGGAAAAGGAAGCCTAGACATTTTACCACCTATGCAAGCTGAGCACATAGATGAAGAATCGGGAGAACATACTATTCGAGAAGAGTGCAACATTTTCACAAGGACTTCATTAGTAGGGTGGCCTAAGCGTTGATGCCACATGATGTGGTTTATTTTCTGACCAAGAAAAGGTGTGGGTGAAGAAACAAAGGTGAATGGTAGAGATTTAGGAAAATGATAAAGGCCTTTGCTACTCCTTCCTTTGAGAAGAACTGCCCTTGTTGCCTTGTCTTGCACACAATAACCAGCATCATCAAAAGTAACCATGCAGTTATTATCATGACAGAGCTTGTAGACAAAAAGCAAATCAGCTGATAGATGTGGAACATGCAAAACATTAGGTAATAATAAGGACTGAGAAGAAGTGATAGGAAGTAATACGTTCACCAACCGCAACTAACTGGTCACGAGCTGTCTTAATCCGAAGCAAATACTTTTCAATAGAATCAACACCTTTGTGCATAGTATGAAACTCAGTTTTAAGATGATTAACACGTGCCCTAGACACTATGGCATATCTATCTTGCAAATGAGTCCAAGCCTCAGCAGAGGTCTTACTACCAACGACATACTCAATCGCATCATCAGATAAGGTAGCAATTAAGAGACTCAAGAGGGCCTTATCAGTCTGAGTCCAACTCTTATAAGCATTAGTGACCTCAGTAGTGACACCAAGCTCAGTATCTATGACAAACTTCGGTGGACAAATTGAGGAGCCATCAAAGTGGTCAAAAAGATCATAACCTTGCAAAACGGATTGAAATTGAAAGGACCACTTGACAAAATTATCATCATTCAAACGAATGGTAAGCATCCCCAGCAAACCCTCAATTTTGGGCAAAATCACCGTCATGACCAGAGTCAAAGAATTACACACAGAAAAACACAGCGTGACAAAAGCAAACACAATCGATGCAAGAAATCACTACAAGGCTTCGTGCTTGAACAAGAATGCTTCACACAAGGCTTCATGCCAACAAATCACAGAAAATCCAGAGAAAGAAGGCTTCGTGCCATGAAATCAACAAAATTAATCTCAATACGGCTTCGTGCCAGATATCAATCACCAATAATCAAGAGAAACGAAGAAGAAGCAACAAATTCCATATCAATTTCACCAAATTCTGAAAAATCACGTCAAGTAGACACAATCACCATTCTTGAAGATAAACAGTGAACCAAGATTTGAGAGAAAGAATCAGAGACCTGAGAACGACGAGCGAAGCAAGCAAGAAATCACGTCAAGAGGCACAACGATCGACCGAGGCTCTCGATACCATGATAACCAGTCAAGTATGAACAGAGGAAACGAAGAAGAAAACTAAAAAAGGTTCTGGAATTCTTTTCATTGATTCTCTCTATTATTCCATACAATATTAGCTGACTCAACATCTATAGAGTTTTGGGTTTTGCAGAATACATGAGCTGTCAAAGACTTAAGCTCTAAGCTAATAACAAGCTCACTTAACTAATTGACAGCTGGCACACCAGCTTCAGACTACTTGGCTAAACTTAATATAACTCTAACACTAGGGAGACCAGCATGCACACATAGAATCATTTGAACAATATTTTCAGGAAGACATTCCTTAAGAAAGGGGAGATCCCAAACCCCATCCTCCAAGAAATCACTAACATTAAGTTGAACCCTAAACCCTAAAGCAGCGGGTATATTCTGAAAACTAGATTCACTTTATTGAAACAAAAAATGAAATCTGTTTCCGAACATATTTTCAGTTTTCAAAACTGAAAATTAAATGGGTATCACGCAACCCTTTATAGCAAATGAATCTAGCATTATAAAAAACATCCCAAATCCTAACCCTTCACTAATTTCACCCCTTGGCTGCAAACCCTAAACTTAATTTAAGGGAGCTGATTTCCCTACTACCATTTTCTCCACTTACACTCACTTTTGCTTTTTAATGATTTTTAATCAATTTTTTATTTTTTGTTCTTTCTCTTTCCTATTCTACCGTTACCTAAATTAATGTTTTGATAATTAAAATTAAGAAAATTTAACATAAAATAAAAAAGAAATCAGAGCAGCTTCTTCTGTTCTGATACCCCATCTTCTCCTCCTTCATCGTGTCTTTCCCACTTCTCATACCTAGAGCTACTCAATCCTTCTCCTACCCAAAGCAAATACTCTTAATTATTGGTGAAAGGTTAGCTATGGATGAAGAACAAAAATTAGAGTCTGAGTTGCAGAGGATTTTAGACATGGTGGGTAGCAGTGATTTGAGTGGAATGACAGAATTTAGTAATCCTTCAAATTCTCAAGATATTATGCATGGTACATTTTATTTGTATGTGTGTGTATCTTTATGTTTAACCTTTTCATAAGGGATTTGTTAACCTTGTGGGGAGATGGCATTGATGGTTTACATTTGTGTCCAAAAGGAAGCTTTTTGAACTCTAGAAGATGTTTCTGTATTAAAAAGAAATTCACTTTGTTGAGTATTACATATTATCTTATTCATAGGTTCAGTTTTAAGAAATACTTGGTGCTATGATGAATTGCAATTCAATTTTGAGGTTTTTTTGCCCTCTTATCTTCTCATGTGCACACATAGACAAGTTTAAATTAGTGCCACTGCTATCTCTTTATTTTTGCCCTTGGGTAAAGGTCATGGTGACCTGCTGGTGTGACCCCTTGGAGGGGCCTACCAACTGCTCGATGAAATGTCTCATAGCAGTATCTCTTCTGTTATATATATTCATTCTTAACTAATATGTGATAGGCAGTGAAGCATAAACATTCTTCATAGCTATAGCCAATGTGTAGTTTATGTTTTATATAAATTCGATGGTTTGTGATATAGGCAGTGAAGCATCGATTGATAAAAGTGACAAAATGCTCTCTTTGACAAACAAAAATTTTCAAAGTTGGGAAGACCTCATTGAAGCTGCTTGTAAGATTGCCTTTGTGCAAGGGTATGCACTAGTTATTAGAATATCTAACTCCAAGAAATATGTTGTCCTTGGTTGTGATAGAGGCAGTAATTATAAAAGCAGAAAAGTTCCACTAGAGGAAAGAAAAAAGAAATCATCATCTAGCCTCATAAACTGTCCATTTGAAATTTGGGGCAAAAAGAAAAGCAAGCTTCAAGGATTTTGGAAGTTGGAGATTAAAAGCATAATCATGAACCTTCAACGGACATGTCTGGACATCCCTATTGCCGTTGATTTTCAAATGAGGAAATTATGCGGATTAAAGAAATGTGTATGGCTGGTATACCACCACGCCAAATTCTCTCTTCACTTCGACAGAGCAATCCTCATATTCGAGCAATTTCCCGAAACATTTACAATAAGAAGTCTAAAATTTTGGAAGAGAGCCTAGCAGGACGTACGGTTATTCAAGCATTATTGGATGAACTTGGTGAAAGTGGTTTCTCTTATAACATTGAGTATGACCAAGAAGGGCATTTGACTCATTTGTTTTTTGCTTATCCTATGTCAATTGAATTGAGTAAGAGTTACCCACATGTCTTTTTGATGGATTGCACTTATAAAAATAATAAGTATAAGATGCCATTATTGGATATAATAGGAGTTTCAAGTTTCAACACTTCATTCTACTCTTGTTTTGTCTTCATGCAAAAAGAAGAGAAGGATTATTTATCTTTGTTGTAGTTAATAGATAATAAATTTTTTCAACTAACATGTTTACAGGTAGAAGAACCAAAAAATGTTACTAACCAAACTATCATTAGGAGCTTAGATATGTAGAGAGAAAGGTACTTTTTATGCATAATAGTCACATATTTTTATTCTTTCATAATTTTCAAAGTAATTGTACATGTCTTCTTATTAAAGGGAATTGTATCTCATCAAATTTTACAATAGTAAATAGTATTATGAGAGATCAATTAGTTTGTTAATCAATTAGTCTTCTTTCTTGTAGGCATTTTGAAGTGGTTGGATGGATTCATCCTTATTTCACATGTCTTTTTTTAACACAAGGAAGAAGTGTTGTATGGAATGATACAGTTTGGTTAATGGAGCTAAATTATCTTTTTTGTGGTTATAGCTTTTCTCTGCTCTTGTATGGAATGATATAGTTTGGTTAATGGAGCTAAATTATTGGCAACCACGATGGTTTTGTCTGTACTTTTTGGTTGTTGCTCTTATTGCTATCTCTGTTTAGCCATATTTTCTGGCTTTCAATGAAGTTTCAGCTATTGACCAAAAGAAGAACGTGCCAATGGAGCTAAGTTTTTTTATTTCTTTTATTTCCCATGTTATCTGAACAGCCCAATGAAGCATCTAAGTAAATATTTATATTTTGTTCTCAAATGGATCACTATTTTCTAGTTCAAGAATGGGAGATGCCAGTTGCAAATGGATCACTAAAGAATATTTTTACCTATTCACTCCACAACAAAACAAAAAAAAAAAAAAAAAAAAAAAAAAATCCCTATGGTTGCAAGGTTTATTCGTTGGCATGTGTTTTTGTAACAGGTGGGCCATATAATTTTGCCTAGACAAATATACAGTGTTAATTATTTCTTACTTGAAAGAAAAAAAAAAAAAAAAAAAAAAAAAGCAACTGGAAGTAATTAAGTAGAAAAATAAATAGTATAAAAGTGAAGTAAAAAGAAATAAGATAGGGTAAGGGTAGAATAGGAAAGAGAAAAAACAAAAAAGAAAAAAATTGATTAAAAATCATTAAAAAGCAAAATGGACTGTAAGTGAAGAAAAAGGGAGTGGGGAAATCAGCTCCCTAATTTAATCTTGATCTTCCACTTCATTTAATTGATATCTCAACCATTTGTCTAATTAAACTCTGTGTGTATTTGAAGAACATTAAACAATTGTCCTCGAATTTAAATTTTTGCGATAAATTTATACTAATGCTATTTGGACAATTTTTTTTTGTTTTGCCAATGTTATGAAGAGAGAGAGGGGAAACTTACACATGTGGGTACCAGCTTAATGCTATTTGGACACTTTTTCTTTTTATGCCAAAGTTAGGAAGGGGAAAGGGGTAAACTCACACACATATGGTGGCTTGAACCCATAATCATTTGGGAGCACACCAAAGGCTTTGGCCAATCCAACTAACACCTCATTGGCATCTTATTTAGACACTCTAAATATTTTGACCACATTATGTGGCAACTAATGGTTTTGTGCCATGTGAATTAAAATTGACACATGTATTAATATCTTTTATTAATTTTGATCTTTTAATTATGAAAAAAATAATTACTAACATTTTGTTTCTTTCTTATAATAATAATTTCATAAAAAAGAGTTAATTATAGTTATACTCGTAGACACGGTGTCAAGTCTTTCAAAAAGGTGGAGTAACTAATGTGTATTTTTTGTTGTCTAAGACATTTTTAATAATTAATATGTATTTGTGATCTTCGTGTGTTTTATATTTTTAGTTTTAATTACTAAAACAAATTTTAAAAAAAGAAAAAAGAAAGGCAGAGGTGGAGGTAACTACCACATCGTAAGTGGGTTTTGAATTTTGAATTTTTTTTTAATTTCTTTATTTAAATGATAAGTATTTTACCATTTTACCCTGAGAATGTTAAATAGATATAACTTTTAGCAATTTAGTTAATCGAGGGTATATTTTGGATTTTTGAATGTTTTACCACTTTCTATGCTTCTGCCTTTATACATACTAAAGCCCCATTGTGTATGTTTTGAAATTTTTTTTATTTTATTTTAGAATTAAAAAAAATAATGGGTAGTTATGTTCCATAAAAATAGGACTCATTATTTAATTTGGTTTATAATTTTAAATTTTTTTAAATAGGATCCATATTATCCTTATTTTATTAATAATTTCAATTTTTAATGAATTAACGAAAATCATTTTTTGATATTTTGAATGTTTTATCATTATCTGCCTTTTGCTTTATATATAGATATAGATATAGATAAATCATCATATAAAAACACGGCTACTCTTTTTAAACTTTTTAAGAAACTTTCCTTGGGAAAATAATAAAAGTGAATGTATACCAGTCCTTAGCCTTCCACCTAGAGAAATCTGCCACTTTTGCCAACGCATCTCTCCACTCTTATACCTTCATTTTGTCATCCAAACTAAATCTTTCTTCCAGTTGTGCAAAGGCTTTCTCAATACACCCCGTTTGTTTTCGTACATGAGATGGATCAACATAATAGAAAATCGGTAGCACTGCTTCTCTTGCTTGCATGAATTTAAGAATGTGTAGAAGTTCATCCAAGCACCATGTTGAGGATGCATAATTTTGTGAGAGGACAATAAGCGCAAACCTTGATCCTTCAATTGAAGCAATCAATTCTCGAGAAATAGCTTTTCCCTTCAAAATTTTAGGCTCATCCCTAAAAGTTATGATTCCTTGAGCTCTCAATGTTTCATATAAGTGGTCTATAAAGCCCTTCCGAGTGTCATCACCTCTAAAACTGAGAAAAACATCATATTTCCATTGAGGTGTTGTAGATGAAGAAGATGTAGATATTCTTTGTGTGTACATATCACCACTTGAATGAACTTAATTACATAGCTGTGGCAATTTCTTGAAGATTGTGATCAAATCCAATACGAGTAATCCCAAAAGTTTTGATCATTCAACAAGTCCTTTTTTCGACTGCAGAAAATATTAGAAATGTTAAAATTAATGCACACTTGTATCTTGAATAATATAGAATAATATAGAATAATGGAGAATCCAAAATATCATGACATCAAAATATGCTTTAGTTGAAGCCATTTATAAGATTGGAATTCTAATCAATGACACCAAAATTAATAAGATGAAATACCTTTGTTACCCTTTTAACATAAAATTGGAATTCTAATCCATTTATCCAGTTGAAGCCAGAGCAGAGCTCATTTCACGAGCTCCAGTCTCTCATCTTTATTTTCAGTTTTTGTTCTTCCATTTCTTGTTTTGTAATCATCTTTCTGTCTGGACTTTTCGGATTGTGCAGATGTCTATGTATCCTCTCCATTGTTGGCTCTAACACTTTTTCAATGGACCAAGCCTCAGCTTGCTAAATTGTATCACCTCGATCTCGATCTTGATCTCTCCAAGTTCGTTCTCCTATACTATCTTCTTCATCTTTCTTTTTTTTGCTTGTAGATTTGTGGACGAATGTATGAGATTGAGATTATGGTGAAATTGTACAATGATATCAAAGGAACCTCGATCTCGATCTCGACAAGTCGTTTCCGCAGAAACAACATCCAATGACCTCACCGGTTGTTCCAGAGTATTGCACAACGATAGCGACTCATCGTCTTCAGTTGTGGAGGAAGACAGGGCTAAGATACAATCTCACCAACTGAGATCTACCTACTACTTCCACCAACCAACGTCTACCTACTACTGTACATTGAATCTAGACATGTGGGCTAAGAGGTCTAGCATGATCAATCCAACGGGCTGGGCCTTGAACATGCAGGTCGTGACATCCTTTCCCACCTAATCTGGTGACGTCCTCATCGCCAAAGTAGTTCCTTCTCATTTGAATGCTTCGATGATGTTCTTGTACCACCACAAGGACTCTTCTTTCTCCCAATTACCTTCGAACTTTGGCAGGCCCTTCCATTTGACAAAGTATTCACAGTACCTCGGTACACATTTGCATCGCACTTCCCACTTGGCCATGATGCACTCGACCTCCCTGTCAAATGTACTCACCATCAAAGGTGGAGCTCGTTGAGACTCTCCATGATTTGGCTCCTTGGGGTAGGCATAGTAGGGCTTGAGATTGCTCACATGCAACAATGGATGAATCTTCAATTGTGGCGGTAGTGGACTTGTGTTGAGAAGCGTTGAGCTTCACAAAGGCCAGATCACCTGGTTGGAACACAACATCTCGCCTATGGACAGTTTTTGACAGAATTTCACGAAGCTCGTTCGGACACCTCCGGCCACCATTTTCTTCGAATTTGGTATGCTTTTCTATCCTTTCAATGTGTTCTAGTTGCTGGTTATGGTATTTAGGAGCAATTTCTGAGTTTTTGTGGGTAAACAAGCAATAGAAGTTTTGGCCGATTTCAGCCTCCGATTCCGGCCACTTCCGTTGATTTTTTGGGGTAGGTCTGAGAATAAAAGTTGCTCCACTCTATGTGATGATCATGTAGGTATAAGTCTTGACCAGCGGTTTGGAGATTTTTTGATCGTCGGAATTGCTTTGGAAGCACCACCGGTGCGTGGGCCATTTTTGGGCCTATCCTTGAGTCCTAAAATCATCCTCATGTCGTCCCGAGCACGTTAGTGTGCTCAGATATGAATTTGTATATCGTTTGATCATCGATCGGATATCGCATATTAGGCGATATCCGGGTTTTATAGGTTTGGACCGTTGGATCGTTTTGGTTTTCAAATATGTTGATCTAGGCACTTCTAGAATCGCATAAAATTCGACGGATCGTGAATCGGAATCCCGGATATCCCGAAATAGCAAACCCTAATGCAGGATAAATTGTTGTCGTCCGATCGTGCTATCGTAATCAATCCGGCCGTTTAATTTGGACCAAACTTGCAAGGTAGGTTCAAAGGAGTGCCTTGAACCTATAGGGACTCACGGATTTGTGATCAGAGGTCGTGGGCCCCGCGGGCCCAGTTGACTAAGTTTAGGCGATTTGACCCTTCGGTTGACCGTGAGTCTTCAGAGGCAATTATATCCTTTGAGAAGCATTAAAATGACCATGTAAACGAATCCTGACCGAGAATGAGTTATCTTGGTCATGTTGCGAATTGAGTATAGATAGTTATTTATAAATTGCTATTGTACCCAGTAGCTGAAAATGATGAATCATTGCCCTTGGTTTTTATCAAATTGTGGCATATATATTTTAAGTATAGTTGAGAATCAATTTATCAGAAAGTTGATCTAAAGGTCGGAAAATGAATTGTGAAACAAAGGGAAAGTATTGATATAAGTTTGGGATATGGTTTTTCAAACCCACCACGAGGGTACCCCCTAATTGCTTTGAACCAGTGTCATTTATAAATAACGCCCCACATGTTTTGGGAACCCCTAAACCGTGCGGAGCGAGGAATACGGTTCATGCTGACCAATGGTCCCCTGAGGCTTGCGAGGATTGCAACTCGGATAGAAGTGGTATCTCTGAGGCTTGCGAGGATTGTGGCTTGAGTAGACTTGGTGTCTCCGAGGCCTATGAGGATGGAATTGACGGTATTATTGGAATTAACGAATCATGAATAGAGGTACGCCTAGGTGGAGAAAATTTCAGTTTTAAGATGTTCTTAAACTAAAATAGAGGGAGTTCAGTGTATTGAATATTTATATTCGGTATACGACTGATACGAGTATTAGGAAATTACAAATTATTGCTTTAGAGTTGTGAATATGATTGAGTATAACACACACATGAGAATTCAGTTTGATTTGCAAAACACATGGCAATATGATGAATGAATAAGATATTCAATTACATTATTAAAGGGAAAGAACTATGTGTTGCCTGATCCCTCAGTAAGGGTACATAGTGTCACGGCCCGCATTTTCAAGGCCCAGCTCGTTGGATTGATCATGCTAGACCTCTTAGCCCACCAGATTCAATGTACAGGAGTAAGTAGACGTCAGTTGGTGGAAGCAGTAGGTAGATCTCGGTTGGTGACATTGTATCTTAGCCACCTACTGTGGGGGTAGGTGGGATAGGAACAGTATATAAGGAGGATGTCACATTGTGTATCCTCACCTCACAACTTGTAAATCATTTGAGTAGCAATACAAGCATATATTCTCCCAAACTCTCTTAAGTGTTCTTATGTTCTTGCTTGGTTCAATCTTGTGTTGTAGGAAGGAGGCTAACTTAGCTTGTTCGAGTGGCGATCAAGTCTAAGGCCGCACGGAAGGAAGACTTCGAAAAGTCATCCCATGACAGTTGGTATCAGAGTGAAAGCTCAAATCATTCGAAGAAGCATGTCGAAGAGACAGGTCTGTCCAAAGAGGGAACGATCTAGAGATGTTGTAGCCATGATGAAGAAGCGGCTTTCTAAGATGGAGAATGCCATGGTCGAGTTTGATCAACTTCTCGAGAAGGACGTCCTTATGAAGCCGGGTTTCGAAGCTGTAGTGGATGAGCTTCAGGGCCAATTCCAAGGAGCCCTCAACTCCACACTAGACAACATCAAGCTAGATGTCCAAACCAACCTAGATCACTTCTTAGCAGAGCTTACTTCGCTTCGTGATGAGGTGAAGGATGTGAAGGGAGATTGGACCTTGTGCAAAGAAGCTGTCTTGAACAAGACCTAGACTCCGAAAGAACTCAAGGTGTTAGATTCTTTCAAGCCCAAATCCTACAATGGGAAGAGGGAGGCGAAGGAGCTGGACACGTTTTTGTGGAATATCGAAAGGTATTTCAAGTATCTGAGGCTCGAGGATGATGAGCCCAAGATCAATACAGCAATGTTGTTTCTCACCGACCATGCTCTCATGTGATGGCGTCGTCGATCCATGGAGATCGAACAAGGTACGTTTACACTGGAGACTTAGGATGAATTTAAGAAGGATATTATGTTGCATTTCTATCCAAAGAATGCCAAGTATGAGGCGAATGAGAAGCTGAGATGGCTAAAGCAAAAGGGGAGCGTGAAGGACTATGTTGCCACATTCACCAACCTATTATTCGAGGTGCCTAGCATAATAGATGAAGACGAGCTCATGTACTTCATGAGTGGCCTACATAATTGGGCCAAGCTGGAGTTACAAAGGAGACACGTCCAAACCTTGTCAGAGACAATTGCTGCAGTTGAGTCTCTTGTTGAGTTCAAGAGGAGTGATCAAGGCAACTCCAAACGAAAGAAAGGTGGCAGTGGATCCGGTGGGGGAGACAACAGGCCAAAAAAGGGTGGCAAGTCAGGAGACAAGTCTGACGGTCACAAGTCATCCGCGAAGAAGAATGACAAAGGTGACAAGGGGAAAGACAAGTCGAAGCTAGCTTGCAACTTGTGCAATGGAGTGCACATGATGTGGGAGTGTCCGCAAAAGAAAGCCTTGAATGCTATGAACCAGGAGAAGGAAGAGGAGGCCGAGAGGGAAGCGGGAATGGGGGCCATTCACCACATCAATGCCTCACAAGCCAAAATCGCTCAACCACAGGTTCAAGCCAAAGGGGTCATGTTCGTCAACGCCATGGTGAATGGCAAAACAACTCGTTGCCTGGTGGATATAGGTGCCTCGCACAACTTTATGTCCGTGCAAGAAGCAAAGAAACTTGGGTGCCGAGTCTCAAAGAAAATAGGCAGTATGAAGATGGTGAGTTCAACCGCCAAACCAATTGATGGAGTAGCTCATGGTGTGGAGCTACACATTGCTACTTAGAAGGGATTAGCTAACTTCTCCGTGATCTCGATGGATGACTACAATGTCGTGCTAGGAATAGAGTTCGTGGACAAGGTAAAGGCATTTCCCATTGCATTTTACAATACTATGTGCATTGCACAGGGTGCAGCAGTGCCATGCATGGTGCCAGTGGTAAGGCAACAAGGCGAGTCGAAGCTCTTGTCAGCCAGGCAACTTTCCAAGTCTTGTAAGAAGGGCGAACCGACGTTCCTTGCAACCATGAAGATGGACACAATTGAGAAGGAAGTCCAACCAGTCCCAAAAGCTGTGGAGGCAATCCTTAAGGAGCTACCCAAAACCTTACCACCTATGAGAGAGGTGGATCATGCCATTGAGTTGGAACTGGGTGCCAAACCCCCTGCCAAAGCGTCGTACCCGATGGCACCTCCTGAGTTGGAGGAATTGAGAAGGCAGTTGAAGCAGTTGTTGGATGCTGGGTACATCCAATCGTCCAAGGCCCCTTATGGTGCCTCAGTTCTTTTCCAGAAGAAGAGGGAGGGAACACTGAGGTTCTGCATCGACTACAAGGCGTTAAACAAGGTGACCATAAAAAACAAGTATCCAATCTCTTTGATTGTAGATTTGTTTGATCAGTTGGGAGGAGCTAGGTACTTCACCAAGTTGGACCTGCGCTCGGGATACTATCAAGCAAGGATTGCACTGGGAGACGAACCGAAGACCGCATGTGTGACGAGATATGGGTCTTATGAGTTCCTTGTCATGCCGTTCGGCCTAACTAATGCCCTTGCAACCTTTTGCTATTTGTGGTGTACTCATGCAGGATGGACACCCATTGGCTTTCGAGAGTCAGAAGCTCAATGACACGGAGCGGAGGTATACCGTTCAAGAGAAGGAGATGACAGCCATAGTGCACTACTTGCAAACTTGTAGGCACTACTTGCTGGGTTCTCAGTTCATGGTCAAGATTGACAATGTTGCCACAAGCTACTTTCAGTCCCAACACAAGTTGTCACCCAAGCAAGCTAGGTGGCAAGACTTCTTGGTGAAGTTTGACTACAAAATGGAGTACAAGCAAGGGAAGACGAATTTCTTTGCCGATGCCCTAAGCAGGAAGGCCACACTAGCAGCTGTTGTACAACCCTAGAGTTCTCTCATGCAGAGGATACGAGAGGGCTTGTTGCATGATCCCCAAGCCAAAAGTCTGTTGGAGCTTGTCAAAGATGGGAAGACAAGAAGATTTTGACTCGATAATGGTGTTCTCTATGCAAAAGGGAAGAGGATCTATGTTCCAAGGTGGGACAATCTGAGACGAGAGCTACTGAAGGAGTGTCACGACTCGAAGTGGGCAGGACATCCAGGCACGCATCGAACATTAGCCTTGATGAGTGAAGCTTACTATTGTCCACAGATGCTGGAGGATGTAGACTCATTCGTGCAGACTTGCCTTATATGCCAACAAGACAAGACATTGCAGAAGCAGCCGAGTAGGTTGCTAGAGCCACTTCCTGTTCCAACCAGACCATGGAAGAGTTTTTCCATGGACTTCATTGTGAGTCTACCCAAGTCAGAAGGGTGTGGCTCAATCTTGGTGGTGGTCGACAGGTTCATCAAGTATGCTACCTTCATCCCCACACTAGCGGATTTCAATGTGGAGGAAGCTGCGCGCTTGTTTCTAAAACATGTGGTGAAGTATTGGGAGATCCCAAAGAGTATTATCAGTGACCGTGACACTCGCTTCACTAGTAAACTTTGGACGGAGCTCTTCAAGCTACTTGGCTCACAGTTGAACTTCTCTTCAAGCTACTTTGGTCAGACGGAACAGGTGAATGCATTGTTGGAGTTATACTTGAGGCACTATGTGAGTGACAACCAACGAGATTGGGCAAAGTTGTTGGATGTTGCTCAGTTCTCGTACAACTTGCAGTGGTCGAAGTCGATAGGGTCAAGTCCTTTTGAGTTGGCAACGGGACAACAACCTATGACACCGAATACAGTGGTGTCAGGCTACACAAGGAGTAGTCTAACTGCATACAAGACGGCCAAGGAGTGGCAGGAGAATAATGAGCTAGCTTAGGCTCAATTGGAAAAGGCAACTCGGAAGATGAAGAAATGGGCAGACAAGCACAGGCGAGATGTTGTGTTCCAACCAGGTGATCTGGTCTTTGTGAAGCTCAACCCCTCTCAACACAAGTCCACAAGAAAGTTACACAAGGCATTGCTAAGGAGATATGAGGGTCCATTTCCTATCATTCGAATAGTGGGAAGAGCCGCTTACCATGTGGAACTACCACCTCGATTGAAGATCCATCCAGTGTTCCATGTTAGCAATCTCAAGCCCTACCATGCCGACCCCGAGGAGTCAAGTCATGGAGAGTCTCAACGAGCTCCACCTTTGATGGTGACTTCATTTGATAGGAAGGTTGAGTGCATCATGGCCAAGCGAGAGGTGCAACGCAACGGTATACCAAGATACTTTGAGTACTTTGTCAAATGGAAGGGCCTGCCAAAGTCTGAAGGCAATTGGGAGAAAGAAGAGTCCTTGTGGAAGTACAAGGACATCATCAAAGCATTCGAACGAGAAGGATCTACCGTAGTGACGAGGACATCACCGAATTAAGTGGGGGAGAATGTCAATGCCCGCATGTTCAAGGCCCAGCCCGTTAGATTGATCATGCTAGACCTCTTAGCGCACATGTCCATATTTAATGTACAGTAGTAGGTAGACGTCGGTTGGTGGAAGCAATAGGTAGATCTCGGTTAGTGACATTGTATCTTAGCCACCTACTGTGGGGGTAGGTGGGATACGAACAATATATAAAAAGGATGTTCAAGGCCCAACTACGTGTTGCCTGATCCCTCAGTAAGGGTACATAGTGTCACGGCCCGCATGTTCAAGGCCCAGCCCGTTGGATTGATCATGCTAGACCTCTTAGCCCACATGTCCAGATTCAATGTACAGTAGTAGGTAGACGTCAGTTAGTGGAAGCAGTAGGTAGATCTCGGTTGGTGACATTGTATCTTAGCCACCTACCCATCACAACTTGTAAATCATTTGAGTAGCAATACAAGCATATATTCTCCCAGACTCTCTTAAGCGTTCTTATTGTTCTTGCTCTTATGATTGTTCTTGCTTGGTTCGATCTTGTGTTGTAAGAAGGAGGCTGACTTAGCTTGTTTGAGAGGCGATCAAGTCTAAGGCCGCACGGAAGGAAGACTCCGAAAAGTCATCTTGTGAGGATGGAATTGACGGTATTAATGGAATTGACGGATTAGGAATGGGGGTACGCCTAGGTGGAGAGAATTTCAGTTTTGAGATGTTCTTAAACTAAAATAGAGGGAGTTCAGTGTATGGCATATTCATATTCGGTATATGACTAATACGAGTATTGGGAAGTTACAGAGTATTGCTTTAGAGTTGTGAATATGATTGAGTATAACACACACAAAATTCAGTTTGATTTGCAAAACACATGGCCATATGATGAATGAATAAGATATTCAATTACATTATTAAAGGGAAAGAACTACATGTGGCCTGATCCCTCAATAAAGGTAAGTAGGCAACCTAATGTTACAAGGTGCAGACGAGTTGGGGTGCTTGAGATTGCTAATGTACTATTGATGTTCTGAAAGTTAAGATGAATTTTATTAGCAGAATGATTGGGATATATAAATGTTTGTTGACAGTGGAAATTTTTGGGAAACGAGTAAATTACATGGGAGATTTTGGAAAATTTTTGACAAAATTCTAGCTGATAGAAAAATTGGTTTCTAGTTCGAAGGGCAATTTGGTCATTTGTACCTGGCATTCGCCAGGTGTCGAACAAGCACAGGGTTCGGCTCGGATTCCAAAGTGAAATTTGGGTTGGGTCTTGTCACTAAACCCCTTCCTTTTCCCTAGCATTTGCTTGGTTGTCGCCTGGTTTGTTGCTGTTGTTCATCTCCTACAACCCATCCTCATATCTAAGCTTTTGCTCTGGAGGAGTGGGCTTTGTAGTTTAATGGTCAATTTAGACTAATCCATGGATCATTTGAGCTTGATGCATGCTGGTGGCTTGCTTCCCCGAATCCACTCTTCAGATCTCCTTTGTCGGTTCTCATGGACCTTCCTCTATTGGCGGCGACGGCAGAACGGGTTGCAGCGGCAGCTGCTTAGTTCTTGGGTGTGATTTTAGGGTTGTTTGTTGTGTTGGGCCTAAATTATGCTTATTATGGTTGGTTGTGCTTTTGTTTTATTGTTCTGTTTGTTGTATTGGGCTTGTGATAAGTCCATATTGTACATATATTTTATGTCTCCTTTGCTTATTTATTTCTTGATTTTCTTGGATTAAATTGTTGGGTTTAATGTATTTTGTGAGAATTGTGTAGTTGGTCCCTAATTAGAGGAATTGGACGAAAAGTTGTCAAATTGGACTCAAAAACCATTAAGATGTATGACAAGGATTAATTGGAGACAAAGAAGATGTTTCTTAGAAGGCAATCAACCGATCAAATCTTAAAAGAGGAAGTTTGGTCAAATCCTTGTGGAATTTGGAGAAGCAATCAAAGAGATATTGGGAAACCTATTTTTGGTAGTATTTGATTGTAACTAGGTTAAGGATTTGTGTATTATAAATAGCATAGGGCTGGCCTCATAGAGGGGATCCATACTTTTCACTACCCGAAAATACCCAATTCTTGCAAAGAGAAGTCCTACTGCCGTTAGCCACTGTGGAACTTTTTGGGAGTTTTCGAGTTCATCTTCATGTCTACCATCAACCACTCTATGATTCTCAATAAGTTTATCATGTTCTAATTTCCTTTTTTCTAGGGCTATGATGTAGCCTAGCCATGAATACGTTATTTATGTGTTTATGTTAATTTGATATTATTTTACATGTTAAGTATCTTTTACCATTCTTAATGCTTTGAGTGCTTGATCACCACTTAATTGATTTGATGCTTGAGTTGACGATAGGAATATCCAACTTAGGATTTTGCTTCTAGTAATTGGTACCATAGGTTACTTGAGTGAACTGGAAGGTTAATCACGGCTTGTGTGGTTTCCATAAATTTCCATAGAACTTAATGGGTTTCTACTTCTTAGTTCTTCATCTAGGCATAGAGTGGGACGGTTGTAGGAATACTTTTGGTATAGACAGACATGTCATATTGAATAATTAAGGGAAATTTACCATTAACATAGATAATAAATAGGATTAACTAGCTACCGGAATATGGTAGAATTGGCTATGGTGAAATAGAAACCCTAGTACTCATACCATCAGTGTTTGCTGAATTTTATTATTGTTTATGTTAGTTCATTCTTGTTAGTTACTTACGTAATTCAAATCAAAGCCTCACCATTCGAACATCCAGATAAAGTTTAGGATTAATCATAATCAATACTCAGTTAATTAGTCTTAGTCTATGCGGAACGATACTCACTTACCACTACACTATTTTGCTACGATTTTGTGTCCTACAATTTCATTAACAGCTTGTTTGTAACTTTCTAAAGATAATGAAATCTTCATTCCTTCGAACAAAAAACAAAATTATATATAGGGATGACAATTAAGAATGTTTATAAAACAAAACCCTAACAATCTAGGCATAGCAGGAGAGATGAAAAATGGCTCACTTGACATGCATGTATGTATAAATAGGGCCACAGAGATTACCTGATTTTACGTAGCAGAGATTAGACCGGTCGAAGGATGACTTCTGAGAAAACTGGGTTGAACAACCCCTAGCTATCTACCTTATCCCCAGATTCAGCAAGGCTCCTAATTTTTCAGAGGTTTTTTTTTATGCTTTTTCTGTGCTCCTAATTGTCTGTTTTCTTAGTGGGAAAGTGGGGAAAATGGGTCTAGTGGCCATATATATTGGATTCCTTTCAATCATGGGAAAAAAATATCTCATGTCAATGTCGCGTTTTTGGTCCAAGTCCAAGTCTGTGACAATTACTTTTGTTGCTTTGTCAAAAAATTCACACCTAGCGTGTATTTTGGGGATTCTTTCTCCAATCTTTCTCAAATAATTGTATATAACCAAAATCAGTGTATTTTTAAACAATAAAAAAATACATATTAACACACTATACAATATGGTTATTTGTTTTAAGTCTTCGTGACGGAGTCATTTACTTATTAAATTACTTATTAATTGGTTACAAATACAGAGAGAGATAAATCAGAAGAAAAAAAAGGAGAAGAAAAAAGAAAAATATGCTCCAAACTTTTCAACTAACCAACCCAATAACATATCAGACTTCTTAGTTGCACAAGAAAAGTCTGTAGCATATTTTGTCCTAAATTTACTTTTCTTCTTGTTCTCGTTATTTGTCGAAGACTTCTTAATACTAACCAACCAAAACAGCAGGAATTTTATAGTAACTTTCACTTCACGAAGTAGGTGAAGAATGAAGGGCTGGGCCTTGGGAAACGTTCTCATGCAAGACAAGGCCCTCGCCGATAACGGGTTGATAGAATTATCTATTGCATTAGCCATCCATCCAAAGTGTAAATTAATATTAGTAAGAAATTTATTAGGTCGAGCTACTACAAAATATAGAAACATAGCTAGGTTATGCTAAAACGAAACATAGGACCAAGGGACTCGTAAGTCAAGTTATTAAGAGCAGATAGATACCTCTTCACCTAAGATCTGTGTTCGAATTTCTCTTTTCCTAATATTACTTACATAAAAAAAATAAAAATAAATAAAGGGCTTATTTACTATTGTAACATCCCATATCGACCAACGGAGAGGAAGTGATGTGTCTTATATGTACATGTCCATCTCCATCTAATACAAGGCCTTTTGGGAGGTCACTATTTTCTGAGTCATGAGTTGTGTTCGTGTTTGACATTTTCAACTCGTGTTCTTATCGTGTCGTGTCGCGTCAACCCGTTAAGAAAAGCGGGTTGACACGAAAACGACACAAACAGTGAAAAAATGACACGAATGCCAGGTCTACTCATTATTTGTTTGTTATGTTCTCTTTTTTGTTTATTCCTATCAAGATGAATTACTTTCCTGATTAACTTTAGATTTACCGTACAAGATTACTCACTTGTAGGATTATGTTTACCATCTCGGTTTTTTTGGGTGGTCGCAATAGGTTTCGAAGCTTTTTGTTTTGGGAAATAGCGTTTAATGCCACTTCTTTCCCAACTTTATCTGAAAATACCACCTTTACCCACACATTTTGCAAATAGAACCTATAAATACATACTTATTGCCTACTTATTGGCCACTTAACACTTTTGGTCAGTTTTTGTTTTCTCTCTCAGCTCTCTCGTGGCTCTTTCTCTCAACTGTATCTGATAGTTCTCTCTTCCTCTCTCAACGCTCTCTCTCTCTCTCTCTCTCTCTCTCTCTCTCTCTCTCTCTCTCTCTCTCTCTCTAACTACGCCTCTTCTCACATAGAAGAAAATCAAGAACAACCTACAAAACCCACAGCTTTGCCCTCAAAACCCAGTTCTTCCTCTTCCTCTCTGTTTTCTTCTCTACCCAAATCCAAACCCCAACTTTGTCTCTCTTCGAATTCCTTTTGCAACCTAAACAAACCCAAACAAACCCAAACAAAACCATCTTTTCTGAATATGACAGCATGTCTTGGCATTAGGTGGCCATTGTTTGAGCATTTTGGTCCAATTTTGGGGAATTTTGAAATCAATCTTCAAGAACAGCTTCTCCAGAAAATGAATTGTTGGGAATATGTAAGTTTTGTGTTAAATTTAATTTGATTACTGAAATTGGAATTGTGATTGATTTTGTCTGTATTTTGTGTAGAAAGTGAAGTATTGGGATTTGATTTTGTTTGTCTGAAACAACAAATGTGTTTGTTCTTTGTCGATTGATTGAACTTGTTATGATTATATCATAGTGAGATAGCATTGTTGATTTGCTATTGCAATTGTATTGTGGTTGTATTGTAGTCGTATTGCTTTTGTATTACTATGGTATTGCTGTTATATATATATATATATTTTTTTTTGGTGTTATATTGACATGTTACTGTAATACAGTTCTAACAGTTGGAATGGTCTGAAAAGACTCGAGATTAAATATATGATTAAATTCTTATATTGGTCAACCTGGTCCCCCATAGGGTCCACGACCTCCGATTAATAATCCTAAAGTTCCTATCGGTTCGTAAAAATCCAATTCACCTATCCTATGAGTTTCGTCAAGGTTCGACGGTCCAAATATATCAAACCCGAATGATGCCTAATAGGTAAAAATTGGTTTTAAACTCAAACGATAACAAAAAGTTAACCCGAGCATACCACCATGCTCCGGATGACCTAGGGATAATTTTAGGCTAAAAATACGCAGGTGGCCCCCGCCATACTTTGCCACCAATGGGTGGGTGCGTTGAGTAATTTCCAGTGACTGGAAAATCTCAAAATCTCCTGCCAATACCAATGCTAATTTGTTAAGCACCTTAAATGGAGTGTTTTTAACTCTTGGACCCCGGCCAAACCGTCGGAGCATATGGGGTGTTTAAAACAAACTTCCAAATCACGAAATCAATCGAAACTACCTACATAAACAGATAAAGCACTTCAAGAGGATGAAAAACCATACCTTACTAGTCGAAATTGGAGGCTGGAATCGCCGGAAAATGGAGGAGGAAAACCAGCGAAACTTCTCGTCATTCAACCATCAATCCTCTGGCTTTCGAAGAGGGGAAATGGGTGGAATAGAAAGAGGGTGTCGAGCTGAAACTTTTGGTACTAATTTCGTGGCCTGAGATGGTCGGACGACGACGAACTACTGACGAGAAGTTGGAAGTTACTGTAGCAATCACTGGTACTTTAGCTCTCTGGTTACTATAGCACTCAAATGAAGAGAAGATAGAAAATAACGTGGAAGAATCTGATATGGTATTTAAAAAAATCTGACTTTGAAATATTTACGGTTGTGCCACTGCACTTCCGTTAATCGTAACTTCTTCCTTAAAACTCCGATTTGAGCCCACTATGTGTCTACAAACTCATATTAACGCGCTCTATGCAACAGTGCTGTTCAATTCTCCAAAAAGTCAATTTAAAACTCATTAAAAATTCTCTCAAGATAAAATTGTGTTTTACTTGAATAATTTAAGAATTGAATATTAATTTAGTAACAGGATATTACAATGAAAATGGGTGGAATAGAAAGAGGACGTCGAGCTGAAACTTTTGGTACCAATTTCGTGGTCTAAAATGGCCGGACGACCGACAGGAAGATGGAAGTTACTGTAGCAATTAATGGGACTGTAGCTCTCGGGTTACTGTAGCACTCAAATGAAGAGAAGAGAAAAATAACGTGGAAGAGTCTGATCTGGTATTTAAAAAAATCTGACTTCGAAATATTTACCGTTGTGCCACTGCACTTCCGTTGGTTGTAACTTCTTCGTTAAAACTCCAATTTGAGCCCACTACGTGTCTACGAACTCGTATCAACGCGCTCTATACAACAGGGCAGCTCAATTCCCCAAATTATTTCCCGAACAAAAAGTCAATTTTAAACCCATTAAAATGCTCGGGATAAAATTGTCTTTTACTTGAATAATTTGAGAATTGAATATTAATTTAGGAACGGGATATCACAATTTCCCTCCACTTTGAATAGATTTAGATGAGGCTATCATTTGCCCCGGTGACTTGGAATATACAAATATTTCCTTAGAATGTTTACAGTTCCGTTTTCGGATGTCGTATTTATTACTACCAATGTATAACTACAGTGCTAATACTTTCCAAGACTGTTTTTCAGCCCACACCAAAGAATCTGCTAGAGCATTGATGGAGACTATAAAGATGACATTTCCGGGGGCAGGATTGACTCTTGTGGTTCCAATGGCTAGCGACAAAAATCATCTTGGTTTTGCAAGAGAGTGCCTTTCAAATAAAGTCGGTACTCAATTACTATCATGATTATTACATCTTCAGTACTTCCTGGTTGTAATGTTACCTTCATGATAGACTCCGACCACTTCTCTTCAGGTGGTCATGTCGAAGGTGTTGTTTTGACAGAAGCTAGCATTGCTGGGTCAAAATCTCGGACAACTGCAGCCTCATTGTTAAGGAATTGCTGGATCCAAGCTTCCAAGGAACTGGGAATAGATGTTCTCCACGACGAAATGTCAGAACATCAAGATTTGTCTGTGGATAAGTTAATTTGCTTAAGCAAGTTGGGAAATAAACCCATATTGGCCGCGGAGGCTTCATTTTCAGGCTTCCCTGAATACAGCAAATCAGATTCTCAAAGGAAGAGATTGGGATCGTTTAGGAATTGTTGTAATTACTGGTTCCTTACATATAGTTTCATTAGTATTAGCTACTCTCCATGGTTAAACTTTTTCTTTCTTAAGAATCCATTCCTTGTCAACTTTTTGTATTTATCACCTCGGCCAATGCAAAGGTTTCTAATGTTCTACCTCAGCTGAATTGAGCACACACTGCGTCTGCCTCCTCATCTGCTTAGCCTTCGTCTAGAAGATGCAGTTAGGGGAGAGCTTGAAAAGCTTTTCTTAGATGAGGTTTGTGGCCTGATATATATTTGTTCTTGATATATTTTGAATTTTCCCCTTTGTTTCTTATTCAAAATGTTGTTACTTTTTTTTTTTGGGTGCATCACAATGTTTTTAGTTTGATTTACTGTGCTATTGTTCCAATGTAGGTAATCGCCAACTTGGTACTTCGCATTTCTGTCCATAGCATCCAGAACATTAAGGCCATGTTTGGTGGGATGGACTGGACCAAACTTTTTCAATTAAAATGGACTACAATCCTAGCTATTGTTTGGTGGGCCTAAATGCATTGTGGGACTGGTTAGGCCTCGTATTTCAATAGGATACCAATCCATCGAATGAGGATTTTGTAAACCCAAGTGGAACCATGGGTTTCGAAGCCTCAGCCTCAGCCTTTCGTTGCTTAGAGCACCTCTTCTTTTCATCGTCTTTCTTCTCTGATGCTCCCACAAATTTCAAGCAATCTGACACTCCAATCTCTCTCGCTCTCTCTCATGGAAATAGGAACAAGAAAAAAGGAAGGAAAGGGTGGGTCTGAAGAGAAGGGAAAAGGAGATCTTGACCATAATTTCTTTTCTTCTCATTTTCTGGGTTTTGCCTAAACTCATAATTGGGGGCCCTTGATAAGGGTTGTCAATCTCTCTTTTTTTCTTGCTTCTATTTGTTCTTGGTCTTGATAAGAATCTCACATTTTCTCCACCTCTCTATCTCCTTTTGGCTTCAATTTTATTTATTTATTTTCTGTTGTTAATTTTGGTTAATGGGTTGATTGAATTGATCTTAATTGTTTCGGGTAAGTCAGATTATGTTGGTTAATTTTTTTGAATTTTGTTGCTTGATCAATGTAAGTCCCAATCTCTCTCTTTTTTTCTTTTTCTTTTTTGAGACAGTCCCAATCTCTTTGAATATATTGGACCTGTAAATATTTTTTTTCCTTTCAAATATTGGTTATGTAATTTTATGCTTTTTGAATTTTAATTTATCTGATTTTTTTTAGTCAAAAGTCAATGATTTATGATATTAAATATTTAATAAACACTAAATTTTATGCCGAAGCACTTTTATGCATTAACAGTTTGGCGCCGTTTGTGGGAAACGACACTAATTGACCCACCGTCTCTATCACATGGGGACTGCATCAGTACCTGTATTTGTACCATAAGAAGGACTGTTGTTCGAAAAGCAAAGTGGAGCTAGCCCAGCGCTACCCCATGCACCCATGCCGGCAATTCATCCATAATGCAAACCACTGCCGAGGTTGAGCTCTTGGTTCAAATCACTGCTCTTCGGCAGGACATGGCTAGATTACAAGAACACAACAACCTTTTCTCGTCTAAAGTGGACGAAATGCAGCAGCTGCTTAATTAGCAACACACACAATATCCAAACCACTCAATCATCTCAGAGTCTACAGACTCCCAGTCGACAGAAGAATGGTAAAAATGGGGCAAAGGCGGCGCCCGCGCCTTCCAAACGCCTGGTAGTTTCAGCTCCCAAGGATAAAGCCCACCTGCCGAAGAAGGTTTATTCGGATTGTTCGCCACCGACTGATGGATCGGGAACCAGAAATACATAGATCACCTATCAGAATTGAGGCATGTCTCAATGACTCACGAATGATGGTTTTGGGAAATAAATCCCCTATCTGAAGAGTGTAGGGTTTGGAATCAATGGCATAATCAGATCATGAATACGTCCCTTCTACAAATCAAGAATCCTCCTACCGTTTGGCCACGCCAACACGGTATTCTGAGGTTAACCCGAAAATGTCACAAAGACATTCGGAAGATTATGGAGCCGGTGAGATTCCTAGCAAAGACCCCGTCATTCGGCTCCTCTTCCAGAAGGTTCAGAAAATGGAGGACGACATAACCTGCTCTCAGGAACCAGAGTATGGGAAACTTTGGCCGGGACCATTCACCGAATGCATCAAGCACTCCAGAAAGGACAGGGATGTGCAACCACTGAGCATACCATTCTACACAGGTGTGGAAGACCACCTGACACATCTTGTAATACCCTGAACAAATTCAAGGTGGATTTTCATATTTTAGTGAAAAATGATATTATGGTGGAGAATGATTATGGGTATTTTATTAAGTGATTTTGGATTGAGATTATTAAATTAAGTGTGTTTAGTTTCAAGTGTGACAAAAATGACCAAAATACCCCTATGTGTGAAAGATAACCAAAATACCCTTGTAGGAAAAGAAAATTGAAACGTGGAGGGCATCAAACCACCATCCTCCCATTCTTCTCCCCTTGCCTCAAGCTTTCAAATCCACCATTGAGTCACCTAGTCTAACGTGGCAAGTCACCTAGTCTAAAGTGGTGAGTCACCTAGCCTAAAGTTATGACTCACCTAGCCTAAGGTATCTTCCTTAATGAAGCTGAATTTTTTTTAGAGCTAAGGGAGGTGAGTTGTTGACGGGAGGGAGAAGATAATGGGGGGAGAGAGAGAGAGAGAGAGAGAGAGAGAGAGAGAGAGAGAGAGAGAGAGAAAGAGGAAAAGACTTGGAAATAAGGGAGGTGGAGGTTATTACTATTACATCCATGAGAGAATTAAGAAAGAAATGTGAGAGGTAGAAAAGAAAATGGTTAAGTGTTGAAGCAATTGGAAGGATGAAAGGTGGGATTCTTGTTCTAAGTTCATTTTTAATTCTTGAGTTTTTGTATAATTAATTGTTTGAGTAGATTTATAGTTGTATTTGAGTTGGAGAATGATTTATGAACCTTTTAAGGCATAAGAAAATTAAATTAAAAAAAAGAATTTTGAAATCAAGATTTTTCGGTTTGGGTGTTCAAACTTTAGATCCAAATCTTGTTTTTGGGAAGCTTAGGCCAAGGATATGGTGTTGGAGTATGATTTCGAGCCTTAAGGATGGTATTCGAGGTGTGTTGAAAGAGACTTTTGAGAAAATTTTAGAACTTCGTATTTTTCTGGAAATTTCAGTTCTTGGGCCTTACTTTGGCTCTTGTGTTCCTTTGATTTGTGAAATAATTTTTTAAAGGTTTTGATGTTTTGGAAACTAGGAATAGCATGGGTCAAAACCCTTTTGATTTCACTGATTTTGGTTAAGTTTTGGGGGATCAAATATTGGAGTGAAGTTAGGTTTTCAAAACTGCCAAAACAGAGGAAGCTGGAAAACAAAAATTCAGATTTTTGGGCCTGTGTTTGGGTTCGAATTTCTCACTAACCGTAGCTCCGTTTTCACAAATCTTTATATGTATAGAAAGCTAAGGTTACAAGCTTAAATTTGAGTATATTCTTGTAAAGTCTTACTATTTTTAGTTATGCCAAAAACGAAGTCGAAGACAGGGGAAAAAAAGGGTCTTTTGGGAAAGACGATGAATAGTACCATGCAATCACCATGTGTGTGTTCAACACATGCGGTGCGATGTTGGTGTCGTTCGTCATCCTCCGCAACTTAGTTTTTTGTTTTAAGTCCGTTAACATTGGTTTCAAGACCATCCGAGACCCGTAACTTTTTGACCAAAAAATTATATTAAGCAAAAGCACTAATTATTATTTGTCCTTATTGTTCGATTTAGGCTCAAGTGGAAACAGAAGGACTGGAAGGGTCATTCGGTAATCTAACTAGTCCGACGTGAGGTAGAGTTTCCTGATTTCCTGATGATTGGGCTATGTCACTTTTAATCTTGGTGCTTATATATAGTATTATAAATATGAATATTATTGTTGCTTTGCTTGGTAAATATTATTTGATGTTATGTGAATATTATTATTGATGTTTCTTCGTGGATATTATTTGACATTGGGTCAATATTATTATTCATGTGATTAAATCTAAAATATTATTGTTATTATCTATGTTATTATTCAGCAGAGATAAATGATGTTTGCGCTGCATTACATATGCATCATATATAAATACAGTGGGGTTTGAGGTGTGTGTCGTTTGAGGTATATCTAAGGGGTGGAAGAAGGCTTTAGATATATCTGAGTAAAAAAAATGTGAAATATATTTAGGTGACGGGAACAGGGCTTGAATATATTGAGGTTATGGGAGCAGGGCCTCTAATGAAAAGTGAAAGTTGAGAAATTCGTAAACAAATAAAACTGGGTTAAAGGACGGATGAGCGCTGGTTTATATTTTAGGGTATTTGGAGCCACAGTGGTAAAACACATGGTATGGGACACGCAGGCTTGTTGCCCTAAGGTATGAATTAGTGGGATTAGAAGGGAGTGAGTTCATGATATCACCACATATACAAATTTATTTATCTGGTCTGATTGCATAATTTATATATCTTGTGTTGTTTGATGCATGACACTTTGATTAACTGTGATAGTTGACCTTGAGGGGTTTGACGGTACTCTACTAGGCATTAGAATGCTCATCCCCTAATAGATTATGCAGGATTCAATGCAAAGTTTGAGGGAGCAGGTTTCAACCAAGCTACTAGGCTTTTGTTGTTGATTTGTGTAATTAATTTTGTAAGTTGTCAACCGTTTGATAAATATCTTAGTGTGTATTTAACTACGAGCTATTGCGACTCTAATTTTGTGTTGTTAACTAAATTTGTATTAAATGTGGCACTATTTCTCATCATATCTTGGTTGTAGGATTTTATTCTTTTGATTATGGTATGACTCACACCATGATTTGGGAATATTCCTTTTTTTCGAATCGGGTCGTGACACATCTCCACTCCTTTCAGTTTGCCTTAAGGTGCAAAGGGTTTAGCGACGAAGGGCAGTGCCTGCTATTTCCGTATGCGCTTACCGGAGCGGCGTTGAACTGGTTCTACAGGTTGAAACCAAGAATGGTAGATTCTTTCGACGAGCTAAAACAGATCCTTCTCAACCATTTTATGATCCAAACGGGCCGTCTGTACTTTGCCAACGACTTATGCACCATTCCTCAAAAAGAAGATGAGTCCCTACGAGAATACGCTGCCGACTTAGAATACGCTGTCGGCTTAGCCATGAATACACGAGATGCCCAGAAACAGATGATCGGGCAGCCTTCAGCACCTTCAAGAGTGGTCTTCGGTCCTCGTACTTCCAGTATTTAGTACATAGCAACAACTAGCGCACCTATGACGAGTTAATGAAATAGGCTGCAATCCATGCGAAAGCCGGATACTTCAACTCAAAAACCGGGACTTCGACTCGGCAGGAAGAACTAGCACAGCAAAAGCTCTAGGCACAAAGGTCAAGGTATGGTTCGGTTGACAAGATTGTCGAATACCAAGCTGGCCATAAACGAAAGGATACTGCTGGTTCTCGGCAAAAGCATTCTAGAAGAGCCAAAGGAAAATATAGCCGTGACGACCACCGAGCGCCCTTGTCGAATCATGACCGTGGGCAAGAGGTCTTTGCTCTACACAACACTTCTTACGAAGCCGTTCTAATGAACGAGCATGAGATTATATAGAAGCTGGCCAATCAGAAGCCTAATCGACAAGACAACCGAGACACTGGCAAATTCTACCGATACCACCAACATAACAGCCACAATACAAAAGAGTGCATAAGCTTGAGAAAAATTGTAGAGCGACTAATTCAAGAAGGCAAGTTGGATCAGTACATTGCCAGACCACAGCAAGCAGGGGCTGCGAATACCAATTGGCAGATCAACATGATAAGCACCATTAGTGAGGGACCAACCCTGGCAAGTATATCTAACCGATGAAGGAAGTAGTATGTTCGAGCAGCCCAATACCCTCAAGTCTTCAACATTGAAAGAAACTGGCATCACAAGCTACCAAAGATTCGATGGGAACCCATCACCTTCTACGAGGAAGAAGAAGAAGGGATCCTCTACCCCCCATGATGATCCAATGATCATCCGAGTCGAAATTGCCGACTTGGGCATAGGACGAGTCTTAATTGATACGGGCAATTTGGTCAACATCATCTTCGCCGATATCTTCGGGAAGTTGGGAATAAACGATAACCATGTCAATCGGCAGCTCACGCCCCTCCTTACTTTCTCTGGAGACTTGGTTCAGTCAGTCTGCAGCGTCAGCTTAACCGTTTCTTTTGGAGTGGCCCTACGAAAAACAATGGTGTACGATCAATTCCTCATTGTTGATTGCCCAAAGGCATACAATGTCATAATACGCCGAACAACACTCACCAAGATTAGTAGCTCTCAAGCCTCCCAAGGACACCCTCACCGTTGTAGGAACACCAAATGGTAGGAAGCCTATAGACGACCTTAGAGACGAGACACCGATGCTGTAGGCGCAACCCGTCAAAGACCTGGAAACAGTCGTCTTGAACGAGTACCAACCAAACCAATGCATAAAAATCGGCACCGCACTCACTCTAGTCCTCCGATCGGAGTTCATTCAATTTCTACATCACCACTTTGAGGTATTTGCTTGGTCGTACGACGATGAGCCGGGCATTTCCCCCGAAATCATCAGCCACTAGCTCAGCATTTCCCTTACTTACAAACATGTGCGTCAAAAGCATCAATCTTACGATGGCGAATAGTATAAAGCCAGGAAGGCCCAAGTAGAGAGGCTTCGCACCATCGGCTTTATTCGAAAGGCTACATATTCTGTATGGCTAGCGAACTCTGTAATGGTTTGGAAAGCAAAGGGCGAATGACGAATGTGCAAAGACTATACCAATCTGAACAAAGCTTGTCTGAAGGATAGCTTTTCATTACCATGAATCGACTAGCTCATGGATGCCATTACCGATCATGAGTTGCTCAGCTTCATGGATGCATACTTAGGATATAATTAGATTTTTATGCATCTTGCCGATAGCGAACACACGACATTCATTACAGACAAGGGACTATACTGCTATAATGTCATATCGTTTGGTTTGAAGAATGCAGGGGCAACATACCAAAGGTTAGTCAACTGAATCTTCACCAAGCACATCAGTAGCACCATGGAGGTCTATGTCAACAATATGTTGGTAAAAAGTAAAACAGCGGACGAACACCTTCACAACTTATCCCTCATGTTCGGCATCCTTAAGGAATATCGGATGAGACTTAACCCAAACTAAGTGCATCTTTAGTGTATCTTCTAGGAAGTTTCTCGTCTTCATGATAAGCCAGAGAGGAATCGAGGAGAATCCTAAAAAAATCAAAGCTCTAATTAATATGGAAAGGCCGAAGACACAGAAGGACATTCAAAGCCTTACCGGACGTGTTACAGCCTTAACACGGTTCATTTCGAAGGCCACCGATAGATGTCCACTGTTCTTCAAAGCCTTGAAAGGAGGCAAGCAGAATATCACATGGACGGCCAAATGCGACCAGACATTTCAAGACCTAAAGAACTAAATGAGCAAGGCACCACTACTGTCAAAAACTATTCTTGGAGAGATTCTGTTCCTATATCTCTCGGTATCCCAAAGTGCCGTAAGTTCTGTATTGATATGGAAGCCAGAGAATGCGGAATTGCCGATCTTTTACTTCAGCAAAGCATTACAGAGCGCAGAGCTTCAGTGCCCTCCCCTTGAGCAGTTGGCCCTAGCTCTTATCACCTCGGCATGAAAACTCCGTCCTTATTTTCAATCTCATGCGATCACCATCTTAACTAACCAATCGCTTCGGCAAGTGTTCCAAAAGCCTGAAACATCTGGCCGATTGGTCAAGTGGGCAATCGAGCTAAGGGAGTTTGATGTACAATTCAGGCCTAGACCCGTAGAGAAAGGCCAAGCCGTAACTGATTTCATTTTCGAATTAACACCTTCGGTAGCATCGGAAAGTTCGGATACAGGTACGGTGCAACCTAATATATTGAACACCAAGTGTTTCGATCCTTCAATCCCAGTTTGGGTCTTACACGTTGACGGCGCGGCAAATCGGCAAGGATGCGGAGCCGGCTTAGTGTTAACCATGCCAAATGGAGTCAAGATTGAATATTCCCTCCATTTTGGCTTTAGAACTTCAAACAACGAGGCCGAATACGAAGCCCTCTTGGTCGGCCTTTGGTTAGCCAGGAGTATGGGCGCCAAATAGATCAGCATCCACAGTGACTCCCAACTCATAGTGAATCAAATAACTGTGATTTTGCAGCCAAAGATGTATCTATGTCAACCTACCTATTGGCAGCACATCTACAACTTCGGAAGTTCTGTGCTTACAAGATTTGGCAGATACCCAGAATAGAGAACAGTCACGATGATGCCCTGGCAAGATTAGTTTCGGCAATCAACAACAAAATCGGCCAACAAGCTCCTGTGGAAATACTGACTCAACCAAGTACAATAGGCGCCAATGTTTGTGATGTACAGTATGAGAACACGTGGTTGTCCCCTATCTACCTGTACTTAACAAACGGTACCATCCCTGACCACAAAACTCAAGCAAGAAAGCTGTGATACCGATCGGTAAGATACACTATCACCAATGAAGTCCTCAAGTGCATCACTGCTGAACAAGGGGACTATGTCCTTCTGGAGATCCACGGAGGCGTCTGCAATGACCATTCAGGATCTCGATTACTAGCTCACAAAGCTTTCTAGCAAGGCTACTATTGGCCAACCATGCATCGGGATGCAATCGTGTTCGTAAAGAAGTGCGACAAATGCCGACGATTTGGCAATGTGCCCCACTTTCTTGCAGAACCCGAATTGTGAGTCCATGGCCTTTAGCCCAGTGGGGGCTAGATCTAATTTAGAAGCCGAAGCTCTGGCAACTATCAAGGCAGCACAAATAGAAGATTTTGTCTGGACCTACATCTATTGCCGATTCGGCATTCCCTATGCCATTATCACCGACAACAGCAAGCAATTCAATTCGGACCTATTTAGGCAGTTTTGCACTCACCTCAAAATCAACCTATTCTTCGCCTCTCCAACTCAGCCCTAGTCGAACTGCCAAGTTAAACCAATAAACAAAATTATCAATGAGCTGTTGAAATGACAACTAGACAACGCCAAAGGTGCCATTCAGATGTCCTTCCAAAGATCCACAGGGGATCTCTCTTGCCTTCGGATCAGAGGCCATCGTCCCAGTGGAGATTGGTGAGTCATCTTACCGAACGGAAAATTTCGCACCCAAAACCAATGAGACAGTGCTGACACTGAACCTCGATTTGTTCGAAGAACGCCGAGCGCAAGCCAACCTTCGGAAAGAGGCACACAAACAACATGTTGCTCGGTACTACGACTTAAGACTAAAACCCCGCTCTTTTAGAATCGAAGATTAGGTAATGCGCAAGGTTTCTTTGGCAACCAAAAACCCAAAAGAGGGAACCCTTGGACCTTCATAGGAAAGACCGTATAAGATCATCAGCATAGTTCGATCTGGAATGTACCGACTTCGAGATACAAATGGCAAGACCCTCGGTCACCCATGGAATGTCGAACATTTGAAACACTACTTCAAGTACTCCCCTAGCCAACAGCATTGTAAAATTGTAAAAATAGACAAAATACAAGTGTACCTCTGCCTTCGGCAATATTAAATGGAAAAGTCCATAAAGACAACTGTTACGTTCACTTGCCTTCGGTAAATGTCAAAACTTAGGTGCCAAAGGCAACCAAGCCTGGCTACCGTAAGACTCAATACATTGTCTTTAGTTATCAATTCAACCTTCGGCGATTAAAACGATACGGTGGAGACCATCATCAAATAGTTACCAATGGTCAAATTACTTGGCAAAAAAATTCTTATCGAAAAATCTTATTTATCTTTGGTAAATCAAAAGTAAAATATGTTAGATTACTGCATGTTATTATTCTTTCAGCCTTCGGCGATTAAAAGGTCCTTACCAATGGACGGATGACTTGAGATTTTAATTTTTTACTTTAGCCCTCGGAAAATATTAAAAGATATTATCAGCCCTCAGCGATAAGAAATGGTACAAAGGAAAGCCTCGGCAAAGTTTGTTAGCCATCAACAACACTTAAATTCCATTCATACATAACAAAGAAACAGAGATGTAAGTAAAAACAGTTAAAACTCAAAATACCGAATAGAATAATTTAAAAGATGCCCAAAGGAGTTGCCTTATGGAGATAATAGTTATACATGAACAAAATTACAAACTGAAAATTAAACTGCAGCATCTTCGGCGTTGTCCCGACCTCCAGCAACAACCTCGACCTTGGCACTCGACAGGGGAGGAGCGTCTTCACCCACGTAGTCTTCTATCATCTCCTCCATAAAACCCTATGGCAGAGGAGGAAGATCGGCAGCAAAATTTAAATTCAGCTTCTGCCCAGGGTTGAATTGCTTGAAGAGATAAACCAGATTCGCCATCTCCAAAGCCCACCTTGTTGGCCAAAAGGACAGTGAACTCTTAAGAAGAACGATACTGTTTAATCGCTTCCCGAACAGCAGCCTGGATCTCATTAGCTTTGGATCATTCCGTCTCTTCCAGCACTACCTAAATCGCCCCTTTGGCTGCCTCGACATCCCACGACCACCCTCATCTCAGCAAGTTTGGCTTCAGTAGCTTTAACTTTCCATTTGAGAGCCTCCTTTTCCTTGATGAGGTTGGCATGGTCTTGAAGAACCTTGCCAGCCTCGGCAACCTTGGCACAACCGTCATCATATGCCCTCTTCGCACGTTCGGCAGCCATAATGGCCCGTTTCATGCAGAGCCACATGTCCATGGATCCCTATAAAAGAAAACACAAGCATTAGCAGGACTTCCGAGTAAAGCAAAAACCAGATCAAGTTAAGAGTGGGGCTTACCGAGGCTTAGAGCCGGAAGGCGCAACTAGCTTCCTCTCGAAGAAGTTTCTTCGACAGCTCCTTGATTTTTGACAACTCCATCTACAAACTAATTATCATATGGTTCGCAAATTGGACAGTCTTCGAAGGGCAAGCAAGGGTTATAGGACCTTCGGCCTGGTCACCTTCATCCTCAGCCGCAAAGACTACCTTAGGATTGTCGAAAATACGAGCCTTCTTCGAAGCTGGAGGTGCGTCCAGCTCGATAATAGGCCACTTGTTAGCGGCCCACTGATAAGCCTCCCTCTCAGCTGCAACCCCTTCAGCCTACCGGTTCTAGCTATCAAGTTGCCTCAGTCGTTCCGACAGAGTTTGGTTTAAATCAGCCTCGGATAGCTGAGGAACATTGGCATTATGGGCCAAAGAGCCCGCCTGCAACTACCGTTGCTTCTTCGCCTTCACCCCTATCAAGAGGCGCTTCATGGATGACTCTGACATCTTTCTCGCTTTCGTCACTACACACCGAAGATGATTTGGTGAGTCAAAATACAATACCGAAGGAACAAACGGAAATCATAATCACTTACTCTCTGATGGGCCGACAAGCCGAGCCTTTATGAGATTTTGGATAAAGAGGAAGTCAGGATAAGTCCGATCTGCACCTAGGATTTTTGCCCTTACCCGCTCGACCTTTTGAATATCAGCTCTAGAAGGGGTCGGATGCTTCAGCTTGCTTGAAATGTAACAAAAATTGGTGAGTGATGAGCAACGAAATACAAGAATAAAAAACCTACCGAACGGCAACCTATCTACCAAACGGGCCTGTCCGAAGGCAACTGCTAGTCACCGAACAAAAGCACCCGTTGATTCCTCCAAGATTTCTGGGAGGTCGGCAAGGCCCACACAAAATGGCGACACTCGGAGGCTCGGAGGCCATTAGCCTGGACCCATCCACCATGCCTTGCACATTTGGACTTTGTGACACTATATAAATACGAGAACTGCTCGTATGTCAGTTCACCCTCTTCTTCAGGATCGAAGGCGACGATAACCCCCATCAGAGCCACCCAGAAGATGGGGTTGTACTAGCCCGGGGCGTAGCCTAAGTGGGCTAAAATTCTCTGAACGGGAGGCTGCAACTGCAGCCGAACCCCAAGCTTAAGGATATCTGTAAAAAAGACGACCTCACCGTCCTTAGGATTACTTAAGGACTTGGTAGGCCTTGGAATTCTCCACTGAACAGAGTTGGGAATACAGCATTCGGCGTGGTACTTGATCAACTCTGCCCCGGTGATCTTGTTTGGCTCCAAATAGTCAACGCTGAACAAAAGTGCCTTGGGTTGGCCTAAAGGTACCCCAAGGTTTCCTTGGCGAACTATAGTAACTATTGGTTGTGAAGATGATTCAGCAGAAACATCCCCACAGCTTGATGTGGACGTCTCCAAATGGTAGCTAGCATGCTGATCTGGCACCCGCTTGTCCTTCATTAAGAACTCGCAATACTGGCTCATGCTGGAGCATCCGACATCGCACGGCACCACTGCCAACGATACTACCTCACCCGTTGGCAGAACCTTCCTCTTGCCGAATGAAGGGATAGACCTAACCCTCTTGCCAATGACTTTGACTTTGGTATCTTCCCTACTAGCACTGTCGAAGCTCAGTTCCTCGCTACTTGTATCCCTCCGATTGTCCGATGACTCCCCATCGAATGCGTTGGGTTCACTATCATACCAAGACTCGCTATCGGACATCTACAAACTAAAAGAAAAGAAACTAAATGTTATGCAAGAGATTGAACTACCGATACCTATGGATATCGCTACATACGGCAACCAGACTACCAAACGTTCTTCATGTTCATGCAAGTTCATAGTCTAGTTCATGCCAAGGAAGTGCATTTTTGATTGGAAAAAGAAATGAAAAAGCCAAAATACCTTGTTTCTATGGTGGTGGAAGTTCACCAGAAATCGCTCTGTCGTCTACTTTTTGCCGAAAATAACCTAAACTGCCGAAGACACTCACTAGAAATCGTCTTTCTTCAAAGCTCTCGAATCGCTCTCACAGAACAAGTGACTCTTCCATCCGAAGTCACTCCTATTTATAGAGAGGAGAATCGACCGGTACACCTCTAAAAACCAACTAGCGTCGTAATGCCCTGCCTTGCTTGCGCACTTAAACACGTGGCACCAATCGCATACGAGGGAAGTCTGCATGCTGGGCCTAGAAGACTAAGCGTCATCTCGTGCAGTAGATTCCACTTTCCAATGTGCACGCCACTTACGGAAGCTCAAGCAACGATCATACTGCCATAATGGATACACCAACAACCAGTTATGTCGTTCGGAAGGAAATGGCTGCCGAACTGCGCAACTAGACTTTGTGACCCTTGGGAAACCTGGAGGATGCCTCGTACGAAGAGACCATACCTTCCAATAGAGGCCTAGGCTCTTCGGCCCTCACAAGGTCACTGAACGGCACCATACGAACAAACGGAAAATCAGTCATTCCTACCGCAACCCACAAGCACCGAAGATAAAAGCAAGTCCCCAACTAAGAAGCTCTCTCAATTGGGAACTTGGAGACTCCTGTTTATACCAGAATCAACGGACCAATAAGAGCACGACACGTGGACAAAAGATAGCATCGGCAAGGTAGCCTTCGGCACCCTAGGCTGCCGATGGCAAGGTTAGGACGAATGCATCCCCTGACCATGTGGAGCACCCACAGCGAATGTCTACAGTCCTACATCGAAATTCTACACAACATGCACACCTCCCAAGACTTATAAAGAGGGGTACAAGTCCCAAAATTGACGCAATTGGAACTTTTGGCATACTAAGCCATTGTTATGTCAGATTATTACTAAATCTGTACTTACTCAAGCATCAGAGAGCCTTTGGCTGATACCACACCGGTGCCCTAGGTCTTACCGAGTGTTTTCTCATTTTGCAGAGCAATCACTCTACCGAGGCCCAGAGCATTCCGAAGGCTCAGACATCACTAAGTTGAGCCAAAAGGTGCCGAACCACTTTTTCGCATCAACAACCTCATTCCCTGTGGGTGACCAAACTAACAACAAGGGCCTATCTTCTTCTTCTTCTTTATGAAATTGAAGTGGCTAATTACCTTGAAGGGGTTGAGCTGTCCAAGTATTCTTGAAAGCTCTAAAGCATGCTTTTGATTCTATTTGCAGGAGTTTAGAGTTGTCAATATCCACTCTCCAGCTTAAGAAGTGAGTATCACTGAGATGGGCTGATTATTTGTTGTTCACACTGAATGGGTGTCTGTTAGGCATTTAGACTATATTACGATTGTCAGCTTAAATTAAGATCTAATTTGCAGAGCTGATTACCAAAGGAATTAATGTCAGAATACTCCTTTCATTTGAGTATGTACTATGCGATGATTTTCTTCCTTTCTAAAGTTTCTTTTTTTCTTTTTTACCTTTTACAACACTTAGCATGTTGTGTTTCCGGACTCCTAACTCATACAAGAAGTTGACAATCATGTGATAATAATTGGAAAGTGGAGTTCACACTGATTATGTTTCTTCCATTTGTGGGAGAGATAATTGCTGCAAATGGTTTACATCGTATGTATGCTACTGAGATGAACTGAGTGTAGCTAAAATCCTTTAGTTTTTCCTACCACAATCTCTAAAATCTCACGACTAGCCGAGCTATTCATCTTTCAAGCTCACAACCACACGTTAACTCCCACATTACTTACTATATGTTCTTCACATATTTGGTTCAATTCATGTCGTACGTGAGAATATATGTTGAGAAGACCTATCAGTGCATTTTATATTTGTATGTTCTAATTGTGTTTTTGTTGCACAGTAAACTCAAGAAATTGAGAAGTTAAACCCTATTAGTGTTCTAGGTCTCATTTAGTTTTTCCTTCTTAGTTTCTCTTCGGTGCAAGCAATTCTCACTCTAATTGGCAGTGTCCCTTGAATTTTTTTTGATGATATTTATGTACCTGTTCATCTTTTGCCTGTTCAATCCCACTCCGAGCCTGACACACGAAAGAGGTGACCCTTCCATGTATGCTTTGATAGAAGTACATATAGAGCTTTTTACGCATAATCCTGCATGATTTCTTGTTTATTGGTATTTTTTAAAATTACCCTCAAATATGTCATTCATTATATTCGCTGAGGATTACAGGGACAGAGTCATGTGGACATGGAAGTGTCCTGCTTCAGATGCAGAACTTGTTATTGATGGGATGGATCGGGTTCGTGATATTGTTTGATTGTTACACACTCAAATTTATGGTGCCTAAGTGTATACTAACTTTTAGTTCCAAATGGCCAGATAAAATTCCAAGCTCACAGTGTGAACTATCCTCCAATTCTAATTGAGCAGCCAGAAGACTCAAAACCATTTGCCCCTACGGTGGTTACAGTAAGTTCATGCGTTAAACCTTATTATGTGAGTCGTTGCATCTAGCTGTAGCATCACTTGATCTCTAGTTCTCTACAATTCTCCAAAGGCAATGAACTATTGAAAAAGTGCTGCTTTGTGAAACTTTTGTTCTCTTTAAAATATGCTATTCCTTTGTTCATATATAGTAACTCTAATTCCTTTGTTACATTATGTCAAATCTTTGTTCAAATTAAATGAGGATTCTCTTTTGACAAGTAGATTTCTAATGAATTCTATGAGCCTCCAATTAAGTTTCCTATTTCGCAGAGATCAATTGATTTTGATGGTTTGGACCCCGTTTTGTGGTGGGACGATGCAGAAGACAAGGATGAAGAACCTGAAGACCCTTAAGCTTACAGACCTTCAGAAAAGGGAACTACTTTGTTTCTCATGACTATGTTTGAAATCATGGATACAATTTGGTTGTCGTTCAAATTAGCTTGATTGGAAGGTGGACAAACTTTACTGGTCTAGAGCGGGTGATACAATATGAAGTCCATGGTGAATCAGCTTAGCTTGAGCCTTGTGGGCTCATTGGTTTTGACTTGCTGTCTCATTTGCAATAATATTCTTGGGGAAACTGCTTCTTGCACATATCTAAATGTAGTATGCCCTTCCCTCATGGGGGGGAAGGGAACATTGTAGGTATTCGTTTTACTACGATTGCCCTGCTTCCATTCATACTCATAGTTACATAAGAATACTGGCCCGAATTTCTATTCTAGATTTCCCATTTGCTTTAGAATTGTGATAGCTCTTGATAGGATAAATGAAGTTTAAATTTCTTGGGGTTACCCAATAATGCTTACTTTTGTTGTTGAGGTGTTTTGGGTCAAATCTGTGTTCAGAAAACCTTCTTTTGAAACTGAGGTGTCTAGCTCAAGCTTCTTTGGAAATATGGTTTACTTATTTTGAATCAGTTTGAATAGATATGATTGGATTTTCAATAAGAGGAAGAAGAAAAAGGATGGATTAGAATTGATGTGATCTGGACAGTACTCAGATAAGACATCACCAATTGTAATTAAAAACATGCAAAACAGGCCAAAGAAAGATTCAGACCCAAAAAACAAAAATGAAGATTTGATTCTCTTTTATTGCCATAATTTCACTCTCTTAGCCCTACATTTATTCTAATCTTAATGCACATATGTTAATCTGAGATCTTTTGCTTCATACAATTTTCTCAAAGAGCCATGGGAGCCATTGAAGTTGATGGTATAACATCCCAATTCTCCATCTGATTCAACACCTCTAAAGAACTATGAGGAACTACAAAGAGAGAGGGTTTCTCACACACACCCTATCAAAGTGTCATAGAGGCTCGAACTTGAGACCACTAGTCTAGACCTCGTACATGGAATGAGTATTGGAACTATTCCCTTCAAATTTCTGACTTCCCCTGCACTTACTAACACATAATGAATAAAAAATTATGTAGATTATACATTAAAATTCATAATTCAAATACAAAAAATTAAAAATTAAAAATTAAAAGTTAGAAAAATAGAAATAAACTAAGCCCAAGCCCATAGTATTTCAGTTGTGCGCGCTAAATTCCTTGAGCTTTCGGGGAGGCTCTGTCACTTAGACTACATCCTCAACTCATTCAAAGCCCAAAAAACTCGATCAACAGAGCCCAAAAATTGAAATTTCCAGCTTCATGTCCCTTCCATCAAAGTCGTTACACTGTTGACTGAAACTCTTTTTCAAAATTTACAAACACAAGTACTTTTGTTAGGTAAAGTCGGGAGGATACTTGTCGCCTCGCCTATATATATATTCATTCACGTGCAAAACATATAGGTATAGCCCACCACCAAGTGTTGTCGTTTAAATAAGATTTTTTTATAAAGAAAACAAGAAAATTATATGACGGTGGAATTTCAATTGAGAGTTTGTGACAGATTTTTGTGGTGTGCTAAATCCATTCCTTTTTAGAAAGGGCAATAGTCAAAGAAAGCAGTAAATGGTGATGCCCCAAAGCCGCTTTTTTTTTCTTCAACAAAGGCTGCGTTTTGTGTCGCTTTTGGCTACAGAAAAGTGACAAACCCCAACCAATCTCAAAAGGTGTCACTAACACTCACAAATACCACTGTCTTGTCAGTTGCTCCCTTTTTTGGTTTTTTGAGTTGGGTTTAATTATTACACTTAGTGATTGAGAAGACAACTTGTTAGTTTCACAGAAATATTACTGCTCACTTCATGACTTTTTTCTCTTTTTCTCTTTTTTTGATTGGCACCTTAAAATCCGTTCTTTCTATTTTTATGGACACTTTGTTTTTTTCACTTTAACATGTTTGTGCACACGTTCGGTGTAAGGAGCGAGAATTTGGAGTCGGTGTTTTCATTTTTTTAATTTTTTATATAAGTGATAGTCTAAATTGTTAAAATATGAAACTTATGAAAGATTATAGTTTGTGAGAATTTTCGGTGTATTTTTCTCCTCACAGGAGGTTGTTTTTATAATACAATAAATCCTTATAGGTCAAGGAAAGTAATAACTTCTAATTTTATTCACAGTAGGAAATTAGAAATTAAAGTAAATCAATTACATTGAATATAGGAATCCTTGGCATATAAGGAAAGTTACGGTGGGTCCACAAGTCACACCAATACTCCCCCTCACATTAGTGCATAGATGTCGCCAATGTCAACTAGTCCAGTGAATTGTGGAACGCTCTATTGAAAATTACATTTGTCAAAATATCTACCTATTGATCCTCGGACTTTACGAACAAAAACTGAATCACTTTAGCTTCAAGCTTCTCTTTGATATAGTGTCAATCCACCTCAACATGTTTGGCGCGATCATGTTGAACTAGATTATGTGCAATAGCTATTGCAGCCTTGCTATCACAAAGAGATTCATTGCAGACATATATCGATACCCAAGTTCAGTAAGCAACCTCTTTAACCAAATGAGTTCGCAAATTCCTTTGGTCTTACCTCTAAACTCAACTTCTGCATTGGAGAAGATGGCCACTTTATGTTTCTTGCTCCTCCATGTAACCAAATTACCTCCCATGAATGTGAAGTAACCGGATGTGGATTTCCTATCCGTTATACTTCCTACCCAATCTGCATCTGTGTAACCATCAATATTCAGACGACCATGTTTTGAGAACATAAGTCCTTTTCTAGGTGCAGACTTCAAATATCTAAGTATTCGAATAACTACATTCATGTGGTCTTCACTTGGAAAATGCATAAATTGACTAACTATGCTCACCGCATAAGCGATGTCTGGTTGAGTATGTGACAAATAGATCAATCTTCCCACTAACCTTTGGTATCTTTCCTTGTTAGTTCGAACTTTATCCGGATATTCTCCAAGATGATGATTCTAAATAATAGGAGTGTCTACAGGTTTGCAATTTAGCATTCATTTGTCTGCCAACAAGTCGAAGACATATTTCCTTTGATATAGAAATATACTTTGCTTTGATCAAGCCACTTCAATCCCCAAGAAATACTTGAGTCCACCTAGATTCTTCATCTCAAATTTAGTAGCTAAATAGTCTTGCATTCGAGATATTTCTCATTCATCATTCCTAGTAATAATCATATCATCAACATAGATTATTAAAGTTGTTACCTTTCCTTTCTGATGTTTCAAGAACAGAGTATGATTTGAATTGCTCTACTTGAACCAATAATTCCTCATTGCCAAAGTGAATCGTCTAAACCATGCACGTGGTGACTATTTCAAAAAAATATAGTGCTTTTCGCAACTTGTACACCATACTAATCTGAGTAGATTTGTATATCCTAGTGAAACGTCCATGTACACTTCTTTTGTGAGTTCACCATGTAAGAAAGCATTTTTTACATCAAACTGATAGAGAGGCCAATCCATGTTAGCTGCAAGAGATAGTAGCACTCTGATTGTGTTAAGCTTTGCTACGGAAGCAAAGGTTTCTTCATAATCGATGTCGTAATCGATGTCGTAGGTCTGTGTGTACCCTTTTGCTATAAGTTTGGCCTTATATCATTCAACAAACCCATCAACATTGTGTTTGACAATAAACACCCTTATGCATCCAACTATTCTTTTTTTCTTTTTTTTCTGGGGGTAATATCTCTAATGTCCACATCTAATTTTTCTCCAGAGCCTTCATTTCTTCCTTCATTGCTTGGGTCCACATCAGATCTTTCAATGCTTCAATCACCTTAGTTGGAATGACAATAGCAGATAATTGATGCACAAACGTCTTCAGTGGTTCAAGCAATCTTTGAGTTCACACATGATTGAGAATTGGGTACTTCGACTTCTTCGCATATTAGGAGAATACTAGTTTGGCGGTTTTCCACTGTTCTGCCAAAAAGGTAATTAGTATCCAATAGAATCATCAACTATCTTATTCAGGGCGATCAGCTGTTTTATTGCGAGGCGAGCTATCTGGTTTTATTGTTTGAGGCGACCAATCGTTAGAATTAGAACGACCAGTCGTTAGAATCAGAACGACTGGTCGTTTTGTCCATAGAGCTTACTAATTGAAGCGACGAGGCTTTATTGTCAGAATGACTGGTCATTTTCATCCATACTTCAAATTTTCCATCTTCTAAGGTGCTCCAAGTCTGTGCTTTACTCCGTGTCTCCCCCTGAAGTGAAGAATTAGATACTGGGTCATGAAAGAATGTCTCGAACTCCAAAAAAGTTACATCCATGGTGACATACGTGTGCTAGGATGGAGGATGATAACACGGGTAGCCTTTCTGAAGAGTGGCATATCCCACAAAAACACAACGAAGCGCACATGGATCAAGTTCGTTGCGCTAATTTTTGTGGAGATGAACGAAGGCCACACATCCAAAGATTCGGGGTGTGAGCATCAACATAGAAACAAAGGGCAGGGGCCCGTGTTGTGCGAGCACTCGTAAAGGAGTTTTAAAGTTCAAGACACTAGAAGGCATGCGGTTGATTAGGTGAACTGCGGTGATAATAGCATCATCCTAGTGATAATGAGGAACATGAGCACCAATTAGAAGTGCTCTTGCTGTTTCAAGATGATGTCGATTCTTTCGTTCAACAACACTATTTTGTTGTGGTGTCTGAGGGCAGGTTATCTCATGGATAATTTCCTGCTATTGGAAGTAAGTATGAGTCATGATTGACAAATTCTCTACTATTGTTGGAGTGAAGAATCTGAATTTGAGCATTGAACTGAGCTTGCATCTGCTTGTGGAAGAACTAAAACCGTGAAAACACATCTTTTTTACTCTTCATCAAATAAAGTCATGTCATCCATGTACAATCATCAACGAATATGACAAAGCATCGAACACCAAAAGGAACAATGATAGGCGAGGGTCCCCAAACACCATAGTGAATTAACGTAAATGAAATAATACACTTGCTTGTACTCAACGGATAGGGCACACGGTGACTCTTAGCCAAAATAGAAGTGTCACATTTGAAGTAGGAGTCTTTGAAACTTGAGAATAACTCGAGCAGAATATGCTGAGTATGAGTCGAAGTCTGGGTCTGGGTCTTTCTTGATAGCAATTCTTCTAAGATCGAGGTATGGTCAAGGTCGAGGCTTGGTTCTGTATCTTTAAAAATTGGGTCATCTGGGTCGTCGATTCTTCTAGTTTCTAAGTCTAGGTGGTAGAGAAATCGGCGATGCTATCTCCATGAGGGATGACCGTATATTGATCCCCTATGGCAGCATTGGCATGTGGTTGGCTAGAGTTTAGCAGCAATCCCAAGATTACTGCTCTGATACCATGCTAAAATTTAAAACTTATGAGAGAATAATGTTTGTGGAAATTTTCTGTGTATTCTTCTCCTCGTAGGAGGTTGTATTTATAATATAATAAACCCTTATTGGTCAAGGAAAGTGATAACTCCTAATTCTTTTTATAGTAGGAAATCATGAATTAAAGTAAATTAATTACATTGAATATAGGAATCATTAGCTTGTAAGGAAAGTAACAGCGGGTCCACAAGTCACACCAACATAAACTATAAGAGAAATGGGGATTTCTCACACACATGACCAAGGGATTATGGGGGTTTGAACCTGAAACTACTAGTCTATAAGTCAAAACCCTTTTTCACTGAACTACACCCTATTCGCAAAATATTTAATATAGGTCAGATTTTGAGTTTGCACTATGAATGCAGTCCACCTCTCTTTTGACTTAGAATTGGGTCCAGCGACTCAATAGGCCAACCAAGTATGTAAAGACTTGGCCACTGTTTTTAAAACATTTACACATATTGTCATTGTACAGTCAATCCTCTAAATTTTATTAATGACTGCAATCAATAAATTAATATCACATTTCTACAATTAATCTCAATTTATCAAACGCTTTCAACAAGTGAATACCTTATGGTGAGATATATATGTCTTTGGATGGTTTGATTTATCTGCTTTTTAGGTTTGTGTATACCTCTTCATAGGTAGATATAATTTGAGCAGCTAAATGTTATCAGTTCACTGTGCACAAATAATTAAAACATTGTATGGTAGGATTAATTTAGAGCCCTAGCTAATGAAGGCCGAGCCCTTTGACAAACTATATGAAGCCTATGTATGTACTCAGCCAGCCTGGTCCAGTACAATATTAACTTTGGTCCCACGGAACCTTGATTTATATGTGATTGCTTTCCTTATTGCAAACTATGCAACCCAATGTTTTGACCAAGAAGCGATATGCAACTTGGTATACATGTTCATTGAACTACGCGGAGATTTTTGTCCCAAAAAATGTCTTCATTCCACATCGATACAAATGCACATTTCAAATTGCATTCTCTGAAAATTTTCCAAAATATGATTAATTTCTGTAACCATATAGCATTAACGACTTTTTCTTTTCTTTTTTCGCTTCATACAAACGTAATGGGAGGGCGAATTCGAACATAGGACACCTGTTGCAAATATAATTACTCTTAACCGCTTCAGCCATAGTTTACACAATCATTTATTTGTTGATCACGTAACAAAAATTTCATGTAAAATAAAAAATTATATTAATTTTTTTATACAAAACAATAAGGATTAGGAAAATTCTGTTAAATAACGTAACAGAGAAATGAGAATGTTTGTTAATTGATTGATACCACCTCGGCCCCTCTTGGGGTCATCGAATTTGAATTTTTTATGTACTTATTTTGGACACATATCTGTAAGTAACAACCATGAAAACGACTGCAGTTTTGGTATAATGTTATTATATGTGAATGGAATATTAATTTTTAGCCGACATTATTGAGATAGAGGGATTATAAAATTGTATTTTGAAAGTAGATGACAAAGGTTTTAGTTTTGTAACCATAAACTTTTGTATAGTAATATAGAATCAGACACTTAGTTTAGCTTTATAGGAATCTACGCAGACCTCGTGCTAAGTGTAGTCGTGGCTTGTGGCAAATGTACAAGCACTTCCTTGTCAACATCTCCTACCTAAATTTGAATTTGTTGTACATATATTGATTCTTTGGAATAATTTTTTTTTATATCAATTTAAAGGCTATATATTAAAGTTATTAGATTCTTGGAAATACAATCAAGGATATGATGTGAAGAACAAGAGTCAAGAAGTTGACATCTTTGTTGTTAGCTTGGCCCACCCATAATGTATGGGTATATAGGATTTTCTGTAATAGACGTCTCTGAATTTATACTTGAATTTTATTTTCGTCTCATTTGTTTTTAAGTTTATGTTGTCATCCAACTCTCTTTTTTCTTTGGTCTGAAGGTGTCCTTCAACTCTATTTGAGAGGTAAAATTGTCAATTTGGATACAACTATCCTCTAAAACGACCTACCCAACTCTTTGCTACCCATTTTCCTCCGTATAAACAGTTATTTTCCTCCAATTGAAACCCTAATTCGCCCAATTAGATGATATTTAACTATACGAGCATATGAGATAAAATAACTATATAAAAGTTTTCTATATACATTGATGATGTTTTAACTAAATGACTTTAACTTTAATATATACGCGACAAATTCGTTTGGAATGGATCGAATATGGGGCATGTGCCATTGTGAAAGCTTGAGACTATCGATATTTGCTATGCATAATATTTATTTAAATGCACGGACACTCTGTAACTCCAGTGCTTAAATACATGCTATTTGTTTTATCAAGAAAGGCTTACGTACTTATATTAAGTAACCACCTAGGTTTGTTAACCTTTAGACATCTTAGTCAGTTATTGAATCCAAGATTTTATCTGGTATTGTCGGCAAGTATCACACTAGGGATGACAATTTCAAGAAACATGGCCTACAATTGGAAGTGAGTTTCTAAAAATTAATATTTAACAAAGCAAGGGGTACGTTCATTCATTAATCACCACATAAAGTTAATGCAACTTAGACATGTTAGACATATAGGGGTCGTTTGGTACGACGGACTGTTATAGACTGAACTAAATCCCAGAATTGTTGTGGATTGGCTTGGCTTGGTCTAAACTGGATGTACTAACCAACGTTTGGTGCTGTATCGGACTAAGAAGCTGGATAACGAAAATAGTACTATCTTGTGTTTGATTTATGCTCAAACTGGGACAAAAAAATTTAAAATTTTCTTGAAGTGATAATATTTTAATTATCAACTATTTTTACTATAATTCCAAGGCCAAAAATTGGTATTATGAAAATTTGCCTATATTTTAAGAACATTTCCCGAATGTGAAAGCTCAACTTCCCTAATGCAAATTGCCAAACCGTCACTAAGTAAATTGCAAACACAACATGCAATTGCAATCACAATTTGCAAAAACAAAATGTTTGTTTTTCAATTGCCGAACCATTAGCCACATGACCTTTACCCTTTTATTCTTCCTTTCTTCGTTCAAACATGGTGGTGAGACAAGCTCCAAACCATCCCAACATCATATAAAGCAAAAGTCATATAATAGTTTTAGATGCAAAAGTTAGATATTTTATATATATGCAGAAGTCATCCACATGGCTTGAAATTACAAATTCAAGTTCACATATTACTTTCCACAAGCGCACAGACTAACAATAATAATAATTAACCAAAAACCCACTAAATAACATATATAAATAAACATCCACAATTCCAAACTAAGACTAATAATGCAACAAAAACAAAAGCAACAACAACTACTTGTGGTATTTCTAAGGTGGGAAATGCACTTGTGTTTCCAATATATCATATGTTGCCTCTTCAAGCATTTTCATTGAGTAATTGCTCAACAAGGGCTTTTTTGATATCAGCATCAAGTGACTTGAACAGAGATATTGTTTGTGGGTTATCCAAAATGATTTTTAATGCTTTAATTTGATCCATAGCAAAAAAAACCCCATTTCCTTGACTTCTTTGGCAATATCATATCGATCTTCATTACCTTTTAAGAAAGCGTCAGTCACCATTTGCATCCTTTTTCCAGATACTTCGAACAATTTTTCAAGCGCAGTCACAATTCTGTCTTCATCACTTGAGCCTCTTTTCCTCTTGTTTTGACTAACCACAGATTGGTTGCCTTCCTTGTTTATTGACATGGGAGATGCATCATTGTCATCACTAGCATCAACTTCATTATTCCCTTGCTCTTCCATCATGTCACTAGGGACTTTAGCCCCTTTTCCATTGGCACGATCCTTTCCAAAAAAAAATTAGCAAGTCTATCAAATAATAGGAATGATTTGTTCCTCCATTCAGCTGCATTCTTGTGGTGCTACAATAAAATAAGACACCACTTAGGCAAGTAGTATCTGCACATAAGTCTCCCAAGCTTCATTACTGTCAACTTCAATGCATTTTTTCACATCATTCCATGCAAATCCACTTGTATTTATGATGTCATAAATTATACTATATTGTTTTTCCCACCACTTTAACTTTGATTTAATGTGTGGACTTGCCTTTAGCTCAGCACCAGGACATAGAATATTCAAAACTTTGTCCATTTGGAGCAAAGTACCATATTTGAAATTACCAATCTCACATCGATGGCCTCCATCCACAAAATCTTCAAGCACTGTCAGCAATTGCTCTTCCTCAAATTTAGACCATGAGTGCCTAGTTTGTTTCCTCCTTGCTCAAAGTCTTGATTGGTATCAACACTTTCAATTCCTATTATGACTCCACACATATAACACTGTCAGCAATTGCTCTTCCTCAAATTTAGACCATGAGTGCCTAGTTTGTTTCCTCCTTGCTCAAAGTCTTGATTGGTATCAACACTTTCAGTTCCTATTATGACTCCACACATATAAAGCAACAGTATATATCATCATTGAACTAAAGAAAAACATACAACAAATGAAATATGTAACATTGACAAACAATAGATAACAATAGCAAGGTTATCAAAATTACAACACAATCGGTCAAGTCAATATAATAATCATAATCATTATTCAAATTGCAAAGTGCTTAATCCTCAAGTAAATTAATACATGCTTAAGTTTGAATGGTGATGTCTCAAATACAAATTGAAACAGAATTCACAAATTGGCTAGCTATTCATAAACCACAAATTGGCTAGTTATTCCTAGTTGCCCTCCACTCATTATATAGTTGTAAGGCCAAGTCATCCCTTCATGCATTCCATTGATTGGGTGCTTCAACAGTGCCAATCTTATCACCTTCTACATTATTTTCTGCCTCATTAATTTCATTCACTTCATGCTCCATTGGATCCATGGACATCTCCCTCCTAATGAGATTATGAAAAAGACAACAAGCTGTAATTATCCGACATTGCGTCTTTATAGGGTAAAAAGACGGACTCTTAGTATGTCCCACCTAGCTTTCAACAACCCAAAACATCGTTATATTACATTTCTTGCATTCGAATGCCTCATATTAAAATATTCTTGATGATTTGCAGCTGTATATCCATCTCTCCATTCGGATATATGATACTTTGTTCCTTTATATGGTGCAAGAAATCCCTCACCATTTGTGTAACCACCATCTACCAAGTAATAAACACCTAATAACCAAAAATTGACAATTCCTATTAGTGTTGGTGTATAAATTTAATTTAAAATTGCACATAAAGTGAATACTTACTAATGGCCTTACCCGTGGGAACTTTTAGCCCATTTAGCCTAGTTATGGCATCACGAAGGACTCGAGAGTCAGATGCAGATCCCTCCCAACCAGGCAATACAAATATAAATTGCATCTCGCGTGAGTAAACAGCCAACACATTTGTTGCAATTTCACCCTTCCTAGTTCGATATCTTGGTTTATCAGTTTTAGGCACACAAACTTTAATGTAAGTTCCATCTGGAGCTCCCAAGCAATTCTATTAAAAGAAATATTACCTTTAATCAAGTTCTAAAAATTTCAAAAGAAGACAAAACAACTTACTACAATTTCTCCAAATTTCCAATACATAATAAACATACCTTAAAACATTTCCATCTATACTCTGTGTAACTCTCACCCACAGGTTTCAACACTCTCAATAGGCTACCTTGCAATCTTAAAATTCCTTGCAACATAGAGTTGAAGTACCTACTAATGGTCTCACCCGATCGAATAAATCTACTTCTAATAGTACGATTCTTAACATGATGTGCAAGTACATGTAAGAATATACACACTTGTTCCTCCAAAGTCACCAAACCATCATTTTTAACCCTTCCATTAATGTGAAGCAACCCACATAATATACCAAATGTCCTTAAATCCATTCTTAATTCTCTCACACACACTACATCATTCTCCAATATACTATTTAGATAACGCAATCGCGTCTCACGTCTAACAAAAGAATGATTATTAAGGTCACATCTTTCTATAAGTCGTTGATTTCTCCTCATTTTGAACATTATAACCACAAGGATTGTGCAACCACACATTGTCTCTAAATGCCACATCTCCATCAATAATATCAACAAAAGCTTTCTTCGATCCATATCTAATAAACCATAGAAACCAACAAAAATGAAGCATGCATATTTTTACAAACCAACAAAGTATATGTCTAGATGATATATATATATATATATACAAACCAACAAAGTTTCTGCATTGCTCATAGTACATGTTTCTTTTTTTTCTTTTTTTCACTTGAAACAAATTACACTTTCCTCTTGACAAGTGCCAATCACCATGAAAAGGAAAAACCAACACCTAACAAACAGTTATGCCAAGAGACCTATGGAGAAATTATAGAACATCCTTGAGCAATTAAAAACCATTAGGAAATGAGAATAGCAAGCAAACTGGGCACATCAACTCTATTGAATCCTATTAGAAATTTCGTTAAGAAAACCAAGTCTCCCTATTTTCATAGTTTATTTAAGATAATTTATCATGCCTCTTTACCTGAGCATGTAGAAGCACTATCCAAAATGACTACCCAATTCCTCTCATTCTCAAATTGTACTCCTGTCAACATCAAGTCAGCTTTACAAGTTGAAGCTCCCTTGTACTCACATCCCCGGATTGGCTCCGCCGTAGCACAATATTGTCCACTTTGGGTCCCCCTCTCTGCCCTCACGATTTTGTTTCTGGGAACTTACGAGCAACTTCCCAGTGGGTCATCCTGGGATTACTCTGGCCCCAACTCGCTTAACTTCGGAGTTTCCATTACTCCGAAGTCAGTGAGCTCCCAAAAGGCCTCGTGCTAAATGGAGGTGATCATATACATATACACCCCCACCCCCCCCCCCCCCCCCCCCCCCCCCCCCCTCTGGTCGATGTGGGATGTTACAATCCACCTCCCTTAGGGACCCGACGTCCTCGTCGACACACTTACACCACACAACAAAGTGGCTGTGAGCTCCCAAAAGGCCTCGTGCTAGATGGAGGTGGACATGTACATATAAGGCACATCACCCTCTCTTCGTTGGTCGATGTGGGATGTTACATAAAATGTTTGGCAAACATAATTTCACAGTTGAGCCAACTATTTATATCTATTATGGGTTGATACAAAAACCTCACAATGAAAAAAGAAAAAACCCACACCCAACAAAGTACCAGGTGAATTAGTTCAATATTTGTTTGCAATCTATGATATATTGAGAAGATTGTTGGTTGGTTGGTTGGTATGGAAAAGCTCCAATTACACCCATCAATTTGTTCATATCTTCTCATCCCAAACAAAAACCCCATAATCAAAACAATTCAAAATTGAAAACCCTACAAAAATACCCAATTATAATCCAACAAAAATTAACCAATACAAATTTTAATTTTCATCAAATTAAGCTAACTACAAACAACCCCATAATCAAAACTTAAAAATAAAACCAAGAAATAGCATATTGAACCCATCAAATATCACCAAGGAGAGAGACAAGCAGAGCAGAAGTGGTAGAAAGAGAGGAAGAGAGTTTAACAACTAACAATAAGTGAGTGAGAGTAGAGCACAACAGAAGAGGAAAACAAAGGAACACGGAAGAGGAGAGCCAGAGCAATGTTGAAGAGAAAAAGCAGAGTAGAGCAACGTTGGATAATGGCAGACTCAATAGCGACTTTGTTATTTAGCGACACCTCTTCAGAGTTCTCTATTTTGTGCCAACGAGCGAAGCATTTTTTGTAGGCCCAGATTATATAGTCTCATTTAACTTAAAGATGGGCTGCACCAAACATGGGTTAGGGGTGTTATTTAAGTTAGTCTAATTCTTGCCAATCTAAGGAGGTGTACCAAACAAGGCATAGATATCTATCTCATTAAAGTATGGTCTTATAATCATCAAAGGATTCTAAGATTTGATATCAATTAGGGGATCCCAAGCCTCTGCATTTAGGCTCCGTGCATTTATCCGCATTTCTGTAAATCTAAGCCACTCAAACAATTTAACCACTTAACACACGACATGTCATCAAACTTTTAAATGATATATTTTTATTCTATTTTTATTTCCAAAACTCATGTAAACTCTAACTTTAACGGCATTAAGGTTTAGTGCAGATCTTGGACAAAGCAATATATAATATTGTTGAAAGTTGGGTTTCAATTGTCCGCCATAGGATCACATTGGAAGAGGAGCACATGTTATATATTCAACAGCACTAGTATGATTTCCTTGGTTTGGATTTAGTTTCAACCATATTTGTATGTATGGAAGTACGTTTTTTGTCCATAGCATCCAAATTACTACCATTTAGAATCCAACTAACATTTTCCAAATTCTCATTGAACCCAATCCTACTCTGGCTTGCAACCTCCTTCTTCTTTCCCCCACTTCCTGACCTTAAACTCTCATCGCCAACAGTGCCTGATCTTGACAAATTACTCGAACCCAGAGATGATCCTTTGTTGCCCATAAACCCAAAATGCTCTCCTTTGGCAACGGCCCGATCTCGTCTTTATCATATTCCACCCGAGAGACGACACCATAATGGGAGAATAGTAAAACAAAAACCCAGAAATCTACACATTACGTGGAGTAGTAGATCGATGGGTGTTGAAATTTATGAAGCATGAGATGAAGAAGCATAAGACAAAAAAAAATTGTAGTATGCCCACGAGAAAGGAAGCAAAAAAAAACACAAAACCTAAATGCAGAGGCTCGGGATCCTCAAGTAGGAGTTCAAATATTACTAAACATGCAGCTCTATTAAAGTTAGTGTTTTAAGGCTAATATAAGAGCTAGAAGGATTCCTATCTTAATTGTGGATTAGAAGTTATAAACCTAATGCAATAAGGACTTCTTAAGAGTTTCTTGATGGTTAACACTCTTAGGTAGATGCATATAAATACAAGTACCCCTGTTGAACCAATCAAGCCAACCCATACAAAAGACTTCACCCCATCTAGAATGAGTGTATGAAGGGATCGGATTGAGGAGATGTACTCTTGTATATTCTTGATATTTGACAATCTAATGGAAGACCAAAGATGTGTGTTCTATCATGTGCAGTCATTATAGTTTACATCTGGTAACAGAGCCTAGGTTGCACATTTTAGAACTAAAAGAAATTGTCCACCTTTTCTATCACAGCAATTGGGTGATAAAATATCTCCTACCTAATGATCCATCCCCTTATAAGTATCCCCAACCCAATTTGTTTCTTGCCCATGTCCATAGCCAGATACAAAAGTATGGATCATGAATGGTGTATGACCTGTTGACGTGAGTCTCCTAATTAATCAAGGAGATTTACTTCCTTGATTAATTAAGGGATTTACTTCCTATTTTTTATATAAGTGATAAATCATTGTACAATTGGGAGATAATTTCCTAATTCTTTACTATATCTAATTCCTTGTAAGACCCTCATGTAAACTCCTATAAATATCTCCTTATGGAGAAGAATAAAACTCAACCTAATATATTCAAACCATACTCATATTTTAGCATGGTATCAAAGCAATCGATCCTAGGTTGTCTCTAAACCCTTATCTCAAATTTCTCATATTCAAATCCCAAACCCTAAATCAATTCCTCATATTTTCCCCAAATCCAAATCCTTCAAATCTAAAGTCCTCAAATCCTCTTATCAAAATCCCTAAACACGTACCCACAAAGCTTATACACATACCTCTCAAATCAAATTCCTCCAATCACAATTCCTCACATTCTCATATCACATCTTACTTCCGCTGCAATGTCAAGAACCCCTATGATTCTCCCCCTTATTGCAGACTCAAAGAAGCATGCGGTTAATCCTGCTGGTCGGGCTACTCGGACTCATACTTCTATCGCCACCACCGAAGGTTCTACTTTTCATACTTCATCTCAAAAATCCGCATGGATTATCAACTCAGGTGCTACGGATCACCTGACTTTTGATCCTAGCCAACTTATTAGTCGCAAATCATCCACTCTGTCGGCGGTGTCTAATGCTAATGGTACCCCCTCCCCTGTGGTTGGGGAGGGCTCTCTATCTCTCTCTACTTCCCTACATCTGAATTCTGTATTACTTGTTCCATCTTTGGACCATAACTTGTTATTTGTTGCACAACTTACTACTACTTTGGGATGTACCTTAACATTTTGGCCGAATCATTGTGTTTTTCATGACTTCCTCACATGAAAGACGATTGGTTGTGGTACTCGACGGGGCAAATTTTACTACTTGGACTGGGCATCGGATAATGCGGTCAAGGTTGGTCAAGCTTTCAGAACCAGTGGAACTCGTTCTGAGGGGGAGAGAGACAAAATTTGGTTATGGCATAAACGTCTTGGGCATGCCTCGTTCGGTTATCTTAAGAAGTTGTTTCCATCATTATTTTCCAATCTTGATGTTTCCAGCTTCCAGTGTGATACGTGTGAATTGGCTAAGAGCCATCATGTCCCATTCCCATTAAGTTCAAATAAGAGTTTGGTTCCGTTTTTCCTTATTCATTCTGATGTTTGGGGACCTGCTAAAATTGCCACTCCGGCAGGGGCGCGATGGTTTGTCACGTTTATAGATGATTGAACACGTATGACTTGGGTTTCCCTTCTCAAAACTAAAGAGGAAGTCAGTTCCAGGTTTCAACAGTTTTGTCAAATGGTGGAGACTCAGTTTCATGCCAGAATTCAGGTTCTTTGTTCTGACAATGGCGGAGAATTTCTCAACCATGATCTTAGCCAGTTCATACAAGATCATGGCATCATATATCAACGCTCATGCCCTTACACTCCCCAATAGAATAGGGTGGCTGAAAGAAAGAACAGACACTTATTGAAAGTCGTTCGTGCCTCTCTCTTTGGTGCCAATATGCCACGATAGTTTTGGGGTGAAGTCGTCATCTCTGCAGCATACCTTATCAATCGGATTCCCTCTAGTATCCTAAATTTCCAAACACCACTTCAACCACTTCACTATCAAATCCAAACACCTCCCACCCCAAACCTAGAACCCTGAATTTTTGGATGTGTTGTATTTGTCCACTTACATGATCACCAACGAAGTAAATTAGATCCCTGAGCCGAAAAGTGTGTTTTCATTGGCTATGCACCTCATAAGAAAGGATACCGGTGTTATCATCCTCCTAGTCAGAAGGTCTTCACCTCTATAGATGTTGTGTTTCGAGAACACGACTTATATTTTTCAACAGTCCAAGAGGAGAATCAAGAATCCATCACTGCTCCAATTCTCAATTTTTTTCTCTAGGACGTCACTCTCCATCAAAATGATCGGTTTCCAATGGAAAGCAACCGATCACCTCCCTTTAGTTCTTCAACTACAGAGAACCTGCTTCAAAATGACCAGTCATCAGCAGACAACGACCAGTCGCAAAAGGAAAACAATCAATTGTCTCCACGCTGTCAAAATCAGGAGGAGGGAATTGAACCATTTTATGGGATTTTGCCTGCTTAAGCTCCAATACCGCACCAATCACCTGCTGAGGAAGTCATTCAGGTAACATCTTTTCCTGAAACTGATAACACTAATGAAATATCCCATGATGATTTGATTTCAGAAGGCATAGAGCCTACATATCAGCTTCCAGAAAGGAAGAACCGTGGAAAACCTTGAGTACAATATAAAGCAGATCTTAAAGCCAAAGGGAAATACCCCATCAATAATTATATATCTCTCAGCATATTATTAGAGTCATGTGTGCACTATGTGATGCAGTTGGCTAACATATCTGTCCCCAACAGTGTAACTGAAGCACTAGAAGACCTAAAATGGAAAGAAGCTATGAATGAAGAAATACGAGTTCTCTAAAAGAATGTCACATGGGAGCTCATGCCCTTACCTCATAGAAAGAAGACAGTAGGATGCAGGTGGATTTATACTGTGAAACTTAAAGCATATGGATCCGTTGAAAGATATAAAGCTAGATTGGTGGCAAAGGGGTACACACAGAGATATGGGATAGACTACGAGGAGACCTTTGCCTTAGTAGCCAAGATTAACACTATTAGAGTCCTATTGTCTCTAGTAGCAAATCTCGATTGGCCCCTACATCAGTTTGATGTCAAAAATGCATTCTTACATAGAAACTTGGACAAAGAAGTATATATAGACTTACCCCCAGGATGTAATTCAGCTCTTGACAACAAAAATTAAGTTTGCAAGCTCAGAAAGTCATTATATGGGTTAAAGCAATCTCTCAGGGCATGGTTTGGCAGATTCACTAAATCTATGAAGAATTTTGGATATACATAGAGTAATTCATATCACATCTTGTTCTTGAAGCGTGATGAAGGAAAACTTACTGCATTAATTGTTTATGTAAATGACATCATCGTAACTGGAAATGACACAGAAAAGCAAGTCCCATATAATAAATGGTTCCACTCCTAATAACATCGAAGCCTTTTGCATAAAACCCCACACCTGCTAAATAGGTGGTTAAGTTGGGGATAATATCGATGTTACTAGTGGTTGGCCAAGGGTCCGTCCCTCTGAAATCTTAATATGGTATCAGAACCAGGTTGGTTGACTAGGCCTGATGAAACCCAAATCAAACAAACTCAAATCAAACAAAAAAAAACCCCCAAATTGAATCAAAATCAAAATTTTTAAAAAATTTTTAAAAAAAGTGACCGATATAGAATTGGTTGCACGTGTGGCCCACTAAAAAGTGATTCCACGTGAGGAGGAGTGTTGAAGAATACACGAATCCCACATCGGAAACTTAACAAAATAGAAGGTCCCATATAATAAATTGGTCCACTCCTAAAAACATCGATGCATTTTGTATAAAACCCCACACCTGCTAAACATGTGGTTAAGTTGAGGACAATATTGATGTTGCTAATTGTGAGCCAATGGTCCGTCCCTCTAAACTCTTAACACAAGAACTAGTATATTTTTGTCTCAAAGGAAGTATGTAATGGATCTACTCACTGAAACAGGAATGCTTGGATGTAAGCCTGCTGACAAACCCATTGAGATGGATCACAAGTTGTGTGAAGACATGGACCAAGAACCAACCAATAAGGTACCAATGCCTTGTTGGAAGGTTGATATACCTGGCACACACAAGACCAAATATTGCATATGCTGTGAGTGTGGTTAGTCAGTTTATGCATTTGCCTAGTGTTTCTCATAGGAATGCAGTTGATCAGATCTTAAGATACTTAAAGTCATCTCCTGGTAAAGGATTAATGTTCTCAAAAAATGGAGATCTTGAAGTTGTTGGATACACAGATGCTGATTGGGCTGGTTTTATTACAGATAGACGCTCTGCTTCAAGTTACTTTACATTCGTGGGAGGTAACCTAGTCACTTGGCGAAGTAAAAAGCAAAATTTGGTTTCTCGGTCTAGTGCAGAAGCAGAGTATTGAGGAATGGCTCACGAAGTTTGTGAATTATTGTGGATCAAAATACTCTTTACAGAATTGAGCTTTAAGCCATAAAAGCCAATGGAGTTGCATTGTGACAACAAGTCAGCTATCGATATTGCCCATAATCCAGTTCAACATGATCGAACCAAACATGTTGAGGTGGATAGACATTTTATCAAAGAAAAAATTGAGAAAAAGATCATCCGCCTACCATTCGTAAAATTAGAAAATCAACTGCAAAATATCTTAACCAAAGCTGTTTGTGGAAGAGTATTTCATGACTCACTTACCAAGTTGGGCATTGGTGACATATATGCACCAACTTGAGGAGGAGTGTTGACGTGAGTCTCCTAATTATCAAGGAGATTTACTTCCTTGATTAATTAAGGGATTTACTTTCCTATTTTTTATATAAGTGATAAATCATTGTACAATTAGGAGATACTTTCCTAATTCTTTACTATATCTAATTCCTTGTAAGACCCTCATGTAAACTCCTATATATACATTCTTATGGAGAAGAATAAAACTCAACATAATATATTCAAACCACATTCATATTTTAGCACGACCTTGGATCAATTCTCTTCTGCTGCTTCCTGACTAAGTCTCCATATTTGATTTTGGGGTATGGTCTTTTTATTTATTTATTGAATATGAGTTAGTTGCATAAATTTTCACTGCTTTTGAGTGAACTATAAACCATGACATGTTTTCAAGTTTTATATTTAAGTTTTAATGGCTACATTGAATTAACTAAAGTTTTCTGAAAAAATGGGCAAACTACTGTTGTTATCAGATTGCTGTGACATGTTTTAAAGAAATTGCTAAAGAAAGACAAGCATAAATTTATGTTACATTTAATAAGGACTAGTGTGAATTAATCACGGTGGATCAATTTTTATCCTAAATAATTGACTAGTCTTATGAACAAAGACCTGTGCCATGTTTCAATCCAAAGCCGTGACTTTTTCTCTTATTAATTTGGTACTTTGCCTTTTGCCATGACTGAAGTTATTGTTAATTGAATATCATCATGTTTTGCTGATAGTTTTCCAGCAACATAAAGAATACATGTGTACATATTCAAAGCTTAAGGCAATTATCTTCTCCAAGCATGACAAATAATTAAATGTCGCAACACAATATATATTAAAACTAGAATAATTGCATGTTCAAGAATTGTCTTATAAGGCTATGTGCCGGCAGATTTTGTTGTATGAAGATTAATGTCTCTAGTTTGTTTCCATGAAATTTGATGCTAATCCGACTTATAAATTAATTGTAATAAATTCTCAATAGTCTTGATGGAAGTCTCATGTGATCTTGAGAGCTTGTATGTATAATTATAAAGACCTTGAAATATTGAAATGTTCAATAAGTCTTGATAGTAACATGCTTGTTCTTTTGAATGACAGTGACTTGATTAGTAATTATGGTTTAGTTGAATTCTATAGGCCTTACAGTAATTAATATTGAGTTTTTGATGATCATTAGACCATGTGGGAGACTATTAGACATATAGATGTCTATCTCATTAAAGTGTGGTCTTATAATCATCAAAGGATTCTAATACTTATTATCAATTAGGAGTTCAACTATGACTAAACCTGTCGCTCTATTAAAGTTAGTTTTTTAAGGCTAATATATGAGCTAGAAAGATTCCTCTCTTAATTGTGGATTAGAAGTTATAAACCTAATGCAATAAGGACTTCTTAAGAGTTTCTTGATGGGCAAGACTCTTAGGTAGATGCATATAAATACAAGTGCCCCTACTCAACTGATCAAGCCAACCCACACAAAAGACTTCACCCCATCTAGGATGAATGTATGAAGGGATCAGATTGAAGAGATGTGCTCTTGTATATTCTTGATATTTGACAACTCTAATGGAAGACCAAAGATGTGTATCATGTGCAGTCATTATAGTTTACGAGACACAATTACAACATACAATCAAAAACCAATATATAATACACTAATAGGGTTTAACTTCTCAATTTCTTGAGTTTACTGTGCAACAAAAACACAATTAGAACATACAAATATAAAATGCACTGATAGGTCTTCTCAACATATATTCTCACGTACGACATGAATTGAACCAAATATGTGAAGAACATATAGTAAGTAATGTGGGAGTTAACGTGTGGTTGTGAGCTTGAAAGATGAATAGCTTGGCTAGTCGTGAGATTTTAGAGATTGTGGTAGGAAAAACTAAAGGCTTTTTAGTTACCATATAGTCCCTTAATTTAGACCTGACTTTTGTTAGCAATGTTAGTCCTACCGTCAGATCTGCTACTTTTTTTGTGGTTAAATTTAAAGGTAAACTGGTCATTTTAAATCCATCCCTCATCATTCACACCAGCTGTACCACTCCAACCACCACTTTGCACCCACCACCCCACAACTCAACTACAACAGAGAACCAACCTCCCTAACTTTGACGGGAAACCATCCATCACTCTCTTTACGTCACATCCCTAGATCGGCTCCGCCGTAGCACGATATTGTTCGCTTTGGGCCCCCCTCTCTGCCCTCACAGTTTTCTTTCTGGAAACTTACGAGCAACTTCCAAGTGGGTCACCATCCTAGGATTGCACTAGCCCAAACTCGCTTAACTTCGGAGTTCCCATGACTCCAAAGCTAGTGAGCTCCCAAAAGGCCTCGTGCTAGATGGAGGTGGGCATGCACATATAAGGCACATCACCCCCTTTCCGTTGGTCGATGTGGGATGTTACACTTTAGCCAAACTGAAAACCCACATCAAATCTCACATCAACTTCAACAAATTCCAACCTAAAATCTCAACCCCAACGGGAAGAGTTGGTGGGAGTGGTGAAGGGGAAGAGTGGGCATCGTGTTTGTGTGATGGGTTGGGAGTGATTCGGTTGTGAGATCAATTTTTGGGTGGATTGGGGTGCTGCAATGGTGCTTTAGGGTAGCTTGGGTGGTGCTACGTGTGTCGGTGGTCAACGGCTGTGGTTGGGTGGGAAGGGTGGGGGATGGAATTGTTGGAATGGGGGTAGGTCTATTGGGAAGAGGGTGGGGTTGCTAGTGTTTCACCAATTAGAAATGTTAGGTTTTGTCCCTAAATTTAACATAAAATGTAACATGAGGACCAATGGTGCTAACAAAAGTGAAGTTTAGGGATTACAATGATCATTTTGCGAATTCAAGGACCAAAATGCAAATCGGGTACAAATTCAGGGACCATTGCTACAATTAAACCAAAAAATAATTGAGCCCTAATTCTGCAAAATATAAAAATATTTTTGGTTTGTTTTTTCTTTTCAATGGTTATCGGGTATTTGATAGATACATTGAATCTCAAAGAGCTTTTAGGGTTTTAACTGCAAGTTTGGGGGTTCTTTGATTTCTTGTTTGACTATAAAGGCCTTGAAGTATTAGATACTCAATAAAGTCTTGATAGTTCCTTCTTATTCTTCATAATTGACAATTGCTTAGTGGGAATTAGTTTGAGTTTTATTTTACACGGCCTCAAAGTGAACAATACAAATTGTCTTGTGATTAATCAACCAAAAAATACTTATATACATTAATGATGATGTCTTAACGAAATGGTTTTATCTTTTATATATGTAGGCGACAATTTCGGTAGGAATGGATCGATTTCAGGGCAATGTGAAAGGTTGAGACTATCGGTATTTTCTATGTACAATGTTGATTCGTATAAGTACACTTGACCATGTTGTTTTACCAACAAAAATAAAAAGTGTACGTTCTTGTTAAGTAACCACCTAGATCTGTTAACCTTTAGGCATCTTACTTTGTATGTTGAATCCAAAGTTTTTCTGGTATTAACGGCAAGTGTCACCCCACTAGTGACAATTTCAAGAAACATGGCACATATTCCAAGTGCGTTTCTAAGGTATATGGAAAAAAAAACATAAAAAATAATTAAAAAATAAGCAAAGGGTGCGTGTGCATGCATCAATCACCATTAATTTTCTGATGACAAGAGCTTCTCTCAACAAGTCTCCTTGGAGGATCCGTGGCTCTTTCAGTTTCCCTTTTTCTTTTCTTTTTTAATATTCGCTCGTGATATGATTTGAGTCAAATACGTAAACAACATATATTCGGTGACATAGAAACGTATTCAGTCGGTGACATAGGAATGTATGTGACTGAATATAGCCTATTCAGAGACCCATGAAATTCTTTCCCAACAACTTCCACTTTTCACTCTGTATTGTTCTTCATGGGTGGGGTCCGCGTATACCGACATTGTCCTTAATTTCACCATTTAGGTCCAGTAGGATGGATCAAGTTCATGGATACATCAAGATGTGGGGTTTTATCTCAGAAGATCCAAGTACAATTATGAACAATCTCGTTTTGATTTGAGGACAATCGTATTTTATCCACAAATCCTAACATTGGCACATGGTTAAACAGTAGCATTGATATATACTCGTTGCAGTGCAGCTGGGCAAGGTTTCCATTTAGTCGGCAGAAGGTGACACCCTAAAAACCTGTAGTTTAAAACATGTCTTTTGTGTCCACCTACCAGAATGAGGAGACTCAGCGATTGAGAATAACGACCTGTCTTTGTGATGGTGACCCGAGATGTGAGATAAGACATTATAGACTGTATATGATTTCTAAATTTTCGTCGCTTTCTCAGCGTTTCTTAATTTAGGGTTAGGTTGGTGACTTTGTTGGTTAACCGTACTAATTCCACCAATTATTATTCCAAGTGAAACAAAAAGGCTTTTGCAGCTCATGGTCTCTTTCGAGTCAAAAATATAGTAGGGTTCATGCATGCAACAAACTAAGGGTCAGCTGTCATCAAGAAAAAAGGGGAAAAGGAACAGACAAAAGAACATTGGGTGGGACACACACATGCACTAGGATGGTGACCAAAGAAAACTTTGGCTAACGGCATGATATATGTGAGAAGTATACCATATTCCTTAATCTATATAGTTAAATAACAAATCATCATTTTCCTTAATCTATAGTTTCTCATATTCCCC